CATCATCGTCGTTAATAATAAAGATGATGATGATGATGATTTTGTCTGCCACCCCTCCACATAATAAGTAGTCCTACATCATATGAAGAAATTCCAATTTTTTCACAGTGCTAGTATTATTTTATCACGGAGAGGCCAGTCTCTGTGACTTTCTTATAAGATAATTATCAGTCCATGCTGATCATCTGCATAAGTAATATAAGACTCAGATCGCAGTTCATTTAACACTATGATCAATCAGTCTGTTATTTGTAAGTTAACAGCAGCAGTCAGCAGCAGTTTGTTTACTAAGATCAGATCAATGAGCTATGATGGCATAATGTAACAATAATCAACTTAATATATCTTAAGTCTGAATCCGGCTGATCGGATATATATTATAGTTGAGACAGGCTGGTTATCGTCAATTTGCTTTTTTTTCAGGTCACACTGGAAAAATTGGGTAATTTCATCTATGGTGTAGGGTACTATTATTTGTGGAGTGGTAGCCTAAATTTTCATCATTTTCATCTTTTTTATTTTCAACGGTGATGATAATGCTCAGTCTGTTTTATTGGATAAAAAAACGAGTTTACTCTTTTTTGTAAAAAATGTCTGCGAGATTTCTTTTTGGGACTTGTAGCCATGTCGCAGAGTCAATAGTTGTAGGGAACTTAAACCAAATGATATCTTTTGAGTGAGATAATAAAGCTTTTTATTGTTGTAATATTTATTTATAAGTATGATGAGGTTAATGGTCGTGATATTACTACAAATATTTTTGTTGTATATGCTCTACAGCCAATAAAATGTACATGACGACATGTTTTAACAAAAGCATGTATTATTGTATTTTAGAATGAGGCAATCAATTACTGTTTAGAGAACTGCCCATTTTAATAACCGGAATAAACTATGTCATTTTGGAAGCTGGTATAATTTGGAAAGATATATATTAAATTGTGTTCCTGAACAATTTTCTATTCTTGTCAATTCTAAAGACTTAAAAAATAAAACACACGCACACAATATGTCAAACAACAACAACAATTCAGAATGCAAGTGCTCTAAATGCTCTTCCAATAGCATGGGATTTGTTTTGGTGTCTACCCAAACACTCAGAAGACATGCACAACAGGATATCGTGAGACAATATCAGTCAGGATCTTCTTGTAAGTTCAAATTTAAGAAAATTATTATTGAGACAATTTTAATTGAACATTTATTTTCATATAATATAGCCTCAGTTATAGAAGTAATGTCGAATGACAATGACATGGAGATTGACTTTGAAGACAATGTTGATGCTGAAGATCAAGTTGAAGGTATGCATAGTATTTTTATTAAAGTTTTATAATCATTTATAATATCTAATAATTTGATTCTTTTTTACCTAACAAAACAGCTGAAGACTTACCTCTTTTTGGCATTGATTCCTTGTTTGATTCTGAAAGCGAAGATGAGGGTGTCATTGAAGCAACCATTTTGGATATTTCTGACGATGAATCTGATGATGTTAGAGGTTAGTACAAAAAGCACATATAAATCAATAAAGTCAACAAGTATTGATTTTTTTTTCAAATAAAGCACTTTTCTTCATCCAATATGCCAGTCGATCCTACTCATGCTTTCATTGCTTCTTTTGCTGCCTTCTTCATATCCAAATATGTTGTCAATTCTGGTGGTGCTGTTCTGTTAAAGTTTCTTAACGAAGTATTGGCACACTTTGGACAGTCTTTCCATCTTCCCCTCAGTATAAACGGTGTCAACTCTATGACCGGTCTCAGCGACGTGACTCGAGGTGTCCAGCGGTTTGTTGCATGTGGCGATTGTAACAAAGTATACGAAGAGTCCGATGTTGTTCCAGAGTGCTGTAATTTCGAGAGACTCTCTGGTAGAGAATGTGAAAACGCTCTTTTCTTTGCAACATCAAGAGCCTTGACTATCCCCAAAAAGATCTACATGTATAACTCCATAATCAAAACATTGTCTATCCTTTTTTGCCACCCTGGATTCGAAGACACCATCAACCATTGGAGAATCAGAGTGCAAGTTCCAGGCATGATGTTTGACATTTACGACGGTACGAAGTGGAACAGTCTGAAGGATAGCAATGGTTTACCGTTTGTGAATCATGAGCGCTCCATAATGCTTACCATGAACATCGATTGGTTTCAACCTTTCGATGGGGTCACTTACTCCTGTGGTGCAATATACCTTTGCATCAACAACTTGCCAAGATTGGAACGGTACAAGAAGGAGAATGTTGTTCTCATTGGTCTCATGCCAGGGCCCAAGGAAGCAAAGACAAGTGAAATCAATCACTACCTCTGTCCCCTTGTTGCGGAACTCAACCAGTTGTATGGTGGTGTGGTGATGCCTACCATACAGTGCCCATCTGGTGCTCTTGTCCGTTCTGTCCTTCTTCCCATTGCTTGTGACATTCCTGCCACCTGTAAGAATTGTGGGTTTACCTCTCATTCAAGCACATGTGCGTGCAATAAGTGCAACCAACAGTTCCCTTGCCTTTCAGACTCCAATGCTGCGGACTACTCTGCGTTCGTACTTTCTGAGTGGGTGCCTCGCACTGATGCCAAAAACTGTTGTGATGTCAAGTTATGGAGAATGGCCAGCAGTGATGCACAAAGAAAGAGATTGGAGAGGGAAAATGGTGTCCGATGGTCAGAATTGCATGACCTGGTTTACTTTAACCTTGTAGAATGCACTGTCATCAATCCGATACACAACCTGTACCTCAAAACAGCAAAGAGAATAATGGAGAAATGGAGATCTTCAGGTCTCATCACAGATGCACACTTGGCTGAAATGCAGTTGGATACTGACAAGATGGTACTGCCAGAGGACTACACGCCATTAGGGACAAAGATTGGGCATGGCTTCCCATTCATGAATGCCAACAAATGGAAGTCTTGGTACTTGGTGTACTTTCCTGTTCTTCTGCGTGGTCGTCTACCTGAAGCTCATCTCAGTAACTGGACAACATTTGTCAATGCATGCCAGTACCTCTCAATGCCAAGCATATCTACGGCTCACCTTGATGAAGCCCATCAATCTTTGGAGGCCTTCTGCAGAGAGTGTGAGAAGTTGTATAAAGTCCCGTTTCTTTTGCCAAACATGCATCTCCATCTTCATCTGCGAGAGACTGTACTGAACTTTGGTCCGGTTTATGGCTATTGGCTTTTTAGTTTTGAAAGATGCAATGGTATCTTAAAAAACTATGCGGCAAATAGAAAAGATGGGTTTGAGAGAACCTATATGAAGAAGTATCTTGATGAAGCATACCAGAGAGATCTTATTTGCCAAACTTTGCTAATAACTCAATCTGAGCATTTAGCAATCATCCTTGAGCTCACTGCATCCACTGCCAATTCCATTACCACTTCTACTTCCACTTCTACTGCCACCTCAATCCAATTCGATATCAATGCTTTTCTTAATTCTTCTGAGATCAACTTTGATATCGTCAAGGGAAACAAGCCTTTGCCCCCTTTCGCACTTCCTTTAGCTCTAAAGGGGAACATTTCCATGGATGAATCCAAGTATGAGCATTTGTTGGAATACTTTCACGAGTCATACAATGATCAAACTCTTGTTCATTATTGTCAGTCTGGTCATTCCAATAATTGTGTTAATAACCGGATACAGAAGTTTGAATCAATCGATCTTCTCGGGTAAATCTACAAGAGCAAAACAAAGAATCAGTGCGGGTAGTTGATGCAAGCCTTGTTTGAGACAAGTGATGGTAGAAGTACCAAGCCGTACGCAGGCCAAATCCAGTACCTCTTTGTCAATACTGCTGTAAACTTGTTTGCTGATCTTACAAGCCAGCATGTATTTGCATATGTATGATAGTACAAGGAAGTTTTACTTCAGCCCAGAGCAGGAGAAGGAGTTGAGGTGAATGAGGTGGGGTTAGAAGATGACAGCATGAACAGCATTCTCTCAGTGCATAGAATCCGTTATCCAGTTGCAGTAGGCGAGCACCTTGGTCTAGAAGGCAAAGTTCAGATGTGTGTAGTTCCTTTGCCACAAAAAATATATATTTAGATTCAAATACAAAAATAAAACATGTATAAAAAATATTAATTAATACAGGCTAATTTATAGAACTGCACATTTATTTTTTATTATTTCTATAAATTTTTATTTGTACTTGGCATGCTATACATGCATCTGTATACATCATGCTAATCCGTAAACATAAACAAGTAGAAAAAAGACTCTAAAATAGTTGGCAAGAAAAAAATGATTTATTTTGAAAAGCATCAATCTGGTAAAGTGACTGCCAAATTCTTGGGAATGCTCACTTCTTTCTCATAACGGATGCGCTTTTTCAAGCTTTCTGAATTTTTCTTCAAACAGATAACAGTAAGTTTATCAATAGTAATAATAAACGTCTGGAGCTGGTTTAAAGAATAAATAGTATTAATAAAGTATTATTATTTTCTTTAAAACATAGATGGATGTTTAATATTATCTCATCAGTTCTCCAGCTGAGACGATATGCCCACACTTTGTTATCTTTATCTGACTTGCCATCAGACATCACATCAATAGAAAGAATATTTCTGCTATCATATTGATTCATGCCCTCATGAATAGCCTCTCTGTATGTCTGGTACGTGATAATACAACGGTCAAGAAGCTACCAAAGAATATTGTATTAAAACATTAAATCAATAGTAAATTAACTTTATTTTAAAACTTACAGTCTTCTTTCTGTTGCGTCTTCTTCCAGCCTTATTTCTAGCCATAATCTTCTCTGCTGAAATCTGGAAGACTCGCACTTGATTTTGGTAGTGATTCTTTATTATATTCATAATGACACTCTTTGACACATTTGTGCAACATCTTTGAGGTCTCTGGTACTTGAAGAGAGCCAGTGCAAATGTCTTGTTGTACTTATCGCCATACGTGCCAGTTATTGACCATGCTGATCTATTATTATTCTCAGCAACTTTGAGCAGGTCTGTGCTAACAAAGTTTGGTTTCTTGATGTAACTATTGATAAGTTGCTATAAAAACGGTATTAGATATATTAATCAGTAATGTTATTATTATCAATTTACTTACAGAAATCGAGGGATGATGTTTTGCTCCAAGGTCAAGATCATCATCCATGGAAGAAGAAAAATCCACTGGTACAGCAGAAGGTATCACGGAATTTTGGCTGGTCATTGCCTTTTTTATTTCGGCATTTTCAGTCATGAGCTGAAGGACTGAGTTCTTCCAAAATTCATTTGTCTTGTTGGACAAATCCAGGCCATTTTTCAAATGAGTTATTGCATCAGTCACTCCTTTTGCATTTTCTTGTAAGGATTGCATCAAAACATTGTTGGCTGCCAACAAGGTAAGGACATGATCCATTGGGGTCACAGCGACTTGAACTTTAGGGGCTGTGTCAACTGCTACTTCTGGAGTTGGTGTATCAATTGGAGCAACAACACCTGCAATTGTGCTATTAAGAACAGCATTCATGCATAGGTTGGGTCGGCGGGGAGCAGTAGGAATATGCTTTGTCATTTTCTGTTAATAAAATAAATATTAATAATTTTCAACTAATATTGTATAATTCACTACACTTGTTATATCATATTTAAAATTCACATACTAGTAAAGAGGATAAGTAGTGCAGATTAACTCTCTACCTTTCATTTGATATTTAAGCACATCTCCCAACCGCTTGATCCACATTTAGACAACTTATTTTCTAACTCAATGAGGTACAAAGCAGTATTTCAAGATGACAATGGTCATCTTCTTTTGGAATATTACTTTTTACAGCCCGCATTTTGTCAGGGTCAAACTGGATTTTAAGACAAGTCTTTTTTTTTCTTTTTTTTTCTTTTAACAACATTTATTATTGATATTTTCTTTGTTTCTCTTTTGCTTATGTCTTTACAATTGCACTTATAACTTTTTCTTTCTTTTATAGCTCAATACCAAATATGTGTCTCTTTGTTTGGCTATACTCTGTCTGATATATCAAGGTAAGATATCATTCTCTTACAGATCTTTGTTACTCTTCATATTGTTTGTCTAGCCATTGCTACTCATTTCCATTGAGTCTCATCATCTCTTAATCGAACATGATGATAAGTTTTTTCTTAAAAAAAATTCAAATTATTCTTTTGTCTTCCTCATAAATATATATTTATTTCTATTACAATTTATTAGTTATGTCTGATATTATGCGGGAAGACATATAATCAGTAATATTTGGTAAGTTAACTACAATATATTTAATAAATACGCCTTTACTACACACAATATTAATAATTATTCATTTTTAGAATGTATCTCTATTCAAAGACTACTGGTATTGTCTTGATAGTTCTGAAGAACATGTTTATATCAATTTTATGTCAAGTCTTCTCCGTCTTGTAAGTATTTATGAAGAAATTTCAATTTAAATCATTTACTAATTCTTCTTTTCTATTAATCATTTTTTAATAGTATTTCTGCTATTAAAGTATGTATTCCATGTCTACTCCCGGAAGGCTTTAAATTATATATAGTGAGCAAGAAGTATTAGCAATTATAATAGCTATAGTATCAAAACTGTTGCGAAAGTAGGATTTTTATCTAGAAAAGATTTTCCTATCAAATAAAACAAAATTGAATAAAAAATGTATAACCCAATGTTTTTTCAAAAAAAAATAAATAAAAGTAAAATAAATAAACAAACCAAAGAGGCTTGTTTATAAAAATCTACTCATGCTTTGTTTCTCTTTTTCATTGTAAAAAAACCTAGTTTCATTGCTTTTGTGTGTATAAAAAACCTAGTTTCATCACTTTGAGCATGTATAAAAAACCAACTATCATCATTTCTTTATATTGTAAAAAACCTACAATCATCTCTTTGATAGTTTTTAAAGCATTTCTGCAGCCAATAAAAAAACTGGTAAAAATAATAATATGGGACGCTAGCTCTTTATAGATCTCAAAATATAACACATAAAGAGGTAGACTCGATAGGAGTAAAGCGTAACTACAATATTTATTCAGTTTCCATAGTTTGCGGACTGACAATCGTTCTACATTGGGTTTTTGTGTACCCGTTGTTATAATGATATGCATCAGCACCATAGATGATATTGTACTATTGCTCAAAATGATATATCACAAAAATTGTGAAGATATCGGCTCAATCATCTACATTTTTGGTACATTTGATTCAGATGAAATTACCCTATTTTTCCAGTGTATACAAACTAGCTGCAAGGCATTTGTTAATGGTTTTGTGATTGACTCTGCACTCAACTAAAATTATGTAAGGGAGGCACATAACATCAGATTACAGATTCAGATTGATGAGAACCACAACATAAATTCTGCATACTCCCTGGTTTACAAGAATGTCTTTGGAAAACTTCTTGTCTTTTTTGAGCACAAGCTCAACAACAAGAGGTGAATGCTTGCTCTTGTAGAGATTGCAGCAGTTCGTTTAGTAAATTATATATCAGCTGTTAACAATGGGCAAATGAAGCCAATGGTAGTTCACTTGACAGATGTTAAAGAATTAGTTAGTTTGGTGAAGTTGAACACAACTATAAATACAACAGCAACATACATACATATTGTGGCCAGAGCTTAACCATGGTCCAAAATTGTCACTTGGTTCTCTTGTAGACCTATAATTTGTTTTTTTTATAATACATTTTTTTTAAAATTGTCTTAACATATTTTATTCTCTCAGCAAAAAGTTAAGAAATTTTTTCTCTTTTACATCTCACTTTTAATAGTCATCAATTGCAATCTACATTTACTAAAAATGTAAAGTCTGTAGTTGAAGCTTACTTTTGTCTATCAGGAGATTTAATTTTAGGTGGTCAATTTGCTTTTTGTTAACCTTTTCAAAAAACAGAGATTTTCTAGTTTCAAATTAAATTTTATTGATTTTTTAATTATTATAGTCTGAAAACATAGTCACAAAAGCAAAAAATCACAATTTTTTCTCATAGTATATAAGGTTGTCAATAAGAGAACACAAATAGTTATTGATCTCATCAGTACTTGCTTCTTTAGGTCCAGGCATTAACCCCACAAGAATAACATTTTCGATCTTGTTGTGCTCTTCTCTTGACAGATTGTTTACCATGAGATATATGGCACTGCAAGAATATGTCACCCTATCAAAGGGCTGGAACTAATCGATATTTAATGTCAAGAGCAATGAATGTTCCTTTGCAACAAACTGGACACCTTCATCATCAACAAACTCTTTCCATATTTTCCCATAGTAAGCATCAAATAAAGTATCATCAACCTTGGGCTCGCAGTTTCACTGATTGATATTCTTTTCGAAAGAAGAACGCATGAGCAATTTCTTCAAGAAAGCTGTCAACAAGTTGTAGACGAAAGTATGCTTAGAAATCATTGAATTTCTTATACTGTACTTGTAAAGATCATTTCTATATAAGGTCTTGCTGCCAACTCTTCTAAAATTGCAAGATGTTTGTGTGGTGTTACTGTAGTCATACAATGTGTATCAATTGCTACATGCTACATAATTGGACACCCCATTCATCAAGTCATTGTACCCTGTCATTTTCTTCAGACCAGGAATACTTATAGGAAGTCAGAAATTCTCTCTGTAATGTTCAAGTATTGTATTGATGAACGTGATCAAGATCACAGCGCTGTCATCTACAATTAAAGTTGAAATAAACATCACAGTAAAAATGGCAATTACTCTATGCTAAGGATTTTCTGGTAGATTTGCTGTAAACTCTATAGATTATCATGATATAATATTAGTTTTTGTTTTCTTGGTTTGATCTAGATCAATTTATTTGTAATTATCATTTATTTTTAATAGTTACTCTGTTCTTCTTTTCTGTCTTGTTCTTCTAGCTCAATTTCATCAAACAATTCATATTCAGACTTATACTCTGAAGTATACTCCTCTGTTTCAAAAAGAGATTCTTATACCAAAGAGGTAAGTAGATATATTTATACTGTTCTGATTAGGGTGTACCAACAGAGTGATTGTTAACTATTGGTACTGAGTTTAAATAGAGTGCACATTGGGTATAAAAAATATAATACTATTATCTTTAACATATTTTTTAATTTGATCTAAATCCATATCAGTTTCACTAGTGGGGGTACTCAGCCAGATTGATCAATCGAATTCTTGTGTGAATCTTGGCCAATGATATCAATTTGTAGTTGAGGACACCAAAAGACAAAAGTACAAAATTCATACAAAATTCATAGATTTTTATAGCATTTATGAAATAATCCTTGCACATTCTGATTTCCTCTTTGAACCTGTAGGAATCTAGACTCTCAAAGAGGTCAGGTGCTCTTTCCCTTTACTCAACATCTGGCAATACATTGTCAACCTTGCACTACAGGAAAAAATGGCAGTTTTTTGCTTTTGTCAGTTTGTTTTTGGCCTATACTAATTAAAAAAATCACTAAAAATCCAATATGAAACAAGAAAATCTCTGTTTTTGGAAAAGGTTGACAAAAAGCAAATTAACTACCTAAAATTAAATCTCCTGATAGATAAAAGTACATTTTACAGTGACTGCAACATTAAATTGCGGGTTTGTGAAAATTAAATTGCAGAAAAAAAAATTCAAAGTGCCGCTTTTTCACAACTCAATTTGCGGCTTTCTGGAAAATCAAATTGCATTTTTTCGTGAAATTAATTTGCAGTTTTCTGAGAAATTAAATTGCAGTAATGGCTGGACGAAGTATGAGACTTGTAATTAGAGGGGTTCTTTATTTTTACACTTGTTAAACTGATTACAAGAGTGCTGTATGAAAGCTTTTAAATATTTAATAGGAACATCATTGCATGCATCTGCAATTCTTGTTGTGAGATCTTTTTCATCAGTAAAAACGCCTCTCTTGACTTTGTTTTTTACAACAAACCAAAATTGTTCAATTAGATTTAACTTGGCAGAATAACGAGGAAGATGTATGCATCTATATCCTCTTGAAGCAATTAATTCATCAATAGTTTTACTTGCATGAATGGGCGCATTATCCATGACAATATAAAAATTACTCATACAAGAATTTTTATCCATTTCATCAAGAGTTTTTCCAATGAATTTCAAGTAATGACCAGTTTTAGCTCCCTCTCGTCTTTTCTGGTTTGATGTCTGCTTTCTTTGTTGTCCTACACCATCAACTTTACGTTGCTTAGGCTTTTCTGTTACTCGAAGCTCAATATCAACAACCCCAATTGAACTTATGGCACCTAATATCGAATGAGAATCCCCTTTAGTCGACTTTGTTTCGACAATTGCTGGTGTACCAACTTTAGACCAGGCTGAAGGTGGACGCATGTTTATATCAAAGCCACTTTCATCTACGAAAACGCAGTTGGAGAGGAAATCCATGTCAGTTGTTGTCCATTGCTCTACCCACTCGAATCGTTTTTGAAGAGTTTTTCCAGAGCTTCTTTCTTTTGTTTATAATGTTGCTCTTTTGAATGACAGATTGCATTCATTTGTCATGAAGTTACGAACACTAGTTTCTTTTAAGCTGAAATTCGCAAACAAACGCTCCAGACTCACAACAACATCCTCCACACATGTTTGAGGGTTTTTATTGAATAGATCGATAATAAACTCCTTATGCTCTTCTTGCAGCTGTCCTGTCTTTCGCTTATTCTTATTTGTTTGCTTTTCAAATATATTCCATTCAGGTTCATCTCTTATTCTTTTAGCCCACTGCTGACCAGTACGTTCAGATACACCAGAAAATCTGGCAGCTTTCGCAGCTTTAAACAACTTCACTTATAAATAGTACAGAAAAAGCACCTTCTGGTCAGGAGAATATACTTTATAACTTTTCTTCGTTACGTTATTATCTTCTTCATTCACCCTTAAAGATACTTCGTTCATATTCTCGTCAAGTTCGCCTCTCATTTGCTCTTGCTCAGATGGCTGTGCCTGTTGGTATTCACGTAATGTAGTGAGGGTTTTCAAATAAAAAGGATCAACTTCTTCAGACCATTCCATGGCATCATTGCCTTGTTCATCGTAGATCTTGCCTTGTCCATTTTCGTAAAAAAAGTATGTACTCATTGTAGTTCTAGATTGAAAGAGAAAGAAAATAAGAAAAAGAAAAGAAATGCTTGACCCGCAATTTAAATTTCTCAGAAAACTGCCAAATAAAAAAGGCTATCCAAATAAAAAAAGGCTATCCAGATTGCCAGCCAAATAAAAAAAGGCTATCCAAAGTGCCAGCCAAAATAAAAAGGCTATCCACATTGCCAGCCAAAAAAAAAGGCTATCCAAAGTGCTAGCCAAATAAAAAAAGGCTATCCAGATTGCCAGCCAAAAAAAAAGACTATCCAGATTGCCAGCAAAAAAAAAAGTCTTTTTCTTTTGCTGAGATACAAAAAAAAACATGTCATCTAGTGATACTAAAAATTCTAACAAGGAAGAAAAAACTGTTATTCTGTTGAAAAAAACATGTCCTTATTGCGACAAGTCATATCAGTCAAATCAAAAAGCCGTGAACCATATCGCTACCACTCATAAGAAAAAAGTGGAACGTCTTTTCTCTGGTAACCGCAATTTTGGTGTGTACAATCAAATGAACGTTCAAAAGTATAAACGACTTGGCTACACCATCGTGGTTCAATTTGGCTGTGTCTCTTGTAAAGAGGCCTTCGTTATGAAAAAAGAACTTGAAAAGCATTGTGATTTGAAACATGTCGTGACATCTCAACCTGAAATTGGGTATATGAAATATTTTGACTGACAATGATTTGGATTTCTAAATTTTACTTGTTTAAGAATTATCACTGCACCAGACGATATCACCAAGCTAGACTGGATTTTTTGTTGCCCAGACAATGATCATCTTATCTTTCAGAACAACAATATTACCAAGGGGTTTCACGACTTCTGCAATTATGTGAAAACGGTCATTGATGAACTGCATCTCTTGATGTATGAATCCCATGTCCAGCACGTCTTGGCATTGTCTTCAATTCTTTTGTTAAAGCCAGCCCGCACCAACAGTGACCTTCACAAGTTTATAGGACGTGAAATATGCGAAGACCTTATTGAATATTTGCTGGGAGAATATGGTATTCAGTCGTGCGAATTTGACCAATATACTTGGCTTGCTGCTGAACAAATCGTGAAGGTATATAATCAAGAGAGTAAAAAATGGCTGAGCTTAATTATCCATTATTATATAGACTTGCATCAAGAAGAAGACTACAGACTTTCAGGATTCTCAAAAATTGATGGCTCTTATGGTTGCCAGCGATGATGTTCATAACAGAGTACTATTTTGCTTTCGAAATCTGTAAGGACGAATTGTGAAGAACCCAGGTCATAGTGTTTATTATATGACAATTAACATCTGTTCGTAGTCTTGAACAATTACCTTTGGAACCAATCAGTCAGAAAGTTGATGAATCGGAGTTGATTACTAGATATGTCACTGCAGCTATTAATCCGCTGTTGGAAAACCTCATGAAGCACGTCATGTTTTGTTGGTATGAAAAGAACAATTTTAGTCAAATGCAAGCTAAATTTTTTTTTGCAATTTCGCGTACTTTAGGACTTCTGTTGATAATGACGAGTGCAAATCCAGTGAGATGTCATTGTTACTTGCCAGACCTGATTCTATGGCCAGCATGATAATAGGTACGGAGATCAGGCAGACTGTAGGTTTTGGAGAAGTAAAACCAGCACTCCAGGCGCTGAATCACAAGCTGGTTGGAAAAGACTTGGTACGATTAGCGCTTTTAGCAAAAAACGCAATTAATACGTATCGTAGCAAATTTGTTCTGTTGTTTCTTGTCGTTGGTAAATATCTCTGTTTTTATTTTGAATACAAAAAAGACATATTAACACTCTTTCTTTAATCACCCCTATGTTAAATAAGGACATCACGCGACGTTCTATTTGACTGATGGTACAAGAAATAGCCTATACCCAATGGTCGAAATTGCCCATATTCAATTGCCAATGTCTTTAAAAGAACTTCCACTTTTTATTACACAAGTCGACCAATTGACATTAATTTCCTCAGCCTTCTGGAGCTTGTGCGTTGACCAGAAAACGAATCAGCAATCATCACTCATGCCAACACTTTCCAACAATAAAATAGCATTAATTATAGATACCCATGCCAACCGCAAAAGAAAAGCAAGTACCAGCCATTACACCCATTAATATTATTAAAAGATCTAGTAGAGTATACCTCAGATGAATCTTTTTTCATTTCACAATATCTGTTTTAAAAAAAACTGCGTTAGATGAGGCTGACAAATTGAGGAATCTTTTTTATTTGGCTGGCACTTTGGATAGCCTTTTTTTTTTGGCTGGCACTTTGGATAGCCTTTTTTTATTTGGCTGGCAAACTGGATAGCCTTTTTTTTATTTGGCTTGCACTTTGGATAGCCTTTTTTTATTTGGCAGTTTTCTGAGAAATTTAAATTGCGGGTCAAGCATTTCTTTTCTTTTTCTTATTTTCTTTCTCTTTCAATCTAGAACTACAATGAGTACATACTTTTTTTACGAAAATGGACAAGGCAAGATCTACGATGAACAAGGCAATGATGCCATGGAATGGTCTGAAGAAGTTGATCCTTTTTATTTGAAAACCCTCACTACATTACGTGAATACCAACAGGCACAGCCATCTGAGCAAGAGCAAATGAGAGGCGAACTTGACGAGAATATGAACGAAGTATCTTTAAGGGTGAATGAAGAAGATAATAACGTAACGAAGAAAAGTTATAAAGTATATTCTCCTGACCAGAAGGTGCTTTTTCTGTACTATTTATAAGTGAAGTTGTTTAAAGCTGCGAAAGCTGCCAGATTTTCTGGTGTATCTGAACGTACTGGTCAGCAGTGGGCTAAAAGAATAAGAGATGAACCTGAATGGAATATATTTGAAAAGCAAACAAATAAGAATAAGCGAAAGACAGGACAGCTGCAAGAAGAGCATAAGGAGTTTATTATCGATCTATTCAATAAAAACCCTCAAACATGTGTGGAGGATGTTGTTGTGAGTCTGGAGCGTTTGTTTGCGAATTTCAGCTTAAAAGAAACTAGTGTTCGTAACTTCATGACAAATGAATGCAATCTGTCATTCAAAAGAGCAACATTATAAACAAAAGAAAGAAGCTCTGGAAAAACTCTTCAAAAACGATTCGAGTGGGTAGAGCAATGGACAACAACTGACATGGATTTCCTCTCCAACTGCGTTTTCGTAGATGAAAGTGGCTTTGATATAAACATGCGTCCACCTTCAGCCTGGTCTAAAGTTGGTACACCAGCAATTGTCGAAACAAAGTCGACTAAAGGGGATTCTCATTCGATATTAGGTGCCATAAGTTCAATTGGGGTTGTTGATATTGAGCTTCGAGTAACAGAAAAGCCTAAGCAACGTAAAGTTGATGGTGTAGGACAACAAAGAAAGCAGACATCAAACCAGAAAAGACGAGAGGGAGCTAAAACTGGTCATTACTTGAAATTCATTGGAAAAACTCTTGATGAAATGGATAAAAATTCTTGTATGAGTAATTTTTATATTGTCATGGATAATGCGCCCATTCATGCAAGTAAAACTATTGATGAATTAATTGCTTCAAGAGGATATAGATGCATACATCTTCCTCGTTATTCTGCCAAGTTAAATCTAATTGAACAATTTTGGTTTGTTGTAAAAAACAAAGTCAAGAGAGGCGTTTTTACTGATGAAAAAGATCTCACAACAAGAATTGCAGATGCATGCAATGATGTTCCTATTAAATATTTAAAAGCTTTCATACAGCACTCTTGTAATCAGTTTAACAAGTGCAAAAATAAAGAACCCCTCTAATTACAAGTCTCATACTTCGTCCAGCCATTACTGCAATTTAATTTCTCAGAAAACTGCAAATTAATTTCACGAAAAAACGCAATTTGATTTTCCAGAAAGCCGCAAATTGAGTTGTGAAAAAGCCACACTTTGTTTTTTTTTTTCTGCAATTTAATTTTCATAAACCCACAATTTAATGTTGTGGTCACTGTAACTACATATTTTACATTTTTAGTAAATGTAGATTGCAATTGATGACTATTAAAAGTCAGAAGAAAAAGAGAAGAAAATATCTAAACTTTCTGCTGAGAGAATAAAATATGTTAAGACAATGTAAAGAAAAAATTACAAAAAAAACAAATTATAGGTATGCAAGAGAATTAAGTGACAGTTTTTGGCTGCGGTTAAGCTCTGGCTACACTACATATGTTGTTGCTGTTGTTGTTATTGTGTTTATAGTCGCACCCAACTTCACTAAACCAACTAATTCTTTGACATCTGCCAGGTGAACTACCATTGGCTTCATTTGCCCATTGTTGTATTTCTCATCAACCTGAATCTGTAATCTGATGTTATGTGCCTCTCTTACATAATTTTGGTTGAGTGCTGAGTCAATCACACAACCATCAAATACCTTGTGGCTAGTTTGTATAGCTGCTTCAATCATGCTACACTCTTCCCCTTTGATTCATAAAAGTCTTCAAGAAGTTTTGAAAGATATGAAATGCCTTCAAAACTATCTCACATCGTTCTATTTCTCAAAGGCCTCCAGAACTCAATATCAGACCCACTACCAACACATTCATCTTCACCCGTCATTGGCCAACCAGCATAGGAATCCTCATATGCAAGAAGTCTTGCTGCTCATAGTCTTGCTGCTATATTTGCTTTCATGCACTCTACTTGTGTGGTTTGTTTTAAGCCAAGCATGATATTTCCAGCATTGGTTCCAATGGCAGAGTTACTTTTAATGGCATTAGAGTACTCATCAATTGCTCTTTCTACCAATATAGCACAGTATGATCTTGGTAGGCCAAATGCTTCAATCATATCTGGGTAGTGCTGTAAGAGGTTTTGGTTAATGGTGAAAACGTTTAGATCGACCTTGTCCTTGGCAAGCAGAGTCTCAAGGTACACATTCCATTCAACAAGTTCTCTAATATAGAAGTTAGTATATATTTTTAAAAAAGAATAACAAATAATGATATTTAATATATCTTTTTATTGAGGCTTGTTTCTCTGCTGATAATTCCCAGCTTATGAGTAAATTGCACACTTGTACAAGGCCAAGCAATGCCTTCTATGCAGGTGCATTTCTTATATGCTCTGCTATCAGAGTTTGAACAACAAACAGAAGGAAGTGTGTCCAGTCTACTGCCTTAAAGTATTCAGTATTCTTCGATACATCTCTCCAAGCACCATAGAATGATTTTGGGATCGTTTTTCTTGTCAATGTCATTGCTGCACCTATCTCTTTCTGAACTTCAACAGAGAGAACAAGCAGATGCTTTTTTCTGTACTTGCCAGTAATGAGCCCCCAGACCTGTTTTGCTACACCATGGCAGATACTGTGCATTTCATCTAAGGCAAAGAAATATGGCTCAGAGAATGCATCCAATGTTGCCAGTGGTGATTGCCCTATAAGTTCTCTTTGGCTGGACTCGTCTGCCTCATGGAAATCACAGAAGCTCCCCAGTGTACGTATGACAGTGACTGGAGACATATGGAAATACTGACCGTGGCCAGAAGATTGGCCAACAACATGGCAGATTCTGTAGCCATCTTTGCTTATGTGGCCAACATGACATTCTAGCTTTACCAGAGCTGGGATATCACCCATTGTCATTAGCATGTGGACTTTGGCCTTCACGGTCTCTGTAGATGTTTTGACCACCATTTCTTTGGACTGCAACACACAAAGCTCTTTTATGATTGGTCTCATAAACAACCAGAAGTCAGTGGGCGCCTTGGGTCCAGGAATCATGGCAAGTTGAATCATTCTTTTTCTCTCATACCAGATCATTGGATTCAGGTTTAGTACAGTGGCATGAACAATTGTTACCAAACCAGGAACCTTATGAGGAGCAAATTCATCTACTGACAGTGAAATAGCGATATCATCCCTTCCTGAGAAAAGATGCTTCCTTGACTGGTAAGCTTGACCATCAAACACATCAGTCTTTGTGCCATCCTGACTTGGCTCATGGTGGTGATGGTGGAGCATCTCTGTTCTAGTGCTATTGTTGGCCAAACAGAGAGCAAGTTGTCTACCCAAAGGAAGTTGGACCATGGTTCTTGCAGGAACCAATGCATTGTTGTCATCAGTGCTCTTGTAGCAATCTTTGCTACAGTTTGAGTATTTGGTCTCATGCTCATCATTGAACAACATGCAGCTATTGCAGCAGACGTTGTATTTCTTTTCTTCTATTCTTGAGAAACGCTTCAACAGTTTTTTGCCAAGGTAGGGTGTACACACTCTATATGTGATATCTGTAGAGGTGGCAAGAATTTTATTGAAATGACTGATAATTTTTTCATGTGCTTTGCAAGAGATGTCAAAGTCTTTGATGATTTGGATGATTTTGAGATTCTTTGCATCATTGTAACTGGGAGTAGGAAGAGGTTGACTGAAGTCATATACCATAGGTGTGGTTACATCCTCGATATCTTTCATTGCAACTGATTCTTCAATAGTATTATCATACTCAATACTGTACTTTAATTATGAAAACACAAATTATTATAATACATTCATATATGTATATATATCTTACCATAGATTCATTGTTATCACTGTTATTGAAGGAATTCACAGTTTGGTCATCATTTGTTGTATCATTTTCTCTGCTTGTTTATGAAGATAACAACATAATTAATTGTACTTTCTAATAGTAAGTATGTGATTTGTAGTCTTACATAATGGATTTGTTCGAAACAGTGTTCAAGACAATGCTGACTTGTTCAGGAACATAAGTGATCTGAGAAGTCTGGATATCATTGTGTCTTCTACAACAGTTCTTAAAGTATTGAACTCTACAATTATTGATCTTTTTCAGACTGGGGTGGTGTTCTTTACAAAAATTGCATTGGTAACTATCAAGGATTGAATTTGAAAACATTTTTTAAGTTGAAAATAAACACTTTAGAGTAAAGGTATGAATATTAATAATTGCTTTTAAATGGTATGTCTTTATACTTAATAGCTTTGAGATTCGAATAAACTTAATTACTTCAAGATGATGACACAGATATTACGAGTATAAACACAGGAACAGAATTTGAAACATTGTCTATTAAACTGTCAATACAACTATGGCAAGTCAAAATTAATATTGTCTGAAATGAATAAGTCAAACTAATTCACGACAGGAAAGTTTCGATATCAAATTTGGAAATATTTTACTCACATACATTTTGATTGGTCTATATAACCCAGATTAATTGGGATATCGAATTTGACCCATTTTATGAGACTTGTCAACTACATAAGGCAATTTTAAAAGGGCAAGTATCCATAAATGGACCCTCTCAATATTTTGGCAAAACCAAAAAATGACTTAGTGAAAATCACAATTTTTTTATTGAATAATTTTTTTTATTAATAAAGATAAAAAAAAATCAATATTGTTGATTCGAAAACAAGGAAACAAAGAACCAGTAGGAGCCAAATTTATTAAGATTGATGACAAGCTTGTTGTTAAATTCTGTGTGCATATCAAGCTTACATACAATCTTCAGCTGATCGAGTGGAGTAGATACATCATTAAAAACCCTTTGTGCGAGGAGGTAGTTGTTAACTTGAGCATGAGGACTACTCTCAACTCAATAGTGTTCTACTCCCAAAGAGGAGACCTTTCCAATAAATGGATGGGCATGTTGGTCTCTACTCTCCTTGAGCATGAACACCACAAAGGTATTGTCAGAGTGCTTTTGCTGTAATGTCATCAGTGTCATTATTATTAGCAAAGTCTCTTGATCCACCAAACAGGATATTCTTAACATTGTTATTAAAGTTTTCTTTAAGAAATTCTGCCATGGAATTACTATACTTCTCTCTCATTTTGTTTTTGCTCACTCATGAACCACTATCAATGATGTGTCTCATTGCAGATTGCTTGGCAAACTTGAAACATACATCTCTTGAGGTGTTTAACCTATTGGTATGCATTAGGTGTTCATGGATGTGTTTGTTAAACTGCTCATCTTTTTCAGTCTCGTAGTATAGAGCAGTTCCAAATCTTCGTAGATTGTTGGGCAGATGTGTGAGCAGATGAACCTTGGGCTTCGAGGAATACAGATTATGTCCTTCGACTTCACAGGTAATGTCATAATGATGCAGTTCTTGGATAAGGCTTGTAACTGCCTTTTCAACTTCGTTGATGTACATATTATAATCATATCTTACTGCTCTAACAAACATCAAGGAGCAAAGACAGCCAAGACGGACAAAAGATAGAGTTATGAGAGAGAGTATACTATCATTTGCAAATTCTGTAACTAAGATAGCGGATAGAATTTGCAGAAGAACTTTGTAATCCCTCCCAAGGAATGAGCCACAGTGTCATAACTCTCGAGTGAACTTTCTTGACATTCCTTGAGAGTTTTCATAATCCTTGAGGGCTTTGGACAATCTAGCCATTTGGTTAGGATTTTTCTTTAGTACAATTTTTACCAAATAATTGACTAGATACTTAGCAACTCCAAGAAGTATGTTATGCAGAACTTCAACTGGAGTATCTGTCGATGGATCGAATGACTGTAGTTCCAACAATGCATCTGTTGCCCTATTTGCGAAGCATAGGTCGCTTGCTGTCAGAGCATTTCCAGTCAAAGGAGCATCTGGAATAGTCGATCCACGTCCCGAGGTAGACGCAGCAGCAAGATAGTGTGCCTTTGTTCTTGCTGTGTGTCTACCAGTATAATACGAAGAGCTTTGGAGGTTGGGCATGAATCTTTGTAAACGGACATAACATTTGCGGCATGGGTACAGACTTGTCGGCACGCGCAAACCACATAGTTCAGAATGGCATGGAGTGTCTGCCTCGATCCAAAGGAGTGGTGATGCTACTAAGACGTTTTCGTTGTCTTTGGCAGAGAACATCACCAGTCCGTTTTCGAGCCTTTTGAAATCTTCAACGATTTTAGGCAACAAGGACATCCCACTTGCCCCCTTTTTCTTGGGAATAGCAGAGAGAAAGTGGATGTTTTCAATTGAAGACCTCTCTTCATAGGAGAGAGCAGCAAACTTCATTGACCAGCTTTCATATGGGTTATATTGCTTTGATCGGTTTCCAGAGGTGTCGTTGGTGAAGAGTATAATGGGCAATATTCTCACCTTGTAAAACAACTTTGGATCGATTGGCTTTCCGGTTTCGTCTAGTACGTGCCATTTTAGGAAATGAGGCTCTTCCAGCAAGGACTTGTACCTGGGAATCAAATGAAAGACTTTTCCAGGTGAGACGCTGTAGCATAGGGCAACATCAACAGGGGTTGAGTCAACACCAAGAAGAGTTTCAAGCTTTATGCTAGTAGATTCAACTTCGATGCCAATGAACTGACCGCCTTCCAGAATATAAACCATGTAGCCTTGAACAAAAACGGCTGAGTTATCCATGGTATGGAATGATTCTACTAGGAAACGGGCTGAAGTAGAACCATTCATAAAGTTAACAATATCACCAGACCAAAAATCTACGCCGTTGTGGGTGAACATAGGTTATTGATAGTACCAATGTGTTCTCCACTTTTCGCATTGTTGTAGACAAATGAACTGGTTAGGAGTGCGGTCAGGGAGAGAAAACATGTTTCTTGCTTTCTTGGGGTTGGCAGCAAGAAATCAGACGTGATCTGAAGGCAAGTTGATATAAGCAGACATGATATTGTTTTCCGGCAACTGGATATCAACTTTTGTGGATGGAAATACAGGAATCTTGGACTTTTTTCTGGTCTGATAGTTCAAGAGGGCATCCAAACGAGGTAACTTGAACAGGGACTTCTTTTGGATAGCTTCCTCGTGAAGCTTAAGGACAAGACTTATGGTAAACAGGATCTTTTTCAAGATCCTGCGAGATATCATGTTATTATTGCCATCAACAAAGGCAAGCAGTACCATAGACTGGAGATCCGGGAACAGGTGAGTGTCTGATATATACTGGTTCCATGTTGTATGCGATCTAGTTGCTTCTCTCAGTAAATTGAGATCTGCATCCAACGATGAGCTGGTATTGGATGCAGAAGACAACATACTATTTCTTATATGCATGTATAGGTGGTTGTCTGGACTTGGACTTTCAAAGGGGCTGGTGTCCTCATCCATCTCGATAATACTTTCACTGGCATTGAGTTCAATCTCGCTAACATTATCATCGCCATCACTGTTCATGTCATCAACATCGCTGCTGTTGTCATCCTCCAAATCGGATTCAACGTGTAGGTCTTTGTTAACGGAATCATCATTGTGATCAGGGGCGGTCGGCTTGGCAGTGTTTGTGGTCTGTCTTTATGACGCTAGGTTTCTATTGGCATATTGAGGGCTAATATCGTTAGCAATATGAGTTGCTAACTTATGATATTTGGTAAGGTGGCGTTGTAGATTCCATACGCGATCAAAATCTTTTCCACAAAGTGAGCAGGTCTTTCCGATATTGTCAAAGGCAAAATTGTGTTGACCTGGTCCTTTGGGAGCAGAAACTACCACCCTAGAATTTTTTGGGTAATTAATAATACGCTGCATCACAGAGCTTTCGTGATGCAACGTATTGTCTAACGTGATAAAGGAGTATAGACGACCATCATATATTTATTTATTTCTGCATCTTGAAACAACAAGTCGATTTCTTTCAGGGACCAATGAAAAGTGTTATTCATGTAACCAGTAATAAGCGTATAATGGTCTTCAAAAACCAATGAAATTCATTAATTTGTTACAGTTTAGCTTGACACAAAAAATAAACATTGAGTGCCTTTTTTTGTTTCATACAACTTTTTTCATTTTTCTAAAGATCAGGCAACAAATGGCACATGATCTTGCTACTCATTAGCTAATTATACTACAGATCAACTCTGATCCTCTTACACAATTAAGATCTTAAAAAGTATTGCTAATGATGTGATTCTATTACGAGTTCTAATTAATAAAATATAATTGAAGTATAATAGGGCATGTGAATTCTTGACATAAAGTGGTATGTAAAGAATCTTGCTCATATACTGATTTTATCCATACTAATATAAACATATGTCTTCTTCTTTTTTGCTTTGTTTTTTTTTTGTTTTTGTTTTTGTTTTAGATTCAATTAATATGTGGTAAGTCATCTAAAACATAATAATCTTCATCAAAAGTCCATGTACTAATGACCTTTGTTTTTTTTGCAGGTTTGACATTTTCGCTCGGATTTGAAACTTGTCCTTCTAATAGCTTCTTTGCTTTTATTTTAAAAGCATTAATATGGTTTTTGCTTTCAAACATGCAATTGGGTTTTTCAAAATTCTACTTGCTTTTGTTTCTGGAAACAATTTCAGAATAGCTATTAAATATTTCTAGCTGCTAGTGCAAGCATACCTACCCTACAGCAGCAGCTACTGCAGGGTAGGTATGGAAAGCCTAAAATTATCTACCCCCAATATTTTCAACCCATAAAAATAAATAAAATCGTATTTTACCAGCCAATTTTTTTTTGCAATCCCATTTATCAATTTTGCAATTCTTTCGGACCTGAAACTTCAATGAAAAAGCTATTCCCGAAATGGTAACATAAACTCACGGGCTGAATTACAAAATTGTTACACAAAAAAATCTGCCGTAGTATTAATATGAAACTAATAATAGACAATAGAAAATTTTTTGGCCTTTATCTTTCTTTCACAACAATCCTTTTTCTCAGGTAAACAAAACTCTCAACAAGAATAACACCAATAACAACGTCATCTCCTTGTTATACGCTATGTACAATGAGATTCTATCTTTGAAGGCAGACCAAGAAAACTTCAAGCTTGAAATGAAGACACAGATTGAAGAGTTAAAGTTGGAGATTACTGCTCTCAAGAATTAACTAGAGACCTGAAATACTCTAAACCAAAACAATTCGCCTTCTGCCACTACCATTGTAAGTCAAATATAAAATAATGTGAATAATATATTAACATGTTATTTAATAGTTGGGTGATAATTATATTCACAAATCTGTGGACAATTTCTGTGACATAACTTTGATACACGTTTTCAAAATGATAAGTGAAGACCTTGTCATTGAAGTAACAAGTAACGAAAAGGCCACACTCAATATGTGTACAAAGCTTATATGTGATGGTATGGCTGCCCATCCTTCGGTGATCGCTCTTGGTCCTAATCCTAGCTGGGGGTTGTTGTATCCAACATAATCGTAGATTCAAATAGAGCACACAGATAATAAGACAAAGACATATTGAATAAGCGACCAGTATCAATTATACATTATTTCTCACACTATCATTAAATAAAGAATATACCAATAACAAGGTCACACACCTTAGTCAACATCACTAATCACTCAAACAAGAGCATGGGTAATAACTTAACAATATATTATCTATGATATAAGAAAACAGACATCACATGATATACTCATATCATTATCCTAAATACACACGCAATGTCTATATAAACTCACATAGCAAATAGCAATAGAAGATCATCTCTCTTTTTATCAATAAATAAAGTCTTACCGTACTTCTCATCTGCACTTTGTTTTTCTTTCTTTTCCAAAAATATAACAGGGGTTTATACCAGCAGCAGTTAAGAAAAAAATGTGTGTAAGCCACGCAAGTATAATGAAGGATTCTGGTATAGACTTCACCAGATGTCTTGGAAACTGGGCATCAACTGCAAGAGTTGCTCATCTCTGGAGAGATCGCCATAGAAGATTGCAGTCTCGTAAGTAATCAAAATGCAATGGGATTGAATAGGATACTATACTTTAAAAACATAGAAGATTGAATAGTTTATTACCAATAAAATATATCTATTTTTTTGCGTTAATAACCAATAAAGTGAGTAATAAAAACTACTTTCTGTTGTATAAGCCAGTAAAATGAGTAATAAAAGCTACCTCTTGTTGTATAAGCCAACAAAATGAATTTAAAAAAGCTATTTTTATAAAGACAACCAATAAAATTTGTATTTATTAAAATGATCGAAAATGTACATGTATTCTATCCAATAAAAACTATTTTTAAAAGTGTAACAGTAATAAGAAGTAATTAGTGTCCTATAGAAACCGTATATAAACTAAGTTTTAAAGCAAAAATACAAATCAAAATGATGCTCAAATAAAAATAATCAATTCTATATAAACTTTACACAATAAAGAAAGAAGTCATGTCCAATAGAAAAGCCAATAAAAAATAATAAGGAAGCTGAGATTTGTAAAAAGTGTTTAAACTCAAGGGCGGTAAAATGGATTTTAGGCAACAAACCGCCAGAACACCGCCGTCTGAAACCGCCAGAAAACCGCCAGAAAGCCGCACTTTTATTTCCCATAGTGTTGTGTATGTATTTATTAGCTTTAAGTGTTTGTTTAAGCTCCTTCGCGGCAGCCATCTGCTCCAACTTTATATTAACTTCCTTTTTGATTACTTCTAAAATATCTTTAATAAGCTTATCTGCACTTGCTGATAAAGACTCTGCCAGTGCTTTTTTTTCACAATAAATTCCCTATTTTATGCGATTTCTTCAAGGCATCAATTGCTTGTTGCTTTGTACTATATTTTGGCATGTAAGATGGAGAGAAAGAAGTATTATATGACTGTTGGCAATAAATTCTATGATTTATTAAGGAGAAAGATAAAAACAGTATCGTATTGCATATAAAAAAGTAAGGATTACATTAATCAGAGAGCCGTACGTTTTTCGATCAAATTTTGATCGTTGCTATTACAATTTTAGTCTAATAATATCGCGTTCTGAATTCAAAATTTGATCGATCAATCTAGCTGAGTACCCCCATTAATACTACTGGTGTTTGTTGGACTGAATTACAAATCAATGCTGTTTCAAAATATCTTGTCTTAATGCTTAGGCCCAGTATTCTTAACTTTTATCTAGTAAAGCGACTTTGTTTATTTGACAGGAGATCACTCCTATTATACAATGACATTTGTTACATTATATTTTTATTACTTAATATCTATATGTTATATTGGTTGGCGAATAATTCTTAGATGATTTGAAATAAAATTAAAATGCCCACTTTAATATAGTGTAAGATCATAGGTAACAATTGGAAGATATTTCGTTAGAAACAGAGAAATACTAGCCACTCTTTCTTTAAACAATTTTCTCACGAGAATCGTATTATAAATAAAAGAAAGCGATATTAATTCGTTATTGTCCATGGTTTCGAGAATTTGGAATACGAAGGTTAACTATCTAAGCTTTTATATCAGTACGTTATAATCATTGAATTTATCATACACCCCAAGTTTATGAAAAACACCATTTTTATTAGAGAATTTTTTTTTATTTTCTACCTAACGTTTGTTTAATGATAACAAAACTTTCCGATTGGACAAGGGCATTGAAAGAGAAAAATGAGAGAATTTATGAAAGCCTATATTGAAAGGTTGACAATTCCTTTGAAGAAGAGGAGAAGCAATAGGATGAGGCTACTAGATACCTGTATAAAAACCCTATGCTTAAAGATGAACGACAAATATAATAAAAAATGAGATAACGAGATGAATAATGAAATTCTATATCTCACTGGGCTCTAATATTATTCGATGCGGATGACTGCTGGATTTGTTGGAGGGTATCATTGACTTCGGAAATAGAATTTCTCGATTGTGCAAGTATTTCCCAATTGTGTGCAAATTTTTCAAGCAGTTTTGCTACAACAATACCTCCATTATACGTTACACTTCTGGAAGGATCTGAGCAATGACCCGAAAGCTTACTAGCTTCTTCAATTGTTTCTGCCCAAATCCCAGCTTCGAAATCCTGACGTGAGAGTTCAACTACACTTCCCTGGTCCTTCATCAACTTTAAAAGGCCACATTCCTCCACAAACTGAGGTCGGGATACATACACAAATGGTGTTCTATGACCAATACATTCACTGCAAGTTCCATACCCAAGCTTTCCAAGCACAACATCGGCTGCATTGGTAAGGTCAGGGACGTAAGCATCTCGTGGTGCACGATAGAACCCAGGTGGGAGATTTACCGAAGCTGGTGTTCCGCACACAATGCAAATCCATTTGTCAGGCAGCGTCTTGCTCCAATCACCTTCTCCAAGGTTCTGCCCACCGAAGGATAGCAAAAGTACTTTATGGGTCTCGTATATGTGTTTAGGAATGTTAAGATCGGATAGAACGGTCTCTCGGTCATTGTGATACTTGCGAAATACTAGAGGAACATCCACAATAGTGCGCTCATAGGAAGGTAAATTTACGGTAGGTTTACTCGATGGTACGTTGGAAATCGAGACGGAGGGGATATTTATCATGCCATTGACGACACTCTTATACTCAGAGAATGTGCCCGTAATAGGTGTTGCTGGCACGAGGGGTTCAGTGTCGTTGAAGGAGGGAATGCGGATAGCCCCTGGTAAGCGCACAAGAAGATCGGCATTGCGATAATCAGCAACTACCTTTTCTACCAAATCATAGATTTCGTCGTCTATTTCGTCTCCTTCGCATAATCCAGTGTAAACTTCATCGAATGTGAAGTTGCTCGCAATAGCTGATGGTATTCTTGCTCCTGTTGCTGCTGCACTATATACCCTGATATTAGATAAATGTATATATTGCTTATTCACCTCAACTTACCATGGTAAGAATGGTGCATCGCACACTACGCAGTCTGCTTTGACTTGCTTTAACCAATCAATCTCGGCTGCCAAGATCTTGGGTCGGCGCTCGATAAAGTGCTTGAGGTTTGCGATGGTCTGAGAGCGGTCAACGGTGTAAGCAAGAGGTTGCACAACCCCCGCATCGATATCTGCTTGGCGGTATATTGCTCCTACTGCTGTTACTCCTCGAAAGATGAACTCGGAAGCATTCGAAATGACGTAAACAGTATGGTTTGCTGGAAGCTTAAGTATATCTGAAATGATCTGGTTTGCACGTGTAGCATGTCCCCAGCCTATCGTAATGGTGTTGCTTAGAAATAAGTTGGTGAGTTTATCAATGTGATGAATGCCTACCATGTCCTGAGACATAATAACAGAATACAAGTGACTTGTTATTTTCTCCGGCTATTTCAAGAGTCAGCTGAACCATGATGAGCGAAAGAGACAAAGAAGATTAAGGAACGGGAGTGGGCGGGAGGATATATGACCAGATTAACACTGTCTTGCGGGGATCAAAAAAAAGTGAAAGAAAGCGAGAGAGGAGGAAGAGAGGGAGAGGCAATGCGGAGATGAAGTTATTGTTTCTCTCCGTCTCTCTTTCCTGCCTCTTTCTACTTACAACTAACGTTAGCACTCATTCACATATTATTATTTATACATATTATTTATTATTCCCTTGACTACTTCATTTTTTTATCTAATTAATCCAAAAGTAAATTAATAGTTTTACAAAAGATGGATCCAGTGGCACGTAAAAAGCTTAATCTAAAAGTGCTTCAGAAACATGATCCTGCCATCAATGATATTCTCGATCAGTCAGCCCACGCAGTTGTTTACAAGTTTGAACCAGAGAATAAGAGCTGGGTACTGTTTTTTATTACATATGAAAATATTAGGTACTAACGCGACAGCTTAATTTTAGGATAAACTAGGCTTTGAAGGTGTTTTATTCCTGACCCGAAGGTACGATTCCATGCCATCCCTAATAGTTGACTAAATCAACACCAGACAAGTGGCGCCCTACTTTGGCCTTTATATGCTCAATCGACTTGTTACCGAGAACTTTTCATTGTTTCTTACTGACTTTGAAGAGATTGAACTCAAGGACAATGTGATTATGTACCAAACAAAACAAGGTAGGTTGAAAATGATGATGATCGTTTGTCTCATCTGAATTTCTCAGGTGACGCACGTGCATTATGGCTATTCGAGGAAAAGGATCGTGAGAGAATTCTCAACAAAGTGATCAAGTTAGTATGCGATCAACTGATTTAGGATGATCAGTACTAAGTACAAATTGTGTTCATAAGGTTGCATGAGTCAATGAAGGAATTACCATCGGTACAGGCAAAAATTGCCGAGGCAGAGAAACCGGCTGTCCATGCCGATGTTCAGAATCAGAAAAAACCAATAGAGAATAATGGGGGTGATATTTTGCAGATGCTTCAGAAAGCAACTTTATCCCAGCCCTCAATAGAGCGAGGTGTAGGTGATAAAGAAGGCCTTTTAAGACTTCTTTCACCAGACATGACTCCACCTGAACAACCTAGTCCAAACCTTCATATGCAACAATTACTTCTATTACGACAGCAACAACAAACTCAACAACAGCACCAATTATCTCAGCAACAGCAATTAGCTCAGCAAAAGCAACAAGCAGAGGAGCAGCAACAAGCTCAACAGCAACTACCACATGGAATGAAGCAATCAGAACAAGAAGGCCAAAATTTACTTCACTTAATTCGTAAACACAGAGAATTACGGCCTGACCAAATGATGCAGAGTCCGGGTAAAGAACACCAAAAGGCGCTTATATATTCTCCAGTAGCATCTCCCAGAGGTGCTGCTGCATTGCTACAAACGCTTCAAGGCGGACATAATACTCCCTATCCTCCTACACACCCTTCTATCTCAAGCCCTACACATCTGACACAAATACAGGCAATTGATTTTACACAACAAGAGATTGAAAGGCGACTAGGAAAAAAGCTTTTATCCAAATCAGAGTTTATTCAGCAATTCCTATCCATGGTCCAGGTAAAAACAAATAAACCAACCCAGGCCAAACAAAAAAAAACTTAGCTACAAACCACTAAAGCTTTTTTTTAATTGTTTAAATTTAACATTTCTTATAGAATGACCAATCTTTTATGGATACGTTGTATGATAATTATTATGCCCATCAACTTGGACTTGCAGGTCTTCCTCATACAATTCATCATGGACAGGGACCAACATTGTTTCCAATGTGATGTAGAATAGAATTTATGGTTATTGCTTGTGACTGCTGCTTGCAATAAATATGATTTTCCTCTCTATCTTTCTATATTTTAACTTTACTCCTTGCCTTGTTAAGTAAGATTCGTGATGGACATGAACATTGGTTATGGCTCACTAGGAGGACCTAACATCATTATCCGCGAACTCACTCGTGATCGGATCAACTTCATTCTGAGTGATACCGACTTGAGGCAAGTAAATCTTACTCATCTATAATCTAATTTATACTAAAACTTCCCAACAGTGTCGCAAACTCTCTTCGACGTGTTATGATAGCAGAAGTGCCTACTGTGGGTCAGTCTAGCTCAAATACTTTATAAATTAGCTATTAGCTAATATTACGACTACGACAGCCATTGACATGGTAGAGATTGAGACCAATACTACCGTTCTTGCTGACGAATTTCTTGCCCATCGCCTGGGAATGGTCCCAATTGACAGTCGTGATGTTGAAAAGCTGCGCTACACAAGAGTAAGTTTGCCTTATTTTTAAAAAAGGACGGCCTATTCATCAATCATTCAGGATTGCACATGTTCGCAATATTGTCCCGAATGTTCTGTCGAGATGACATTGCATGTCAAGTGCACTGAAGAACGTACTACCGAAGTTACTAGCCGAAGCCTTGTCTCATCTAACCCTTCATTCGTACCTGTTGTTCAAGGTAAACTATTGATTATAATGCTATTATATAAAAAATTAAATGTGAATTCTTCCAAAACAAAAAAGATAAGAACGATGCTGGTATTTTGCTCGTCAAGTTGCGCAAAGGCCATGAGTTGAAGCTTAAATGCATTGCAAAAAAGGGTGTAGCAAAGGAACACGCAAAATGGAGTCCTGTTAGTGGTGTCGCATTCGAGTATGATCCTTACAACAAGCTTAGACATACACAATACTGGTTTGAAGAATCCATGAATGAATGGTAAAGTATAAGGATATGGTTGAATAGAGGTTGACCATGACTCATCATGGTGCACAGGCCACTGAGTAAGAATGCAGAGTTTGAGACACCACCGGAAGCTGATGCCCGTAAGTTCATGTATAACGTTATGATTAATACTATGTAATTTCTAAATATTATCTGTATAGCATTTGATTACAATGCAAAGCCAGATCGATTCTATTTTGAGGCAGAGGTAAATTGATGAATATGGTACTAGTGTACATATTTATTTACTTATTATTGTAATAGACGGTTGGATCATTAGCACCTGAAGAGGTGGTAGCAATGGCAATGAAAACATTGGTAGATAAGCTAGCCTACGTGCAGATGCAAATTCAAGAAGAAGTAGAAACAAGAGAACCAGAAGGTCTCACGGGCGGATGGAATTTTTAGAGGACGCGTTTAATAAAAAAAAATACATGCAATCTATTTCTTCTCGTTGTTCTCCTTGTACCACTATTTAAACATGTGTTAGTTGAAGAAGAAGTTTCGTAGTAATACTTTACCTTGACGCCCAATCTAATTCCTTCATCCAATCCAATCTGAGGCTCATAGCCAAGCAAAGTCTTTGCCTTTGTGATATCGAAATAACGCGAGCTCATGGCTTGCTTGATGCGGGACCGAGACATACCTTCCTTGAGTTCACTCTTGTCCCAGAATAGAGCTTTTATTTCATATATTGTCTCGCTAATTGCAGCAATTACCATGCTGGCATTGTACGAAAGAATGATCTTCTTGGACTTGGGCATGTGCATGCCATAAACTTCCCAGACCTTGGAAGCAAAATCCCAGAAAGGCACAGGAGTACCATTGGTCAAGTTAAATGCTTGTCCGGCAGCAGGAGAATTTGGATCACTGAGTTTTTCTGCCGCCAATACATGGGCATAGGCTACATTTCCCACATAGGTGAAGTCCATCATAGAAGTGTTGTCGCCAATCTGGAAACGGTGTTGGCCCTTTTGGCAGACCTCGACCATGCCTGGGATAAGCTGACGGTCACCAGGACCAAAGATGGCTGAGGGGCGGATTGTACAAGTGCGAATACCTTCAATACCATTGGCAGCCAAAACTACCTTTTCACACTCAATCTAATATGTATATCACAATAGTTAAAAAAAATAGCACACATTATGAAAAATGTAAATTATTTTCTTTTAATATATACTGACCTTGGACTCGGTATATACATCAATTGCCTGGGGTGGGTATGGGGCACTTTCGTCCACATTTACCATGGGTTCACCAGTAGAAATAACACTGCCAGAGCTGGTTACTACCAATACTTGGATACCCTTTTCTTGACAAGCACGAATGATATTTTTGGTACCATCAACATTGATGGAAAAGTAGAGATCTCGAGGAGGATTACTTGAGTTGACATGAGGAGGGGATGCAGTGTGGATTACAGCATCGATTCCATCAAGTGCAGCAAGGACATCCTCGTACTTGCGCAAGTCACCGACAATATATTTTACATCCTTTTCAGGCTGTGCTGGCATGGCAATGTCAAATACAGCAATTGTTGAGTTATCATTGCGCAGTCTGATCTGCTCTTGGACATGACGACCCAAAAAACCATTTCCGCCAATAATTATATATGATGATGGCATGAGGGCGTAAAAATGAAGAATAGAAAAGAAAAAGGTTCAAGTCCCTGTTATTTTGCCACACCCTTTCCATCCAACAACCCCACTCATCTTTTAACTCCCGCCGTACAGACAATCTCTCTATTCCTTTATGCTACCGAAACAAGTCTCAAAACAAAGCATATCAATGAGATCCCATTGTAATATGAAGAGTTGTATTTAATTTATTCGCTATCATCATCTTCATCGCTCTCGATTTTGCGTGACTTCATCGGCGCGTCGTCCAAGTCATCACCAACGGCTCGCTTACCCAACAATGTTCTGTTGGAGCTAGAGGCCTTCTTGTCGGCTACTTTTGGTCGGTATGTACCATCCAACTTAGCCACGACGTCTGACTTTGTCTTGGCGTAGACGATTTTCTAATTCCAGAAAAATATTGCTCTTAATATATAGTTTTTTGGATTGTTCCGCGATGCATCACATGGGATTCAAAGTGTGGTGCTTACCAAGGGACGGTCGTAGAAAGTGAATCCGTTCAGACTACGAAGAGCAGATGTTGCAGAGGCGACATTATCAAAGGCAATAAAGGCCTGTTCACGCATCTTTTCGGTGTTAATGGCATTTATAGCCAGAATAACTCCATAGGTAGAAAATAGACCATAGAGCGACGCCTTAAGTTCTAGGTATAAAGGTAAGGATCACTGTGGACATGGGAAATTCGGCCAGAGGTCCACTTGCCTGGAGTATGTGTCTTTCCAGAGAGGTTGGTAATGTACAATGTTTGTGTAGGATCTGAGCTCATTACGTTATACTGAAGAAATGAAGAAATGAAGAAATGAAGAAAGGGAGGGTGGCATTTGGCGGGCTATGAGTGAGTCAGTGCACAAGCCACACAAAGGTATAGCGGGATCGAATTTAATTAAGTTTATTCCAAAATGATACACGTCTATGCAAATCTGACTCTCTTAGTTGGCTTTTCCGGTTCCTGTTAAAGAAGTATAAGTAATAAATCTTAAATTAGACCTTAAATATATTTACCGCTTTCTTCGGGCGGGAAGCCTCTGTCTTAGCTTGAGCTTTAGCTTTGCGACCATCAGACTTCTTTGACTTCTGTGCTTCGACTAACTTTTGCTTGGTTTGTTCCTACGAAATAATTAGACAAACAGTTTTTTTTTGACTATGTAATTTGGTCTTACAAGTTTATCTTGTTTCAATGACTTTTTATCTTCCTTCTTCTCTTTTTTACTTTCCAAGTATTTTTGTACTGCAACCTAAAAAATAAAATGTCCACAAAAAAGACGTAGTGGAATGGAGGTAAGCCCTTTTGTTAACTTCTAACAAGTAAAAGTTCCTTTTTTGGTTTTTATATATTCCAACAATTTACCTTTCGGGCAATTTTTGCATCTTCCTTTTCCTGCTCTTTTCCAGCGGCTTTTGCGATTACCTCCATCATAAAATCCTTTATGAATTTTGGCATTAGTTCCATTCCTGAAAGATCCACTTTAGATCCTACCTTCTTGGCATATTTAGGGTTGATTGCTTCTGAGCTGATGCGCTCGCGCTGCTTGTGCTTCTTGTTAGGCTTTTCGACCTTTGTGGCTACGGTTACGGAAACAACCGATGTGGCTGTCTTTCTGGGTTTTGCCTTTACGCCTGCCTTTGTGAAATTCTTTGCCTGTCGATGATGGAATCAATTAGCTCATTATCATATATAAATATTACTACCAAGTGCTTTACCTTTTTTGTGTATGCCATTGTGAGTAACTTGTTCACAAACAGATCTTTTCCGGTCTTACCTGTCAATGGGTGGCTTAATAACCGATTGAGATACCGCTCGCGTGAGTTTGTTCTGAAATGCGTGCTTCTTGGTATTCATTCCTTACTTTCCTGCTCTAATGTCACGCTGGTCTCTTGTCCCTGCACTGTTCAGGCCTCGTCTGATCAGAATTACACCATTAAATTTAGCTACAATACAAATAAGAACGTTTAACCCTCAAAGAATGACATTATCAAAAGCTGTACAAAAGCAACCTTTTCGCCCCATGAACAATATAAATCCAATGATTGTCGTCAATGGCATTATTGGTATTAATTCAGCTGTCTTTGGAATGTGGTATTATGCAAATGAATCTGCCCGAAGCTTTGGTGATCCTTCTTGGCTTTGTTTTATGAGACGAAATTTTACAGCCTCGCCAGAAGGAATTCGAGAGGGTCGAATACACACACTCTTTACAGCATGCATATCACACAGTAGCGTTGTTCATTTTGGTGTTAATATGCTCCTTTTACATTCATTTGGAACAGCTTTGGCATTATCTTTGGGAGCTATGCGATTTTTGACGCTCTATGCTGGTGCAGGGGTTGCTGGCTCTATCGCTTCTGTCTTTAATAATGCTTATATCCGCCCAGCTGTGGAACGGAGATTGGGATACGAACATAAAAAAAGAGCGTCCCTAGGCTCTTCAAGTATGCTACTAAATGTGTTAAGCTCTTATAATATATATATGTATATGTATACGTATATTACTCACTTTGTTTCCCCTTTAAAAAATCTTTGAAGGTTCAGGAATGGGAATAGCTGCCATATACGCCCTTGCTTGTAAGACCGTGTTAGCTTAGGTCTTCCATAAATAGTAACGTCTGTGTTATATGATTAGATCCAGGCTCGCAATTTCTGCTCTTATTTGTCTATCCTATCCAGGCAACTGTCTGTGTGGGATTATTGGCTACGTTCGATATAGTTTCATGTTGTTTTATGCCGGTAAAGTTCTAATATTCTCCCGTACAACCCATATATCTGCTAACATAATGTTTAGAACAACTTTGTGGACAGCGCAGCACATTTGGGTGGACTGGCTTATGGATTAGGCTACTGGTTTCTTCGTATTAGGCCTCAGGTCAGGCTTGGGCGAATTCGATTTTAAGCAGAGAAGTCATACAAATAGGCTAGAAAATACCATAAAGCCTTTGACACAATTAAAAATATAGCATATCTATTCGAATATACCAACTTTGAACATTTGCTATTTATTTTTACTCAATTTCTAATAGAAAACTCTATGATGTTGATTCGATTAATTGTCGTTAAAAACATACAAGCAGTATAATGTATCTTTTTCTAATTAGAAAGACAGGATAAAATTAAAAGATCATATCATATACAACTTATAATTTGTCAGGACTGGATTGTAATTGACACTCAGTCCCAGTATTATTCAATCATAAAACATTGCCTTATTAAGAATGTTAATAAGCAATGACTACTATATTTTCACTAATTATTCGCCAACTTTGAATAAATTATTCACGCATCTGTAAATAAATTTTCACGCAAAATTATAAGGATAATAGATTGTTGTTAGATGTTCTGAACTATTGCTCCCAAAAAAAGAAATAAGGACAAATCATGTCTCACATGGTTTTCCTTGGCATATTAGGGGGTTTCACCAGCTTTGAATGTTGACTGTTGGATATAGCGGTAGTTTAATTCTGAATATGATTGGCTATAACAAATCTTCAAAAAATGAAAAACGAGCATCCAACCATCTAAAAAAATAGTTCGATACTCTAGATGTCGTGACTTAGCCGAAATTTTGTAAATTTTGTACTTTATGTACGATGGATGGTGAAGTTCATATAGAAGCAAAGTCAAAAATAAAACATAATCAATCTATATAAAAGTAGTTATCTTGATACCAAATTATATAAGTCTAACTTACTTGTGAGGGATTTGGGCATAGGCACTATATTTATGGGTACTCTAATCAAGCGCATTGTACATATGAATTTTGACGTATATGAGAGAAAACATATCAACCAAGGGTCATTAGGGGGTTTCACCAGTCTTTTTTCGATACTTATTATTATTGGCTGGTGCTTAAACTACCGCTATATCCAACAGTCAACATTCAAAGCTGGTGAAACCCCCTATTCTGTTCAATTTCCTCCATGATACATGGAATAAATAAGCTGTATCTCCATGAAAATATATTTACAGTAGCTACAAATTATGCACGATATAGATAACACATACATACATGTATTCCCTATAAGCTTTGTCTTATTTAATATGAAAAAATAGCATAACTCTTACAAATTGAAACTTGGACAAATTTTCCAAATTTTAAAATCCTGGTTCTGAAAATGGCAACTTTGGGCCTGTTTCAGATGTCGGTTGTCAAATATAGCAACTTTATAAATGTCTCCATTTTTCTGGTGATTTCAGAACATTTAACGACACTATCTAATATCACCTAATATTCGAAAGAATTTATGAAAAAAAGGTCAAGAAGTTTAACAGTTAAGGTTGATCCGTCGTTCTGTGATTTTTCCCCTCACTCTAATGTTAAAAAACCATTTTTTTCAATATTCTAAAAATAATTTTATGTGAAAATAAAATCCAAATGTGTGAATTTCAATGGAAGTAATGTGTGAAAATACAGTAGTAGACTAAGCAATGACAAAGAAGTAGCTGGTAAAAAATCACTTAGTAATAACTACTTAGCAAATATCGTCTCTTAGCCATTCCCCAATTATATCATATATCCCAAAACATATAAATATCTCAAATATTCTAACAAATAAACATTATCTTTATCTTCATATTCGTTATATTCATATTCTCTTATTAGAGAACCCGTTGGGATGCGATATTTTCAAATACTGCTAAAAAAGAATTATTAGTGAAACCCAGTCAAAAAAGAAAAACTCAACCACAGTTGATGAAAACATAAGTACTGTGACAAACATAAGAGAGATACATCTTAATAAACTTGGTTCTTCAAGACTTATTATCTTAAGTAGATATATAGAGACGACCCTTGACTATATCATGTTTATGTTTGAAGGTGGAAAATTAAGCTCAATTTTTAATAAAGACTTGGTGATGAAATGGAGTGAAAAACTAGAAAACTCCCGGTTTTTCACTCGACAACAGGTTCTCTATTTAATCTGGAAAGATAGTTTCTGGCGGCTTTTGATTACGTGTAAAGATCATGAAAATTGTATGATGGATAGTAGTGTAAATATAAAATCAAATGGGTCTATTGAAATAGGTTCGTATTCATATTTTTATAAGTTCATTCTACACCAATCAAGGTGGCATATCTCAATTCATATAGAGGACAAACTCATCCTCAAATATTGGTAGCAATACAACCGTGGATCATATGTAATGGATCATTTGCTTTGACCTATGGTTATACGGAACAGAATCGTTTGCTTTTTGCTTTATATATGCCCAACCATAGATATGATTGCACTTTGTCCTTTAAAAAAACCTAATAAAGTGAAGTATAAGTGTTTAGCTCTTCATCTACAACTATATGGCACTGACCTTTTTAAACAGTATATGAAGACTTGATGTTCTTGAACTTATCTTTTAAAATAACAGGCGTATCCTCTCAAAGTGTTGATACAACCGGTCCTCGACTTGAAGTATCACAGTCTGTGTATATATGCGAGACATATATAGTTGAACGCATTAAATAAGTTGTTTTAGCAAAAAAGGTTTGTATAGGTAACAGAGCTCAAATTACATCCGCAGCTTCGTTAAATAAATCTTCATTGATGATCTTTAATAACTCCTAACTTACTCGGAATCTGAGAAACTTACGATCATGAATGATCTTGTCTTTATTTATATTTAAGTGACTCTAATAAGATGTTCACGCACACTGTAATAGCCATAGAATAAGTGGCTCTTTCAAAACCACTCCCTCCACACTTTACAGCATCAAAAAAACAAGTATCAGTAAGTACCTTATAATAATTTTCTAAAGATCATATACTATTATTTTTTGGTATAATTCTTAAATATTAAATAAACCCCTTTTTTTGTTTGCACTTCTTTAAAGTATTCATATTTGACGATTACATTATTAATTATACTAATATATATTATACATGAATGTATTTTATTATAACAGACCATATATTATGCTATCCATATCCTTTAGATAATATCGTGTGTATGTTTATATGCGTCAGGCTTAGTATTAATATAACAAGTGTGAATCTCGCTTGCGAGTATAGGTTTGTCAAAAATAGATACAGAAAGTAGCAACTAACTAGTTCAAAATATAAACAGAGCAATGCTCAGATATATTTAGTAGCTGCAATGCATTAAAAAGGGTATTCATTGAACATAAATATACGTACACATACGTTTGTAATGGCTGTTAAGAGCTAATATACATCAGATTATATTAAGAATACGTATACAGATTGATATTTAACTATCATATTTTAAATTGGAAAATACAGTACAGTCGAAGGATACGGAAAGGCTTTTCTTTAATAAGTGAAAAGAATAAGATGATGTGTGGTGATCCAGACACTCGGATGTTAAATTTATCACATATAAGAACATATTCATATTGGGATAGCGTAGTAGCTATCATCTTGTCAGTATAAAATATATATAAACGATTAAGTAATCAGCCCAATAATTATTACAGTTAGTACTGTAGATAATATCTTAAAGATTGTTAAGATAATTATATCATACTGCTGGGTAAACTGTGTCAGATCGATATGGAGCTAATTTAGTAGGAAGTCCTAAAGCTCTAGTATAAAAGAGAAAAGAATAGCTAAGAGCTAAAGAAGTACGATTTATGACTTGATGTCATAATTGTAACACCGACACTAGTTAAGCAGTAAATACACTCTAATAACCAAATATAGTAAAGGAAGAAAGCCTTAAGAAACTAAGACGTAATGACAAGAGCAGATTGTGTTTTCTTATAAAAAGGGACACTTTTTATTTATGAATAAAGACAACTTATATACAGTCTCAAAGTATTTCTATACGTCTCTATTATCAAATATTTTATTTTTCTATTGTTTTGTACCTGAAATACCACAAGTTCGTAACTTGTTACGAGGTTGGTATTTTAAAGACTGACTTTTAAATAGCAAAAATTATGAGTATGTAACTCGGTATGAGGTCAGAGGTATAAATCCTGCCATTTCCTACAGTGTATATTGAGCTCTGAGTTTATTTCTGTAGTATAAAAAAATAAATGTAATATATGTTTTATTTAGCATTTTAAAGCAAGCCCAGTTTCTTAGACAAAATACTATGAATCCTATTAGAAAACAGTAGTCACTCACAGTGGCATTAGAAATATCACTAAATAATGTGCAGAGTAAGAAAAAAACATGCTCAATATAGTGATAGTAATAAAATTTCTGTCCACCATTCATATCACTATATTGAGCTTTGACTATAGAAAGATAGATAACTTTTATTGAATAAAATAACGTTTTCTTTTATATCTTTTCTAAATCTACCCAGCCATTATAAATGTCTGTTTCGGTTTGTATTCTACTTTTGTTAAGCTATGTCCTTTCTAATTCTTTTGTGAGCAAAAGGAAATCACTTTGGTCGTCATTCTCAAAAGAGAATTCTGTTTAATTGTCATCCTGATTGGCTGACAAGAATTCGGGCATGACAATGTCGGACATTATTTTGATGAATCCGTAAAATCTGAAGATAGTTAACCACAGTACTTCTTTATGTGCAGTGATATCTTCCTGAGCATTAACCACAGTATAATGACTATTTCTTTAATTAAATATAAATAATAACTACTGCGGATAATGCACAGTATTAGTTTAGAAAACTATATAAGACAATTCAATTCATATCAATAAAAAGTATCTTATCCTCTCTTTGATTTTACGTATACTCCTTGATCCCCAGTGGGTTTGACCTTTTGACTTTGTTATAGTAAAAGGAAGACTAACCCAGATTGGGAACAACAACAAGATAAAAATAAAAATGACGTCGACTGCAGGATTTGAACCTACGCGGGCAGAGCCCATGTGATTTCTAGTCACACTCCTTAACCACTCGGACAAATCGACCTGCTTTATTTATAACACAAAGTGCAATTTTAATAGTTAACGTTTAACGATATTTCGGTTGTCCGGCAGTGCAGTGACATTGCAGAATTCTTTGTAATTCTAGAAAAATTATATTCTATTATTTTTTTTTTGATTTTCTGATGGCAGCCGAGGCTGAATAGAAAGCAATATTTTGATTTGTAGAGTAAAACACCAATAAGTATACCGAAAAGTATCATTCTGTCAACAATAACTTCATGCAATTACACATTGTATCTGTTGTGATGATTGAAGTTAAAGAAGTTTTTAAGAGGAAGAATTAAAGATTTGAGATTAGGAACGAAGATTCGTGAGAACTTGTGTAGGTTTTGTTTATTGAGAAAAGATTTTATATCAAAGTTTGACGAGGTTTCTACACTGAACTACTACTGCTATTTATATTATTTTGGATTGAAAAAATTATATGACTGGGATCAGGTAATCGATCCTATCTGAGCCTTAATCAGAGCAACGTGATCTTGGAATAATTAATGTATGATTAATTATATAAATGTGTGTAGTCCCAATGAAGTCTTAACATCGAAAGTAAATATGTTTATCAGTTATAATTATGCTTATAATAATATTACTATAATATGAGATGTGGTATTTCAGGTACGAAACAATAGAAAAATAAAATATTTGATAATAGAGACATATAGAAATACTTTGAGACTGTATATGAGTTGTCTTTATTCATAAATAAAAAATGTCCCTTTTTATAAGAAAATACAATCTGCTCTTGTCATTACGTCTTAGTTTCTTAAGGCTTTCTTCCTTTACTATATTTGGTTATTAGAGTGTATTTACTGCTTAACTAGTGTTGATGTTACAATTATGACATCAAGTCATAAATTGTACTTCTTTAGCTCTTAGCTATTCTTTTCTCTTTTATACTAGAGCTTTAGGACTTCCTACTAAATTAGCTCCATATTGATCTGACACAGTTTACCTGGCAGTATGATATAATTATCTTAACAATCTTTAAGATATTATCTACAGTACTAACTGTAATAATTATTGGGCTGATTACTTAATCGTTTATATATATTTTATACTGACAAGATGATAGCTACTACACTATCTCAATATGAATATGTTCTTATATGTGATAAATCCAACATCCGAGTGTCTGGATCACGACAGCAGCCCTATTTTCATTTATTATTTTTCTGACAACGTTGCACCACACCAACTCAACACTTGTCAGCACCGCCAACAGTAGTGGGGGCAGAGCTTATCACCTTGCCCTTTTCAAGCTGTTTTTTACGTGACACCTTGGGCTTTGTTTTTCTAATCTCCAATTTCGGGTGCTTGGACAAGACGTTGTAACAGTGAACAAGATTGAAGTTTGTTCCTGTTTCAGCAAAGTACATTTGCTTTTCTTTTGACTTCTAAACTTTTACTTAACTACTGTGTACATCATAATATATATTGTTGACATATTAATTACTTACATCCGATTCTTCATTTGAGCCACTTGATTGTATCCCTCTTACTTGAGACAAAAGCCCAGCGTACTTACTGACTACCCTGCTGATGATATGCCAACAAGCATGCAAAGCATGCTCATCGCTCTTAATAGCATCTTTACCCAAGGACTCGTGATAATGAAAGATTATTATTGGCCAAAATTTCTCACTCTTTTGCTCAACACCACTGACAGCATCCAAGGCAACAAAAAGATACGAGCGGCAAAGTTGTTTGTCTTCTTGGACAGAGAACTTCTTTTTTAGGGAACTTTTCTCTTTTATATAAATATTAAAAGTATTTTTTATCAGTTACAGTAACAGATCTCTTTACTTTAGTATCACATATAAACTGCTTTGAATGAAAAAACCACTTTTTCCAGGAATTCTAGGCTCATCATTGGAATTGGTAATGGGTGGGGTGCTCATTTTTTTTTTAAAAAAAAAACTTTATTAATTTTTTGATTTTTGGTGGAAGGAAAAAGAAACAAGAAAATTTAAATGCTCAGCAAGTTTTTAAAATAAGCATCTATTTCCATGCTCAAGGTCATAAAAATCACAGAGTATGTAAATACATGCTGTCGGAAATGTTACTGCTGCAGACATTTTTTTTGAAAAGCATTTACAAAAAGCACTTAAATCGGAAAAAACTGAATTTAAATGCTACTGCTGCAGATGCTCTAACAGATATAAACAATATTATTTTGTCTCTTTAATAAATGTCACTCTCACAGTATCTACTTTTCCCATTATTGAGATACTAACCCATAAACAATCCCAAATACCTCATCCTTCATAACCTTCAGCGCTATATAAAGCTTAAAGAAAAGGCGAAATATGTAACAGTTTTAGATAGTGAAGAAGTAAAAGCTTATCTTTAAATTATATACTTGTCAGCTTTTTTTTTCTGCTCACAACAGACTTATCCTTTCAAAATATAGAGTTCCTTCTATGATCTATGTCTTTGACTAAACCCAAATTTACTTTTAAACAAAATGAACATCAATTCAATAATCCCATGTATTCCCATCCAATACAGAAACCAAACAAATCCTGTCGTTGTGCAAGACATATTGGTAGTTGAGTCTACGGTCTATATACATCTATCCTATCCAGATCACAAACACGTAGATTAGGCATGACATTACCTCTTTATCAGAGACAATTCAATTGACAATAACGCACCCTATATGTCGCGTATTATATTGAGATAAAGGCACTAGACCTTGGTCAGGTAGATTCAGGAAAGATAAAGCCGGAAAATAGTAACACAGTGTGTGTTCTTTTGGACCTATTAAGATCACGAATATCTTGTAAAGACGTATGACGCTCTTTGCAGGATTCTATTCAATTCCTTGCACAAGACATACCCTTGTGCATTGTATTTCACCATTGGTACCGTTTTAGAAGAGCTTTACAGCAAAGTATTATAGATTATTCTTGTATAAAAGTCTTCAAATGAAGCACTAATAAAGTATTCATCCTTATTCATTCTTACTTTATTGATTAAATCCCTTATTATCTTGTCTATACATCTATTTCGTTGTCACTGATTTATAACCGCTCTTTGCAATAGTTATAAACATACTTCTTGATATATTTGTCTTTTCTATATATATATATATATATTACCGCACCTTTTTATTATTGGATAAACCCGAGTGTTATCCCAGTAATTCATCCCTTATTTTTATATATATATATATACACTGCCATCTAAATTTGTTGGCAACTCTCATTTATTGCTATTTTACTGACGTTGCACTACAAAAACTCAACACTCGTCAAGAGGAACGACCGGGTCAAATGAAAATTACTATGATTTTGGCCAATTTTTTTTTCAGCCCATTGAGCTCATGATACTTGTATTGTATTAAACCTGCTATCTAAGATTTGTTTAGGTTAACACTCTGCTTTCAAAAGAAAACTAAGAGGGTCGAAAAAAGTCTCACGAAAAGAAAAATAAAGATAAGAAGGTAGTCAGAAATAAAGTGGAGCAAAAGCAAGGCTTGTAGACAGATAAACCCGAATTATGAAGAAGCATTTCCCAAAACTCTCAGAAAAAATAATAAGGACCAAGAGCCCTAGCGAGAGTTATTCTGAGCTTCGGTTTGTTTGATCCATGGCCAACACGCCTGAAGTCAGAGATGTGCTGAAATATGCTGGGGTAGAATTGTCCATAATGGTGACTGGAGTGAACAGCGATGATATTCTTGCCTTTATACACAGATTGAAGGAGAAGAGAGAGATGGAAATGTCATATGTGGAGGAGAGGTAGAGGATGTATGAGGAGAGACAAGCGATGCTCAAGGCCAATATATAAGGATATTGGTATTGAAATCTTAAAATTATAAATTTATATATATATTTAATATGCCACAAGTCGTTACTCTTTTTTAGACTTTAGATGTTTGTTTATAGCAGTTTTAATAGCACATTTTATTGACATAAGAGGCCGTAAATATAATCATCTGGTGTTGGAGGAGTAACACCAAACATCCTGCTTGTATGATTACCACCATTGTAACAAACATGAATGTTTTTTAAGAACGTTCCAACGGTATAGTACAGTTCAAAGGAGCTCTGGTCACTTCGCTGGGTCTGGGAGTACCTCAGAAATTCCCAGAGATTTCCAACATGAGTAAACTCATTCCCAACCACACGATGTAGCCCAGCCATTGTCTTGTTGATATCCAATTCAACCTCGTCCAACGGTACTAAAGTAAAGTTGTAAAATTTACAAGGATTATATATCGAAATAGATGATTATACAGTACTTACGCTTGTGAAACGGTGCCATTATAAGAGCTGACTCGGTGTAGTTTTTATCACCGTACACGTAGTAGCAGGGTCCATTTGAGCTCTTGAAATCAAATGCTTCGCGCATACTATTTTCTAATCCACTATTTTCGTAGAAATTCATATCCTTGGGATTCCCAATTTCAGGGCCCATTATGGAAGAAGTAATACCGTCAGGAGTTACCACTGCTTGGTATTTCAGCCCATATTCACTCTACACAAGCCGTATAAGTCTAGTTAGTAAGATATATGATAAAAGTATGGCTATAATTATTTACCTACACTATATTCGTTACTTATGACTTCTTGGTCACAGTCTGGTTTGGCTGACCTGTTGAATAGACCATCAATAAATCCAACACATTCGGATGTTGGTGCTTATTATCCGAGTAATAAATAAAATGTTACTATTATCAAGTTTGTAGACATGTTAAATCTTAAAATCTCCCTTACCAGTTTTACTTATGGCTTCACTAAAGCGTACCAGATTCTCTTCACGGAACTGGTAGGTGTCAAACTCAAGACCAGTATGAAACCTCTCATAAAGTTTCTCAATCATTTCATTGAAAATGGTAATAAGAGTACATTCTGACCTTCCGAAAAACAAAGTCAAATTTGCTACGCGAGCAGGAAAAGTCATTCTGCGAAGCATGATAGTCAAAGCCTCTGTAGACGGGATAAAGAACTGGCTTGGGGACCCTTCACGAAAGCAGACTTTTTCCCCCAGTTCAAGAAGAACAGCTAACGATTGTATCTAGTTTGATAAGTCAACTCCATTAATACCTCTTTTCCTTTCTGGAAAGTAAACAGTATCTTTTACCTGAGAGAAGGTAAATTTAAATAAGTATTTGCACTCTTCATCTGGTAAAGTGCTAATATCCATATAACCTTGACGACGAAAGGGATATGATATAGGATCAAATTCGCTTTGGTACACTAGAGCACGTCCAGTTCCTTCATCAACGATAAGTTTAGATATATAGTACAAATATGCATCTGTGACGGCGATCAGACGTTGAATAGTAGACATTTAAAAAAATTATTTGGATAAAAAGAAAAGTAAGTGTTGTGTTGCCCGTCAGATTTTCTGGTGCTTTTATACAGTGTTTCTACTTGAGATTGAGACAAATTAGGTTTTTTTTAGACCAATGAGAGTTAGGTTTTAGACGAAAAAAAATTGAGAGAAATCATTACTGATTTTTTAGACAAATAAGGATTATTTTGTAGAATATTTTTACCTGTAAAAATCTAAATTCCCGCGTAAAGAGACCCGTGTTCGATACGGGAATATAAGTGGTTGAGAATAGGCTATTCGCTTCAAGAGAATAGTGGTGGTTGATGGCGGTTATTTAAAGCTTCTACTGCAGTTTGATATATGTTTTTGGAATCATTCACATCTCTATTCCACATCATCCCGCAACTTTAACAAGAGAGGATGCTTGTGAAATTAACTAATATATTTGTAATGTTAATTTCATTACAAAAGTGGCAAATCTTTAGAATAAAAAAAGATAAAAGCATTGTTAGCTAAGCCTTACAAATGTGTTAAGCTTATTGGGTTTACCTTGGATTTTCTGAACTCTCCAACATCTGCCACAAGAAGGTCTCCACCCATTCGCCTATTTCTCAATGCTCGGTACAGAACACCTACAAATCCTGCATGTTGGCCTTTAAATGAGACAGAATCTTTGCCTTCCATGCTGGTAGCAAAGCATTGATAGGCAATCTAGAAAAATTATGGTTGTTGTTTTCTGGTCGCCATTGTCTTTTTCCATTAATGAAACATCTATACAAATAACTAGTGCTCTCAAGATGTATTAATGTACTATGTATGTATTACCCTCAATTGTGAATATTCTGCTTGCCTTTATTTTTCATCTAACGATATCTCCTTTTCTTCCGCATCCTTCTACTTCGTTTTGTGTTTCCTTTCTTTCTTTCTTAAATAGATATAGTTTGTTCATATGTATACACACGAGCATGTGCATTAATATCATATGAATCAATGCTCACTGTCAAGTGCTCATACATTAACCCCAAAATAAAAAATAAGTTGCAAGTGAACATAATAATGATAATATAAGCTTATGACGAAGACTCAAAATTTTATGTCATTTAATGCCAATTGTATTATGAAAACACAATATATACATATATATATACATTGTGAGAAAAAGGGTATAGTAACAGTTTATTTATTTATATTATAAACATAAACTGGGTTTCATAGGGCGTAGCGTCTTAACTTTAATAGATGCCTAGACTTTACTTGTATTTTCTAATATTAAATCATCAATAACTAACCTATCGATGTGTCTGTACAGCATGTTAACATAGCCTGTGGATAAGTTAAAATTTCTGTTAGCTTTGATAAAAGCTGGTTTATCTTTGGGTAGGTGTAGCTGTTGGATGTTATTGTTGTTCATTGTACTTTTTTGACACATCGTAAAGTATTCATGACAATAACTGGCTTCGTCATCCCTCAATATTCGCGTACAGTTATGCTTATTCCCCGCTCCCGAACATGTACATTGAAGAATCCAGATACATTTTGTACAATCTGGAGTGGAAGGAAATGTAGCTATAGCTGTAATATCGGCTTCCGGGAGTGTAATTTGGCTTTGTAGACAAAGGGCGATGTAATTGATCCTTGTTCCTGTCGTCTCATAGAATGTAGTAGTGTGCTTATAAAACCTGACGTCGGTGAGTTCCAAAGATTGTAAGCACAGGCAGGATACATCAAAAGATATACTCCTATTGTCAAGAGGAATAACAGTCTTTATCCTTACGCCGCGCAATTTGAGTTCTATAAGCTGCCTGCATCGAAATACAAGGTATTTCATTGACTCATTAGATATATTTGCATCCTCAATCACAAGTACTTCGAGGCCATGGATCGTGTGGTTACCCGAAACAAAATTTTCAGAGGTAGCAAATGGAGACCTTAATTTGAGTTTTTTTAGAGAAACACAGTGGTCCAATATATCGTTTAATGATACATTCTCAAGTGCATGTACATTCAACTCGAGGAGATTTTTACAAGAGTGAAAAGCTGACCAGGATATTGGTGTATTGCGGGTATTGCAGATATCTAAAGTAAAACCTTCGAGGGCTGCTGAATTGGAAAATAAAAACTGCCGAAGGAGTTCTCTGTTCAGGATATAAAAGTCGTTTTGGTACCCTTCGCCAACCGTGGAGAAGTATGCTTCCTTGATATCTTTTCCATCTCTACGTAGAACCTTAAGCATGACACCGTTTGATACAGGCTCGTAGAGGATATCTGAGCAGGTCTGTATATTGATTACCTCTAGATATTGGGCAGCGTGGGGTAGACTTGGCAAAATGAGCATTAATTCGAATTGATCCATGTGCGATAATGCTCTGTTGGAGTAAGCACGCCACTCCAAGGTATGCATACACGGATACTTTCGAAGGATATAGAGTACCCAGAATGGCTTCCATGAACCATACCCAAAACACACCTTCCGCAACGTGCTGGCCTGGTTGGCAAAAAAGATCTGCCTAATATCCTCGTCTTTTATTTCACCAAATTTTGCAGTGAGAGTCAGGTCCTCTAATAAGGGTAGATAATCATGGAGTGCCTCCATATCTTTCCAAGTAAAAACATGGCTCTCTACATCGACAGTAATCGACAAATCCAGTTGTGTGAGTTGCGGTAGATGTGATATAACTTTTAGAAATTCATTCACAACACTTTGCCCGTCTGCTGCCATCCAGACAATTGATAAATTTGTCAAGGACTTCCAGAGCCCCCAATCAATTGGTATTTTGGCATGAAGAAAGTCTGGATCGTGGGTCCGGATATAAAGGTCTTTTAATTTCTGGAAACGTTGTTGTAAAACATGCATGTGTTGGTCATTAGGGCAAGCGTTCTCTTGGATGTAAAGGCTTCGAACACAAGTGTCTGAGCTCCGATAGGTGGCTTCTCCGCTAGTAAATTGGTTGAGAATAGTGGCAAGTGTCTTTGGACGTTTAATGCTTATACATCTCCACAATGAATCTTGAAAAGGTCCATTCCACGCTCTAGAGACTACGGTGCAGCTGAGAGTATCTTCGATTGAGAGATGAAAGGCAATTGTAGAAAGAATTTCATATGGTAATTCAGATGACTTGATTGAGGGAATGGTCTTTGGCATCCTTGATGGAATAGCAGGGTGTATATAATGCGTAATAGAATCAATCAGATTTGAAAGAAGAAGAAAAGTAAAGTCCGCTTTTAGTGAAACAAAGCAGACGTGACAGGAACACAAAAGGATACAAAATTATATATAATACAATATAGTATTAAAAGAAGTATAAATGACGATCTCTAGAGAATGGAAGCTAAAGTCCCTTTGTATTTCTTTACTTGATTCCTTGAATAAAGAGAAGGAATGAAAAATGCTGTAGATTTTGCACAGGTCGAAAGAACAAATGTGAGTGATTAATTATTTGAATTGATTAATTTATTACAAAAGCCAAAGCATTTTTTGTTGTTGTTTTATTATTACACAGTCTATTTTTAATCCAAATTACTGGTTAGATTTTCTTTATTATTATTATTTTTGGACACTGTGCAGTACAAGATGTTCATTTTCTTCTTATTTTTATTTATATATAAATATGTGCGGATTTAAGCACAAGTATAAATAGTCTATCAAGATATTGAGAGGTATGTGATTTTCAGTCGACCATTTAGAAATAAGATGCTAGAAGAATATATGATTTCAGGGTAGTATCCAAGGAAGAATACTAGAGTGCCAGCACTATACAAATACCGAGTACCCATTTAATCAATATTCCAAAATATTTTCATATGTTTCATACACTGATAATTAGGATATTCATTAGTATTAAAGAAATAGGCTGATTAAACGCTACATGTTTTTTCTTTAATATATATATATATATATAAGCCCATTGTATGCAATAACAGTAAATAAGTCTAATTTGTGTCAGCCAAGTTTTGGTATAAACAATTTTTAACAGAGCCACAGTAGCTGTGCTTTACCTTTTATAAATACCAACAAAAAAAAACTTTTTCTTCTTCTTTTGTATATTTTAACAGGTTATTCTCACAAACTAATTGGAGATTAAGAGTGCCATGAATATTCAAGTAAAATAACACTTTTTACTATTACTACAACTACGCTGCTGCCGACGACGGCGACGATGGCTATGCCTATCTCAGCAATAACAGCACCAAAGGAGAAATAAGGGGAGAATAGACTCTAACGAATTGCAACTTAAAAACCAATAAATGTTTGAATTATATGTTATTTATTTAGCAGTGTGTACAAATGAGCAAACAAGAAACAATAAACCGTACAAAGAGTGTTTGGCTAATATCATACTCGCCATATTGGGTATCGATCCCATCATTTGACGAGTGTGCATCTCATACTCCTGACCATAAACCACAAAGAATTTACCACTCTCACACAACCAATGGCATTATGAATTGTTTGGTCACCTCCTCTTTGTAGACCCACAACTTCATTGTCATGGAGATAAACATAACATAACAAAACGAAACGAAACGAAAAAAAAAGAAAATGTATAGTCATTTATGTATAGAGTAATCTAAGCACATAAAATATTTAGGTAGAATGAGGATATAAATTAAAAGAAATTTGGTGATAACTAAACTAAGCAAAACTAATAAATATAATGGGTATTTTCTCCCTGAATTAATAAATGTAATCCCCCCTCAACCTCCCCCTTTTATCTCTCTCTGTCTTTGTAAAAGCCCAGTGGCTTATTTAATTGAATAACCTTATGTGTGTGTGTGTGTGTGTGTATAATATAATATAATATAATGTTATGTAATGTAATGTATTGTAATGTATTGTAAGAATATTTGAATATTTATATGTATGTATGTATTTAAGGTTGGCCCATATTGTTTACAAATACAATGAGAATGAAACAAGAGAGATAATTGGAAAGGGTATTCTATATAATATCCCTATCCCACTTACACTATATATTTCTTATTTTATTTTTATTGAAGTCCGTATATGAAGAGGGCGGAAGTGAGACATGCCAAGCCAAATGCGATTCCCAGGGGTCCAAATGAATCCCGGAGATGTCTTGCAGCACTGTAAAAACATGTAGGACAGTAGTTCGCTGTATGTACCATACAATGTATCAAATGCAGTCAGAATTATTAGTCATTTCAAAATAATAAATAATTAAAGCAAAAGAAATAAACTTACAGTCAGTGAGAGGCACATATGTCTCTGGGTTGTAGAATGCAATGGTGAGAGTTGTACATGGAGAAAGCCAACCGGGTTGACCAATAGCTGAGATACCACGTTGGTCATAAAGCTGGATCTTGTAGTAACCGTTCATCATGGGTGTTCCTTGCGGAACGTCTTTGAGTTGCCAGACAGCACTGGTGGCTGCTCCGTCAAGAACTGTGATGGGGATAGTTGCAGACTGAGGACCTACGGCGGCAAGTGTGAGTTGAACGGGGCGTACGGATAGGTAGGTATATCCCCAGATAAAAGTGACATTTTCATTGGAGGCGATGCGATAAAGTGGTTTGATAGATTTGCTGCCGGTGGGTGCAATGAAGGTAGCCTGACCAGGATATATACTGTTGCCATAGCTGGCAGATGTTGGCAAGGCAGCTACAGAACCATCGACTACACCGGATGCACCAGACTGTACCGGGTTTGGTGCTGTGTTGGGTGCGGTATTTTGTGCTGACGTAGCCTGGGATGCAACACCAGAAACAACTCCAGAGGGGGCAGCAGCAACTGATCCGGCACCCGATGCAGCCGGAGCAGCGGCAGAGCTTGCTACTGCTGCAGGAGCAGAAGAAGCAGGAACATCCGGAACAGCCGCAGAAGAAGCAGCAGGAGCAGCAGCCTCTGTATTTTGCAAAATAACAATAGTAATAAAGAAGGGATGGTATTTAGTCTATTGTTCTAAATAAACGACGTGCCTGTAATGTTGTTGTTGTTGTTGTTGTTTTACCCTGAGGAACTATAAAAATAAACATAAAATAAGAAAAACAGAGATGTCAGTTTGATGTCAATTATAAATGAGTAGAATTATTACCTCGCTTTTGTAATCTATCGGCCGGAACCATGCCGACCAAGCATAGCAGGACGACTAAGAACACACAGAGGCGCATGAGACGAGTCATGAGAGAAGATGAAGAGAATGGGAAGAAAGGGCAAAAATAACAACAAGTCCGTTCAACTCCTCTCTTGTGGCGGACGACCAAAGCCTCCAAAAAAAGTGATAACCTTTATTCACTCCGCTCTGATTGGCAATGCAAATGAAGCCAAGACCGAGTGTAAAAATAAAAGTATAAAATATGTATTTATATATAAAAACGCGTGCCTAAAAAAATACTCATAGCCGTAGCCATAGATAAATATCAAAGGTAAAGACAAAGTTGTGTTGGTTGTGTTAGCTGGTTGATAGGTAGCTTTTGGGGAAATCTAAAGGACGCTGGGATCCCTTTGGTCATTTACACCCACACAAAGAAAGAAATATGTATATAATTGTCCCTTTGAGCTAAAAATACTATATCATTTCTGTGTACACTTTATATTTTTACTTTTTTTTTTAAAAATTTATATTTAAATTTATTTATTTTAGTCTGGCGTCACATTACACACAGACTTCTTTAACTCTTCTCCCTTTTGTTCTTTGCACATAACAAAAGTCACCTTAATGTCAAATCAAGGTATCTTCATCCTTATCATCCTCATCCCATTCTCATCATCTTTAACACACACCTGTAGATCTCGCGTCATATCTCGCATTTGCTATAAAGCTGGCCCGCGATTCCGGTGTCATCATTAAGAATGCACTTGACAGCAGAATGGCAGGTACCGGTGCACGCATCGAGGCCAAATACGATAACCCCACCGACCTTGTCACCGAAACGGACCAAGCAGTCGAGCAGTTTATTAAAGAACGTTTAGCATCTACTTACCCAGATCACAAGTAAGACCGATAGCCTTTCTTTATTTGTTTGTTTCTGCAGACAGCTTGAAATATATACATATAAAAAAAAACAAACAAACAAACAATTGAACTCGGTCTCAAGGTTTATTGGTGAAGAGACCATGGCTGCAGGAGCGCAAACAGAGTTTACTGCTCATCCTACCTGGATTGTAGACCCAATTGGTATGGTTAAAATTCCCTTTGTTGTCCCATATTCTAATGTCACCCGTGTCTGTCTTTTAGATGGCACTACCAATTTCATCCACGGATTCCCATTTGTGGCCGTATCAATTGGATTGACCATTGACCGCGAAAGCGTACTGGGTGTTGTGTACAACCCTTTGTTGGACGAATTATACTCAGCCGTCAAAGGCCAGGGTGCTTATCTTAACGAGACGGTGCGGCTGCCTCTCTTCCAGCCCGCCCCTCCCCTTGTTGATCTTGGTCACTGCTTAGTGGCTACTGAGGTTGGATCGGATCGTACACCAGAAGTATTGACCGCCAAGATGGAAACCTTGCATGCTTTAATGCGCAAAAAGAGATCGGTGCAGGACAAAGGATCAGCAGAGGCCCACAGTATCCGTGCTACTGGGTCAGCAGCCTTAAATATGTGCTGTGTGGCGAAGGGTGTTGTGGATGTATACTGGGAAGTAGGATGCTGGGAGTGGGACGTTGCGGCTGCAATTGTGATCCTACGCGAGGCCGGTGGACTGGTTCTCTCGGGCCACAATGATCGCCAGGAGCAAGATGTCGGTCTGTTTGGTCGTAAGTTCCTTGCTATCCGTCCTGCAGCTGATAAACCTTGCCAACTCAAAATTGCTCATGAAATGTGGGATATCATTCCCGCTATCCACGCTCCTCGGCCACACGTGCCAGGGACAGAACTTGCGTGACTTTGCATGACGTCGGCTAGACAGCAAGAACTAGAATGGCGATGAAATTCCTTCCCCATATTAATTTTTTTTCTGCTATATAAAAAAAAGAAAGAAAGAAAAAGATATAAAAAAAAGAAAAAGGGAAATAATAATAATAATAATATAAACCTTTTCTTCACTGTAATAAACTTATCTTACTATGCCAACATCTAATTTATCCAAGCTACGAGTTGTCGATCTCCGTGCAGAGCTCACTAAGCGCAATCTTCCCATCAAAGGAAAGAAAGATGAACTTATTGCACGTCTTGAAGAAGCCATGAATAATGAAGAAAACGCGTCCAATAATGACGATGCTGCCAATGAGAGTTCTACAGAAACAGCAGAAGAGAGCCAAAAAGAAGTACCTACAGAAACAACAGAAGAAACAGTTGTTAGTGAAATAAGCTCTGAAATAGTAGCTGACATTCCTTCTATTCCATCACCTAAACCTGTTGAATCTGTCAAAGAGACCCTTACTGAGCCTGAAGTTAAAAATATTGTTGAGCCCGTAGCCGAAACTATTGCTGAATCTGTAGCCGAAAGCATTGCTGAATCTGTAGCCGAAAGCATTGCTGAATCTGTAGCCGAAAGCATCGCGGAACCTGTATCCGAAAGCATTGTTGAATCTGTAGCCGAAACCATTGCTGAACCTGTAGCCGAAACTATTGCTGAATCTGTAGCCGAAAGCATTGCCGAACCTGTCATCGAAAGCATTGCTGAACCTGTCACCGAAAATATTGCTGAGACCACATTCAACGAAGTCATGCAAGAAAAAGAAGCTGTAGTCGAGACAGTTTTGGAAGACATTGTACTTGACGTGAAAGAAGATAATGTTATGGACTCAATTACAGAAGATATCCTTGAAACAGAAGAGACTGTCCAATCGGATATAGTGAATCCAGAAGAGGCAAAAGAGTTTGTAGAGACTGTAGAGACTTTAGAGACTTTAGAAACTGTAGAAACTGTCGAGGAAGTTCTTGCATCACCAGAGGAACCGACAAAGGTCGAATCGACCCAGGTAGAGGTTACAACTTCTGACGAAAATGTTTCTTCTAAAGAGACCAAATCAGCCGTAGAAGAAAATACGGCAGCCATGGAGGATGTTAAAGAAGAGGTTGCAGCCAATGCGGAGACTGGACTGAAGAGAAAGAGAGAGATCGAAGATACCAGAGGTGAGGAGCAACCAAGCGAGCGTGACAGAACTTATGTATTAATAACATCCGGGATCTAGACAAGAAGCCAAAGGTTGAAGATGACCTTCCAGCAATCTACATTAAAGGGTTTGTACGCCCTTTAATAATCAAGCATGTACAGGAATTGATCGGAAAGTACGGCACAGTCAAACGTTTCTGGATGGATAGTATCAAGACTCATTGTTATGTTGTTGTAAGTGAAGTGCTATATTTACTGGGTGTGAATAATTGGTATGGGATATTAATTATACGTTCTTGTGTGCGTGAAGTATGAATCCTCAGAGGAAGCCAAAAAAGCACTTTCATCAATCGATTCTATTGTATTCCCCCCGGAAACTGGTCGTAAGCTGACAGTGGGTCGAATGACTGCAGAGCAGGCTGAACATGTTATTGAACAGGAACAGTCAGCCGCAGAGAAGCGTATTAGACTTGACTGGGAGACTGCTCTTCAAGCTGTCCTGGACGGAGTTGCCAAACCAACGCTTTCACCTCAGACAGATGTCAATGTCAGACGCCCTCGTACACTTGGCTTTGAACAAATCACTCGGCAGTTACAGAAAGGTATCTTATTCTATTACAAGTATAATAAAAAGCTTCTCCCCCCACCCCCTCCAACCCCCCCTTTTTTTTTTAAAAAAAAAACAGGTCGATATAAAGAATAACGTACTTACAATATTATTGTATATTTTTTTTTCTGTTTTTGCCTTTATAAATATTAGCTGCCACAGCACCTCAAGGTTCAACTGAAGTAACCGCAGAATCAATTCCTGAACGTCACTACACAGAGCCGGCACCACCAGTACAGAGCTTATCCCTCGAAGAATTATTCCGCAAGACTGATACTACCCCTTCCCTTTACTACTTGCCTGTTCCTGAAGATGTTGCACAAAATCGCCTGGAATCAATGAAGCAGATGTAATAAAATAACATTGATTAAATAGTAAATACAAAAATAAAAACGCCAAAACAATAAGAAAGAAGTATATATATATTCATACACAGGATCACCTGGTAGCTTACCTACACAATTGTACTTTTGCACAAAACAATTAACGAAAGAATAGCATTAACTATGTGCCTTTATGCTATATATTTCTGTTCTTGTTTTTTATTCTTTATTTCACTTTTGTGCGTAAATGCATGTATTGAGTACAGAAGAACAAAGTGACTGTGAGAGGAATATTCGGCTATTGAAATAAAGCTGGTTTTATAGAGTTGTCCACCACAACAGATCTCACCTATTATCCCCATTTTGTTACATTAATCATGCTTCGGTCTCTCACAAGCCAATTGCCTACAGCTCGCACATCCTTTGTGCGTTTGCACTCAACAGGATCGAAACCCCGTACAACACGTTTCCTGAATGATTTCATGACCGAAGCTGAAAAAGGTCCTCTCCAACTGTCTATGGAATCCAAGGCAAGACTCTTTTATTACTACTGTTAGCAATATTGTTTTTTTTGTTAATTATTTATTTTTAATTTTCTCTCTCTACAGCTTACCGAGGCATTAAACCCTACTGCGTTTGAGGCTATTAATGAATCTCATCTTCATTCACACCATGCTGCAATGAAAGGTGTTACTGAAAAAGAGACTCATTTTAGGTAAGTTGAATTGAAAAGCCAACATTGTCAACGAAAATAAACGGCCGAATGTTTCATTGTGTGAAAATAGAGTGACCGTTGTATCAGAAGAGTTCGCAGGCAAAGTAAGTTGATAGATAATGCCAAATCTACTCTATTATATTATTTATCTTTAATTTAGAGAGACCAATGTTTGTCTTACTAATAAAATTATGCGCTTTACAAAAAAAACGAAATAGTCCATGATGCAGCGCCATCGTATGATTTACAAACTTCTTGGAGAAGAATTTGGTCAGGGATTACACGCCCTGTCATTAAAAACAAAGACAATGGCTGAATTAGAAAAGTCCAAGTAATTAAACGTCAATGCATTTTTTTTAAAGAAAAATATAATTTATAGAGTTCTTTGTATCAATATAAGAAATATATTCCAACCTTAAATAATAATAATAATAATAATAATAATAACATGATGTGATGTATTGTTTGCTCTATCCGCAGTGATTGTGGTGGTTTATTCGAGAATATCAGATATATATGATTTGAAGTACTTATTGGTAGATCGTACATAAAAAGTTGTGGAAAATAGTATAATTCTTAATGTAACTTGGTAAACCAAAATCAAATGAGTATTACCACTAGTATAAATTTGGAAGAAATGTTATTCAAATGAACATTATATATATATATATATAGTGATGATAACAAAGCATGATAAACTAGATATTTTCAAAGGTAGCGAGCGCGACGCAAACCGAAGAGAGAAAAACGAGAAAAACGAGAAAAACGAGAATAGGAAGAATAGGAAGAAGAATCAGAAAAAATTCTAGTAAATGTTAAATAAAGTATTTGGCTTATCAGATTATTCCGATTCTTTGGAATACTAGATAATATTTTTGCTCAAGATCGATCGAGATAAGCCTAGAATTATTCATATAGCACACATGCATACACACACTCACTAGAAGTGCTTTTTTAAAATGGTACACCAATACAACATTTCAATCGTATGCTTTTCTCGTACCTTACCTATAGCCAATTATCCAAACCAAAACCTTTGTTTAGAGCTAAAACATATATATATCTTGTATACAGCCTTTATTTTATATCCTCTTAGTTTTCATGGAATTCTATACGATAAAATCTTTTTACGGAATATTTACTCGTAGAAATAATATCGAAGGCTTACCGTATTCTATATGGAAGACACTGATTTTCCTATTTGTTGTAAAGATCTGGAGAAAGGTCAAGAGGTTTATTTATGGAAATAATATCCTAAAATACTTTTTGTTTCATTTAAAATTAAGAAAAAAAATTACCAGCTGTTACTATGGATACACTATGATAAAATATATAGGTATATTTTTTTTCTATTGGAATCTCTATCTCATTACAGTGTTTCTACTTAAAATTGAGATTTTTTTTTGAAAATATTGCTCGCTTGTATGAGGATAATCTCCTCTTATGTTCAGACTATCTTCATTGCTAAACAAATCTGGAATATTCTGTAAATTTTCTTTCAGTTGACATCAGCCTTTAACAACATGTTGATGCTGTTGTATTTATTATTCATGGAAGGGCAACTAACAACTATATAACGCGATCCAAAACATTTATAATGTGGATCTAATGCTAGTTTACAATTAGAAAGTTGTATACAATTGATGAGAAAAGCTTCATTGCCTTTGACAGGTATTGACCCAGTCAAAAGCTGCCCACAAGCAATTCTGATATAGTACTTGTTCTTCCAGTCTTGATTCATGATATTCAAAGAAGGCTCGTTGATCTCTCCGTATTCTGTATGTCTTAGTAACCCAGGATATAATCTTTGTAAACGCCAGGTAACGTAGCCCTCGCGTATTGAAGAAGATGAAGTTGTCACAAGATCTTGTAATGATGCGTTGATATTTACAATCGGATTTTTCTTTTTGGATTGAATATTCAAAGAGACACTACGATTATTGAATGAACTAAGTAATGATTTGATTATAGCGGATTATTAGGCTGAGGTGAAATAGAATATGCTTTGGTTAATATCATCTTCTGAAATTCCTTTTTTTAATACACCACTTGGAGCTTGAAAACCAGACAATTAGATTTACAAATCGTCATTTAGCAGCGTTGACACTATAATTTCGGAAGCTTACTTTTATTTTATTTTAAAAAATAAAAATAAAAAACGTTTAATTTTATTCTGCGCTATTTACCTGGAACAATAATTTTTATGATCTGAAAAAAAGGACCTTGATTATAGTTACGCCAACTATGGCGTAGATACAGATACGCGTATATATTTATATATGTATGTGCGTGCACAGCATCTTGAAAGGTATATAAACTTAATGAGAATAACAAAAGTGCAAGGTAAAACTAGAATAGGGAAGAGGATACGTAAGTCTGGTAGATTTTTGGATTCAGGACAGCAAGTTTTGTGGAATCATCAGAAGTACAGAGCACTTGGACCGATTACCACCAAATTCCTGGTGTTCCATTGTTATTTTATTTAACTATTTAAATTGCGCTTATAAAGTCTTGGAGATTTTTTCTTTCATTCTTTCTATCTTGTATTCTCATAGCTTTATTGTATTTGTATTAATGGCTCAAGAACCACCTAACACGCACCTCAATAAGCTTCAAGTGTCACTCGAATCAAGCTTTGCTCAGATCGATAGCCGAGTAGCTACTTCTTCTATCTCTACAAACGAAGCAAAAACAACCACTGAGTTCTCTACCTCAACTATCCCCACATCCTCACAATCATCTGGACCAGGAAAAAATGGATCAAGCGTCGATCAGACTAGTGTATACAATGAGATAACCAAAGAAGAAAGCAGTATGTATACCGAAAACGATGTCAATGAATCATCAGAGAATCAAGGAAACTTTCTGTTGACCAAGAAACAGTTGAGGATCATGTTTATCAAAAGATTCGGCTTCATCATAGTAGTCGATGCTCTTCTTCCGATCGGCCTTTACTATATATTAAAGAGCCACATGTTGGCTGTTTGGGCACTTGTCGTCTCAACTGCACCGGTTGTTGCCTCTGTAATTATACAAGCAATATTTTTACGAAGAATTGATCCCATAGGACTGGCAGTAGTCTTTGGTATGCTTTAGGATTTTATCTCTCGACTTATATATATATTAACTTAAATTGTATATTATACTTCAAGGTTTCATTCTTTCTGTTATTCTTGCTGTGGTTGACAAAGATCCAAAGTTGCTTTTAATGAGAGAGTCATTTGTGTAAGTATTCGGTTGATCATGCAATTCTCGCTTATTCTCATAATATTGATTTGGTATAGGCTGGCTGGTGTTGGTGGTATCTGTGCGCTTACTCTTATACCCATACGATACAAATCATTTGAACTCAGGCCGTTCACATATTACATTGCGATCGACATTATCCCGATGCGTCAGGTTACCTTCCAAGATCCCGATAAGGAACCTCAAAAAAGAATCGCGTTTTATTGGGTTAATTCGCCCTTCTGCCGTTTCCACGTTCGTGTCTTGACAGCTGTTATCATTGTGTTCCTTGAGGCCGAGTTTGGTCTGAAGCTCTTTTACATCTTTACATTCGATATTGATAAGATTGTTATCCTCAGTAATTCAACATTGCCTGCAATTGCTATCTCTGTAGCTGCCTTCGCAGGGTTCTATATTTACTGGATCGGAAAGAAACTCCAAAAACTAGAGCCAGAGATGATGAAAGCTGCTGGAGCCATACACTAATATCTAATACTATTGTACCATAACACTAATTAATATTACTATTACCATAATCATTACTATTACTATTATTCTTATTATCATAGAATTTGTACCCTCACAGAAACTATCATAATACTATACATATATCTGTATATAACTCCCAATCATCATTATATACCTTTAAATTATACAGGCACAGTAAAAAATATATTTCGATCTCTGAACAAAAAAAGCATAAGAAATCAAGACATAGTCTCAACACGCAACTGCTCATTGGTAATAATAGCTAAAGTCTTCAAACCTCAAATACAAGATGATATGAATATTTGTAATTAAAATTAAAGTAAATAAACAAGATATCAATAATTAATGTACCATTCTTTGGCATCAATTACAGAGTCTAGCATTGTTGCTCCATACTTCCTGTCAACGTTGATGTAAGGTCGAAATATATTCTTCCCCGTTCTCGTTGCACGGAAACTTTTAAATCACAAACGTCGCGTATGCTGGCACTCTCATTATTCACACTTCTCTCGAGAGCTTACCAGATATGCTCAATGGGTTTGAAGCCCGAGTTTTAAGCTACCCAGAAGCCAAAGTTTCCGGCTCTCTTGGTCTATCTTTCCGCCACTTCGAATAAAAGCTGGTATGTCAACTATAACATTATCTTCTTGGAATAAAAAGTTCGCGCTCTTTTCTCTTAAAGAAACTAAAACTATGGAAGGAGAGCTCTGTAACCAAACAAATCATTCACGTATTGGGTCTTGGTTTACGTTGTCATCTAAGAATTCCAAAGGTTCCTAAAGCCACCCGGTACAGAAAACAGTTCCAAATCATCACACTAACCTCCCCTCTCCACTTGGTTCCCTCGATGTGATTTTTTACTATATATCTCGTCAACTCTTCTTGTAGCTCGAGCTCTTTCATCAATACCATTGACTGTTAATCTTGATTCATCGGACCAATTGACTAGAGCATAAGCCCAATCCGACCCGTCTTCTATTCTTGTGTTTTCAAAGGTTGGCTTATGGGCTATTTCCTTGACTCAGGTAATCCAGTTTCCTTTATTCTCTTAATGCCGCATTTGACTATACCCAGATTCGTGTGAGTAGCAACTGCAATCTTGTTTGCGCCTTAATTTACAAAAATGAATACACATGATGCATCCGTATTTGTGAGACTTGGCTCTCGTATATAAAACAGAAAAAAGTTGATGAAATTGTGCCTTGCGTGTTGGCTTCAATTAATATAATGGGAAGAAAGCAACGTTTTTATTTTTATTTTATCGATTTATTTTGGCTGTTTTTGGGTGCAAGCTTGTATATTTTTCAGCGTGAGTGTATTTTATTTTATTTTATTTTATTTTATTTTTTATTTTTTAATTTTAATTTTAATTTTTTATTTTTAATTTATAAAAAAAAATTGAAAAAACATAAAAAAAACACAAACAAAAAATTGAAAAAACAAAAAAAAAATCAAAATCTATATAAAATGATTTAAGAAAATCAATATATATAGATTTTGATTGGTTCATTTTCATTTATTTTATTGAATTTATTTACCATTGGTGGCCAGCCAATGATGAAAGTGGGATCTCCCTGTTGGACGAGAAAATTTTCAAAAAACTCGCAGTGGGCAACAGATAGGTTATCAGCATTCTACACCTGCATAGACATCGCGTGGTTTATATAGTTTGGTTTATAGGTCTTCAACTGTGAAAGTCTTTCGACCGGTTTACTAAGGCCACATCTATGAGCAGACTACGTAGATAACCGCCACAATAAAGATCTGAAAAATTTGCAAACTTTTGGCCCCTTTTTATAGACAAAATGGTTCAACTCTTGTACGACCTTTTGCAATTGAAAGAAAGTCACGGAACGTGAAAATTAAAATGATTGGTGTTTGAAAAATGAGTCAATGACTTTTAAATTATTTTGATTGGCTTTTAACATTGTGACGCCATATGAAAAAAAGAGTCCTTGGGGTTGAAATAAAAAAGTCACATCAGAGAGAGAAAACCGAGGCGGCTAAAAAGAAAAGTCACCGCAAAAATGGCTCATAGTGTTAGGAAGGATATTGGATACGTGACTTATTATTTCTAAGTCACGTCTATTGTTCTATAAGGTTCTATGAGAGAGAAAACATTTAGTGTGTGAGTATTTTGGTGATTGTGTAGTATCTAAAGCGTACACGGCCGTTTGCTGCCTAAAGTAAAACGAACTTCTTTAAACGATTATTTTTTAAAAAAAAGAGAATATAAATCCAAGTATTTATGCTTTTTTAAACGGCTCCTATTAAAAATCCATTTAAAGGAGTTACACTACAAGAGGTGTGCACGGCCGTTTTGGCTGTTTTTGGCTTTTTTAAGAACTGAAAATCTCAAACATTATTTTTTAATATTTTTTTGTTAAATCGCAAAACTCGAATGCGTCTAAAAGTCATTGACCTATACTTCTTATTTGGTGTTAAATACAAACCTTTATTTTCTTGGTACTTGTATTAAGTATACCCTCTTCAATTAATAAGCTGTAATAGTTGGATTTGATAGAATTTTTATTTCGCAAATGACAAAAATACATATTTGTATGCTTCTTTCTCAAAGATATTAATAAATAAATAATAATTGACCAACAGAGTGGACTATTACTAGGCTCATTTTTTAAAGAAAGCCTTTTTGTAAAGAGAAAGAGTAATTTAAATGGAACATCGAAAAAGGAAGAGCTTTGTTTATATAAACACAACAGTGCTCCTTATTATTAAAATTCCTTACAAATTTACCACACCACACATACAGAGAGAGAGAGAGAGAAAGAATATACAAATAGTATGTAGCGCGGATTTAATTGTAAGTATTATGTACTTTTATAGGGACAAGATTAACATTAAACTTGATATTTTTTTTTCTATTCATTGTCAATCCTCCAATTCTTCCGTTTGATTACCTCAATTACATTTTCTTCCCTGGAAATTTTTAGAGGCTCACTATATTCAATACTACAAAGGTCAAATAATATGTATGGTTAAAGTTGAATATCCAAAACAAAAAAATCAGCAATATCAGTAAAAGTGCACCAGACTCTACCGACCACAGGATATATCCTACATTTTAAGGTATATAACATACAATGAAGTTAAAGAGCACTATTGCTAGAATACATTACTCAGTAGCTTAAAAGATATATTCCACAATGAATGATATATGCATTCCTTAAGGAAAGCTATTTAGAGAAATTTCTAGCTTTTAATGCAAAATAAATAAAAATGTTACAAACATTATATATTTAGAAAGACTCATAGTATTTCAGAAGGTATTTCGAAAATAGATGCAGGTACATAAATTACTTGGAGACCAACACATAAAGTATACATATATATGTATTATAAAATTCCAAGAATTGTCTAATACATTACAAGAGAAGTTTGCGACTGCTATACTTTGGTGTATTTTTAACGGCAACTCTTTCTATTTGATCGGATAGAGAAAGCATCTACCTAATATTAACTATTGCAAGAGATATACTGTAAATCCAAGCTGTATGGATGTTTATTATAGTTTAAGGAAGACAATTTACTGCCCCATCAATTCGCCACCATTTTCGCATCTTGCCAGCTGGTGAGATAAGCTCGGTATAAGCTAAAGTTTGCTTTTTTTCAATAACGTCCCAAGCTGTAAAATACTTAAATTCTCTACCAGCGATATTCACTTTAACGTCAATCTTATCTATGTCGAAACGCATTTCCATAGCCATAAGTTGATGAGTAGTTGTCTTATTCTCAGCAATCGGAAACTGTGTATCAAAAATAGCAACTAGGTCAATGTCTTCAGTAGTAGGGTATTCTGGTACCGGCTCATCACCGTCGTATGCGTACAAAGCTATCAAAGACCTTTAGAGTAAGTTCATGCAATATAAATATTTAAATAAAGCTTACATATAATCGGAAGACTATCCTTTTTCCAGGTAAGATTCCTAGTAATCCATACTTTATCGTTAACTGGGTACCCTTTGCGTATGTAAACATGGAATTTGTCTTGTGTGGATGTTTTATTGTTATCGTCAAGCTCGTCAGTAGGTGAGCATAGCTTTATGCCATATGTGCGACGTAAGATGCGCCTGGTGATTATCCGACTTTCTTTCTCAAACAAGATCATTCCTTCCATTACTGCTCTATTTCCATTTTTAACGACTTTGATATTCTTGACTCGACTTCCACAAATATCTTTAATCCGTGCCAGAAGATAAGGCGAGCTTCCAAACCCTCCAGTAATAAACATGACGTCCAGGACCCTGCCTCTCAATTGTGTCAATTGTATTTCAATCATGGCCAGTACTTTATTTACTACTGGCTCAAACACCTTAGTGAAAATTTCAGCCACGGTAAATTTCTTGGCTTTACTGGGATTTGGATGCTTGCGAATATATATATCATTAATCTTCTTTATATGCCCAGATCTTTCATCATCGTCAACGTATAAGTATGGCTACCAATAATAGAATAAAATGAGCATGTTATGATCTTAATTAAAATGCTCGAGAGTCTAAGTAGTACCGTGTACTTTATACATGTATGTATGTATCTATGTATTACCTTAAGCTCGTATTTGAATTTCCACATAATGTTTAATAGATCCATTTCGCTGTATTCTGGGTGTCTACATGTACGTTCTCTTAGTAAAGCTTCAAACCGAGTGTCCAAGAAACTTGATCCGCAGGAATGGCCAGTTCCCATGGTGACCTCTTTGAGACCATTTTTTCCCGGTGAGTCGTCTTTCTCAAACACGGCAAGGTCAACAGTTCCACCACCAGCATCACATATCATGTAAAGGCTACCGTGTGCAAGCTTTAGTTCAGGAGACACTCGTTCAGCATACAAAGCGGCAGCAACAGTCTCATCAATAATTGACAGTTTTTTTGGACCGTCATATTTTTCGATTAAACCAGCGAGTACTGCGGCATTTCTCATGATATCCTTGGACTGTTCAGACCACATAGTTGGGACTGCCAGGCAATATTTGTATCTCGAAGGTTCATTGCATTTTGGGTGTCTCTTAGGTATTTGTTCACGAATCTCTAGGCCAATTTGCTTCAAGTATCCAGCAATAACTAAAACATATATATATATATATACTCATGTGGCATTATTATATGCAATTAAGTTATACTTGCGATCGTATATTTAGTCATTACCTTGTACTAGAGTCATATTAGGTGGTAATGGTGGAAGGTCTTCTTTTATGGTCCTGTCTAACCACAGTTTGACTCGACTCACATAATATCCAGAATCGGGGGTTTTCTTGGAGGCAACATCAGCATTAATTCCAAAACAAGCCTTACTATAGTCTACTTTTTTATAAAACATTGTGGATGGATGTTCTTTCTCCTTCAAGTAACAATCAAATCTTTATAAACACACAGTATTAAAGTGAGAAACTAAAATTGTTTCATTGTATGCTTAAAATGCGCAAATACTGCAATCATACTCTCCACGACCATAATTCTGCGCACAATTAGTATGTACGCATTTCCACATGTAGCCAGAATGCGTGGTTCCAAAGTCTAATAATCACACTTCATTATTACTACTAATACTAAATCATCAAAAGAAATCTAGGTATGCAAGACCTCTTACCTATGACAAAAACAATATCATGGTATCCAGAAGCGCCAGTCATTGTGAAAATTATATAACCTCCAGAATATGAAGAAAGGAAGAAGAAAATGTTAAAAAATAGGCTTATAAACCTTATATATATATGTGTGCGTGTGTTTTTTTTTTATATTCCTTGGAACACCTTCTAAAATTGGTATATTAGAGTTTAAAGTATTATATGTATTTTCCTTTGAGACATCTTCTTAAAGGGTAAGATGAGATCAGATGTATCTAACTCCCGTCAAACAAATACTTTAAAGCCATTCTGCTCAACACTATTAGCAAAGGTTTGGGATTAATATATATGTATAGTAGAATTTCTGTATTTGTCTATTGCTTAGAAAGGATCACAATATTAGAATCTAAACAATGATGAGCAGGAATTACCTACCAGTTCAAGGCTAATTACGTATACAAACTGAGAAACATATTTTGTACCATGTTATCGTACACACAACCTTTTGGTCATTGATATGTATGAATTGAGAGAGATGATCAATACTTTCTCTTATAAGAATTACACACGTACATGTATATACTTTAGCAATACAAACCATACTTACTTTAACAAAGGAAAATATTCATAAAGTCTATTATTTTATAATTTTTTTTTTTAGCCAAAAAAAAAACCTTCCTTTTATTATAATTTAAGCATAGGATCAAACCAATAGCCTCCCTTGCCCCCTTTGGCTTTAAACTTTCATAGTTTTAATGTAAAGACATTGTTTTTGGACATCTAATGCCAATTTTAGCCTACCGAAATTGAAAGCTACATTAGCATTTCCCAAGAAACAATAATACATAAACATCCTAAAAAAAGATACTACAATTTAAACTTTTTTTAAGCAGCAAAAAACAAATGTCTGTAACAGCCGCATATTTAGAGACTTTAGTTATTAGCACCAAAATATATAGCCAAAATATTATATTATGTCTAATTTGTATTAAATGTGCCTGGTTGTCAAGCCTATCAATTATAGCTATAAGACAAAAGCTGAGACGCTTTAGAAGTACTAGAGCTCCATGTAAATAATCAATATAATAAGAATATTAGTACTGCTAATACTACCAACAGCAATATATAGCATATAATAACATGCATGCTATCCCTTTCTGAGATCTTTATGAAATTTACAGATGAATACCAAGAAAAAAGAAAGGGAATTTTGCAAACGGTCTAAGCAGAGAAAATATACTTATGAAATATAGCTTTCTCTTTACACTTACACTGACCCATATTTAATTTAAGTATTTTTTAAAATCCCGATTTTTTTCAATGACAATATACAACTTCTTTACATCTTTTTATCATCTTAACGTATAGCTAGAGCTCTGAAATAATTATGAGTAATATATATTAGCTATGTGAATAGGTATATGTAATTTATTAGAAAGTTTAATAGTGGGTATGGAATCCATTATTTTTTCTAAGTTCTTTGATTCGATTTGGCATTGACATGCAATGTGCTTTCACTACTTTCTTCGATATTTTTTTCCATTCTTCTTGAATAGGTCTGGCCAACGAGTGTGAATTCGTTGGCTTTACCCTTCTAGCTCTCAGCTGGCGTTCCAAGTATGCCCAAATGTTTTCTATTGGGCTCAGATCAGGGCTGTTTGCTGGCCATGTCATCACTGGCAGATTCACCTCTTCTTTGTATTCTTTTGCCAAAATACCTTTATGGCAGGGTGCATTATCTTCTTGGAAAATGAACTCGCCATCTTTCCTTTGCTTAAGGCGTCGAAACCAGGGCATAAAATGAAGTCGTAAGAGTCTTATGTACTTCGTCTGATTTAGCGTGCCATCGACAATTACAAGTTTTCCCACTCCACCAGCCCAAATGCACCCCAGACCATCCCTGAGCCTCCTCCGCCTTGTACTCTTGGACGTACATAGCCTCTTCTATATTTCTGTGCTGGAGTGCGCCAAACACGCACATTTCCTGCCCTTGGATAAACCATGAATCTGGACTCATCACTCCAGATTACCCGATTCCACTGTTGATTGCGACGACGAGCATCTCTTGCAAACTTTAACCTGTTTTTTTATGTGCCTTTCCTTTAGCAAAGGCTTCTTTGCAGCAACACAAGAGCGTAAACCAATATTTTTTAAGGAATTACGAACAGCATCCCTCTTGATGGGTACACCTGAAGATTCCTGAATTTCAGCTGTAATCATGTCTAATGTTGCAGTTGGGTCATTGCGCGCAATATTTCCCAGAGCTCTCAAATCACAATCATTCAAGAGAACAGGTCTCCCTTCACGTTTTTTGGTAAGGGCAGTACCCGTTTTCTTCACTCTCTCAATGGTTGTTGTCACTGTCGTGTAGGGTAGCTCATACTTGCGTGCAATCTTAGCCATGGGAATTCCAAAGTCATAAGCGCCCACAATCTTGCCTTTCATGTAATCTGAAAGTTCGGGAATCTTTTTACGAGATTGTTTAATGATTTTAGGAGACATGAGAAGATTTGATTGAGAAAAAGAATGAAAAAATAAATAAAAACAACAATGGGTGCTTTTTCTCAAAATTTCCTTTTTGGTAATATACGTAAACTTATTCAAGGTCAGTGTATTGTTCGTGTCATACTCATCATTTCGAAGTATAGAGCACCTGTGCTAATATAAGCCCAATGTTTGTGACAGCTGGTTACTATTCAACGTTAAAGATAAGTACAAGACCAAAGGGTTTACTCTATAGACTATTGTTGGGAAAGAGATAACTTGTGTACAATATCGTAAGAAATAAAGCAAAAGGACGACTCTAATAAAACAAATTTGAAAACTTTTTTTAGGGCGTTTAAGAATTATTTTAATGTTGAATTTTTATAGAGTTGAATTCTTCTTACTTTTACAAAATAATCTTATGATATATTATCCAATATAAATAAATATTTATAAAAGATAGAGAAGTATGCTGCTTTATATGATCTTTTATCTTGTATTTAATTATAAATGCTTAATTAATCAAATTAATCAAAAACTAACCCCAAATATATATAATCATTTAATTTTATACATTACTTCACGCACAGTCTCTGCCTTGTCAATTGGGTCAACACCACTATTTTCAATGGCAATGGTTTTGGCAACATTTTGTTGGAAATTAAGAATGTCGAATAATGTGGCAAGCAATTCAAACATCTTGATCCATCCCATACGCCCAGAAAATGATCCAGGAATCTCTGCTGATCGCCGTTCTTTGTGGATGTAAGCTCCTGGCTCCTCTGGATTTAAAGACGTTGTTGAAAGGGTTATTACTTTGGAAATTACTTGAATGGAAAATGTCTCCGCCCGACAGAGGGTGGCAAACCTTGCAAATTGGTTATTTCGCAAGGTGTTATCCAGAAAGCCAATAGAGCTGTGCATATTCTTTAATATGTCGTCTCTCGCGTGGGGCCCAATATCAATGTCTTCACGACTCGTGTTGTTTATCACTAAGACTGGATTTCCTGCGGTGTCATATCCAAGTCCATCGTGGTATGGTGTCGTCTCACTATCAATTTCTTCAGGCTCTTCAGAATCTTTTTCATTATCCAAAGATTGTTCATCTACAGCAACATCACACCACTCAAAGCCAATAAGATCCGTTTGGCTTTCCAAGACCTGGAAGATAGGAATCACTTGGTCTATCAAGAATTTCAGATCAGACTTTGATTGAAATATTGGGCTTCGACAGCATTTGCTTGAGAAATCTGTTAGTAAGAACTGGATCATTCGAACCAATTTCTTCTCATCCTCTGACCAAGAGTTGCTTAGCGGATGTGACCATAGAAACTTTGGCAAGTCTTTTAAAGAGTTGTCCAAAGCAGAGCATAAGAAGCGGAGAGCACCTGGATATTTGTTCAATGTTTTCAAGTTTGCTTGATCCTCAAGTTCTTGGTTTACAATTTTTCTCAGACTATCTGGCAGAGTTGTATTATAGTCAGCCAGGATAGTCACCACTGGGGAAAGTTCTGTAATTGTTTCAAGTGGCAGCCTAGGTTTGTCAGGATTATAACTTTTCATGGTCGCAGGGTGGAAATCAAGCGTACTCTGGCCGTACGTGAGTGAGATCGTCTTTAAACGCTTGTATGTATTAGTATTTTCTTCTTTCTTGGGTGTCTCATGCACTTGATTTTCACGCTTGGATGTGCTAGACTTCTCTTCATGATCTTCAGGCTCTTCTGCCGTTACTTGTGGCAGATGCACAGCAACGTGTGATTTTAGCGCGTCAAGTTCAACAAAATGCTCAAGGCAAGAAGGACATGCATGATGAGTTTCGATATCTTTTCGGCTCTGCTTCTTTTCATAAGAAACATAGATTGTTGTAGATGTGTTTCTGTATCTTGTTTTAAGCGTACGTCCAGGAAGGTAGATGTCATGACCTATTAGATGTCTTCGAAATTTTTGTGCGGTAATAAAATCTCCCTTTTCGCACAAGAAGCAATCATTGGATACGAATATAAACTTTGCAGTTGTCATTGCTGACTGATGCCAAAAAAAAACTATGTAAGACGCCTTCCGCTATCTTCTTCTTTTCTCTCTCTCTCTCAAAAATCAAGATTATGTGGCGAGAAACCTTGATGACGTACAGTATACCTCAATCTATATAAAGAATTTGTCCTACGAGCACACTCACACTTACATTAACACCAATGTTATCTCTCTATAATTCTAATTAGCAGTTGGCTCACAAAAATATGTGTGCGTATGTTTAACGGATCAATTTATTATGTATACCTAAATCTAAGCTGTAGGGCGAGTGTAATGAATGTGATTTGGTGTATTCTTAAATGATATGACATAAAAGAAAGTAATTGGGTTTTTAAGCTAATAAGCATTGAAAATTAAGCTTTGTGTACATATTCTACATGACTTTTCTGTTTAATTCTTTCAAAAAATATTAAAAGTATTATGCATTTGCAACACAGGTGAATTACAACCACAACTTTATGTACCGCTTAATATGCAGCTCGTAAACGCGATCTTTCTCTCTCTACCTCTCTCTCTTTGTGTGTGTGTGTGTGTGTATGGGAGGGATTTTTTTCTTGCTGTAATCCAGAAGCGTATATTGATGACGCAAAAATATTATTTTAAATACCGAGTACACTGGTTCATATAAACTTGATATTTAACATTGCTGATTTTAACCCAACTTGCATCATGGATAATCATGCACCCTTAGCAAAGCGAATAAAACTATCGCTTGAACCTGGAATTGAACAACCAGCTGTAGACATAACAAATTCAGGCCATGAGATCTATAAAACGTACACACACACACATACATACATACATGAACATATTTACCTACAAATAAAAAGAAAAGAATAAGATTATATAAAGACATACATCAAAAAAGCAAAACTTTTCTTCTTATTCCTCTTCTTTTTCTTTCTATTATATATACATAAATATATATATGTATACTTCTTCCTTTTTTTGAAATTGCTTACAAATAAGCTGATCGAAATTTAAATCTACTAGGGAACAATCTCTCCCAGAAAAGTTGATGCAAAATGTGGATCGAATCTGGATGGAACGAGGCGATTGGCGCGATTTATCAGAATCCGATCTTAAAAAAGCTATTGAATCTAAAGACACAGAAGAAGATCAGGCCCAGACGCACGAAAACGAAGCAGACCAAACTACACAACCTACACTAGTGCCTACACCCGGATTTGATATTGTCAAATTGAGAGAGTCTGTATTGAACAAGTTATTGTAAGAAGTGCTGTTTTTTTTCCCTTCTTCTTCTTCCTCTTCTCTCTCTATTTCTATCATTGTTTCTGCTATCATTACGCACAAGTAATCAGCTTTGGAGAACAAATATGCCATGTCATATACAGAAATCGAGTTGAATTAATGATATAATAATAATATTAATTTTTTTTTCAAGTCATGCAAAAAGTGAAATTGATGTGGCTTTGGATGTTATAAACATCTTGGCTACTCAGAGTCGACCAGGAGCTGCTGTAAAAGATCTTGTTCTTCCACCGGGATCATTAACAGCAACATATGTGTCCAAACCAAAAACAACGCTCAAAGCACAATTGGAAGCAGTTCAACTGACGCTAGGTTTAAAACGAAAGGTAAGCTAATCTAAGCTAAATATATATATTATTATTTTTTTAAGAAAAAAAGCGTAAAGAAGAATGTGGTTGTACACATGTACAAATCTACATATAAATTATACATTATACATGTATCTATATATTTACTTTGGATCGGGAAATATTGGATTTCACAAAATATGCTCATTTGTACAGCAACAAAAAACAGCGTCTGCTTATCTCAAAGCAAGCGCATCCAACCTTCGAAAATTAGTCGAAAACGAAAATTCGTTTTGGGAGGAGGCTCTAGATTTGAGACGCAACCATTGGTTGATGCAAGCCAACAGCTCTCCCCCGATTCCCGGAATGACAGGAACAGGACCAACCTACCTGGTTCAATATGGATTTACAGATGGTGTGTTTGTATTCTGTGATACAAAATAACTGCAAAGAATATGATACTTACATTATGTAAAAAAAAAAACAAAAAAAAACAAACAAACAAACAAACAAACAAAAAGTTGGTTCAGACTTTAATGAGTCTTCGTTGGGTGATCTTGACCGAGCAAGTACAGCTGAAAGTGAAGAAGGATCGGCAAAGATGGCTCTTTCATTGCCACACAGCGAACCAAAAAAAATAGTAGTGCATGTCAGTCAACGTCAAATGGGATCCCTTGGCCTCAACTTTGATGTCTTTTCAGAAGGTATTCTTGGAATGACAACGAGCTCTAGATCTCAATCACAAAAAGGTAACTTGGCAATATTATTTCAATATTCAATAAGGCATACCGATTTCTCTCTCTTTTTTTCTCTTTCTTTTATGATATTTTATTAATATTCAACATTACTTTCCAGACACAGCTGGGCCTTTCAACTTTCACAGTCCTTCCAACCAAATACAAAAACAGTTACTTGATGCTCAGGCAACCATATTTGATGCCGAATTATTTGCAGACGTAAGAAGGCAAGGGGGCCATTAGAGAGATTCCTTTTATAATTGTTATTATTTCTTTTTAAAAAAAGAAAGAAAGAAAGAAATGTAAATGTAAATGAAAGGAATAATAGACTGACGGGAGACGTAGATTTTATCAGAAGCACAAACATTTAACAGCGACATTCGAATGGCAGACGACGAAATGATTCTCACGATTGGTGGCCAAATCGATGTATCTATCAAAAAGGTATCTGGAAGTATACTGTCAACCGAGCCCAGAGTAGAACGTGTGACGACGCAACAGATGGCAGGCCAAACGATCGAACTCTGTTTGCGACTGATGCTTATCCAGCGCCATCGCTTCAACATCTGGAAAAGCAGAGCACGTATACTTTCGTCTAGCCGGAAAGTACAGCACCTCTTGGCGTCTATCGGAGAACCTTCTTCGGTTGGGCCTGCTGCTGTAGGTTCCATTAATGCAACCAGCAGCCACCCTGTCGGCTCTATTGTTCCTGCTGCCGTGAATGCCGCCACAGCTGCAAATAATAGTAGCGGTAGCAGCAATATTAATAGTAATATCAGTAATAGTGGCACTGGTAATGGTAATCCCAATGCTTCTTCTGCTGGTGCTGGTAACTCTGGCATTACCCGTTCAGGACGACCTCAGCAAGCCGGTCTTGCGTCTTCACAGCGACCCAACACACGCGAAACTCTTCCTGATATTCCCGTTCTCTCGCCTGTGCTGTCAATGTCCAAATTCTGGGTTTTGTTTGACCGATTACGCCACGTGGTGTATAATACGATTGATCCACTATGTGGAGAAGGTGGTATTGGCCTCACAGTGCATTTCAAGACTCAGAATGTGTTATTACAGCCCAAGGCCAATGTGAACCACACAAGCTATGATATATATCCTAGTTATGGAGACATGGGATTCTGTTTGTCTGTCAGTTTTTTGAAAGGGTAAATAATGTAGCTAAAAAAATACTTGGAAGAAAATGACAAAAGATAATTTATTATGGGAAATGAAATTAACAAATTAACAAAAAACATATATATATATATATATGTAGACCTTCTCTTCAATTTGTTCTGAGCCAACAGGGGACCATAACTGTGGTCATGCCTCAAAATACGGTTGTCCTGACACAGGTGTCAGAGTTTGAGGCTCTTTTGTTACGAGAAATCACTCTGATGTGTTTAGAGATCGTGTGCGAAGAATGCAATGCGGTCGTTCGCCAATCTGGACCTTACCTGGATTCAGACAGCAGTAGCAAGCTTATGTTTGGTTGGAAATTAGATGAAGTGGAAGAAACTATTCACGGTTATTTGTGGTGGGCAACACAATCAAAGAGTGCCAAGGATTCACATGTGTGGAGAGCAGTGTAAGAAAAAAAAAGCAGATATATAGACCTCAAACTAAACCGAACCAAACCAAACCAAATCAAAACAGCCGTAAGCAGCAAGTAACTTGTGCTTTTTTTGTATTATATTATATTTGGTTTGGTTGGGCTGGGTTACTTGTCAAGTCTAATATTACTCACTTATTTGAATGTCTATATACCGCTATATTATAGTCAGGTTCGGTTGATAAAGACTTGTGGGTCAGGGAATATGGAGAACAAACCAGCCTATTCTCTTCAATTCCGTGTGGATCCACTTCCAGCCACCGCACTTCACCCCGCTGCTCCAAAACTAGTCCGATCGGTTACTCTGGCACGATCGTTTAGTCAAACCGAGTCTATTGCTCAAGGTTGCTCCTCTCTTACTTTCCGTGAGCGTGTCCGTAGGCTGGTTATCTCTATGATTGAGATGGGGTTCCCTGAAAATGTAATGTCTAAATAATTTGTAGTTTCAAAAAAAAAAGAAAGAAAAACATCACTATCATCTACCCAACTCCCCCTTTTTATTTTTATTTTTACTTTTACTTTTAATTTTGGTGCTTTTGTATTGTGCATAAAAGAGACTCGTTGTAGAAATGCATTCTGGTTGTGCGTACTAGTTGAACTGAGCATTCCTTCTGTCAGTAGATGGTTAGTGAACTATTCATTAAGGATGGGTGCTACTGACCAGAAAATATTTCAAAATAAAAGCAAGTAGAAGGAAACCCATGTTTGGTTGTATTAAACTATATATATATATATAGAGAGAGAGAGTAAATATGCAATGTAGTTGTTGTTCTTGGTTGTCAGACTGGGTTGTGAGTCTATTGAATTTGTTACTTTCCCAATGAATTGAATTGAATTGAAATGACTAATAAAACATACCGTTTTAGCTCTAATGAACAATGTATTGATTATTATTATCACTATCATTTGGGGTAATGTTTTCCAATCGATGGGATACAACTATTATCATTATTGTACGCCATAGCTTATCCCACAAGATCTGATATAAATATATGTATATGTATATAATAAAGGTCTTAATTCTCTCCTTCTATTTGAAAATTAAAGAAACATCATCTCATTTGAAAGTTGTACTTTGTCAAACAGCAAAGAATTTGTTGTTGTTATTGTTGTTGCTTTTTCTGTACAAACTTCTCACCCCCTTATTTAAATACAGAGACACAGACATAGGCACATATATACCGTATAATATCATATCATATCATATCATATCATATCATATAAAGACCAAACTAGACCAAACCAAATAGAAAAAGAAAAAAAAAGGAGGGAGAAGGGGGAAAGGGGGAGTACTCTTTGGTATCATATTTAATCATCATTTCCGGCATGGAACGTTCCTTTCAACAGGAGATCTGCATTTAGAAACGCTGAGGAAAGTAAAATCGAGTTGGCATGATTACAAGAGTAAAATAACAGGAGAGACAAGGAGACATATCTTTGTAGACCCTATCTATCTAAGATGGTGTTGTGTTCGAACCAAAAATAATAAAAAGAAAGATGTTTGATTGATTAATTCATTCATTCACTCATTCAGACTCTCGGATCTCATTTTAGGCTATTCAATGCTCAATGCTCAATGCTCAATGCTCAATGCTCAATGCTCTGTTTCGTTCTGCTTTAGGGCCAGGGGGTTCAACTACGGCTGAACATTACCCATTAATCACAATTGACCAAGAAAGAATTTATATACATCTTATTGTTAATTCTAATGATACTTGAATATATATATATTTTTAATTAACATTGGATATCTTTATCTATTAAGAATTGTGTGTGATATCTTTGGCTAAAGACTTGACATACCTCGTCCACAGTCATATATATATATATAAATGAATGAATGAATGAATGAATGAATGAATGAATGTAGCTTGTATTAACGTATTGTTACAAGTCCCATTCGTTGTCTATATAAAAAATAATATAAGAATAATAAGAACACAAACAATAATCTGTATCTCCCTGTCATTCATTTCTCCTCTCCACTGGACCGTGCGTTACCTTTTTATTGTTGCTTTACAGATTACATATCGCGGATTATACATTACAGTTTTATCTATCTACTTTATTTTCAAATAATAATAATAATAATAATAATAAAATAGGTGTTGTTATTGTGCTCAGCATCAATTTCACAATATGGGATCAGGAGAGTTAATAATACAAGAGGACGCCAAGAGCACATTATTATTATTATCATCATCTTGTGAAATACCCACTTCCTCACCCGCGGATGCAGTGGCAGTGGCAGTTGAAGTGGAAGTGGAAGTGGACGAACCAGAGACACCAAACGATTCGGCTTTTCACACACCTTATATGGGCCCTATGATCACTCATCGAGGCTCCGAAACAACAATGAACCTAACAAGCCATTTGTGTACCAGTCAGAGCTTTGGCACTCTATCCTTTTACCATCTAACGGACACAGAGCCATTGCCAGAACTCTCTTGCTCGGAATCTACCAGCCATCCCGCGACAAGCCAGCAATCCCACCAGGCCCAGACTATCGATACCCCCGATCCTCCTTTAGTTCTGTCACCGTATCCGTCTCTTTCCCCGTCCTTATTTCCATCCTCGAATTCATCTCCAGTTTTACATTCTCCCCCTCCCCATCCTCCTCCACCGCCACCACCACCGCATTCACCAAAAGCATTATTGCCACCTTTACATAATACACAAACACAAACACCAACACCAACACCAACACCAACACCAACACCAACACCAACACCAACACCAACACCAACACCAACACAAACAGCAACAGCAACAGCAACAGCAACAGCAACAGCAACAGCAACAGCAGCAGCGCAAACTCAAACTCAAACGAAAAACCAGCTTTCACACTCCCTTTCACTTTCACGTTCACTTTCACATTCACTTTCACTTTCTCATATTTCAATACTTTCGACCCAGTCAGGCTCCCAGGATGTGCTACAGGTTCCACTTGCTGCTAGAACCAAAAGTGTTTCCCGCTCCCGAGAGGTTAAATTAGACATGGGCTCTAGTTTAAGCCTTCCGACAAACCTTCATGGTTCTCTGACCCTCAACTCAAATGTGTCTTGCCTGACAGGGTTTTCGGGTCAAACCTTGATGAATGCACCATCCCAAACCCAACTACACCAACAGCCACACTCACACTCACACTCTCACTCTCACTCTCACTCGCGTTCACGTTCACGTTCACGTTCGCGCTCACGTTTATACGTGCACCAACAATCACAATCACAATCACAGCCAGAATTATATCTACCACGGGGCGATCAGTCAAAGGCTTGTAGACTATACTCATCTTGTTACCAGCTCAACAATTCGTCTGCCGCAGACTCTCTGTTTTCTATCCTGTCTTCGCCATCAAAACTTAGTCAGTCGTGCCCACAATATGTATTCAACCCACCCAACACATGTCTTGATCTGACAGCAGACCAGACGGACATTAAGGATCCTGATTTTGGATCGATCAAAAGACGTCCATCCCGACGTGGAGTGTGCAATATTGTGACAATGGTGCTTGTGGCAGGATTGATATTGTTTTTGTTTGTTGGCTACCCAGTATCACTCTATCTAGCAAAGCAAAAAACAGGGCACCACAAAAATTAACTGATAGTAGAATACAATATAATACAATACATATATAATAATAATAAAAATATTAATATTAATAATAAAAATGAATCCTTGCTTTTTATTATTATTATTTTTATATATTTAACATCACAGCAAATATATAATTATATATATATATATATATATATATATAATTCAAAATTATTAAACATCCAATGTCTAGACATGCTAAAGTAGTATATATGCACTCTAAAGTTTCCTGTTTTCCGTAATATTCTATTGTCAGTAACAGGCACAAAAGAAGAAGAATAGAATCGAACACAGCTAGACACAAGAGGTAGAAATATAGATAGTTAAATAAACAAATGGACAATTCTAGAGAACAATAAGCCCAAACAAACAGGGGACTGTTGGAAGTACAAAGTACAAAGTACAAAATACAAGGTACAGAGTGGTAACTTGTATATGTGAAACTTTGAGTGTGAATGAATGAATAAATAAATTTTACTTTATTTTTGCACATGTGTCAAATATATATATATAAACGCATGTATAGATCATATAGATAAATTTTGAGTAGAGTTGAGTCTATTGGTGTTTGAACCAACTTGATATCAAATAGAGGATGTACTACGGTAGAAGCAAGTTGTACAAAGAAATAGAAGAGTCTCATATGTTTCAATTGGTGTCCTTTATTCCACAAATAGGAGGCCCCTTTTATTAGTATTAATTATTTTATTTTATTTTATTTTCAAAAGGAAGAGTGTGTGGTGTATGGCATTAAGAGTATCAAGTAATGAAGATGCAAACAATTTGGTCATATTGATCATCATTATCATCATTGTCATTCTGTATACTAGTTGTCTATGCAATTTAGATCAATTATTGGTGTAGATTACACATCAAACTGCATGTACTGCATTTGTTTCTGATTTTAGCTTTAACTTTACAGAACAATAAGGACAATAGGAACAATAGGAACAATAAGGTCTGTAACTTGTTTCCTTGAATTGAAATAAAAGCTAAAATGTCTACATTTATACTCGTAAATTTTACTATTAACTTGCAACCCAAGCTATTACTTTTATGTCTGAGGAAAGAATCAATGAACAATTATCTTGGGCTCTTAGTACCTTGTAGGTTGAATTGAGCTGAATTGGGTAAAGTTATCCTGTCCATAGAAATCTATAGATTTGATCATTGAATTTCTTTTTATTTACATTGTGTTATTTAGATTGACAGCCATGCCTTTGTAATTTCTACAAACCAAATCTTTCTCTTATTAATCTTTCATTTGCTTGGATCAATTTATGAATTGGCTATTGATACACTTTTCAAAAATGACATTACTAAAATGCAATACAATTTAGTACGATAGGATAGGATAGGATAAAATACTAATTATCTTGACTCTAATTTGTAAACCGTGTGACTGATTGCTAAAAACTCCTTTATTTCTATACTATAAACATAGTGCACTCACTATTAGAACGTAATGCTTGGTCTTTCTATGTGATTCTTTTTCGTTCTTTGTCTATAAGATTATAGAGATTAAAAAGGATACTAAGGAAAGAGTAGAAAGGGGCTATATGGGCCATACGATTTCATGTGTAGTGAGTTTGTACGTTAATGGTTAGTCCAGTGAAGGAAGTAAGGGAAGCTAATTTGTAAGAGATGTAATGATTTTAATCTTTCTATTGTCAGTAAGCGTAAAAGTCAATAAATCAATAATTATAAAACTCTATTTAATTTATTTAGGTTAAAGTGTTGTTGTAGCGTATTATATACTGTAGAATGAACAAATGAATAAGTAGATGGTCAGATGAAGACATGTGTAATTCGGAGTACCATGCGAAAATATTGACCTAAGAAAAGAAAGGACACAAATGAGACCATTTTTATTTATTTATTTAAACAATTAATATGTAATTATTTCTCTTACTTATTATAAGTAAGAGAAAAGAAGCACTTTCTTGTATTTCATTATTTTAGAGTTGAAAGAAAGACTTTCTTAAACGCTTTTATCTAATGACGTGAATTATGGATGAGATCATAGAAGAAAGAATATTCTGACCTTAATAACGCCCTTTCTTTCTTTTTACTGCTGCTGTTACTACTACTATTGTTGTTGTTTTTGATGTTTTTGTGGTTCATTGCTCATAAACACACATGTAATGTTTAGGGAGAGGAAAAGAAAATGATTATTAGATACAAGATGTGGTTACAATATGTTTCAGTCATTTGTTTGACTCTACTTATTCAGCCCAAATTTTTGCAAGTCAATTCAATTCAATTGAACTCAACCAAACTTTATTATTATTATTATTATTATTATTATTATTATATATATATACTTGCTGGTAGCACATGTAATGGAATATCACACAAATGTCCCTTGTATCTCTCTATATATATATTCACTGTGGGTATATATTTTATATACATATAAAAAAAAGCCATCAGTCGTTTTGATAGAGAAAGACAGGGTTGTATTTCATATGTTTATTAAGGCTGTGGTAATAAGGTATATGCATGCAAGTAACTAAGTAACTAATCATCACCACTACATATATATATATATATATATATAAATATAATAGAAAGGCTTCATGCACGCAGGTTCATGAGGTCCACACTTCAATTCGGACAGCTGGATCCAATACACGATCTACACGGAGACATAAGATAGATAAAAGAGTAAAGCCATATGATCAAAATAATCAATCAATCAATAGATTTACTTGGTGATTAATTATAGCTCTTATATATATATAAAAGAATAATAAAAATCAATGAATAAATGAATGAATGAATTGATGTGCAAAAAGGAAAGGTTTATATACAAATCCCCATCTATGGTCACATACATACATTTATACCTTTATTTTGGCTTATCTTGGAAAGATGTATAGCTTCATACTTCGGTACGATGCCGATAATTTTCTTTTTCTTTTTCTTTTCCTTGAATTGAATTGAATGGTTTTATTGAGAGCCTATTATTTTATATCTATCTATATATATTATGTATTGTATTTTGGTTGTCATAAGGTCTTTATGGCAGATGTGTAGCACTTCGGCTAAGCACCGATGTGAGAAACAGTTATGGCAACATGAGCAAGCCTATATATAAGAGGTAGATTTCTTATTGCATACACACAGTGAGAGAGAGGGAGAGAACTCATCTAAACACATGGTCAGACAATAAGCACTTGCAGAAAAGCGTATCACTAAAATAAAATATAATAAAATAAAAGGTGCGTATAAGTATATTGGTGTTCGGATGGATCGGTTGGGGGCTGCCGGAACAAGCTTTGGTTAAACATAAGAAAAAAGGCTGTAGTGTATAACATAAAAGGACATTTCTCTAGTTGGACTAAAAAATAATCCAAATTAGGACTTGATGTAAACATCATACCAAAAAATATTTTTTTTATTCTATTATCTTGTCAAACTCTGTCTTCAAACGGACCTGCCGTTTTGTCGATCTATATGGCTCACCTAATTATCAACCATTACACAAGAAATACAAAATAGATATATATCTTTAATGTCTTGTGTCTTTTCATTAGACTTCCTTTCTCTCTCTTGTTATATACATATACTTCTTCTTATTTTTATCTCATTTTATATATAAAATATATATTATCATCATCATTATCACATCCTTAATTATAACTCATCAAATTTATCACCATGGCTCTCGATTTTTTATCAAGCGACATTATCTTTCCTTCAGACTCAAATGAACCAAAGCTCTCGGCTTCCTCATTAAAAAAGATGCCCCAACCAGTCGATTGGGCTCTCCACGACTACTACAGCACAGTTCTCGAGAAAGCACACACCCCAATTCAGTCCCTCACAGATCTCTGCAAACTCGAACCCGTCACCTCAGATGAAATGACCGAAAAGGCATTCTATGCATCTGTCGGGTCCAAGGTCGCCGCCCTACCCTTCTTCTCTCTCTCCCAGAAGCAAGACGAAAAGGCCATCATCCTGGCCCTCGCCAGTCACCTCAAACCTGTCGCTGCTGCCTTGGCCAAATCTGCCACACCTGCCCCTATGATGGTCATGCCAGACCCTCAATCAGATCTACGCGCTGCACTGTGTGGAGCATTAGAATTGGTTGAAAACGACATGCAACGCAACGTACACGACACATTCTTACCCTTACCGCAGGTGCTGGACACCAAGCAGAAGCGAGACAGCTGGAACTGGAAAACTGAAATGCTTCAAACCAAACTACATAGCCCGGTCAACCTCAAACAGACCCGCGAACCCCAGTCTTGGGAGAATGACAGTGACTTTGGGTTTGCTGATTACACAAACCACAATCTTCTCCATATCAATCCCAACTCTCCTTCTCTTGGCTTTGCTAAGATTGATGAGGACCCAGTCTTGCTAGACTCTTCAATCAGTTCAGCAATGTCTTCCGAAATCAGCACAAGCGATCACGACGATCACGACGACGACCAAGAGAACGACTTTATTCCACCTCAGACTCTAATCTCCTCCAGATCTTCTGTGTCTGCTGTATTCCCAGTCACACAAGAGCCAAAGAAGGAGGTCATGGCGCCCATCGTTGCACAGACCCTAGAGTCCACTCCAGAACCAATTGCAATCCAAAAAGCCACACTTCTAACCACAGCCAGTACAGCCAGTACAGCCAGTACAGCCAGTACAACCAAGGTTAATGCTTGGAAGAACTTTGTCGACAAGGTCAAGAATATTGCCAAGCCAAACAATTCCAAGCAATCTCCTTCTACTACCAAGAAATGCCTTCGCTTCTTCCAACGCCGTTCTTACTAGACTCTCTTTATTTTATATATTTATATATAATATCCAACCACAAAAAAAAAGAAAAAAAGGAAAAGAGGAATTTCCCATTCACACCCATCAAATACAGCCTCAATCACAATCACAATACCTTTAGTTTTATTCCTTATACACACTACACATAGACAACACTTGCTCAATATATAACACACATACAATCTTTCTGCTGCTGTTGTTCTTACCTCTTTGTAAATATTCACCTTTCCTTCTTATTCCTTTCTATACACTTGTTTGCATTCCATTTAAAGAGTGCCAAAACCAAAACCAAAATACTAAAAAAAATATAATGTTTACTCCAAACACCATTTTACTTTTTCCTTCTATTATTTGATGTAAATAAGTATCTATTTTGATCCTTTTCTTTCTCTTTCTTTCTATGCAGTCTAGTAATAAAAAAAAAAGTCCAGTCAATTAATATAATATAAAAAGACATTTAAGTTTTTCTTCAATAAAATACACATAAAAAAAAGATGCTTTTAATTAAGTGATCAACTATTGTTATTATCAGAGTCAGAATATTCAAATATGGGGATGACCGCGAACCCTTTTAACGGCTATAGTACATAGCATAATTATGTACTTGATCTGTACATCTACTTTCTTTTTTATTTAAAAAAAATTAATTGATTGATTATAATGGTAGGGAGCCAAATATCTTTATTATTTTCGATTCTGAACAACAACAACAACAACAAAGGAATAATCTTAATAGACTTTCACACAAAACATATAATAAAAATAATAATAAAATTACAAGGGACCTTTGGATTCTCATTAATAATAATAATAATAGAAACCTTAAAAAAAAATACAAGGGCTAGAAAGACAGAGAGTATTATCTCTATCTATCTGCACCTTTCGTCATAGTTATTGTATGTGAAAAATAAATAAATAAATAATAAAAAGACGGGGGAAGCTGAGTGGGGCGGGGGCTTATACACATAATGCATGTAGATGTGTATTTCATTATTTTTAATATCGTACTACTTGTACGATAGTTTCACATTGTACGTCCTTCCATGTTGAATATTACTTCCAGTTGTCCATATTATTATTATTATTTTCTTAGTTCTTAGCACACTATAAACACACTACACACAAAGAATAGACTTTAATAAGGAAAGGACAGAGAGTTAAAAGAGTTAAAGATAGATAGATATCATTATAATATTAACAAGTCTTATTTTATTTTTGGGTCTTTCAAATGGGCTGATTTGCAGAAAGAGATTTATACATGTCTGTCTAGATTTACCTGTATATCAAAAGTCAATTTTTAACACTCTTGGTTAGCTGGTTGTATCGGTTTTATCTTTTTAGTCAAGAATAATAATAATAATAATAATAAAAGGATGGTCTGTCTCTCTCTCTATACTCTAGTCCTTGTTTTCATTCTCATTCACCCACTCTCTTTTGACGCTGCTCTTGTTCAACTGTGACACAGATACACAAGAAAACAAAAAAGCCGGCGGTGGTTTCCATATTATTAAGAACAAACATTTGGCATTTAGTGTAACAGACTGTCTTTGTATAGGCACCCAAAGAAAGAGAGAGAGAGAGATAGGGAGAAATGCCACAGATAATACACAATAATGATATTACCATTAGCTGCAAGTAAACAAATAAATATAATGTAACATTTCATCACTAAATATATACATAAAAGTACATATTTAAGATTCACAATTCAGTCATTACAGTATTATGATTACAATTACAATTATAATTATTATTATTTTTTTGGTTTTAAGATTAAATTTACTATCATTATTACTATTACTATTATTATTATTTTATGTACATATATATATGTGTACAAGTGTCCAATTGCGCGGTGGGCAAGTGTTTAATGTAAAGTGTATATAAAAAAATTCAAGGTTTTGAAGCAAGAATACATAGATACATGCATATGTTAAAACGTGCGTGGGATGATCTTATCGCACTAGACGTCACGACTTTCGCATGCCAAAAGTCCATGTTAGTTTTAGCACCAAACAAGAGCCTTTTTTTTTTTTCTTTCCTTTTTTAGTGTTAGCAAGGACATCATTATTTATATATATATGTATACATTTACATAATTATATTTCAAATATAGATCCAATTTTGATTCAAAAGGGTCGATTCCTTAAATAATAATATTATCAAAGAGTCCCAGTAGATTGGGTTTGGATACAGCTATATAGTCTGTGAATATTTATACTTATATATCCATACATAAATGACTTAATAAACCAGTATATCACCATAGCAATATATCAATTAATAAATAAATAAATAAATTGATTTATCACCATGACAAAAAAATATAGCAATACAATACAATATAAATATAAATATTAACTAGTTAATGTAAAAGCATTGATAAAAAGCATTATTTTTTTTGCCACTATGATGCAAGACCAGCTAATTGGGAAAAGAGAAAGGTGCACAGGTTTTTCTTTCTTTCTTTTTTTTTACTTGTCAATTATTGACTATGTTGATCACTGTACTTGTTTTAGATCAATCCACTAACCAAGTTTAAAATTACCTTGTCAATTTATACTGCATACAACATAGTACACTGTACTTTAGTGTAAGAAAATAAACCAAGCCAAGCCAAATCCGACCCATTGGTTCTAAAAAGAAAATCATCTTCCATCTTAATATCTATCTACTTTAACAACAAGTCTCTCATCATCAAATTCCACTCAAATAGTTAGCAGCCTTGATGTTCTTGGATTTCCAATTTTTTATATATTGACAAATTATATGCAGAAAAACAATACACCAAATATATAGATATATAGATAGATAGAAAAAGACTATTGAATGTAATGATTATCAATAGTGCGAGTATTTATTAAGGATTCAATGCATATTTTATTGTATAGTGAATAATTGTACAATCTGTTTTCAAAAAAAAAAAAAGTATCATGTTACTTTGTTCACCGGATACAAAGTGCTACAGATATGGATATAATAGATATACATCTTGATTATATAGATCAAATATCAGTTTTATCGACTTACAAATACATTGATCTTAAGAGCACCCGTAGCAGTAACATTTCCAACAGCATGTATTTTATTGGCCAATTTCAAAAACACGGCTTTAGATTTCAATCGTTTTTCTTTAAATCGAATAATAATAGTATATAATAATCCTTAAAAGATATCCTAAAAATTATTCTCACTACAAAGCTCATAGTCTTGAAAGCATTCAACTTGTATTCTTTTATATTAAAAATAAAATGATAATAATACTAATAATGAATCTACTAGTGAAAATTATATCAACTAGTATAATTATCTAAACGATTCTTTTATTATGTAACTAAAGTTTTACTCTCAATTTTCTTTTTCTTTTTACTGCTCTCAACTTCTGGCGTAGGTAATGAGCACTTTATTTATTGTCAACTGAAATGCTGCTGCTATGGAGGCTCTAATATTACAAAGGTTTCAATTATCTATTGTTATGTTTCTCTAAATGCCAGGAGATTTTTTTTTCAAGCGATATTTACTACAGCAAACAACGCTTTAAAAAAATATCTCTCTCTCATTATTTGGCCAATCATGTCTTCTTGTTTCCAGTCGAACGCCCAGTCGAACGCCCAGTTGAGCGTCCAGTCGAACGTCCGCGTGGTCGCCCAGTTGGTCGCTCGGCCGGGGAATCAGTTGAACGGTCAGTTGAATCCTTATTCATAGTATTGAATATCCGTTCGAATTCATTAACACCACATTCCTTGATACGCTTTACTTCCTCCTCATAGTCAGTATGAACCATCGGGCCAGAAAGTAGCTTGTTAACATTATCGATATATGAGAAAAGCTTGTCTGTACTAGCCGTTGAATCATCATGATCATCAACCAATGTCGTAATCAAATCCGCAGACAAGATATTCATTTCTTCATCCTTGATATATTTCTTCATATAGTCTCCAATCGTCGCCTCAGATCTTTGTCCATGCGACGCATTATCATTACTATCCATGTTCGTGTTCGTGTTCGAATCCGCTGTTCTTGGCTCAGAAGCCCTGACTGCCCTTTCTCTACTCCGGTGGAATTGAAGGATGTCTTTTGGGTTCGCAACCTTGTCGCTAAAAGTAATACCAAACCGATGGACATTAAAAGAACTATAACCGCCACTGTAGTCAACCCGAAGTCTGATAAGAGGTAAAGGCATAGCATCTTCTTCTTCTTCAGTGTGGTCTCGAATCCACCTCTTTTTGGATCTTTCAATCATCGCATTCACTATGTTTTCCAGAAATTTCTCGCACTCTTCTTGGTTTTGTGGATCGATTTCAGAAAAAAGGGCCAGGGCAATGTGCTGGAATTCAAAAGGCCGAACAGTCTTGAGAGGAATCTCTTCCAAAGCATATTTGTGGCCGGTCAGGGTCATTAGTCCAACGTGCTTTGGTACAGCCTCTCCCTGACAAAGACTGGTGGCGACAGAAGACCCAGGCTGGGTAATCTCAAACGACTGACAGTTTTCTGGACGGAGTCGGCACTCGTGTTCATGTCCCCAGAAAACGAGATCCAAGAATTGATGGATGTCTTCTTCGCGGACGTGATTTGTCGCACCGTGCTGGGCTCGGTTCTGATGCAAGACTAGCATGCTAAAGGCATCTGCCCATCTGTTCGGGCCCTCATCTTCGGCCCTCTGGAAGACCACCTTTCCTGTTCTCCACAGCCGATGCATCCGTTCGTCCGGAATGTTGCCTATTCCATAAAGCGCCAATTTTGTGTCTCCCTTCTGGAGTAAGATAGGCGACAAGACCGGCCTTTCGGGATCGTGACAATATCCAAAGTAGTTTATCAGTCCTGCGTTTGCCAAATGATTCAACGCAGACATATTGCTTATACCGATCGGTCGGTCATGATTACCGTGGATCGTGAAGATCGGATAGCTGATGTTAATATTTGGATTGTAGTAGTTTGCGCTCTTGAATGAACCTTCAAAGTTTACTGATTGATCGCTTGCAATCATAACACTATTCGGCCGATCTCCAAGGCAATGTCGACTCAGAATCTCTGTTGTTTTTGTGAGGCAACTGACAGAAGGAGTGCTGTCATGAAAGAGATCTCCACCAAGAATAATCATATCAACATCTTTTTCCGCAGCAAGCAGCAAGATCTCTTCAAATGTATTAAAGGAATCTTGTCCTCTAATCGGATCTCGTTCCAAATAACCTAAATGATTGTCTGTTGCGATGAGGATCCGAAGCGAATTGGAAATGTTACTTTCAAAAGACATGCTTTTGTTTTAAAGAAAGAAAAGGAAGGAGTATATATCTACTACATAGATTTTTTTTTAATTCTTTATTGGTTATTGCCGACGCGGTTTCGCGTCTCTACTATATAGATATCTAGATATAGATTATTGTTATTTTTTGTAAAGGGCACAAGTCCAAGTATTTATTACGTGTCACAAAGAGGAACGTTATTTGTTGTTGCTGTTGTTGTTGTTGCTGTTGTTTTGGTATGATAATTGAAATGCAAATATAAATCCTAGCAATATATATGCTAGATTTGATTCAGAAAAGAGCTGTGCGACGACAGAGTCGATATGAAGAAGAATTGAAGCGAGAGCAAAGGGTTTATCATCTAATATCAGCTTCCAATGTGATAGTCATATAGAAAGAATAATGCTATTAAGAATTTGGCAGGAATAAACAATGCAGTCAGGGAGAGGAAAGAAGGAGAGAGGGTGAAGTAGAATATAGCAGCATGGATGTCTGAAATCTGAGGGATGTAGCCAAGATTCTTATTCCAAGCGCATTGTTAGGCGATCAATTTTTGAGGACATTGGTAAAGGAAGTGGCGCAAAGTATCGACGCCAGTATAACAGATCGGACGGTCGGTCGTGGCAAATAGCGTAGGGGCATGGTGGTGGAGGGTGACTTGGAACGAGAGGGTATTGAGGATATCACGATGCCATATATTACGAGGTGTAGGTTGGGTGGGAAATGACCAAAATGTGTGCTATTAGTGAGCTGTGAGTGACAATAGAGCGATTGGTACTTTGGGTGGGGTTTGACATATAGCACAAACATTATAGGCACTAAGAGTGCTAAAAAGTTTGAAAACGAGGTACGGAGATGGAGTCCTTTCGGTAGGTAATCGAGGACGGACGTCCCCTAATTTCTCGTCATATATAAACGCACCAGACACTAAAAGCCTCCGCCAACCTGTTATAGTACGTCCAGAAGGATCAGAAAAAACAACTATAACCGATATTGATAAAGAGAGACAAGTATGGTAGGTGGCTGTGACAAAAGAGTTGCGTGGGATGGAATTTATCGCATACAGAACAGAGTGGAGAGCATTGAGAGAAGAACGCAAATGATGGTGTAGCAGGCGTTGAAACAACAGAGGTAATCGAATATCACCATGTGTTTGGGCAGGGTCAAGGGCGTGTTGTAGCCATGGAGTGACACACGAGCCAGATTCTGATGGATCCATAACGGGTTTCAACCATCGCATAGTAAGAGCTTTTTGTTAGGATTCAGGATCTAATATACCTAATTCACCTTGTGCCCGAGGGAAACAGAGGGGGATCAGGCCAGCCATGAGGAACATTTTCTGGCGAAGGAACTGACCCATAATAGACCTAAGTTTATCAAAGAACTTCATGGGGACAATAGTGACACTAAGAACATGTCACACCCGGGAGAGAGTCGGTATGTTATATAGATATAGATAGATACAAGGTGTGAGAAAAAGTAAATTAGGTTTTTACAATACGACGATACATCTTTTATTATTCTTTTTTTTTAAAAAAAATTAAAGCATTTAAATTTTTCATATTTTGACTACAAATAGTACAAAGCACAAGGTCTTTTATGCTCATATTCTAAAACTTTTGGGTGAATATATGAAGAGTAAGAAAAGTGCAAAGACTGTACACTTGATTTACATGTCCTGGAGTTTAAACATAAGTTTTCATTACTCACAATTGGGGTGGTCAGACTAAAAGGTTAAAAAAATAGTGAAAAAAAGGGCAAATTTTCTAAACAACTCTGATCAGCTAGTCCTCTTTCATTATCATTAATATTGTGAAGAACAACATCTTTTATGGAAACGATGTGCTGTAGGGCGCAAAGTCTAGAAAGACTCGCAATAAAAGATCCACAATTAATGACAGAGATGGCATTATAAGCCCTATTTTAACTTGTGTGTACTTAATTTTGAACTTTTTTTTGAACTTTTAGTCTGTCCACCCCAAGTGAGCTATTTATACGCTAGGTTCATTACGAAAGTTTAAAAGCAATTTTTTTCCCAGTGTTATATGTGTATAGTTATTTATGTAGTGTGTAGGAAAATGAAGAGAAAAATAAGAAAGACAGAAAATGTTTCTATAAATCTCCTTTTTATCTTTTTTTTGTCATAAAGAAATATACAGGGTTACTTAATATAAAGGTAGGAATATCAGTCAGTTAACCCGAATATTTGTGGTTAGTCAATAGTTGTGACAAACTTGAGCTTTATCATTTTATTGGAATGGCGCAAGTCCATTGAATAGGCTTATTTTCATTTTATACAATTGACATAGAAGAGTCGTTCTCTCTTACAAAAAAGAAAGGATTGATTTGTATGACAAAAGAGAATACATTAAATTTACCCGCGCCTGGTACAGATATCTTTACTAGGGGTACCTCTCGGTCCAGAAATTAGAAACAGATACTCTCCTTCTCCTCTTCGAAAGAGTAACAAAGAATTACATGAATGGATAAGAATACAACTGTGTAATTTGTGTGTAACTGTTTAAGATTATTATTATTTTACTCTTATACTGCAATATTGAATACACAAAGGTGATCAAAATAGACTTACGTACGCTTGCGTATGCTTGCGTTTGGAGTCGTCATGAAACCTTGAATCAATTGCTCTCCATTCATTGGACAACCTCTATTTATATATACATATTTGTATAATATGGGTGATATCAGTTAAATGATCAGAGAGCTTTGAGAGAGTTAAGGCAAATAAAGTCAAGATGTATCCAAATTACTGATACTCTACTTCTTGATCAATCATGATGTCTTTTGTGCAAAACAAAGAAAAAGATATATTTGCGTATTACATGTAAAAAACGAATAACTAGACAGGACTTTATACACCCAGAAGATATGCATAAATATATACACAAACAAATTAACCATGATCTGACAGCTTCTATTTAACAGTCAATAAAGGGTATCTATTCCTCTTATCCATATATTTTTTTGTTTAGTGACGTATAACACTGAGTTTTGGACAGCAAATTATAACTTGAGCATAACCCTTTAAACACATCCCAACCAACCCCTCTTCCCCTTTATCTACCTTACTTCATTTACTCCTCCTTGTTCTCTTTTACTTTTTTTTTAATAAAAGAAGCAGATCCAAATGGCACAGTCCAAGAGAATCCTCGAATACCCCAATGAACCTGATCGACAGTCTCTTTCTGCGCTTTTGGTGAGGAAAAATGCGCCTTTTAATGCAGAACCCACCCCGCCAGATCTTGTGAAGAATTATATTACTCCCATTCAATATTTCTTCTGCCGATCTCACGGTCCTATACCAGACCTTCAAGACGACCATACGTTTGTTATCAATGGCTTGGGTGTGCGTGGGAAGGAACAAACCTGGAGTGTGAAAGATATCAAGCAAAAATACGATAAGAAATACGTGATGATGGCTATGCAGGTAGAGAGATTGGATATAGCTCTAATGAACATTTGTCCTGTACCCAATCACCTTAAACGAATAAGCCCAGCTCACCGTCCCCTTAATTTTTCTATTTGGTCTTTGTGTTATAGTGTGCGGTACGACATTTTGTATTGTTATGGTTGTTACATATGGTCTGTGTACGGCTGACCGTGGGAAAAAAACCTCTATCTTAATAGGGTAATAGACGAGACGGCTTACATCGGGTTAAGCACACCAAAGGAGTAAGAAATGAAAGGACCAAAAAAAAAGAGAAGGGATGGTCTCCGTTAACTAGATACTTGACTTGGTTTAGGTTATCTGGGGACCTTGTGCTATTGGAAATGGAGTCTATGCTGGGTGCAGACTAAAAGACGTGCTGGAAAGCGTGGGGGTTACCAAAGATCTTCCTGACCTTGGACGACTACATGTCTCATTTAAATCAATAGAACAGGCAAGTGAATTTCTTTTTTGAAACCAACAATGTAAATCTATCTGTGCTTATTACACATCAATAACAATAGTAATAATATATATATAAAACTACAGTGTGAAGAAGACGTTTGCTATGGATCCTCAATACCTCTCACAAAGGCACTGTAAGACAACCTACTATCACAAAACAAACATAGAGGTGTTTCTCTTGGTCTGGCTCTGATTAACACAGCAACAACTTATAGGGATCCTTTCGGTGATGTCCTACTTGCATATGAGGTAACAGTTAAATCGAAATATGTTGATTGGGCTGAGAGAAAATGGGAATGTAAGCTTTAACTTTAACTAAAAATAACATCAGATGAACGGAGAACCGCTCACAAGAGACCATGGTCATCCTTTGAGGGTCGTCGTTCCGGGCTACATTGGAGCTCGGTCAGTTAAATTTTTGAAATCGATTACAATCCAAGGCTTTGAATCCGAAGCATTCTATCAACGTAGAGATTATAAAATTCTTCCTCAGCATGCAAGTAAATCCATATAAGAAGAAAAGATATACAAAGTTAACAAGAAAACCTGTATTTATTTTTTTGGTATTTTTGTCTATTCAACATAGGTAGAGAAAGAGGATCAAGCCGAGTTGTTTTGGTCAAAAATGCCATCTATTGGAGAATACAACGTCCAGTCGTATGTGTGTGATCCAGCTGATGGTCTACACTCAGGACAAACAAAGAACCAGGTAGTTCAAGGCTATGCATTATCAGGTATATTTTAGACAAAAAGTCAAAAACATGACTGGCCATTTTGTTTTGTACTCATGTAATCAATGCTTTCTATTTTTCATGTCTTATAGGAGGGGGGAGAAGTATACAACGTGTGGGTAGGTTTAGAAACTAACTGGCGTTTGTCTAATCATATGCTAACTAAGACAGTCTATTAGATGTTTCTGGCAATGATGGAAAGACCTGGGTAGAAGCCAGTTTGTATCAACCCGCTGCTGACGGGAAAGCAACCCATGTTTGGGGATGGTGTACCTGGACTGCTCGTGTAGACACAGTAGACAACGTACGAATTGTCTGCAGAGCTGGTGAGTCTATTTTTATTTATTTTAGAAAAAAAAAGACTTTGTGTGGCATTATCTGATATCTTATTTTTTTTTATATAGTGGACTCTTCTGGTAATATACAACAGGAACAACCAGTGTGGAATTACCGAGGAGTTATGAATAATTCATGGCGAACTGCAGACAAGAGGCCTGATGCAGTTCTATGAAGAATTTGAAATCAAAATTAATAAATAAATACATTTGACACCAGTAACTAAATATTACGGACGTCTATATTTCCTGGTAGATGGTAAAGTATTAACCGAAAACGAGGCTTATCTACCAGAAAATAAGACAAACAAAACTCATATACCAGAAAATAAAAAAATTCATAATTTACCTAGTCATTTTGACTATTGTTTCAATTTACAGAACATTTTCCTTAGAAAAAGAGATATTTATCTCAAGTCTTTTGCATCTCAATACAAATTTCCTAAGTGACTTAAAGAGCTGTTTCAATTTTTATGCCAATAAGTTAAGATAGAATAACATTCCAACACTTGTAAGACTGTTGTTAATATGTATGCTGTTTTATTTGTTTAAGCATTAATCGTTTAAATGTGTAGTTGAGAGTGTGTATTTTAGTAAAAGAAAAGGTTTTGTTCAAGGAGTATAGAATGTCTGTTTCAAATAAACAATTCAAAAACAAACAAAAAAAAAGGATTGGCATTCACCATTTCGGTTAAAACTTTATAATCTACCAGGAAATATAGACTTTCTAGATTTCTACGAGCTCGTATCGCATCAACGAGCTTGTTCACCACTGCTCACAAATCAATCTCTTGCCTCTGTTCTGAGCTAGAGCTTGACTCTCACGATGTATCTCCAGAATAACTCTACCCTCACTCCTACCCTAACTTCTGTAACCAAAAAAAAAAGCATAAAAGCCAAAAGCCAAAATCATCATATAATTCATATAACCTTTCAAACAAATATTTTAATTTTCTCTTTTCCTACTCAATCTGAGACTTTTAATAAATCTGAGCATATCATTCGCTCCATACAAATAAACAAAAAAAAAGGTACACACGGTTTCCCTTTATAGACGAAAACATATTCACGTCGACAGCGCGACTTATTGGCACGTGTATCATATTTACTTTATTTACGTGTTTAGAAAGGACACGTATTGACTTTGAAGAAGCACAAACATCTTTCCAACCCCTTTAATAAAATAGAACAAATTCATAACAGTCTTCTTTAACCTAATATATATATAAATTGGTTTTCTTATTGTATTGTCTGTTTTTATACATTAACAAGTCTCAAGCATATACAAGTGGTAGATATTTTGGTGGTGCCGTCATCACTAATCGTGACTCTTAAATCCGTTGCACAGAAGAGAAGGCGAATACTAAAAGGATGTGGCGTCATCATCAATAGTCTGTTGAGAGTCTTTTTCAAATGAGAGTGTAAACTTGTAGTTCAAATAAAATTAAATAATCAATTTATTTATATAAATAAAATAAAATAAAATAAAAAAATGAATGCTTTACTTGACGCATAATGTATTTTCCTGTATAAAATATTTCTATATTTAAAGGACCGGTATTGTATTATTTATAAGAAATAATACAATACATCTAATTTGACTCACTTTCTCGCTTTTAAATTTTCTCAAGTTGAACCATTTTGGAACAAAGTCTGACCAAAGAAGAAAGATAGAGAGAGAGACGTAATGAGCCTGCTTCAGAGATTGCCGATCGGCTGTCTCCGGGCAACAAGCATACCCTCGCTAGGCCTACGCACACAGAATGCCTGTCGACCAGTGCCTTCCACCACCCGTACCTTCCAGACCTTGTCTCGTCCAACAGTCTTTACCAAACATACCACCAACCACACTATTTCTGCTGTCTATCCTGGAGATTTTCGGCGTCGTCCTATACTGCAGACCACTCGGTATTTCCAGTCCTCTAAAGAAGCTGCTCCGACCCCAACCAAGCCTGGAGGAACTTCGGTAATACCTCCTAAACTGGACCCGTCTGTCACGCCCAAAGCTGTGGATATTTTGGCAGAAACGCCCAAACAGAGAAACGCCACAGATTGGGCAATCATTCGACAATTGATGAAATATATCTGGCCTAAAGACGACTATAGCGTAAAAGCCAGAGTTGTTATCGCACTATCATTACTCTTGGGTGGAAAGGTATTTATAACATTCTCTTTTTGTGGAATATGACTAAGAAAACTGATTTTTGTTTTTGGGAATTATAGCTTTTGAACGTTCAAGTTCCGTTTTATTTTAAAGATGTGATTGATTCTCTTAATATTCCCTTGGACGCAGATACAACTCTGTGGACCGTGTGTGGTGCTGCTATTATTGGCTGTATGTATCAGACTTCTTTGTATGTGTAAAAATATTAATTTAATTTAACTGGCAAATACCATAAACATAGATGGCTTGGCTCGTCTTGGTGCAAGTGCATTCCAGGAACTTCGAAATGCTGTATTCGCTGCTGTTGCCCAGAAAGCTATCCGTCGCGTAGCTCTCAATGTATTTTCCCATCTTCTTCATCTCGACATTGGGTTCCATCTATCTCGTCAGACAGGTGGATTGAATCGTGCTATTGATCGTGGTACAAAGTAAAGTCAAGTCCGAGTATTTGGAGGAAGAAAGAAAGAAAGATTTCAGAAACCGTCTAGGAAGGGTATTGATACTATTATTTGTTTCTGTTTGTGTGTGTGCATATAGAGGTATCAGTTTTATGGTAAGCTCAATGGTGTTCCATGTCTTGCCAACTGCTCTGGAGATTGGCATGGTCAGCGGTATTTTGGTAAGTCTTGCATGAAGGCTGTGTAACGAGGTACTCAAGCTTCAACCACCCAGGCCTATCAATTTGGTACACCATATGCACTCGTTACTCTGTGTACCATCACTACCTACACTGTATTTACTGTGGCAACAACAGCATGGAGGTAATGGATATCTTTATATATTAGTTATTGTTTGTTCGTGCTAACAAATTATGGACCAAATTACAGAACAAAATTCAGAAAACAAGCAAACATGGCAGACAATGAAGCGGCCTCAAAGGCAGTAGATTCTTTAATCAACTTTGAAGCAGTCAAGGTAGGACAAATAGAAAGAAGTGTTTCCTTGGGCTTGTTCTTACTCTTCTGTCAATATCCGTATATAGTACTTTAATAACGAGAAGTTTGAAGTGGAGCAGTACAGTGTTCCTCTGAAAAAATACGAAAAGGCTTCTCTCAAGATTGCTTCTAGTTTAGCACTTTTGAATGCAGGTCAAAATGCAATCTTTAGTACTTCCTTGACTGTCATTATGCTTTTGTCTGCTAACAGTGTTATGAAAGGTATTGTAGCCTTTCCTTTTTTTTTAAAAAAACAACAACAACGCATTACTGAATATTTGTTTGTGCGGAAAATCAGGAACCATGACTGTGGGTGATGTTGTAATGGTCAACCAGCTTGTTTTCCAACTGTCGATGCCGCTCAATTTTCTGGGATCTGTGTATAGAGAGCTTCGACAGTCATTGATTGATATGGACACCATGTTTAGTCTCGAAAACCAAAAGGCCTTGATCCAGGACGCACCCAATGCAAAGGATTATATTTTCAAGGGAGGAAACATTCGTTTCGAAAATGTTGTGTTCGGATATCACACAGAGAGACCTATTTTGGATGGTGTTAGTTTTACTATCCCAGCTGGAAACAAGGCTGCCTTTGTAGGCCCAAGTGGTTGCGGGTAAGGTGTCAAAAGGTGTCAAAGAAACAAATGGTGCATGAGCTAACACCATTTGTTCTTGAATGCTAGTAAATCTACCATTCTTCGCCTGTTGTTCCGTTTCTACCAACCTCAGCAAGGAGATATTTATATCGATGACCAGAATGTCAAGGATCTCAAGATCGATAGCCTTCGTCGTGCGATTGGAGTGGTAGCACAAGACACCAGTTTGTTCAACAACTCGATTTACTACAACATTCACTATGGATCTATTGAATCCAGTCGCGAAGATGTTTATCGGGCAGCCAAGCGAGCACATATTCACGATGTAATCATGAGCTTGCCGGACAAGTATGAAACCAGTGTTGGCGAACGTGGTCTGATGCTTTCTGGTAAGACAAAACAAGACAATGTAATATAATATAATATTTGATTTTATTTATTTTGAATATGGTTTTTAGGTGGTGAGAAACAGCGGATCTCTCTGGCGCGCACTATCCTCAAGAACCCACAGATGTTACTCTTGGATGAGGCCACTTCTGCTCTGGATACCCACACCGAGCAATCTCTTTTGGCCAACTTCAGAACCATCCTTAGAGATACGGGCATGACAAGTGTTCATATTGCCCACCGCTTGAGAACGATTGCTGATGCAGGTATGTCGATAAACATGTGGAAAGGGGACACTCTTGTCGTCAAACTAATCTATAATACATTCACCAGATCAAATCTTTGTCTTGAAGCAAGGCAAAATAGTCGAGACCGGGCGTCATGACAATCTACTGAAAAAGGAGGGAAGTGTTTATAAAGAGATGTGGACCAAGCAGGAGAACCCCCATTATTTCTCAAGTAGAGACGAGTCAGAGTTTCTGCCGGATGATCCCAACCCTACCAAGAAGGATTAGCCCATAAAAAGACAGAAACCCATTGATAACCTATGCATTATTTAACTAGAAAGAAGAAGTACTACTACCACTCCTATTAATTTCTTTCTTCATCTATCCCCTTCCTTTATCTTATATTCTTACATTTTCACACCAGCAACAACCATTTCTTTTTTCTTTGAAATATATATATATATTAATAGATGTAAATGTAGATGTAGATGTGTATATAATAATACACAGCATCTTACACTGCATATTAGACTTTTAGACCGTAACCTAAACTAAATATTCACATTGATTTTGACATACCTTTGTTGGGTTGGATAAGATCGTTTGACAAGACTTCTGTATGCGGTGCAACGTTGTGTCTGATAGTAACACTGTCGAGAAAAGAAAAATGTTTGCTATTGTTTAACAAGAAGTAAATAAGAATGCAAGTGTCAAGTGCGCGTGATTATATAGGCAAAAAAGAAATATGCTTAAATCAAAAGAGTCTCGAACCAAAAAAAAGGGTGTTATGAATAGCTGGCTTTGCTTGGGAAATATGCCCCATTTAGCATTTACAATTATTTTTTATTTTTATTTGTTTCAGTATTCACATAGAAGATGGAGAGGGGGAGGGAGAGAAAGATAAAAGAAAAGACTTGTTGAAATATACATTATTTAAGCGCTTTCCCAGAGAGAGTGGGCGACGTCGGGCTTCCAGGTAGGGTTGGAAGAATGGCCTTGGAGGCAGATATAGGTGTGGCCATGGTACTTGACGCGGTCACCAGTAGAGTAGGTGCCAACGGGATCCCATTCCTTACCGCTTCCACGCTTCTCCTTGCGCTCACAGCTGTTGTTGCGCTTTTCCTTACGCTCGCATCTCTTCTTCTCCTTCTTCTCCTTCTTTTCCTTGCGTCTGCAGCGCTTCTCTTCATCAGAACCAGAGCCGGAATCAGAGTCAGAGTCGGAACCAGAGTCAGAATCAGAGTTAGAGTCGGAACCGGAACCTCTGTTGCGACGTTCCTCACGCTTCTTGGACTTGGACTTGGAAGAACTCTCGCGGTGCTCAGAGGACGACTCCTCACGACGCTCGGAAGAGTTGTGGCTTTCGGACTCCTGGCGACGGGTGTTGGTCTGCTGGACTCTGTGGCTCTCCTCGCGCTCCTCGCGCTGCTTGCGCTCAGTCTCGGCGGCAACTCTTTGCTCCTCGAACTCGCGCTTCTCACGCTCAAAGGTCTCGCGCTCCTCGACGCGTCTGGCTTCTTCTTCTTTCTCCTGGGCCTCCTTCTGGGCCTCCTCCTCCTCGGCCTTCTGGTGGTCAGAGTAGGTCTTCTTGCCGAGAAATCCGACGCCGACAGCAAGAGCACTGCCCAAGACACCCATGGCGATGTCAGTGCCGAGAGCCTTGTTTCTGAGAGACTTGACGCGCTTGAGATGCTCCTCCTTGATGTAGGACTGGCCACGGATGACCTGCTGCTCGAAGGATTGGGTGACAGAGTTGGGGAAGCCCTGGGCGGACAAGGTCAAGTGAACCTGACCGGCACGCTTTCCATTGACAGCAAAGATCTCAAAGATACCGTTGAAGGTGGCACCCTGGGCATGGACAACCTGGTTGATGGGGATGGCGGCAAAACCAATGACCTCGGCAAAGGTGGACTCCTCGTCCATGACTTCGATATAGAGATCGGGCTGGCCCTGGAGGGGCAAGACAAAGGTCTGGTTCCAGGTAGCCTCGGCACCGGCCTTCTTGTGGGTAAAGGTCTTTTGGTAGGACTTGGCATTGGTGTAGTCGAGAGAGAACTGGAGGAAGGGATCCTGCTTGCCCATGGTCTCGACATTGATCAACTCAGAAGCACCGTGGGCAACGATGGTCAAGGTAGTGCTCTGGCTGTGGGAAGACTGGAAGTTGGTAGAGCGGTGGATAACCTCGCCATTCTCCTCGACATAGGAAGAGGAGGCAGTGAAAGAGCTGGACTCGGTGAATGAGTTGGTCATAGTGAAGAGAGAGAGAGAGTGGGACTAGTATAAAGTTGAAAAAAAAATACTGTTCCAATTGGGGTCCATATTTATATGCAATTTTTTTTCTTTAATTTTAATAATTATTATTGTATATATATATATATATATATATATAAATAAATAAATAAATATATATATATATATTTTTGACATGAGAACAGGACCTAATAATGTTATGCAGCTGTCCTATAAGCTGGGTCATTCCCGATGGGACCGAGTAGAAAGCTACGTATAAGCTTTTGTCCTGTAGTTTCTAAATCGAACATTGGTCCCGAGATGTGTGTATAAATATAAACTTATATAACAGCAGGCCTTTTTAAAGTGTAAGCGCCGACGATTCTTTTTCTTTCTCTCCCTTTCTTATATATAAAATATTTTGCTTTTATCCCTGCCCCTCTTTTAATACACCTATTTTTTTGGTCGTTTTTCTTATTGTGTTATTAATTTTATTGATGTAAATGATGCCTGGCCATAGAGCTGGCTGGCTATTGGACGCGTTGAGAAATGAAATGGTATGCAGAGAAAGACTGGTGGGAGTACAGACGGTTAAACTGGTTAAACTCGGTCTTCTATCCAGCCACAACGATAACCAAAATAGTTGTGGCCGATGATTTGAAACTCCTGGCAAAGTGTGTATCGCTATTGTATATTTCTAGAACTATCAAAACCTGTACATAGGGAGAAAGTGAAGAGTGCAATTAGAAATATAGAATAGATTTTATAGTTGAATGTATTTTTTTGTAGAATCAAGATAAATTCATAGACGCCAATTTGAGCACTAAAACACTATCCCTGTTTCATAAACCCCAGTAAATCAGACTATTAAAGTAAATATTTGTGATTTTTGCATTTAGGACTGCATACAAATGATTCCCGGATTTTCTTGGCTATCATGTTTAAAGAATAATCGCCTTCTCTCCCTATGTATTTCTTTCAAGGTGATGCCGGTGAGCTGGCTCGATAAATGGTTAAACGCTAATGTGTGAGTGGTTGACTTTAAATGATATACATACACCATTTCTAAGTGGTGCTTCTAAAAATAAACTGGTCAATTCAAACAATTGGTAACTTTTTATTATGATTAATATTGCCTATGATCAGAATTTTGCCAAGCGAAAAATAAAATAGAATAAAAATGCACTCTGGTCTATAGCCTCTTTTTTTTTTATATTATTATTTATATAAAGATAGACCATTAGACCTATTGGATTCTCTGTTGAATGCATACATATATTAAAGAATATATATTACTTTAATAGATCACAGCATAATCTGATGGCTAAAAGGAATTAAGAAGAAGAAGAGAAAAAGAATCTAAAGCAAGATTTGTTTCATAGACAAATGTAAAAAGCCTTTTTGATTTTTCTAATTTTCATAATTTTAAGAGGAAATATGAAAAATATAATCAAAAAGTTCAAAAGGGAAGGAGAATGGAAAGGGTCGCTTTAATGACTCAATACAAAGTGTAATGGATAAAGCTAGATAAACAGTATAGTGTACGGGATCTATGATGTATTGTATTTTTGATTGGGATGACAGAAACGGCCTGTCAGTGATACTGTCAACCTGGGGTGTTTTTTCTTTCTTCCTTTCTTCCAATGCTGTGGTAGTGCAACACAAAATAATTTCGGTTCTTTCTCAATGGAAAACCCACAAAGACTTTGATTGGCTGACTTTAATCCAGGAACATTAGTGAAAACACTGGAGTACCCACAGCAAAAGCAGTCGTCTTCGAGGACAGGTTAGGAACGCAGGAAGTTCCCGCACATGTAGTTCATTGTGACTGTTAGTCCGAAGCCCGGTTAATAACTGTCCCAAAATATACACCACCCTTTGGCGTATATGAGTTTGAGACTTATTTTAAGACATAAATTTAGTCTAACACTCAGTACACCTTTTGTTTAAAAGATCTTACTATAAAATTAGACGCTTTTTTTTTTGAAAAAAAAAAAAACTATTAAAATCAAGTTAGACACTTGATTAATAAAATTACATAGGTCAATTGTCAAAATAACTAAAAGCAAGCGAATAGTAACAATAACAATAAAAAAAAAAGCAAAATTGAAACAAAACGGATTATATTATTATTATTTCTGAGACACCATGCATCAAGGTTCTTTGTAACAGCTACAATGAACTAATTGCGTTTTTATCGTTTACTTTTGCCAACTGAGGAAGAAGCCTTTTTTTCTTTTTGTATGTCGAGGGTAGGATTGCTCTCAATCTTTGGTCTTTCGCAGTTTTTCACAGTGAAAGGAAGACACCGGAAGTTCAAAGTGGCTACCATACACACTACGATAAAGAATATATATTCTTGAGAACATCGTCATTGCAGCATCGGACTTTTTAAGATTATTATTTTGGATAAAAGAAGCTTCTTTACTACGGTAAGATGATGTATCGATAAAGACCTATTTTAGACTTTGATTCAGAAAGGTCGATACTGTTTGATCCCTATAAAAAGAGGGGAATATCAACTTGTCTCATTTGCTTCCAAAAACTAATCCACAACACAACACACAATATACAAAATGGAAGATTATCGCCACCCTGCTAATGCTATCAATTCTATCGATGCCAGTCAATACCACACTAGTCCTCCTATCAAGGACACCACCCAAACCTCGCTTTTCAATTATCCTGCAACACAAGCCACAGCTATGGAAAATGAAATCGATTATGGAGACGATGTAGAAGTCACCGAGCCAAGCTATCTGAACGGATACTACAAGAAAATGAAAGGCACAATACAACAGATAGCCGGAATTATTCTACAAGATGGAGATCTGGAAGGAGAAGGAGAGCAATCTCAAATTAACGGAGAGAAAGAAATCGAGGCAGTATCGAAGAGACAATCTTGCACTACATAAATTTAGCTGTAAACTCTCTTTGATAATATCTAGAGACATACTTTATACTTTTATTATTTAAATCCCTCGAATGTACATACACACCCACACATATACATATATAAACCAATTTTTTTTACAAAGCAAATATTACAAGATATACATATTTATATATCTGATTTTGGAATGAATATTCCAACAAGTTCCTGATATTCTTTCTTTCTTTTTTGGTTACCATGAATTGATCTTAGAGGCTTAAGGCTGTCTCTTTTGAAATATTATTATAAGAGTACGTTGCTAGAAGCCTCATCTTGTATCAAGTACCCAAAGGAAATCAATGAGATATACCCCCCAATTAATCACAGGTACCAGCCATTATATGTACTAATATGTATATATTTCACTAATTAGGCTATATTTTAATAGTCTAGTATACTCATGATAAGTATGGTATTTACTCTCTAGCAAGAATGCTTTTTTTTCTGATCTCTTATTACCTCACACATGCCTTAAACTATCAAAGTCCTATATAGACTATTATTTGGTAGGCCAGGTAACAGGTCATTTGGATAAAGCAGTAACATAAAAATGCTATTCTACGTCATATAGTCTAAGAAGAATACAACATATATTAGTATCTCTTTAAAGGCTTCTCAAACAAAAGAGAACTAACACCACCACTTTGGGGCGCTTTTAATGTAGCATTATAAACGATGTCGTAAAGTCCCAGGTGTTGATTTGACGATCCGTTTTTCTTAAAGTCATATAAATGAAACGTTCTCTCGTAATAAATTTCTTTAGGGATAAATAACTTGGTAGATATTGTGGTTCATACACAGACACACACACACATGCATGTATATATATATATATATATATGATACAATTTGAATAATAGTATGAACAACCATTAAATTATTTATCTATTAAACTGTACCCTCATAGTATATTTAATTTTCTTTTCTGAAAATACTAGTATCCCTAAATACCTTTAATATATATATATATATATATTAATCTATAGGATGAAAAGGAAAGGAAAATAAACAAAAAGTACGATAAAATAGAGTGAATATGATAAGCAGCTACCGTAAGATCAATTGTTCTAATCACTTGCTAGTCAGATGTGCTATGAATTTCTGCCGCCATCAGTCTTTACATACATGGTTTGGACTCTGACCAGAATTAGTACTGAATAATATCTTTAGGAGAAGGTTTCTGCGTCCTTACATGCTTGCCATAAGACAGGTAAATATGACGAAAGGAGCTTTGTAGAATGAGATGAAGGTTTACAAGAGTTTGCAAGGCTGTTTCTTTTTCAAAGGTAGATTTGTGTATTAAAGAATGAGACAAAGACAAATTTATTTGATAATAAATATAAAGAGGGATCAAATACGACGATAATGTAGGCCTATTAACTTATTCAGCAGTAGCAAATATTAATTTAAACACTTGAAATAAACTGGACTATGTTTTCAGGGCGTGCGATATGACTTTATAGAAAAGATTATATCTACAGCAGTTCTTGGATATTTTATTAAAGAGCCCCTCTATTATTTGCTGAAAAGGCGATTATCCTCGGTCCTGTAAAGACGATAAAGCTTACTGCCAAAATGTATGAGTCTTAAATAATCTCGGAATTTGTTACTTAATTTTATATTTTATAAATATCTTAAATGAATACACTCTGGAAGTCCAACCAGATGAATTGTTCACTAATGTTCTTTTGAGTTTCTTGACATTGGTTCAAGTGCGCTAAAGAATAGCAAACAAAAAAGAAGTCCATAGAACACATTGTCTTGTCTCACAAGAATATATTGAGCAAAAGCAGAGTGTTAGTAATACATATTGAGATAGATGATAATAATAATAATAATTGAAACAATATTCATTACGTACTTTAATTACCAGACTAAAAATACTATAGGCATATAACCAATGTATCTACATTTTTGGCGCGTCAAAGTATAGAAAGTGGTCTTGGTAAAAAGTTATTTTGAATCTATTTGTTTTTGGGTTTTTCTTTAACACCATTGGCCTTGAATATAAATTTAGCTAGTATTCATAGTAGATGAAAAGAAAGAATTATAGGCAGGTTTCTACCCTTATTATTATTATTTTCCATTGTCATTATTCAACCTTGTAGCTTATATTTGAATTTCTGCTAATTTATCAGTTTAGACATCTTTTAGACCGTCAACTTCATTATTAAATGAATATAATTGGTTAGTTGGCTTGATATACATATATAAATGTATGTAATTTAGGTGCAGGATACTCCTTTTGGTATCAAGCATATTTAACAAGGTTCTTTTATTTATTATTTATCTATTATTGATTTATTACATATAATTTCCATAAATATTTGCTAAATGCGTGAAGTAAAATTGCGTGTAACTGTCCAAGCTCGAGGGTTGTCCATAAACTCAGTTTAAGAAAAAACAAAAAAAAAAAGACAAAAGTGACCAAGGCGTAATTTATATACATATTCATATTTCCTGATATTACTTTATTGGGAAAAATGGAAAAGTAGAACAAGAAGTATAATTTTTGATCCACCCCCTTCTTTCTTCCTGTATTTTTTCTAGCTTTTCTTTCTTGGTAACAATAATTGATTAGCCAATACTTTTTTTTTTTTAAAAAAAAAAAAGCTATTAAGCTATTGAGCTACCTATTTTGGTACGAAAGATAAATTATAGACTATCTCAGGCCTGTGAACTCTTTGTATCATTTTTTCTTTCTTTTTTAGTCTGTGTTCATCTTCGGTTATCTTCCACACTTTTTTGAGTGGGTTGGTTTAATGTGATACAACTAATGATTCTTGGCTCTACTTCTTTTTCTTATTTTTATTTAGGTTTTTGGTTTTGAAAAGCAGAAAACCTTAGGTCATGTTTGACAAGGGAATAAACGAGACACTTGATTTCTTTTTTTAATTAATTCATTCTTTAGTCTGATAATTATATATGAAAATAAAAGCTTTTATTTTGTTTTATTTTATTTTTATTTGATTGTATGTATGTATGTATGTATGTATGTATGTATGTATGTATGTATGTATGTATGAGCGAGTGGAGTGAGTGTGAGCAAAATATAGATATAAAGATAGAGAGAGGTAGAGGTAGAATAAGGAATATATATTTTGCGATATGAGCAAATAATAAGAACTATAATAATAATAACAACAACAACAGCAATAAAGATAAAGATGTAAAGATCCAAGAAGATGTGCGTTGAATATATAGAGAATAAAAGGTTTCGTTGATTGTAGAGTGGTTTGTGCATGTTACTTATTGTCAGTGAATATGCAACTCTATCTTTTTTTTTCGTATCTCTCTCCTTTGTTTTTTGTTGGTGTAATTATTATTATTATTAGCATTAGCATTAGCATTAGTTATTATTATCTTTTTTTAGCCTTGCATTATGTTTCCATTGCAGTGGTTTTTGCAGAAATTGACTTTGCGTAGCGCAGTCCACATGCATTGCAGAGTTCTTTTGGTCCATTGGGCCCCTTGCGCCATTCTGGAGAATCCTTGGACTGGCACTGAGCGCACATCTTTTGAACATCTGGTGCAGAAGAGGCCTTCTTCTTCTTTTGCTATTTTTTTTTAAAAAAAATTAAAAATTAAAATTAAGAATGGCGTACAAAGGAATTCAATGTGTACTAGATAAAAACCAAAGAAAAAAAAATGTAGTGTACAGATTCTATAAATGTATATTACCTTTCTGCGCTTCGGGTTCGACAAATTCTCAAGTTGTTCACGCAATTTCTGATTGGCCACCTCAAGTTGATGGAGTTCGTACTGCCAACTGGTACCACGGACAGTTTCGAGTTCAGAGAACATATTCTCGGCCACTTCTTCTTCTGTCATGTCTGACATGGCCACATCATCTGCAGCAGACTTGATAGCCGCAAGAACCGCCGCATCTTTGGCTCGAATCTGAATCAGGGCAAATTCAGGAGCTTTGTTTCCAGAAGAGCCGTCTCCAGGGTAGAAAGTAGAGACCACAGACACGTACTGTCCCTTGTTGTTCTGCATCGTATGCTCGAGGTTACAAATCTCGCCTTTCTTGACAGAAGCCAACGCACGTGTGATTTCGTGAACCTCTTTGTCAAGAACGTAACGGAAGATTGATGCGCCGACAAGGAAATCCGACGAGTAGCCGACCACATCTTCACTGGTGCCTGACACATGGAGGTAGAGACCGCTCAGACTGGCCTTGACCCAGAACTCAGACCCCACACCAGCTCCACCGTACTGCATCAGTTCCTTGCGAGGAAGGCTGTACATAGGACGCTCACGACCGGCCAGAATAAGACATTTGCGACCCTTGCTCTGGTCCACATGAAGCTTTCCCTGGCACTCCATCCACATGTATCCAGAGTACTTGCGGCGGACACGGTAGATCAGGTTCACAACCTTGTCGCTGTTACCCGCAGCCTCCTTGATCTCACGCATCACTGGCACAATATCAGAAGGGTGGCAAATAGAACTAAGCGAGTGTCCAACTAGTTCTTCGGGGTCGTGCTCGAGAAGATCGGATGATGAGCGAGAGCAGTAGAGGAAAAAGCCCTTGAGAGACAAGACGTGAATGAAATCCTCAGAGTGTTCCAGCAATAACTTGTTCCACTCTTGTTGCAGCTGCTGTTCATTCTCTCCAGAGCATTGAACAAGGTCCAAGATCTCTTGGTTGTTCAGACCTTCAGATGCAGGCGACGCAACGGCAGGAATCTCTCGGAAATAGTCATCAACAGGTTCAGATGCAGTATCTGATAAACAAAGTCAGTAAATATACATATATATGCCTGACTCTTCGTCTGTTTCTTCTTCATCTCTTATTATACTCTATTCTATTTCGTTTCTTTTTATAACCTACTTGCACCAGGAATATATGGAACCATGTTCATCTGTTGATAATTGACAAGGTAGGTACCATCTAAGACAATAATACCAAGAGTCAGGATTAGTACATAATCGCAATAAAGAGATTCAAGTTAATTTGATTGGCCTTGTTTCTTACCTTTCATCTTCTCAAGAATAGCATTGGGTTGCTCTACCAAGTCAACTTGGAGACCAACAAAGAACGCGACCTCATTAAATTCATTGCAGATTGGAATAACTGTAATCAAATTGACAAATGCCTGTAATAATAAAAAGCCAAGAGTTGCAAAAGATAATGAGTATTAGTATGTATTACTATTATCCAATGATTGATTGATTGATTGATTGATTGATTGATTGGTTTTGATTTTTTCCCTCTATTGATAAATTGTGTGTGTGTTTTTCTTTCTTTTCTTTTTTAATAAGAAAAAAGAAAAGAAACTGACCTGTCCACCCTTGCGATAATTGATAATACTGGCTTGATGTTCATTACTTTGAAGCATCTGGGCTTTGAGATGGTATACGGCCTGATTGTCTGTGTGCTGTCTGCGGGAACCACTTGTCACTCGACCATCTGGTGCTTGAAGGAACCGGCAGTTGCGGCCAAGAATTTCAGAGCCCTTGTAGCCAGTCAAATGTTCGAATGTGGGGGAGCAATAGACAATAGGATGGTCGTACTGACGGGCATCTGTGACCAGAAAAGAGCAAGACATGTCGATAGGACCAACATTAATTTGTGGGTTTGGACTAAAAGAAAAGAAGATATAAAGATAGATATGTAAATATATATATATATAATTAAAAAAAATAGGATAATATATTACCGGTTGACTAGACGAGACAGAATACCGATCATATCAAATCCAGAGCTAGAGTAAAATCCTGAAAGAGGAGCAGTTGTGGTTGGAGCAGGAACTGGTGTACCAGGCTGGAGGTCAAAATCAACTTGAGGGTCTCCTGCCTTGGAGACCATTTGCTGACTTTGTTCCTGAACAACGTCAAAGAAAGGGTGTGAAGGTACATCCTGGAACTGGGTCTGGTGTCCTGGAAACGGTTTCTGGGCTTCGGCAGGTTGTGGGTAAGATGAGAAGGAATCCATGATGAATTAACGAATGAGTAAGTGAAAAATAAAAATAAAGGAAGGCAACTAAATTTTGTATTTTTTTTTTGAAAGAGCAATAAAACTAGCCAAAATATGGTTTCCTTTTTTATAAATGCTTGGACTGAGGTATGGCTTATTGGCTACTTTTATAGGCTTTTTTTTTTGTGGGTTACTTCTTTCTTTATTTGTTTTAGTCGTGCTTTGGAGTTGGCACTTTTACCTACTATTCCTTAAATGGGAAGTTGGTAAATAAATCTCGGCTGATGATTGGCTTAAATCTTTAATATTTTCTTCACTCTATTTTATGCCCCCCCCCCCTCTCTTTACTTGTCTTAAACCTACCACAATTCTCCGCCCCCCTCTCTCTCTCTCGGCCTCTCTCGGGCTATCTCAATCTGTCTCAATCTGTCTGTTTCTGTCTCTCCCCTCTCCGCTCCCCTCTCTCTCCCTCCTCTCCCTTGATCTCTATTTTTGTGTTTGAAATGAAGGTCTAGTCATATATGGCAAATGAACCTCCATCCTCTGTGCACCACCAGAAATACACACACTTGTACTTGTACTTGTACTTGCACTTGCGCTTACACTTGCGCTTGCACTTGCGCTTGCACGCACACGCTTACACACACTTGCATCAATATAAATAATTCAATAAAGTATAATACAATACAATATAATATAATATTAGATTAATATATATAAATATATAATATATTATAATACAATATATTTATATGTACATAATAGAAATTCTCTGCACATGTGTTGTCTATTTGTATCCCCGAATTAATCGTTATTCTCTCTTTCTACATAAATTTATACGCACGTATATTACACACACAGACATATATATATATATATATATATATTCCAGTCATCTATACCCATCAATGGCAGCAAGACTAGAGAATTTTAATGCAGGCGATGATTACAAGATTGTGGATGTGATTGGTGAGGGTGCTTATGGCGTTGTCTGGTAAGTCATCTCCTTCAAATCAAGCCCCCACTCCTTCCTCCTCCACCACCACCCCTTGATATTTGTATTTGTATATGTATATGTATATACAAGCACCATCAACCCTTTAGTCATTCTAAACTATCCAATACTACTATTAGCTCTGCTATTCAGCAAAGCACGGGGAGAAAGGTGGCTATTAAGCGCATCCTACCCTTTGACCATGCTATGTTCTGTCTGCGTACCTTGCGTGAAATTAAGCTTTTAAAGTACTTTCAACATGAAAATGTAAGTTTCTTATTCCTATTCCTATTTGCTTATTGTACATTCGAGCAAAATAAAAGCTTAAATGTATTTTATGTACTACTCTAATACCATCCCCAACCCCTTGTTTTTATCTCAATATATTTATATTTATATTTGTATATATGGATGTGTACGTGTATGTGTATGTGTATGTGTATGTGTATGTGTATGTGTATGTCCATTTGTCCCTATCTGCAGATTGTGTCTATACTGGATATTGTTAAACCAGCTACATTGGAGGATTTTACTGAAGTGTGAGTAGCAGAATATGAAAACAAAGAGACATAGGTATATAGAAAACGAGAAAACGAGATCTACGGAAAAGGGGATCTTACAATGCGATATTTTGTATTTATTTATGTAAATCACACATATATATGTGTATATAGTGAATTAGCATTTTTTATTATTAAAAAAAATAAGAGTATATGTGTGTGTGTGGGTTCGTGAATTCTAACGAAGTGTTATCAAGTTATCTAATCCAGGAGCTTATGGAAACGGATATGCACCGGGTGATCCGTACTCAAGAGTTGTCCGAAGACCATTGTCAATATTTTACTTATCAGACTTTGCGCGCACTGAAAGCAATGCATTCGGCAAACATCCTTCACCGTGATCTTAAACCAAGTAATCTTCTTTTAAATGCCAACTGTGATCTAAAGGTAATTAAAGTGAATTGAATTGAATTGAATTGAATTGTTTAAACAAAGAGAAGGGAAGAATACAAAACATATTACCAATTGACGTTTAACAATCCTCTCTTTTTTTATTTATTTATCTGAATAGATTTGTGATCTTGGTCTGGCACGTTCTGCTAATTCTGCTGATGAGAATAGTGGATTTATGACAGAGTATGTGGCTACCAGATGGTATAGAGCACCCGAGATCATGTTGACCTTTAAAGAATATACAAAGGCCATTGATGTCTGGTCAGTGGGGTGTATTCTGGCAGAGTTGATGAGTGGAAAACCATTATTTCCTGGAAGAGATTACCACCATCAACTTACCTTAATTCTTGATGTACTCGGTACACCCACAATGGACGATTTTTATGGCATCAAAAGCAGAAGGGTAATATACAGCAACAAAACAATTGACTTGAATGACCATCATTTGCCTCTCTTTCTAAAATATTTCTTTGGGTAGGCAAGAGACTATATTCGATCTTTGCCTTTCAAGAGACGGATCCCATTTTCACGGTTATTTCCCACTGCGAGTCCAATGGGTAAAGTTACATGGGATATCTTTATTTTACTGGTTAGACAATTAGGAAAACATGCATCAAACAAATGTAACTTCTTGCTCTAGTGATCGACAATCTACTAACCATTTCCTGGCATTTCTCCTGATAAAAAAAAACAAGAAATACAAAAACACATATACACAAAAACACAAAAACACATAAACTAACCATCCTTCTTTTTTTTGTGATATTATATTTTCCCTATTTTTCCCTATTTTTTTTGCAGCCGTTGATTTACTAGAAAAGTTACTTACCTTTAATCCAGAAAAACGAATCACAGTAGCAGAAGCACTTGAACATCCCTATCTTGAACCAGTGAGTTTCCATTTTTTTTATATTTGATGACACTAATAACTTTCAATTGCTTTTGATCGATCGACAATTATATTATACTATATTATACTATACCAAATCATGTCGTATTATTACTTACTCCTCTTTATCTATTTATCTATCTATCTATCTATATATCTTTAAACAAACAGTATCATGACCCTAACGATGAAGTAAGTAAAAAGGAAACTCACAAGACATATACATATACGCAAAGACTCTCCTCCTATTTTTTTTTTAAATTATATAGATATATTGTATAGTGTAGTATATTCGAAAAGAGATAGAATTAATGTTGCTTAAGCTCATTTTATTAATATGTGCTACTTTATTATTATTCCCTTAGCCTGATGCCCCTCCAATCAATGAAAGCTTTTTTGACTTTGACAAGTACAAGGATCAATTGACCAAAGAGCAATTAAAACGTAGGTGGAAATTAAATAAATGATATAGAGAGATAGTTATCTGTGCTATTTTATCTTATTTTCTCTGCTCACAACAAATGAATATTTATTTACTGGGTTCAATTATAGAACTTCTTTACCAGGAGATCGTTAACTAGACATCATTAAACTTATATTTATTTGAAATATATACATACACAATTCAACTCAATACATCACCACAAAGCACAAAGCACAACACGACATATAAACCTGTACATCTTCACCAATTTTTTCTTCTCTTTTAATAATAATAATAAAAAAAAAGCTCTTTATTTTGATATACAACATTTTACAGACAATTGACGCAATAGAGAAATATCACAAAGATATACCAAAACTCCTTTCCCTTGAAAATAGCAACAGAAAATAGATAAAATATATTTATGACAAGAAATATGTATTAACGCATATATTTCACATCTCTAATTCTTATTCTTGTTTTGTAAATTACCTAGCTTTTTCTTTTTCTTTTTGAGAATCCCTGAGAATATGTATTTTATACATATGTATTTCCCCTTCTTTTACCATTCGCTTTTTATCTTATTTGCATTTTTTGACTACCCCGTTCGTCTACCCACCTATCCATTTATTTATGTATCAATATATCGATCTTGGTACTCTTTGTAGATAATATAGTACAATTCGTGCGCCATGTGTCTCGGAATATTTCATATAAGGTGTAGCTGTGTGGGTGTTTGAGTTGGTTGGTGGTTTGGTGTGTTTAGTACACCAATACATTTATTCATGCATATTACATATATAAAATCATATTTTAGACTACTACTTACAAAACGTGCAAAAGCAGTGGCTTTGATAATTCTCCCTTAATTTTATTTTATAAGCTATTTGGTATTCCTTCTCCTGTATTGAATACTCTAAATTCTCTATTTCTTAGCATCAGATAACAATATATATATATATATATATATATCTGTATGTATGTATTAATAGTACTAGTACTATCAATAAGAAAATAAATAAATAAATGATAAAAAAATTATTAAAATCATAATAATACAAAGCCAAGGGTATTAAAGGGGTTTGTGAATAGAAAGTTGATCCAGACCATCTACGCACCTATGCTTAAATCTCAAAAATAAATAAGCACTTGAACAACCACGTGTACCCTTTCTTGTTGTTATCATTGTCGTTGGTTTATATATATATTTATTTGTATTTATGTATATGTAATTTACATTTTAGATATAAAGAGCAAAAAAAAAAAATACCTAAATTTTCAATCCTCTTTTATAATCTAAATTAGAAAAATCAAGTTAATTTCTGACATTTCTCTATATATCAAAATGGGATTTTATTGACATTTTTGTTTTATGGGCAAAAAAATAAATAAATAAATAAATAGATAAGAAATGAAAGGCACAAAAAATGAAGTCATGAAACAAGCAAGCAAGCAAAACGAAGAAAGAAAGAGAAAAAGAAAGAAAAAGAGGTATATTTGATATATACGTATATATAAAAGTTATTGTTATTTTTTGTTGTTGTTGGATATCGTCATTGTCGTAGTTACTGCGGTGATAATGGAAGAGGTATGTAAGTAAAGAAGAAAGAAGAGAGAAAATATACATGTATAATAATAATAGTAATAGTAATAGTAATAGTAATAGTAATAAACAAGAATACAAGTGTCGTTGCTCAGGGTACATGACTGTCGCTACTGTTTCGTTCGCTGGAATAATACTTTGCTACGCTTCTTTCTTCGGATGAGCTGCAGCAGCTATTACTCGCATCGCCATCATGTCCCTGAGTATCTGGAGTTCGCCGCCGTTTCCCTTTCTGCCGGTCTTTTCGTTTGCCACTTTCGGTCTTGCGAATGCTCTTATAGTCCACAGTCTCGGCTGTGTCGGGCGAATCTTCAAGTGAAAATATCACTGTACGCTTTGAGTCGGGCGTAGAATGAGTCGGAGTGTCAAACGAAATAGAGGATCCGCTATTTGACCCAACGGACACGACAGAGGACCCTGGGGTCATATTAATAGTGTTGTTGTTGTGCCATGATGAGGGACGAATGTGGAGATCTTTTGTGAGCTCAAATAAATTGTCCGACAGTACTCCCCCCACACCAAATGCTGATGACGATCGAGAACGTGTAGTCGGATTGTCTGCGTGCGATTGTACTTGCGATTGTAGTTGTGGTTGTGATGGTAGCTGTGGCTGTGGTGGAGGTGATTGGATGAGAAGCGATCGGCGTTTGGCTCTGTACTGAGATGGTCGAAGGGGAGGTTCGGCTTCCTCCGGACGGACAGACCATGAGCGAGATGCACGCAAAGGTAGGGACCGACTCCTCCGAACATCCCGGCGTTCTTCATACAGCTTGCTTTGCTCAATTTCTGCGCGCGTCATTTCATCTGGACTCTGGTTTCCATTATTAGAACTGCCACCAGTACCAGTACCAGTACCAGTACCAGTACCAATACCAGCACCTCCTCCTCCTACTCCTCCTGTGGCGGATAATGACACTGCTACTGCTACAGACGAAAGGGCTGCTGTCCACTTTGACTGGACATGTCCATGGCTTACGTCATCTAATCCAATACACTCGTACTGTGGCATCATTCGTGTGGTCTTGTAGACCGTTAACATTGCCAGAATATATGTGGCCCACAAAAATGTGGCTGCAAACAAAAGGTTTACATAGGTTGACGGATCGCTGACAATTGATGACACGTGCTGTATCCAGCCAGGGGTGGCCCCCATCAATAGAATTCCTGCTGCCATTGCCATGAAACAAGACAGCATTCCACACACTATGGTTATCGAGGCGAATACTGATTTGTGGCGGCAGGGTTGGGTAGCAGAGTAAGCGTCGGGTTGGCTATCGAGGTCTTCGTCTTCTAGTTCTCCCGAAGCACACGGCAGTAGACGCGGAAGGTTGTCGGATGGTGATTTACGGAATGTGACCTGTAATGCACGTCCGACTGATCCCACAATACAAACATAGCCTAGTGCAACCTGAACTTGGGTAGAATATGCTTCCATTGTCAAACTTCCCATGATAGCTTTTGAGAATAAGAAAGAAGAAATAAAGATTGATAGATTAATATGCTTGTTACTGGTATCAATATTATTCTTTTGGGTTACCTCGTCCGGTCAGACAGACTATAACAGAATTCATAATATTCCTCTCTCGCATTGCAGGCATCCATGTTTGTATACTGATAGTTATTGAGAACAATCCACCTGTAAACCACAATAAACCAAGATTTCCGGCCAACCAATTTGAACCTAAAAGAGGTGTGTCTATTCAAACAAACAAACAAACAAATAAGCACAAGAACAAACACAAAGGCACAAAAGCACAAAAAGCAAACAAACAAACAAACATATACAAATAAAGATAAAATATTGGTCTGTTTTGTTTTGGCTTGTAATAAAATACTACAACTAATAATAACAGAAATAATAGAAAAATATAAACACACACCTGCCATGAAGAGATTGAAAAGTCCCCAAAGGGTGATCAAAAGACCTTCATAGTACTCGGGTGTAGAAGTGCGTGGAAGAGACAAGACGCCGACGAGGTGCAGGAGAGCCATTGTTCCATATCCCAATAGGCCACCACCCATCACTAGTGGCAAGAAGCACTGGCGGTACGGGAATCCGGCACAGCTTTCGGTGAACAGCACTACAGTCAAGATCAGATAGATTGATGCTACGATCAATACAGACCAGCCGATAATAAGGTGTGTATATTCTGGTAAATTTGTTGCGCACCAACGTGTGGGTGTTTGTGTTGGTAGCCAGGACGTGTGCGAATATGGCGGTAGTCGATGGAGTTCGAGACTGCGTCGGGTCATATTAAGACCGACGACAATTTGCATCAACACTAGGACCATTAATAGTCCTCCAACTATGGCCACAAGTATCGGCACTAGCGATCCCGATGAAGTCGAAGGCATCCAAAGACCGGCAATCGATCCGATCAGTGCAAAGATCGTCCCAAGTCCAATCGCGACAAAGTGCCGGTTGGGGTGGCAACGCGTGCCTTGAATGAGTGCAATGGGGTAGCAACCGAGAAAACTGAGGGTTATAAATACGAGGTGAATAATTACTGCTGGGTGCCGAATAGGTATAGGTGAGGAAAAGGTAGTTGTGGTCAAGGTGTCCATGATGATGATGACTTCGATTTCGATTTCGATTTTACTTTAGGTTGGTGCAGTGATTCTTTGAGTGCATGCAGTTTGGGCCTATATTTTATTTTATTTTATTTATTCTTCAATTTTTGTTGCTCGTATTCTTGTTGGTCGTGTTGTTCTTGCTCTTGTTGTTGTTGAAATATTTTTTCTTTATTTTCTCTCCTCTCTCTCTCTCTATCAATATATATTTCTTTCTTTCCTCTCAATAATAAAATAAAGAAAAGCAAAAAAAAAAAGTTTATTCAGAGTGTGAGTTGGTAAAAGAAGAAGAAGATCAATAGTTTAGAAAAAGAGTGTAAAGAAGCTGTTGTCGTGTTTTGTTGTTGCTATTGGTGGTGGTGGTGGTGGTGCTGTTGCTATTGCTGTTGTGAGAGAGAGGGAAACGGAAAGAGGTGAGAAAGGCAGCAGATTTATTAATACTATTATATATATATATATATATATTTGATTATTATTTTTGGTTGGCATCAGGACAAACCTAATGGGGTATTCAGCTATGGCTCCTACCTAAAAATGGCAAAGGGGCGTGGTTCCATATTTCTATGAACTTTAGCGTGTAATTTCTATACAATAATTTTATTTGCATTTTATTTTATTATTATTATTATTATTGTAAAGAAAAGAAAGATCCCTGTATTTTTCATTAACCATTACTGGGTTCTCTTCTTCTTATCATTTCTCTTTTCAAAACAGCATTCACATTACATTAGTCTAACAAGTAAAGATGCTAAGAAAAAGAATTGGATCTTATTTTGTATATTTGTGCGTCTTTTTACAACCATCAAGAATACAAACACAAACTAAGGAAATTTAATTTCATTTAATTTCATTTCATTTTAAGAGACATGACACACACTCATACATACATACGTGAATATATCTAATGTAGGCATAAGTGTAGGCATAGCAATAATAAGTATAGGGATATTCAGTAATAAACCGGTGTAGCGGTTGGTTTTTAATGATCGAGACTCAATGAGATATTATATATATATATAAATGTAGGTTTCTTTGTCAGCGGTCATTGAATGTCCTTTGTGTGTGTGTATGAGAGAGAGAGTGTGTGTGTACAGCCTTTTTGAAAATATAGTAAAAGAACTGGAGTCTTTTTTTTTATTTGTATTTTGGCTTGCTCACGTGATATATTGCTTCAAAAACCAGTATCCGAATCATTTTTTTTATTAAAAAAAAAGAAGCAAAATGAAAAGAAAAGAAAACCCTCTGGTGGTGAACGACAAGATAAGTTTCGATCAATTTGCTTCAGATTTCCAGTTTGGCGGAATTACTCTATTTCTTTTTTTTTTTCCTTTTTTTGTCTATTTCATTCTACGTTTACTGTACTTCAATGTGTATTTTGTATTTCTAATACATAAGAGCTGTATTGCCATTTGCTGTATATATCTATACTTTATATACTCTATATATTCTATTAAGAGAGCATATAGCCTTCATGAATACAAATAACCCAAGGTTTTCTTGAAAATATCAAGGATTAGAGTGATGTTTAAAGTCTAATGAGCTGAAATCACATTCATAACGATTTGAACTGCGCATTGTGTTTCAAATGTTGAGAATATATTTATACTTTTTACATACATTTATAGTTTTCTCTCTTTCTTTCCTTCTTTCTTCCATTCAAATGTCAGCCCATTTATTAGAATATTATTTATTTATATATACATAAAAAAAATAATAGGTTTCTCTTGGAGACCTTGGTACTTTTTAAATACAAAAAGGTAGCAATTATGTATATGTCCCAACTTGTTCTTTTTTTCTTTTGAAGAAAAGTTTTGTACTCTGCAATACATGACATTAAAAATAATAAAATAAAATAAAATATTTATTTAATAACCTCGCAGTGTAACATATGCTATTTTATTTTATTATTATATATATTGTTGATTTTTTGACTGGTTTGAGTTCCAGCCAAAGCTTGTAAGATGTGGGAAATAACAATAATAATAATAATTATACAAAGAAGAGGAAGAAATGAACTTTGAGATAATTACCAGGGAAGCTAAGATTATAAACCCCTTGAACAATTTACTAATAATTATGGTGATAGTAATAGTAGTTTTATATATGGAATTTAAATCTCATCTCAAACAAGAAAAATATATTTTATTTATTTATTGGTTTGCAGGTATAGTGGGTCAAATAGAAAGAAACACAAAGATGTCAATTATACCTACAAGATACTGTAATGTTGGCTGTCAATAATCTAAATTCAATTTTTATTTCTCAAGTGCACTGAGGGTACTCGTGTTGCCATCTCAAACATTTGCATAAAGAATATATATATTTCTAATAGACATGAAAATTTGCCCTTTTTTTTTTAAAAAAAAAAACCCCCCACTAAATACTAAATTCTAGTAATGAACTTACGACTTGTGATATTTCAGATTTTAATCTATTAGTTGTACTTCTTTATATATGTATATAGCAAGTGCACCTTGTGGGATTCTAGATTATTTTACATATGATCAAATAGTCTAAATATGACAGATATATATCCCCCTATTTGTTTTGGGGGTTAAATGTCTCTATTATTCTTATAATTGGCCCGATAAAAGCATAATAATATATATTGGAACTTTATGGTTTTCACCTTTATTGACTTTTAACAAATAAGAAATAATAGAAAATAAATAAAAAGTAAAAATAAATAGTTCATTTGTCATATAGTAAACGTTTTAGCTTTACTCTGGCTATATATATATATATTCTGCTTAAAAACCATAAACTATTTTTCGTCCTTTGCACCTAAAGAAAAACAAAATATTATTTAAACAATAAGCTATTTATGAGTGTATACATACATATATACATATATTAATTAATTAAGCATTTCTTTTATCAAATAATGTGCACCCGTTTTGGCTTAATATTAATATGAATAATTCTCACTTGAGATATTGAGAAACGTACTCCCCTGATTCTCCCAATCTATTGAGAGGTCTGACTAGAATGCAAAAAACCTTGGCAGTCAAACTGTATATAGCGAAGCAGAAGAAAACCCCTTTTCTCTATCACCTTTGGTCAACTTACTCTTTATTTTCAACTTCGCTAATGTAGATTTGAAGACAAGTACTATATTACAAACATTCTACATCAGGTCATTAAAATCATACTAGTAGTTTCTATTGACCTCTTGTAATGTCGCATATCTATATTGACATACCATTTATTATATACACTTTGTCTTCTTCTTTGTTGTTGCCGAAGGAAAAATTGATGGTGTATTGTCAAATATAAAGTTATACTCATATCTTAGCACTAACAGCTGCGATAGTTGTTAAGTGTGCGCGTATTCATGGTCTTAAAACAAATTCGTACTTTATAAAAATGGAAAGCAAGATTTCAATAAAAGGATAATAAAAATACTTTAAAGAGAGTTTGTAGATAGAATAGAGACACCAAGTCGCCTTAAAGAAATTCATTTTTATTTGGTCATATATAACGCTTGATTCTATCTTTAATATATATGTAGTTTTAAAATTATTGGAAGACGTGATGAGCGTAAGTTTGAGAAAAACTGTGGTAAGAGAAAATATAAGAAGTATCGTAAAATCCTGGAATTGTGGTATGAGAATGATAAAGATATTGTAGAATTCTTGAACTGTACAATGAGAAAAGTGAAAATAAGGAAAGTGCTGTGAGATTCTTGTAAAAGTGAGGTGAGAAGAGGAAATCAAGGGGTAGTATGTTTGGGACGGACGAAAGACGAAAACACCCAAACAAAGTGTGACAATTTTATTAACTAGGAAATGTTGGAGAGTTGAAGAACCACTTATAACCGTATAGACCAACATCTGTATATGCTTGCAAGAAGTATTGTTTAGAGTATGCTTAATCATTTAATATTACCAAGTTATAGCAAGTAGATATGCATCTTGTATTAAATGTTTATCGTATTTCAATTAGTATTTTATCTATTTAATCCTACGTTTAAGATTGTAAAAGCTCCTTTTTATTTTATTGTGAAGATCAAAGGCACTAATATATCCTATGAATGAAATCATACGTTTTTGACACACAGTTTGACAGACTTTTAAAAAAGTCTACGCCCTTTCTAAGATTTATGGTTAATGTAGAGGTAGGATCTTCGTATTTTTAAGAGTGTGACCAAGCTTGAGACGTTTAAAAATTTGAAATTGTTAATGAAGTGACCAGAACTTATGGATAAAATGCACATAATACTACTCGTATGCACTTTGGACTACAGGTGAAATGAATATATTCCATAAAAAGGTATGTGAAAAAGTGCAATAATAAACTATGAATATCGAAAATGAATATAGGATTATGATATACCTCACATATACAATGGAATGTTTTGTAACTATATTATTAGAATATCTTTATTAATTATTTTTTTCTTACTTGTGTCAAGATGCTCTCACTTAAATAGAATATTCTCTTTCAATAGAAAAGCAGATATTATGAGACACAAGCCATTAAGCTATGTTTTCAGAAGTTACGTAAACGTTAAAACCAGAGATCAAATAAAAAATTGGCTTACATTGATAAAAGCTGCATGTATGTTGCAAATAAAGTCAAGTATCATTTACTTTTTAAAATAAAATAAAAATCTTTAAATATTCAAATTCAAAACTTTGCCATTTTTTCTAATATTAAAACACTAATTAATTAAAACCACAGAAAAAAGAACAAGCTTAGAGAGAGATAAATATACTATGACTTGATAAAGAGAGATATTGGTACCAAATTGTCTCTCTTTGTAAAGTATAAATCTCATTAGAGTAATTGCTTCAATTGTTCATTAGTAACATCACAAATCCAACCTTCACTGTATATCGAAATAAAGTACCAAATCAATTTTCGTGTAGAATTAATATAATCTTTCCCAATCCAAGCAAAACTGCTAATAAACAAGTTAATGTCAGTCTTAAGTAAGCTGAATGTGAAGTCAGATTCTTTTCTGACCGAATCGTGAACAGAACCTCAATTATCTTATTTTTTTTTCTTTGTTAAAGATATTAACTTTACATGTATATATAGCTGGCCTTTGATTTTACTTTGCACGTCTGTTAAGCTCTCCAGAATACACCCAAAACATCTTATGGAAATAGCTTGGTCTTTTTGTGGAATTATCTTGATACTTTCAACTATTGATATAACCTCATTTCAATAAAACTCAACGTGGAATTCGGCATTCCGCCACCTGTTGTGTGGAGATTCAGATAATGTATACGCATACTTTTTGCTTTCTTTTCTACTTTCTACTTATCGGTTGATATCGTTTTAAAACGTGTATGTATTTATTTATCAGTGAATGCTGGGTTCATTTCGTATACTTGAACAAGCAAAAGAAAACTCTTTCTTGTGGCCTTGAACAAAAAACGCACAGACCACTTTAGAGTAACCTACAAATCGCCGTTATAGAGACTTGTACTCCACTTTGAGAGTTATTGCTACACCGATCAAAGCTAAACTCTTCATTACTCTTTTTACTTCTTTGCTTCTTTACTTTACTTTACTTCACCTTACAAAGTTGACTTCATAAGTACTCTGAGTAAATATTATTAGCTGTCTCTTCTGCCGTAGAACAGTCACACAAACCCAATAAAAAGAATATATAGCTATATCACGTTTGCTCTGACGTAGACATCTAAGAGTGACAAAAAGCGCAGTCCTAAACTTTAACCGCAGATGAAAAATTTTCTGTTACATATAGACCTCCTCCAACGCGCGTCGTTTGTTTTCTCCTTGAGCAACAACAGTCCCGGTTTCATAGTGAGGCGTCTCTTACGACCGTTGCAGGGAGATTCTTCCATGCTACAAGCATCGGAAAGTGAAAGTTGTTACTCGCCAGCTCAGTTAATTCTGAGAAGTCGTGGGGCATGGTCTCTTTTCATTTTTGGAAGGACTACTGTGTACATCGCATCGCCAATGTGGAATCATGATGCTGGGGGGAGGGAGGTCTAACCTGTGGTGAGATGTGCTGGCTCTTCACTGCTAACCTGACTGAACTCTTTAACGGCTGACGGTGAAGCTACTGGTAGTCGAATGAGCTGGACCTTATCACCTAGTGGTAAGTTCTCTGGCGAGTTCGCACCCACATTACTCGGCGACGAGATGTGGGGCTGGATGAACGGGTGCTTTCCGTTGGTTTGCCACCATTCCAGCACCTCCTTCGCTACCAAGTCAGGTTTACGTCCTGAAGGAGATTGAGCCGCGTAATGCGGGGACAAAGAACTTGGTGTCATGCTTTTTATTCTTTTACTCATGTAAAAGAACATTAAGTGAAATTCAATCAAATAGAATAGTTTCTTTACGTATATCTTTAAATAAATAAATAAAGTCTTTTTTAACTAGTATCGTCTCTAATAAAAAAACACGCTTTTAAACTTTTTTTTTACTTGATTGAAGATGTTAATGTTGTAATTAGGAAGGCTCATTTATAAGAAAAAATTAATCTAATCGAAAAAATAAGAAAGAAATAAAATACTATTTGTATATTTTAATGGAGAATCGGCAACCGTGTTTAACTATATATGCTGTTTTTATCTAAGAAGTATATAAGGATAAAGTTAGAATAATCTTTGAGAATGCCAATGGCGTGTAATATATATATATATATATATTATTGAATTTGAATAATCCGGATGGACATTACGAATAACATGCATTTGAATGAAAGAAAAAGGAAAGGCGATATATATGAAGAGAAATGAGAGATGAGAAGGAATAAAGAAATGCGTGTTTTGGAGAAACCCAGAAAAGTCATTGTGAATTCAATGCACAAGTAATTGCCCTCATTGTATTTACACAGACTGTGCACAAAATAGTTTAATTTGATGCATTTATAAAACAATCATCCTTCTCTGCAAATCTTTCTATATTACATTATTTAAAAAGTAGTCGGCAGCCATAGGGTACGTTGATTAGCAAGATATGGATATCATAAAAGGGATAAATTTTCATATTGAAAATTGAAAGTAGTATAATATTTGTGCATGTTGGTTATTACCAAAGATTAATTCATATACTTAATCTATATGCTGGTCTTTTTCTTTGCTTTGTTTAGTCTTAGCTAGGTACAGGTGCTCAAAAGATACTATGCTTTTGCCATTTCAATATTGTCAATTTTTTTTTAAACTACTAATAAAAGACAGTTTTCCCATCTAATTTTGAATAGATTTAGAAATATATTTTCTATCAAGAAAAGGCAAGTTATTAAATTAGATTGGCAGATCAAACTTCTTATGTATCTTGTCGTATTCGAATTATTTAATAAAAGCTACATCTGACAGTGTCTCAATCTGTTTAATTATCATCTCATTCTAGTAAGACTTACTGAAAATTGCATATAGCGAATCAATATTTAGATGCTCGATTTCTCCTATTCAGCTTTTATCAAACTAAACATGTTTTCTATTTTGTTTCTTAGGAGCATTTGAACACAACGAGCTTAAATATACACAGGGTAAACTACTTTAGTAAATTTCGAATTATACATTCGAGAACAGAACCACTCCCCTTAAGCGATTTTATATTCTTTTTCTTTTTTTTTCTTTTACGTACCTCGATAGTTGCGGAGTTGATCCATACACTGCGTCATCAGGAAACTTGACTTTCTGCCGCGCGTTCCTCGACGGGAAAGTGGGACTTACGTACGTTGGTTTGCAGGACACGACCCAAATCCCTTTTCACTTTTCGCTACTTAGTTAACCTCATTAACCACAAGCATGGTAAACCTATAGCTCTCTCATAATATAAGCAAAACATACACATATACACATATATCGGCTATTAAGCAAAATTGAATCCCCTTAATTTTTGGCACGTAGTTCCGAAACCAATACGATAACGATGTCTCAACATGGTCACCACAAGGACGTATTCATCAGGTCGAATATGCAGTAGAAGCTGTCAAGCAAGGTTCGGCTGCCATCGGTCTCAAAAATAAGAAATACGCGATTTTGCTGGCTCTCAAGGTAAAATACGCCAAATATAAAAAAAATCAGAAAGAAGAATGCTTCAAGGACCAAACTCAAAAATCTGGAATCAACAACTTACATAACCTAAAATATACTTGGCTCCAATCGGATTCCTCAGCGTTCATCAGGCGAGCTTGCATCCTACCAGAAGAAATTGATCAAGATTGATGATCACATGGGTATTGGAATTGCTGGCTTGACATCTGATGCACGTGTGTTGAGGTAACATATATATATAAGCTTGCATGCATTTTGTGGATCAAAAGTGCACACTGGTCTGATACAAGAAAATACTAGCAATTTTATGCGTACCGAAGCTATGCGTTCCAAGATGTTGTACGACAGACCTTTGCCAGTACAGAGAATTGTGGCTGCCATTGCCGACAGTAAGCAGGATTATAATTTGCATAAATTCATATATATAAATTTGATCTGGATGGCGATCTCATGCAAATTGTGTATTTTGTTTGTGTTTTTTCTGTGATGAATTAGAGGCTCAAGTCAACACTCAACAGTATGGTCGCAGACCTTATGGTGTTGGACTTTTGGTGATTGGACACGATGTAAGAGAGAACACTTGCAAATTAATTCAAGTTTTGCGAATCCAGATGCTTAGGGATGTATAAATCTAACAGACTTGCTATTTCACAGGAGACTGGCCCTCATCTATTTGAGTGCTCTCCTTCTGGAACTTGCTTTGAGTACCATGCTATGTCAATTGGTGCACGATCTCAATCCGCCAAGACTTATCTTGAGAGCCATTACCAGGAGTTTGCTAACGGTATGTTATATTATCATATATTTCTCAGGATATAAAAAGGGAAGGAAAGAAGATGATTGGGAAATTAAGTAAATTATTTGGGTCCTACATTACAGAGTCTTTGAACGAGTTGGTTCGTCATGGTCTCCAGGCTTTGCGCGACACACTGCAGCAGGATAGCGAGCTCAATATTCATAACACTTCGCTCGGAATTGTGGGTGAGGACAGAGATTTTGAGATTATCGAGGGTGAAGCATTGCAAGTTTATTTGGACCTTTTGGGCGAGGAAACTGGTAGAACTCGTCGTTCTGCAGCTGGTGTCAGTGCTTCTGATTCAGTGGCAGCCGAGGGCCAGCGAACTGGGGAAGCCAGCGGGGTTACTCCTATGGATACTGATGCTTAATTAAAGTCATAAAACAAAACAAAACAACAAAACAGAACAAAAAAGAGAGAGGGAGGGAGAGAGATGTCATCGTTAGTAGGGCTTATTTTACTCCTAAAGAAAATACATCCACATATCTCATTTTGGATGGTCAAAGATTATGAACGATCAAAGAGAAAATTACATGATAAAGATTTCTGTTGCTGTTATTTTATTGTTTTAATGAGAGCTTTTTAAGATTTTAAAAAAGACATAAAAATAGAAAAGGGTAAAATGAGAATAGATAAAGAAATCTTTTTTTTTTAGCTTTTTGGTTTGATAGTTTGTTTATACACAGTGGAGATGGCGAGAGTAGATAAAAATGAATAAAATAAAATAAAAAGAATAGGTTTACAATATATATATTTAAAAATTTGTTCCAACCCATACACGAGCATTGCGGAACATTCTAAGCCAAGGTCCGACCTGTCCCCAGTTCTCTTCGTTAGGATACCAAGAGTTGCTCTCCTTGAGGACAACACGCTCAGGATGAGGCATCATTGCAAGGACACGGCCATTGGGAGTACGGATACCAGCAATGGCATCAGGAGTGCCGTTGGGGTTGTAGGGGTAACGCTGAGTAGGCTTGCCATAGTTATCAACAAAGCGGACGCTAGCGAGGTTCTGTTTCTTGAACTTGCTAAAGTCTTCCTGGGATCTGAAAGAGGCACGGCCTTCACCATGAGCGACAGCAATGGGGAATTTGGAGCCTTCCATGCCAGAGAAGAAGATAGAAGACGAGTCTTCAATCTCTACCATTGAAGTACGGCCCTCAAACTGCTCACTCTCATTGCGCTGGAAAGTAGGCCAAGATTCTGCACCAGGGATTAACTCTGCGAAATTGCTGAGGAACTGACAGCCGTTACAGATACCAAGGGCAAAGGTATTGTTACGGTTGAAGAAGTCAGTAAACTCAGCACGAGCATGGGGGTTCAAGAGAATGGACTTTGCCCAGCCGGCACCAGCACCGAGGACATCACCATAAGAGAAACCGCCGCAAGCAGCAATACCAACAAAGTCGCGCAATGTAGTCTTGCCAGCCATGATATCAGTCATGTGAACATCGACAGCATCGAAGCCAGCCAAATGGAAAGCAAAGGCCATCTCGATCTGGCCATTTACACCTTGATCACGAAGAATAGCAACACGAGGGCGCTTGGTGCTAGACTTGAATGGAGCAGTGACATCCTTAGTGGGATCAAATGTCAAGTCATAGTGAAGTCCGGGATCCTTGGCATCAAGAGCATTATCATACTCTTGCTGTGCACACCCAGCGTTATCACGAGCAGCCTGCATAAGGAAAGAGGTCTTGGACCAGGTACGGAAAAGGTTAATGCGAGAATCAGCAAATACAGCTTCATTATTGTACTTGAAGGCAATGGTATCCTTATCATCGTGTTCGGTCACAACACCAATCTTGATAAGAGCCTCCTTCGGCAAGCCAGCACGGGTAGCGACACCAATGAACTCTTCGAGACGGCTCTCCTCAACCTGAACAACAGCACCGAGTTCTTCATTGTAAAGGGCAGCAACAATATCACCGTTCTTGACAATAGGATCCAAAGTGACCTGGGCACCAACATGACCAGCGAAGCACATCTCGGTGATTGTGGAGAAAAGTCCACCATCAGAACGATCATGGTAAGCCAAAACAAGGCTCTTTTTAACATCGCCCTCCTTAACAGCTTGCATAGCGGTAAAGAAGTTCTTGAGAAGGGCGGCATCCTCAACATCAGGAGCTTCCTGACCAATCTGTTTGTAGACCTGAGCAATAGAAGAACCACCGAGTCGCTGTTTGCCCTTCGCGAGATCAATGAAAACCAAGGTAGTCTGGGCACTGTTCTTAAGCTGAGGAGTGAAGGTCTTGTGAGTGTTGACGACGGGAGCAAAGCCAGTAATGATGACAGAAAGAGGAGCAGTAACCTCGGTGTTCTTTCCGTCCTTCTCCCACTTCATCTTCATGGACATGGAATCCTTTCCAACGGGAATAGCAACGCCAAGTGCAGGGCAAAGATCAAGACCAATAGCCTGAACAGCAGAGTAGAGACCAGCACCTTCTCCAGCATGATCAGCAGCGCACATCCAGTTGGCAGAAAGTCTTATACGACCGATGTCGGCAATATCAGCAGCAGCAAGGTTGGTAATTGATTCACCGATGGCCATACGAGCAGAAGCAGCAGGAGAAAGAAGAGCCAAAGGAGTACGCTCACCCATAGCCATAGCCTCACCAGTGACAATATCAGTACCAAGAGAAGTAATAGTCACAGCCACATCAGCAACGGGAACTTGCCAAGGACCAACAAATTGATCACGGGCAACAAGAGCAGTGATTGAACGATCACCAATTGTGATCAAGAAAGATTTTGACGCAACGGCGGGCAATTGGAGAACACGACTGGCAGCATCCTTGAGAGCATCAGCTGTGGTTTTAGCAGCAGGCAAGTAAGTTCGTAGACTAGAGTCAAAAGGCTGACGGAAGGGCTTGAGGGTTGTAGTGGTGCGAGACATCTTTGGAGGTTTTCCGAACAAGACAGGCATAGGCAAATCAATAGGAGTAGACTTGAGGAGAGGGTCCTTGACAACAAGACGCTTCTCTGCAGTGGCTTTTCCCACAATGGCATAAGGACAACGCTCACGGGCACAGAAGTCCTCGAATACTTTGATTTTCTCGGGAGAAATGGCAGCTACATAACGTTCCTGAGATTCATTGCACCATATTTCCATGGGAGACAGACTGGCGTCATCACAAGGAACCTTGCGCAGATCGATTTCAGCGCCAAGGTCGCTGTCATGAACGATTTCTGGGAGAGCGTTGGAGATACCACCAGCACCGACATCATGGACAGACTCAATAGGGTTGGCATCGCCCAAAGCGGTACAGAAATCAATGACCTGTTGAGCACGGCGTTCCATTTCTGGGTTGTCACGCTGGACAGAGGCGAAATCAAGAGCAGCGCTGCTCTGACCCGAGGCCATGGAACTGGCAGCACCACCACCGAGACCAATGAGCATACTGGGGCCACCAAACACGACGAGGTGGGCACCAGGAGAAATTACCTTCTTAAGGACGTGTGCGGGACGAATGGTACCAAGACCACCGGCAATCATGATAGGCTTATGGTAACCACGAACTTCTGAAGTAGTCTCGGAGACGGGTACAGTTTCAGCAAATGTACGGAAGTAACCAGCAAGAGCAGGGCGGCCGAACTCGTTGTTGAAAGCAGCACCGCCAAGAGGGGCTTCGATCATGATATCCAGAGCAGAGGCAACATGACCAGGCTTGCCAAAGTCTGTTTCCCATGGCTGAACATTATCAGGGATCAATAAATTGGACACAGTGAAACCAACCAAACCAGCCTTGGGCTTTGATCCCTGGCCAACAGCACCTTCATCACGAATCTCACCACCTGAACCAGTAGCAGCACCAGGAAAAGGGGACACGGCAGTAGGATGGTTATGTGTTTCGACCTATTATTATAATAAAAATAATAAGAATTAATAAATTTGAACTTTTTTTTCAATCTAAATATACATGAATATATATTTAAAAGAAAACAAACCTTTGCAATAAAGTGAACATCCTCTTCATAGTGCTCATACAAATTTCCTGTAGAAGATGAGGGAGCAAAGCGAGTGGCCTTTGATCCCTCAAGAACAGCGGCATTGTCGGAGTAAGCGGAGAGTGTGTATTGAGGGTTGAGTTGATGGGTGTGCTTAATCATGCCAAAGAGCGAATGGGGCTTGAGTTCACCATCGATAGTCCAGTCTGCACCAAAGATCTTGTGACGACAGTGCTCTGAGTTGACCTGGGCAAACATGAAAAGCTCGACGTCGGTGGGGTTTCTGCGGAGAGCATCACCCGAAGAAGAACCAACGAATGCATCGATAAGATAATCAATCTCGTCATTAGCCAATGCAAGACCGAGCTCACTGTTGGCCTTGACAAGCTTCTCTCGTGCAACCTTTGTATCCTTGCTGGCCTGGCCACTGAGAAGGTCGACAACGGTCAAATGTCCAGGAGAACCGTGTTTGAAGATTGACTCGTAGGCAGGGATTTCTGTGGAGATTGACTGTGTCATGCGGTCGTGGATTGCATTAGACATAGCTGTCAGTTCATTAGAGGTGAGTTTGGAGCCATCGGCCTTGACTACAAGGTAAGCAGCGCCACGTTCGATACGCTCAACAAAAGGATACAGCTTGCAAAGGTGGGCAATGTTGGTAGCCTTTGATGACCAAGGAGAGATTGTGCCAGGGCGTGGGACTACCAAGACAACTGTAGCATTGGTGGGTTGACCATTGCCGGACAAAAAGTTCTCGATTTGCTTAGCATGTTCTGCGGAAATAGGGTTCGAATCATAACGCAGGAGATTCTTGAGGATCTTTGCCTGCTCAGAAGATGTGTCCTTTAGAGTGGCAAGAGTTGCAGCATCCCTGGGAGACACAAAGTGTGTGTGGAGAGCGGCGACTGCAGATGCGCCTGGGACTTGCTTCTGGATAGCTTTGAGAACTCTCTTGGACTTAAAGTCTGAGAGAGACGAGGATCCTGCGAGTACCAACATGAGCCGAGTAAACTAATGTGAGGTTTTTTGGTTGGATGGAGACTGGTGGTTCTCTAAGGCAGAGCAAAAATAAAACAGAAAAGAGAGAACGAGCTTTGTGTGTTTGAGGACTTGAAGGTTGGGAAGACAAGTGACAAGTGGATGGTTTTTGCGTGCTTTTAAATGGGCGGCATTTTAAGGGAAAACCGGTCTACATAGAGATGACTCAAGGAAAAACGGGGTAATTTAAGCCACTAAAGGAGATGGTATCACACCCTCGGATCTGTAGTAAATGCTCAATATAAAACCAATTCAGAAAAGATCAAAATATGACAAGGATTGAAGGTACTTTAAAGTCGTTGAACTCTTTATACATTTATTTCGACTTTTTTTTTTAAAAAAAAAATTAATTAATTCAAATAAAAAATAATTCAAGTAAATATTTTTATATAAACATATATTTATATACATTGTGTATATCCTTATGAGAGCATTTTCTTGCAAAGCTCTTTGCTGGTTTTGATCCATTGGTCTCGTTTGGCCTCCAGAGCAGCCAAGAGAGCCTTCAATTCCTGACTATCAGGATTACCCTATCACATCAAATTTGATGTCAGAAGTGGAGTCATAAAAATGAGAGATGAATCTTTTTTTTTAATAATAATAATAATAAAAAGGTTGACTTACCCGTAATCCAATGGTCACAAATCCAATACCGTTCTCATAGTCGTCTTTTTCATAGTACGCTTGTCCGATACGATAACATGCCTTTATATTTCTGGGTTCTCTATCTAGTACCTTTTGGCATACTTCAATAGCCTTGTCCCAGTCTCGCATTTTCATATAACATGCAGCAACATTTGCGTGAAGTGCGATTGTAACTTCACGGGCCTTGATCAAGTCTTCTGGCTCACAGTCCCACACATCCACAACATACTCTCTTCCCTACAGTAAATAATCAATTGAAATAAAGAGTATTTCATTAGTTTCAGGATTATTTGATTTAATCAGATCAGATCAGATGTGGTAAAAATTGTACCTTTCTATAGGCAAATAAAGCTTGTTCAATTGCTCCTTGTTTGTAGAATGCGTTTCCTTCTTCCTTTTTGGCCAAGGCGACAGAGATCTTTTGTTTGACGGATTCTGCAGACTAAGAAAATGAAAATAAAGAAGGATTAATTCAAATCTCAATGTATAAACCAAAGGTCCTACCATCAATTCTCCATCATATTCCCTTTTTCTTTCTCTTTATTTCTCTCTACTTTACCTCCCAGGTACCCAAAAGCTCAACCTCAAAACGCAGGTTTGCTTTTTGAGGAACAATTGGAGGCCACCCCTTCTTTCCATAACCTACAACAGATAAACAAATGTCATTAGTTTACAAATATTACAGGTACAGCAGTTGATTATTATTATTATTTTGGCGACTTACCATAATCATAGGTACACACAATCTCAGCCAGTTCACCCACATGCATAATCGGAATTGCGATCTCCCATGCTTTGATTACCTTGCCTGAGTAATTCATATTGGTTTGACATTTAATATATATATATATATAATACGCAATCACATTTTACTTTTCTTTTTATTGGATCCAACGCGTTTCCCATCCATTTTATTTTATATATTGTTTACCTCCATTTGGTACAAACTCATAAGCCGCGTTACGTTGACGCGATGAATCGAACAAGCTGCCATCTTCTAGAAAGCTTTCGTAATGCACTTTTATTTTTATTTTAAAAATAAATTATTAGATCTTGTTTTGAATTTTCCAAAGTAGTTTGTTTGTTTGTTTTTCTTTTTTCTCTTACCACTTACGATTGAATCTGCTTTAGGACATTGACCTTGACCTGATCTGATTATTCGTTTGGTGACATTGTTATCAGGTGTCAAAGAGACTGGTGATGTTTGAGTAGAAGTAGTGGCCATAATTAGAAAAAAAATCACCAAAAATTTATTCGTAACCCTTTTGTAGAAATTTTTATATATTGGGTGAAGTGAAAGAAAAAAAAAATACAAAAAAATAAAGAATAATAATGAATCAAATAAAGTTCACGCTTATATGAAATTGAAAAATATAAAAATACTATATATATAAATATAAAATAAAATAAAATAAATAGCATGTATATGGATATCAATATGAACATAGATCTAGACGTATATAGATACGTTTATACCTAAAGCGATAGAATCATATTTACCGTGTATAAAATCTACAGGGTTATAACAATAAAATATAGTCAAATTGTTTTACATTAACATAAATTACTTGCATTCGTAAAGAGATAGTCCAGTGCAAAGCCAAAAAGTTGAGAATTTAGATAGATGAATAGATAGATTAGATAAGAATGAAAAGAATGGTTAATATATATATATATATATATATATATTTATATAAATAATATGATTTCTATACGGTGTTACTGCTTCTGCCGTTATTGTCGTCGCTGTTGCTGTTGCTGTATACAAATGAAGAAACAAGATGTACAATGTATAATATGTTGAAATATTCTTCTAAAGAAAGAAACAAAAAGATTTACAGATGGTGTTCAGTATTGAATATTGTAAATATTTTCCTTCAAAGGGTCTCCAAGAGAAAAGTATTCGTCAGTCCGGAATATGCCTACAGAACCACACCGTAGATCGACATAGCCATGAGGGATATCTCTTTCCCAGTTTTCTTTGTGCACACATCCATTGTCATCTTTTGGTCGATTATCTTCATCAGATCCATTGTATCGATCAATTGGATAGTCGTCTACAGACTCTATCGATTCAAGATAAGTCTGGATCCAGCTAACATCGGACGGATCAAGAAGTCGGTATCTGATTCCGTTCCTGTAGGCTCTATAGACTGTGTATGAGTGGTACCACCGAGTGGATGGATTAAATGGGTGAAGGGAGGAGGACGGAGGTGGTTCAGATCGAACATTGACCTGAGAGATAGCAAACAGATTAACGCGTGCACGGGCAGTGGGGTGATACTCTTTATGAGACAAAAAGAACACTTCATCCAACAGCAGCATCTTAAAATGGGTGTATGGCATGTCGATACAAATTATATGTGTGTCTGAAAAAAGTGGGTCAGTAACCTTGACATAGGTAAGTCGCATGTAGGTCAACTGTCGACATCGCCGTGAGATGTAGCTAAACATGTTTGAATCTGTGTCGAGATAATCGAGAACCAACGAGCGTAGAACATGGCGTTCTGACACGAGCGGTACCGAAGATTGAAGTGAGAGAACAACTGACTTGAGATCAAGGGTCTCGACACAAGGACACGCGTTCAACAACGCATCAAATGAAATGGGTGTTATGGCTCCAAACCCTTTAAGACTCAGGGATCGCAAGTTCCGAAAGTGGAGTAAGCTTGGTATCGTGAGCGCATCCGAAACAGGACCGGTTATTGTGAATTTGAAGTGTTCAAGAGTCTGAAGGGAAGACTGGCAGATGGTTTTTAATAGGATTGTAGAAGGAGTGGGAATGTTTTCGTTGAGGTTGAGACTGTATTCAATATTTTTGAGAGATGTTCCGGTCTCTGAGAGGCCTTTGAAAAGTTCGTAGTAAGGTAGATACGGGCAGACACGTTCATGAAAGCTAACAGTCTCCAAATTACTCAGGCAGCGACCAGCCAGTCTGAATGCTTCTCTAATCGCATTATCGGTTTCGGTATCTTCAATAAGGAGGTAATCGTAAGAAAGTTGGCCAACATGATCACTTTCTGTGCGCCACTTGATGTTGGTGAGGTTTGGGTATTTGTGAGTCCAATAATATATCCAGGCATGGTTTGATGTCTTGAGTGTGGCAGTTAAACTGGTGATTGACTTTGAGACAGGTAAAGTAAAGATGTATGCCAATTCAGAGTTCGAGAGAACTTTGAGGCCACAGTCTAGAGAGAGTGTCTCGAGCATAGGTAGGCATGAATGAATTATTTCCATGTTGTCGAGGTTGAAGATATCGGTATTAATTCGACTGTCTCTCTGAATACTAAGAGACTTTAAACCAGGCAATCCAGAAACAATCAAAACCATTTCATCCATATCCCAATGATCCAGTCGAAGGGACAGTTCTGTAAGTGATCGCCACAAATGCCAATCGAGGGGAAAATCATACTCCCTAGCATCGTAAGCATATTTCTCGATGGAAAGACATTGGAGACCGGGGCAGGCTCTTTGAAATATATTCAATTCTTTCTCGCTGATACGTGCGTTCCCGAGTACAGAGAGACTTCGAATGAGTTGCCCGTGTTTGTTAGAGCTTGAAATGGTTTTGATAAGCGACAGAAGAGGTCTTCGTGAGGTAATTTTTACTTCAGTCCACATTGGCAGAAGAAATGGTGAATACCAGCTTTGACACACAGTGCTGCAGGTCACTTGATCGCTCTTCTTTAAAAGGAATGCGATTCGATTAAGAATCTCAAATGGTAAGTTGGAAGCTGACATTGTTATTAGGAAGAAACAAACATGAATAAATGAATGAATGAATGAATGACTGAATGAATGAAAAGACCTAGTTAACTTTAGAAGAAGAAAACGAGAGAGAAAAAAAAACACCCGTGAAGTCTCACAAATCGTGACTCAAAAGCGATTAATATATATATATATACTATATATTAACTTGTGCATATATACAAAGTCGAAAGACATAACGAGCTCAAACATATGTTTGACTTTTTTGTATGCCCTTATATTATATTTTTAGTTGCATCTTCAGTTTAGTATTTCGTTATTATTTCAGACCTGTGTAAAGGATTTGCGATTTCTGGTCACAGAACCAAAGAAATGGATAAAGTCTCCTTCATGTTCATTTGTTGTCAAAGAGTATACGTACATCCTTAATTAATAATATGATGTACATGTATATATAAATATAAATATAATACATGTCTCATTATTTTCCATTTATGGATAGACGTTTTTTAGCGATCTTCGCGATTTTTATTTATATACATATATAAATACAGAATATTATAAAATCTGGGTTACTTCTTCAATAAGCCTAACTTTGTTAGTCTCTGGTCAGTTTGAGACTTTAAGCCGAAAAAGTAAGTCAAGGTTATTTTTGGGTCTTGCGGTAAAGTATATAAGCTGACTTCTTGTATTATTTTCTTTAAGACTTCTTTATACTTATATTTACATTTATATAATCTTTTTATCTAATAGAATATTAAATATAATAGCTTAATTGTACTTGACCGGAGATCGACGCTGTGATCGTCTCTCTCTTTTAAAATTAAAATGAAAATGAAAATAGAGATTAGATCTACGCTTTTGTCAATATATAAAAACACAAATACAAATACAATCATATGTTTATACATCTCTATTTCCAGATAATGAACAAGCAAGCAATATACTCTAGGAAAATAGAATTCTGTTCATTTCAAGACTATTTTTTCTGTTTCTAAAAAAAAACCTTAAATCACTTTACCCATTCTAATACATATATATAATTATGCGGGTTGGACAATACAATATGTACTCTACTGAATTTCACATAGACAAGCAACAGGTCTATCTATTTTTATGTTTATTAGAGCATCCCCAACATGCTGGACTAATTTCTGTTATTTTGTGTAACATATTGTCCTCATCGTCAATAAAAACTCCCTGGCCCCTAAGATTTATGAAACACTTGGGGTGGACAGATCGAAAAGTTTAAAATGAGATTCTCCAATGAGATTAACTTATAACCACCCTCCTTTTTTTTCCTTCAAGAAAAAAAGGTTCAATATCGACTTAAATGCGTATTAGATAAAATCAAGTACTCATAATACCATCTCTTCTATCAGGTATAGATACTTTATAATACGGTTTACTAGAATTTGCACCCTGTGGCACATCCCTTCAACCAAGGCAGGATATTCTTCTCAATTCAATTCACAATGGAAGAAGACTAGCCAGTCAGAGTGATTCGAACTTTTTTTTAGCTCCCCATCCAATAATATGGCTTGTAGTTTTGAACTTATTTTTGATCTTTTAGTCTGTCCGCACCAACTCCCACCCAAGAACCTGTTCCTGGTGATCCGTTCCCCCATCTTCTCTCCGAAATTTCCACCGTTCCTCGTCAACCCCCTCCATCTGTGCCCGCTCGAAATTGTGCCTAGGAGGACGGACTTGGTCTGGTATCGTTGTGTATTCTGGATCCATAAATGGATCGTCCGAGTTTCTAAAAGGAATCCCTCTTTGGAGCTCCTATCCCTGCTGAAATCCGTTCCCAATTCTGGTGCCGTCAGTACCTAGTTACTTATTCTCGATTCTTTCATGTCATTTATTTTTCTTATATATTTATTTCACCTGTATTATTACCAGCTGTATTATCTATTTTAGTCTTAGTCTTTCTAAAAGCCGTTTTCCCCCATAGGGGGTTTTTTACATGCTCTCTTTACTGTTTTTGCTGACTATTCATCCTTGTCTCTGTCATGCGTGTTCCATACTTTTTCTTTATTTATCCTTCACTTTTTACATATTTTTTTTATTCCCCCTCATATTTAGGGGGTTACTTTTATTATTTTCATTTATTCTTCAGCTCTCATCGGGTAGCCAATATGCTAAAATGCGCAAGGCCTAGAAAAACCCACAATAAAATATTTTCATCTGTCCGCACCAACTATGTCAATTAATCTTTGGTAATAACCAACATGCACAAATATTATACTACATTCAATTTTCAATATGAAAATTTATTCCTTTTATGATATCCATATCTTGCTAATCAACGTACCCTATGGCTGCCGACTACTTTTTAAATAATGTAATATAGAAAGATTTGCAGAGAAGGATGATTGTTTTATAAATGCATCAAATTAAACTATTTTGTGCACAGTCTGTGTAAATACAATGAGGGCAATTACTTGTGCATTGAATTCACAATGACTTTTCTGGGTTTCTCCAAAACACGCATTTCTTTATTCCTTCTCATCTCTCATTTCTCTTCATATATATCGCCTTTCCTTTTTCTTTCATTCAAATGCATGTTATTCGTAATGTCCATCCGGATTATTCAAATTCAATAATATATATATATATATATATTACACGCCATTGGCATTCTCAAAGATTATTCTAACTTTATCCTTATATACTTCTTAGATAAAAACAGCATATATAGTTAAACACGGTTGCCGATTCTCCATTAAAATATACAAATAGTATTTTATTTCTTTCTTATTTTTTCGATTAGATTAATTTTTTCTTATAAATGAGCCTTCCTAATTACAACATTAACATCTTCAATCAAGTAAAAAAAAAGTTTAAAAGCGTGTTTTTTTATTAGAGACGATACTAGTTAAAAAAGACTTTATTTATTTATTTAAAGATATACGTAAAGAAACTATTCTATTTGATTGAATTTCACTTAATGTTCTTTTACATGAGTAAAAGAATAAAAAGCATGACACCAAGTTCTTTGTCCCCGCATTACGCGGCTCAATCTCCTTCAGGACGTAAACCTGACTTGGTAGCGAAGGAGGTGCTGGAATGGTGGCAAACCAACGGAAAGCACCCGTTCATCCAGCCCCACATCTCGTCGCCGAGTAATGTGGGTGCGAACTCGCCAGAGAACTTACCACTAGGTGATAAGGTCCAGCTCATTCGACTACCAGTAGCTTCACCGTCAGCCGTTAAAGAGTTCAGTCAGGTTAGCAGTGAAGAGCCAGCACATCTCACCACAGGTTAGACCTCCCTCCCCCCAGCATCATGATTCCACATTGGCGATGCGATGTACACAGTAGTCCTTCCAAAAATGAAAAGAGACCATGCCCCACGACTTCTCAGAATTAACTGAGCTGGCGAGTAACAACTTTCACTTTCCGATGCTTGTAGCATGGAAGAATCTCCCTGCAACGGTCGTAAGAGACGCCTCACTATGAAACCGGGACTGTTGTTGCTCAAGGAGAAAACAAACGACGCGCGTTGGAGGAGGTCTATATGTAACAGAAAATTTTTCATCTGCGGTTAAAGTTTAGGACTGCGCTTTTTGTCACTCTTAGATGTCTACGTCAGAGCAAACGTGATATAGCTATATATTCTTTTTATTGGGTTTGTGTGACTGTTCTACGGCAGAAGAGACAGCTAATAATATTTACTCAGAGTACTTATGAAGTCAACTTTGTAAGGTGAAGTAAAGTAAAGTAAAGAAGCAAAGAAGTAAAAAGAGTAATGAAGAGTTTAGCTTTGATCGGTGTAGCAATAACTCTCAAAGTGGAGTACAAGTCTCTATAACGGCGATTTGTAGGTTACTCTAAAGTGGTCTGTGCGTTTTTTGTTCAAGGCCACAAGAAAGAGTTTTCTTTTGCTTGTTCAAGTATACGAAATGAACCCAGCATTCACTGATAAATAAATACATACACGTTTTAAAACGATATCAACCGATAAGTAGAAAGTAGAAAAGAAAGCAAAAAGTATGCGTATACATTATCTGAATCTCCACACAACAGGTGGCGGAATGCCGAATTCCACGTTGAGTTTTATTGAAATGAGGTTATATCAATAGTTGAAAGTATCAAGATAATTCCACAAAAAGACCAAGCTATTTCCATAAGATGTTTTGGGTGTATTCTGGAGAGAATAGCAGACGTCTTCGACAATTTGCTTTTCAAGAGCTCAAGATATTAATCTTAGCTATATATGAATAAAAATAAAATCAATTAGCAAATGAATATTACTTAAGAGATTAAATTTAACTATTTTATTAGGAGGTATAATTGGCATCAACAAGCCGGCTGTTCCATAATATGTAGTATAAATTAAATATCCAAGAAAAGCATCTACTTTTTTCCTTTCGCTATGAGTTTGAGATAGAGGTATATAATTGCCTGAAATTTAACCGCTGCTGATGGTTTAAATGATGTGAAAAGATGATTAAAAAAACCCCAAAGCAACTTCGATGTTATAATGTGTAAAATATTTGCTGGCAGCAGTAAATATTCTGGATAGCCTGGCAAGTTTTTCAAAGAGTAATCTTCTTATTATTCGTATACTTTGCATATAAAATCCAAGTTTTCAGGCGCGATATTGTGGTCCACAATACAGATTTTTCATTTATGTCCGCGTTCATCATTTTCAATTGTACATTTAATTTATATCTCACAGGATTTCGCAACAGGCTTTCTGTACACTCGTCGTATGATGTCCTTTCTTTCTATTCAGGAAGAGGTATCTTTCTATCTACGGGGACTCCCGAAACAATCCTTACTGTCTTCCTAATACCTAGATATTAGCCATGCTGTTTATAAATTATACTTATATGGATATATGAGGGATTAATAAAAGCAAAGTGGTGAATGAAATATTATGCTTGCAACTCTATGTCTTTGTAATCTCACAATAAACTACGGTCAAAGAGAAGTATATTTCAATAAGAAATATTGAGTCTAAATATCTTAAGTCATGCATCAAAAACTTTGTAATAAGTCTCGCAGAGGATTGCTATGTTGTTGATTCTGGTAATGTTACTCATGTTGGCTGTCAAAAAAAATAGAAAAAAAAATAGAGAAAGGCGAGAGTACTTTTCTGGGTTCATGTCTTTGGTTTTACACTCTTTCCGAACCAGCCTGGCTCCCGACAATCCTGGCAATTTCTACAGTAATCCCCCCCCCCCTTGATCCATTTCCATCCTTTGTACGTCATCCCCAATTACAGAAAAAAAAGAAGAAAAAGAATGAGGTGCGATGGATAAATTAATTAGGCGGACTCATTTCACTTTTTTTTTTTAAAAAAAAAATACACGCGCAAACACATACAGATATATAAACATTTACTTCTCGACATATACCACTATGAATGCTTTATTTGGACGTTCTCTAACTCGCTCGTTTGTGCGTCAACAAACACGCACTGGATCAGCTCGCAACTTCACCAACACTAAACAGTACGATGCAATTGTTCTCAATGCTTATACCGATGCTGGGAACATTACCCTTCCTGCAACCAACGCAATTTCTGCCACCACACGCGCTACTATTCTCGAGCAGCTCACTGCCTCAAAGTTCTCAAAGCAAGGCGACGTGCGCATGCTCTATAACATTGGCGGTGTAAAGCAAGTAGCAATCGTTGGTCTCGGAAAGAAATCCGGTGAAGATCAAGCAAAGATTCAGGATGCTGTCAGAACCGCTGTACGTTTACTTCTTTCTTTTTAGGAAGTCGTCTGTAAAATACGATCATCAGAATTATTTGTATATACATAAACACATATATTCTAATTCACTGTTTTTCCAATAAATTATATTTTTTAGGCTGCCACTGGTGTACGCGCTCTTCAGGGCCAGGGCGCAAAATATATTGGTGTTGATGTGTCTGTAGATGCTCATGGCGCATCTGAAGGTGCTTCTCTTGCCCAGTTCTCCTTTGACAAGCTCAAGGTTGAAAAGGCACGCCGTAAGGAAATCGTCGTTGGACCATTTTCGGAATCCTCAGTTGAAGACATTACCTGGGAATCTGGACAGATTTATGGTGCATCCCAAAACCTCGCACGTATGCTGATGACCTCACCCGCTAATCTGATGACTCCCAAGCTCTTCTCTGATGAGGTTGCATACCTTTTGGCTGGACTGGAGAACACTGATGTCTTAGTTCATGATGAAGAATGGGCTGCTCGTAACAACATGAATGCCTTTTTGTCTGTTTCCAAGGGCAGGTAAAAAAAAACAATAATTTGAATTTGTGAAAAAAAGAGAGAATTGTTATATTGATAAATATATATGGATTGGATTTACATAAAGCCAAGAGCCATTGCGATTCTTGGAAATTCATTACAAGGGTGGAAAGGAGTCTGATCCTACGCATGCGTTGGTTGGAAAAGGTAAATATAAATTCAGTCAGAAAGTTGTGGTTGACTTAAGATACTGACTCAAAATACATTCCAGGTGTTACTTTTGATGCGTATGTGAAAAAATTGGGACATGATTGATCATCTTTGTGAGCCTAAATGCGTTTTTGCTTATATGTATGTGTGTATGTGTTTCTTAGTGGTGGAATTTCGCTCAAGCCATCGAATAACATGGCCTTGATGAAGGGTGATATGGGTGGTGCTGCCACTGTGGCTGGTGCTCTCTATGGAATCATCAAGCTTGGTCTTCCTGTCAATGTTGTGGCTGTTACCCCTCTGTGTGAGAATATGCCTTCAGGTGACGCAACAAAGCCAGGAGATGTTGTAAAGGCAATGAACGGAAAGTCCATTGAGGTTCTTGATACCGATGCTGAAGGAAGATTGATCTTGGTAAATTATACATATTATATTAAACAATACAATCCAACCGAGATACTTACAAATATATATGTTTTTTATCTTGTTGTGCTAAAAAGGCTGATGCTCTGTACTATGTTACATCCAAGTACAAGCCCAGCAGTGTTATTGACTTGGCTACCCTTACAGGTGCCATGGATGTTGCTCTTGGCGAAGTATTTGCTGGTGTCTTCACAAACTCTGACGATCTCTGGAAGAAGCTTGATAAGGCTGGCCAGACCGTCTCTGATCCTTTCTGGAGAATGCCCTTGAACGCTGGTTATCTCAAGGAGATGCAGACTTCATTGGTTGCTGACCTCAATAACCTTGGTAAAGGACGTTCTGGGGGTGCCTGCTCGGCTGCTGCCTTCCTCAAAGAGTTTGTTAACGGACTTGAAACACCGGTCGAATCGCCGGGTCCTCGGGATACCACTGAAGTGGTTGAAACTACTACTAATGATTCCATCGCATGGGCTCACATTGATATTGCCGGTGTTATGGATAGCCAGTCTACCCATGGATACCATATCAAGGGAATGAGTGGTAAGATTGGAATTAAACTAAAAGGGTTTTGGTTGATTTTCTTTTAACAAAATTTATATTCATTCAGGTCGTCCCACTCGCGCTTTGATCGAGTATATCAAGAGCGTATCAAACTAAACTAAAAAAAAACAAAAACACGAAATAGATATTAAAGCAGGAATAATAGTAAAATAATGATTATAATCAGGGTACCTTTTTTTTTTAAATATATATATACATGCACACATACACCAAACTTGACATATGTATCTTCAAGATATTAGATAGTCTATATAAAATCAACCGTCTATAAATAATAAAGTCTTTACGACTTGAACCAAAACCCCTTTATACAATTGCATTTAGATTATACTAGAGAGAAATTACATAACTCCCAATGTTATAATCACTGGTGGCAATAATATCCACTATTCTCGTATGTTATTAGTGTAGCTTAAAAAAAGTTCATAAATATACATGTATATTGTTTTTCATTCGAGACTAACAAGCAATTACTAATACACTTGTATTAGTAATACAATTATATTAGTAATACAGCTATATGATATATATGATATAATATATTATTATTAGAATATAAACTCTTTTTCTTCCCTTTTCATTTGGTGCGAGGGTAAATTTGCTGGTATGATTTTGATAGATGTTTTCCATATTTAATTTTATTTAATTTTTACCGATGTCAACATTTACATCACAGCCTCATTTATCATCCTAAGCTTTTACAATATTCAATGACATTAAACGGCTGCCCCCTTTTTTTTTAAAAAAATATTCGTGATAATGAGTTGCCGATGGCTGACAGAATTAGAGTGTTATTTAGCTTCAGAGCGTAAGGCGTAGAGTGTGTGAGGAGGGAAGGGGAGTCGACGGTTAGGGTCGTTATTCCATTATAATATTGATGTATTACAGGAAATACTCAATTTGGGTCTCATGCTACATACATACATACATACATACATACATACATACATACAATATCCATTAATACACAAACGAGTAAATAGACCTTTGCGGTTAAAAATACCTTGAGTTGAGCTTGCTGAGGATTGCGTTCATTTTCTGGTGCAGCATCAAATATATTAAAATATCGTTCGCCATTAACACCAACCTCTAGAATAGACGCCAAATTTCCGCACCTATAGCAATAGTTTGGAGCTGACCACACTGTGGAAAGTTTGTTGTCAAACAAAACCTTTAAGTATATATGTATAAAGGAAAAGAACCAATAATTAAATTATGTTTAAAGTATCCTTGGATGTTTATCAAGTTATTCTGTTAATCATAGCTTTCATTACCTGATAGCCAGCATTACATAGTTGATGAGCACGTAGGATGTGTGACATATTATTCATGTGCAGAAATCTATCGACTACCAAGCTACCAAATGTATACCCTGCTCCTCTACCAATAACCGTTAGTACACTCAATGGCCTCATTGAAATTAGATACGGAAACTGTTTAATTTATTGGTACCTTGCTGATATAGCAAACTCTTCCTTTTCTGGGTCTGGATCAGACCATACCAGGTCAGCCATAGCACCTTCATGAGGAATCTCTGGATATATAGGACCGTTCACAGACTTAATATGTATGTATGTATATTTTATATTTGTATTTATATATATATATATATCAAATCCTGTGATTTACCTCGAAATCGATCAATAACCATGATTTGATCCAGAACATGAATTGTAGGTGACAGACCTAAGTAACGATCGATGCAGCCATAATAAGATATTTACTCCATCCCGGTACTGATTTCTACTGATGATTACCTCCATGAACACAGAATATATTGTTATCAATGACCACAGACAACGTTAAGAAATCAAACATATCGGTAAAGTATTGCCAGACCTGCTGTGATCCATATTTCCGCATGCATTCTGTATAGAAGCCATATGTCTATAATCTTATCATCAGTATATATATTCACCCAAAACAAAAACATATATATATATTAATTATGTATTATTTACCTGAGTAACTGCTCGTGATTCATGGTTTCCTCTAACTAGTTGGACACGGTCCGGGTAACGTAGTTTGAGACATGTCAATAGAGAGATGGTCTCTACACTATATAATCCACGATCCACATAATCACCTACAGGAATACTCATCAACATCATCCCCAATTGCCAATCAAGTTTCGTATACCAAGAAAAAGGTAGTTTGTATCAGGACAATAACCTCCGATCCTAAAGATCTCAATTAGGTCATAGTATTGTCTATTTCAAAAACGAAGATTGAATAAATGCATGTTTAGATTAACTTTTTTCTTTTGTGTTTTTGCTTTTGCTTACCCATGGATGTCTCCTACCACAGTTACAGGGGCACTAATGTGAACCACATTACTCTCACGTATGAGCAATTCCTTTGTTTTTTCACAAATCTCTCGAAGGACGCATTCTGCAAGGAGTTGCTTTTTATAAAGTCGTTCGAGGCACGCGTCAAGATCAAGGGCCACCATATATATATGTGTGTATATATAAATTTTGGCTTGAATAAAAACCAAGATTCTCCAAAAGAAAAAGAGAATGAAGGAGCAAATAAAATGAAATGAAATGAAATAAAAGAATATGTATATATGTATATATGTATATATGAATATATAAAAGTTAAAAGAAAGAAAAACTAGGTATATTATAAAGCAAACCCTCTTTATTCCATGAAAGGTAGTCATCTTATTCACACTCAACAGTTGATACTACCATTATGATTGTACCATAGTGTATATATATCATATATCATATATATCATATATATCATATAAATATATTAGAAATAAGGAAAATTGAACAAAATGAGTCAAATGCATTTTATTGTTGATAGCTTGTACAAGTATATTAACAAAGTAATAGTTATTTTGTGTGTTGCAGTGCCAGTTAGATCGAAAAAAAATGTTATTATAATATTTTGCATAATTATGTTTGAATTACAAGCTATTTATAACATATACGAAAAGGACAAGAATTCCTTGGCACGTATCCTTTACCTAGACTTCTTTAAATCTATGTGTTTGTTTTTTCTTCTATTTATTTATTGAATTTTCTGTATTGAGATGTTATTACTAAACACTGTTTGGTGAGCGTAGATAATGAAGTGTCATAATACACAAACCACAATAAAATACAATCATGGGTATCAAAACTAGTTTGAAACGTGAATTGTTGGTCAGTCAATTTAATATGCAAGTCTGATGAATACACGCTCTTTTGTGCCAATCTTTGTATATCATTTGATCTACAAATATATGTACACTGATCAAAAGGAAAATGCGATTGTGACGTACAGATTCCTTTAAGAATAGACAAGATACACTAAAAAAAATCTGGCTAGATAACGATGTAGCTTACCAATAAATTCTCCAAGACAAAGCCTTTTTGAACAGGAGAGTCTTGGAAGCTGAGAAAACAAAAAGGGGGGACAAAATGAGCGGAGTGCTATTTTCAACACCTTATTTTTCTTTAATTTTTGTGTGGGTGTGTATGTGTAAAGAAAAGGGTCAAAGTTTGGTACTATTATATATTTTTTCCATAAATGTCTATGTGTATATATTAGCATTTTCTTTGTTGATATAAAGTAAGATTCACGCTGCGGCTTCACTCTTTCCTTGGCCTCTTTTCTTTACTTTGTTCATTTCGTAATGGCCAATTACGACAATCCAAAAGCTTACTATAATCAATCAGGTATTTATTGCCAAAACTTACAATCACCAAGTCTTATTCTTCGTCCCTTAGATTATGTCCCAGCCCCTCCTATGACTGGGAGTAGCAATAGCACCAGCAACAGCAGACCACCCATCAATAATAGTTACAGTAGTCCAGCGAGAATGCTGAAGCCAAACGGCTCTTCGGGTGATCTTCCTCCTCCGCCATACTCTCCGTCATCACCTCAACCATCAGCGCCTCCTATGCCAGGATACCCCTCCTACGGAACTACCCAACCAGGTCTGCTGTCCCCCGCTTTACCATTTCCTGTTCCACAACCAGAAACTCCACCCTCTACTCAGCAACAAATGCCTATCCCCCACCCAATATCTTCACCATCTCCAAACCCACATATTCCTCGTGACTGGCCTACTTATCGTACTCCTCCTCCTCCTCCTCCTCCAGCATGGCCGGAAAGGCGCCGACGATCGGGCAGCTGTTGCCAGTCATGGTGTAAATACCTATTCTTGTCAATATTAATTTGGCTTTTGGTGTTAAAATACATCGGTGTTTACCAATCACCTTCAAATATTCCAGCTACTTTGTGTGATGATAATAGTGCAGATTATTGGGAACAACTGCCTCCCTCATTCTTGATAACTCAAAACGTCAAGGTGGTTGTAGAAGGCCGTGTAACAGGCGGAACCATTCGTGTGAACCGATTACCAACAAATGCTCAAGGAACCATCAAACCCACAGTTCGTGTTTCTGCAAATCATCGGAATCTCTTGAAAGAAATGTCTTTTAGATACACTCCCGGACCAGAGACTTTGTTAGAACTTATCATGCCCACTCTTTTACCTGCCGACGGATGTGTATACGTTGATATGGTTATCGATCTTGCCGATGATGCCATTGCTCTTGATATTAATGTCACAAACCTGTCTATCGTTGTTGTTGATCCATTTGTTATTAATCGTGTCAACTTACGTACCACAAACGCCAAAATCACCTTTGATGCTCCATGGGAAGGAAATTCGCTCAGCCTACAATCTTCAAATGCCGCCCTTTCAGTTTCTGGTCTTGAAGCTAGTAACAATATTAATATCGTTACTACTAATGGAAACGTCCTGCTTACAACCGCAGTTGCTGGTAGTGCAATCAATGTACGCAGCACTAACGGTCAGATTATTGGTTCTAGCCTGACTGCCCCGCTTGTTCAATTAAAATCAACAAATGGACGTATCAGTCCTGGAATTGTCGTTGGTCAGAATGTCGTAGTAGAGTCCAGTAATGGAGCCTTGTTGCTGGAAGTTACTGCGAATAAGATCAATACCCACACCACTAATGATAAAATTAACCTTACTGTCAATGATGTTGAAGGCTCTATCGTTAGAGCAGTGACATCCAATTCACAAGCCAGACTTATTATGGTAAGTTCTTCCTAAAGCAGCATTCCTTTTTTCTTTCTTTTTTTCTCTTTTTCTTTAAAGAGTGTGTTTAGTCTTTTACCTTGTGACTGATAAAATCGTATTTATTTTTTTGTACAGAACGGCTTCAAGGGTCAATTCAAGATTAAGACTTCCCACAGAAACTCTGCTCGCATCAAAAACGATAGTGATTATCCAATTAGTTACACGTATACATCATCTTTCAGCAAGGAAGGTGTTATCTCATCAGGCACTGGAACTATCTATGTTGCAACATCTAACTCTGATGATGAAATCACATTCCGTAACTGAAATATTTTCTTTAAAAAAAAGGCAGTGCTTTATTGATATTGAATTCCCACATTTTTTTGGAGGGTTTTTACTTTGGCTAAAATATCTAAATAAAAAAAAAGTAAAGTAATAAGAGAATAATAGTGTGGACAAAATAAGAAGGCAAGATAGACTCGAAATATGTATAAAATAATAGAATTTTTGAGAATTAGTCTTCATCACTAGCATTCAATTGGTCTACTTCTTCGTCCATATCTTCATTGACATTGTTGATAGGGATTTGAGCTTGGTAAGGGTTATGATGCTGATGGTGTTGTGGTTGATGCTGATGGTGATGCTGATGTTGGTGGTGTTGGTGTTGGTTTTGGTGTTGAATGTGATGCCGTGCTGGAAATTCTTCGTCTTCATCGAATTCATCATCGTCTGCCATGGCAAGCTCTGCATCGGCCATAATTAAAGGATCAGAAGAAGAAGCAATTGCTGGTATATCTTCTTGTTCGTCTTCCATAGATTCATCGTCATGAATACCATCCATAAGAGGTGGTCGTCTATTAGCATTTCCCATCTGTTCGAGATTACCACGTTTTTTCTCGGCAGCAGCCATAACACCCTTTGCAGCCCTAGGTTCCATTTCCTCAAAGTTTTGCCAGACATAATGTTTAAGATTCTCAGCTCCGGGTAGATCCTGGATCATTTTGGCAATAGTTGGGTGCTTGAACCCATAGTAATCAGGCCCACTGGCAGAATTGGAGTGTTCTCTGTTACGGATCTCGTTCGATTTGCGCACTACTACAGTCCATGCTCCAGTAGCAGAATTGGCAATAATGGGTTCTGGTGCATCAGCTGCGACGACATGGAAGCGAGGTCCGTCCCCACCGTCAAGAATGGTTGATGTGATTACAGTGTTGCTCGTAGGGTCAGACATGCTCGGATAGGTTCTGAGTGTTAAGTAGAAACATAAGATTCATCAAAAAATAACAATAGTTCAATACACTATGTAAAGGTATATTCCCCACATTATTATTTTATTATTATTTTCAGAATTTGTCTTACCTCGAGACGGTGTACCCGACAGGAAAAATGTAGCGCTCATTGTGGAATGTATCCCGGTCACTGACAATCTTACCCAGATCAAGTACTGTCAAAACACCAATCTGCTGTGGTAACTTTGGGTGGCCTGTCTCATCACGTTCAATGGGTTGAACTCTGCGTGTCTTGACTGCAATTCTAGAGAGCTTTGAACGTTTAGGAGGTGCAGAAGCCACAGTAGCGAGATCGCGGTGTCTGGTTGGGCTCAGGTTGGGCGAAGACAGAACAGACGATGGGTCGCGTTTGTCTTTGTGAATAGTCACGCGTCGTGCTACACGTGTAGATTTGGATGACGTGGAGGCCAGCACTTCATTACAGAAAGAGAACCTGATCAATAATGACAATAACAAATGGACATGGAGACTTACCGTCTTCGGATTCAGATTCAAAATCAGATATTTCACTTAGGTCACTGTTGCTTTCTTCTGACGATTGACCTTCCATACGTGCAATATTGTCTAGTAAGAGACTACATGATTATTATTATTTTCCTTTGTTAGTGTTTCCATATTTGTGTACACACCCACACCCACATATATATGTGTATATATATAAATATGTTAGGTTTTGAGTTGGGAATGGAAATTTATTCTTACTTTCTTTCAAATGTCAAGGTTCGAATCTTCTTTTTCGTACGTGTATAGTCTCTGTTCATGGACTCATTGATCTAAATTAAATGAAATGAAATGATAATTATTAAAACGGATATTCTCAAGAAAAAAAAAGCAAAAATCCAACTTTTGTTTGAAATTACCTCCATAATCTCACGCAATTTGCGTTTGAGTTTCTTGTATTTTTCTTCAGAGAATCCAGACGCGGCATGTTCAGGTGATTGAGGGGCAGAGAAGGCAGGTTTGGGTTGTTTTGGAACCAAAGAAGGAGAGAGTGGTGGGGGACTAGCCATGGTGGAAGAAAGTAAAGAAAGTAAAGAAGAAGAGGAAGACGAAAAAATAAGAGAAAATAAAAATAATAAAGAATAATAATAATAATAATAGTCAGAGGAAGACTAAGAAGAAGAGAAGGAAGAGGAGGAAGAGGAGGAAGAGGAGGAGTAAGAAGAAATTCTCTGTGTGTGAGCTGTGGTTGGGTGAGTTGAGTAAGTGTCTGTGTCTGTGTCTGTGTCTGTGTCTGTGTCTATGGGTGTGTCTGTGTCTATGGATGTGGGCGTGAGTATGGGTATGGATGTGTGTATAAGTATCGGTGTAGGTGTAGGTATGGGTGTATGTGTATGTGTATGTGTATGTGTATGTGTATGTGCAGTGTGTATGTTTATGACGGGTCTTATTTCCCACTTGTTATTTTCTGGTCTTATTTTTTTCTTTTTTTTTCTTGGTGGGTCAATGTCTTTAACCAACAGGAGGCAGTAGATTGGTCCTACCCAATGAGGAAGAGGAGACCCAAGCCCACACGTACTACCCATTAAAAAAAATTAAAAAAAAACTAGCAAATTTTTTTTTACAAAAATCAACAAAAAATTATAATAACACTCCTTTTCTACTTCTTCTTGTTTGTGAACGTTTCTTACCTTTACATAGTGACTTGGTTTCTTTGTACTTATTTACATCTTTATTTATTTCCTGTGATGGAACATAATAGAGCTTATATAAGAGCTATCGAAATCTTGTTTTGTCAGGGTCTGGTTCACAACTCGAAGTAGATTGCGTATTGTCATGAGAAAATTCATAAAGCTCATTTCACTTTATTGAATCCTCATGTTATCTGCGCCAGATTAAATTATGAAAACTATTTGCCTATCAGGATTTACAGTTGATAAGTATTCTCTGCTGTAGATAGTAGGGCGAATAGACATGTCTATTTTCTTTGCCTTTTCTATTTAATAAAAATAATAATAAATAAACGAATAATAAAAGAGTATATATATAAACCAGATATGCTATATACACACGTCTTCTCCTGTTTTTGACTACACGGATACACGCACATATATATGCATGTGCATTTCAGCACAATAAAACTTAGTTTGGATTTGCATATTGATTTAAAGAGAATGTAGCTATGAACATCTGCTTTTATGATAGTCCCAAGTTCATAAATCGCTTTCCAAATTTATAGGAGGCGTAAAATGAGGAATTAATTATCTGACATTTGTAAATGACAAACTGATCTAGGGGTGAGTTATTGGTATTGAATACACACTTGGAAGGACCTAACTACAAACGACACATAAGAATTTATTATTATTTAACTGGGCAACATATATTTAGTTCTTTACGCTTATATATATAAACATGTTACCATGACAACCCATTAGCTTATCAACAAAAGATATCTTCACAAAAAGTCTTTTTTATTTCTATTTTTCTCACAAGGTCTAAATTTTTAAAAAATCTCTAAAATGAACACACTTAATAGCTATCAAGGCTATTGTTAATAAAATTTAAATCAGTGAAGTTGAAAAAAGAAAGTAGGTTAAGAAGAATTGACAGGAAAATATCTGTATCATGTACAAGTTGGTTGTCAAGATTACTCGCATGCTCATTAGAGATCTCGGTAGTTTTAGAGAATCACCGGGAATCTGTCTTCTGGTTTTTCAAAAGTAGGAATCAGGCATAGCAATGTTCACACAAAGCAGGTTTATACTCTTTGATAAAAAGAATCAATTAAGCAATATACATGCCTTCATCACCATTATAGTATTTAGAAAATAGCCGTTTTTTTAAAATAAAAAATATAAAAATTATCACATAAAAATAGATATATGTATATTATTTAGTAAAATTATAGCTTAAACTGCTACTAAATATCATTAAATTTAGTACTTCTTCTTTCCATACTTCTTTATATTCAACTTCTATTATTTTGATCAATAAAAACTGTAAAATTCAAATATAAAACCGTGCATTTGTTGAACCAATTATAAGAATAGATATACCTAAAAAAAGGTATAGATTTGCCATATTTAGAATGTTTGATTGGATTAGATGCAAAAATAATCTGAAATTTAACGAATTGTATTATCCAAATTTGTTATAAAAAGGGATATAGGTATCTGAAAATGGTATAATTTTGTTATTTTAAAATATTTTATTGGATTAGATAAAAAGTAATCCAAACTCCAATAGATAGTATTCGCTGTAAATACCTTTAATTTACTAAAAGCTAATATTCTATTAGCAGATATTATAATTTCGCAATCGTAGGAAATATACGGATTCGTATATGATATACGGGACCGTATATTTCCTACGATTGCGAAGTTATAATGTCTGCCATTTACTATAGTGATAAATCATTTGCCTACGGAATCATCGAAAGCACAGGCAAATAATGTCTCAAAATCGGTAGCGAATTTATCACCAGCAAACAGCATGGACCCTACAAGAAAGCGCTCGTTTCCAGCGGCCGTGAGCGTATTAACAAACAAACGAATTGCTACATTTTCGTCCAATAACTATCTTACTGCCCCCAACACTCCCATAATTCCTGAGCATATGATCAACGCACTTTAACCAATCGTTTTGATTCAAGCTGAAAGTTCACCAATATTGACGCTTGCTAATATCAAAAAGTTTAGGCATACACATCGGTTTCTTTTGGTAGCATTGGATCAAGACTTAGAAGCTTTAATACAATGGCTATGACAACAACCACTCTCTGTGGAGCTAAACAACCAAGAACAACAGCTGTGAAAGATGATATGCTTTTCACTAACCAGCTTTGTGGACAGCTGCAATTGGTCGTATGAAAAACACTTACAAAAGGACATGGTGGGTGCGCCGAGTTGTTCCTGTATTTCAAACATTTGCCAACCAAACTGGTATGCTCTCCTTTGACTGGTGCGAGTGTGAAGTGAGGCACCATGCACTGGCAGATGAAGACCCCGAAAATTGCAAACAGAAGACCAGATTTGCCAATGGTCTTGGATATGTTTGGACCGGTATGGAGCGGTTGGTTATGGAAGGTTCCTCGGAACAATACAAAGAAAGAATACCCAAGACGATTGACGATAGCTTCAAACAAATCCACAGTATGTTCAACATGCTAAAGTGTATTGCCAACACCCATTTGAATTCAAGTTTCCAAACATTTCTACAAACAAGAGTATATGATATTCAATCAGCCAGAGAAACAATTGCATTATCTAAGGTGCAAATGAATGACCAAGTGAAATATATCCACCAGCAAGTTTTGACAACAACAATACCAACTCGTCCCCAAGAACGAAACAAATGGCTTGGAGTCTTCAATGTCGTTGCGTATCTGTTGACTGCTCTGGAAGCACAGGTTGACAATTTAGTCTTACTGGATGACGAACAAGAAGGAAAGATTGACGTGGAAGCTGAAGAAAAAGTTCATGTTAAGCTCTGCCATATTATACCTGATATGCAATAACAATACTAGATAAGAGAAATGAAAAAAAAAAGTTATATTGATTTATCGAGTTATATTTTAGCAGAATATCGGCTGAGGAGGTATTCTTAAAAATAATAAGATCAATAAGACACATAAAGGACTAATAATACAACTCAAGTCCTTTATAGTTTTTATGAAAACATCGAAGTTTTATATTAAACCAGAAATTGAAACTGTAAATTAATATTGACAGCTGGAAGTAGTTTCATTGATTGTACCTAATAAAAGGCCATTTCAGCACAGTATTAAAGATGAATAATTGGGGGAAATATGTAGAATGCATTTACGTAATTGTGATAGGCACAAGTGTATGCAATAATAGCTTAGGCATACAGCGCAACGCATATTTCTTAATTGCAGATGGTTTTCTACACCAATTGCAATCAACTCTGCAGCAGAGATAGCACTAAATATCTTTTTGTGTTTGGTTGGATAGTGGGTCAGGTAACAATAGCACAGGAACCTTTTTTGAACAACGTTTACTAGAAATTATCTGTGGGAGTGAATTAATGAAATAAGGAACAAAGGCTTTACTAATAGAGAATGAATAAAGAGGATTGTGAATGGCTATTAGTTTCCAAAATAAAAGAAGATATATTCCAAAAGTTGAGGGACAAAAAATCAAGGCAGAATTTAAGTAAAATAACTAGATCAGCTTTGCGAATTACTGAAGCTTGTAATTCTGCCCCTCCAAGATTTTCTCTGTGCGTTTTCACAGCATTATGTGAATATTTTTGAAAAGTGTTTATTTAGTGAGTGTTGATTCAAGTATGTTTTTCATTTAAAGATTGTTAAAGATATCAAACTTTAGGGAAAAGAACCCCGTCCTATGATAGAATAAAAACCGCCTTTTAATTTTATTTTATTGGCCGCCCTTTGTGGTTGGAACGACAGTATATATAAATATATATAAATATATATTTGTTTCCATGGTAATTTTGTTATTATTACTATTATTATTTATATAAATAGTTTTTTTCTGTGTAAGCGTAGCAGGCAATAAAGTAAATAAATAACACCCGAAAATAGCTATAGACTTTCGATCGATGGTTGTGTTATATCTTTATTTTCTTTCTAGGAAATATTCTACAATTGAATCTATTTCCAAATGACAGAATTTGTATGAGACTATTTGTATTCCGTAGACATCGATCAATTGAATCTTAACTTACACATTCCACCCCCTCGCCCCCCCAGTCCTACTCTACCACCTTTTGATCCCAATCTGTGTGTTTAAATCTATTGCAATGTTTGACAAAAGCAAAATTGAATCGATGGAGCTTCTTGTTGGTGTACAAGCAATAAGGTTACAAACACAACAAAAAAACAAAGAAAGAAATAAAGAGCAAACAGATCGAATGTTTAAAGTATATTTATTAAGAATCGATGATACTTTTTTCGGTTAGATAATAATAAAAATACAATACATGTATATAAAAAAAACGCATTTTTTGCAAAGTCTATGCATACATTTTTCTGTCAATACACAAAAGAAACCATTAGAGCAAAAAGATAAACCTGTCATACTTGGTCGAAATAACTTACTTGAATGACACACAGACTCATTTTCTTGTGTATATATAGCACATATACAGTGTGAGAATGAATTCGGCATTATGTGGTCTAAATTAAAGAATCGCTCATCGTATTTAAACGTCGGTTTCTGCAAAGTTTCCAGATGTACGGTAGGTCAGCGAGAAGTTAAATACTCGAGTCATTTATTCGATCGATGTGTACTTGGTCCGACTTAATTTTCTAACCCAACAGTATTGTAAGAGATGGGAGGCAGGGAAAATAAGGAAATATAAAGATCGATCGAAACAAAAAGTCGAATCATTGTCTTTTGAATATATAGAGACTTATATTCGTTCCCTTTGAAATCTTTCTTCTGCAAAGAACATTACCTTTATTTTTTATTTTTATTAATTGCTATCAGAAAAGTCTCTGTTTTTTTTTCTGATATATACATATATATATATATATACATATATATCTATATCTATATCTATATATACATGTGTATATGTTTATGAAAAGAGGACAAAATTAAATATTACCATTAAAGCTTGGCTTTACCTTGACTATTAACAAATGTATTCTGTCTCAACTCACGCGCCGGTAGATTCCATCTCTCTCAACAATAAGCTTTATCAGACAAACAGCAGTAGAAAACTAAGAATACCAAATGGTACAGCATCTCAATCTTAGCGTTCTGTTATAGCTTGCCATCTAACAATAATTCATTCATTTACCTTTTTAGCTTGGCATCAGTACAAAATCTCACTACAAACATTTGTACCAACCAAAGACTTTACATATGCCCCTTCTACGTCACATCAACCGGCGAATATTACAGCCCTTCATCAATGTCCTGTCTGTCATCATGCTTTTCATCGACCCTGCACTCTCCCCTGTGGTTACACTGTCTGTCATGCTTGCATCCCCGCACCGTCTATGCCTTGTGTAGCACCAGACTGTACACGAACCCATACCAAAGAGCCATGTCTCAATATAGCCCTACAAGAAATACAATCAATCACCAGCCAGCTTTCTACATATGACAGCGCGTCCCCCGATAGTCTTCATACTTTATTAGGAAGTTGTCTCGAATGTCCCATATGCTGTTCTCGAATTGAGGATCCAATCACCACTCAATGTGGTCATACGTTTTGCCGCCACTGTATTACACGAGTGAGCCACTTCTTCAGGACATGCCCAGTTTGCCGCACGGAACTGGCCGTCTTGTGTGGAAGAAACAACCAACTTTTGTCCCGATGGCTAGAAATTTTGCTTCCAGAAACAAAGCAAACCTCGGTGCTCATACCAGTATCACAACCAGTTCGTCTCTTAATTGGCTCATTAGCATTCTCTTCCGTACCGTGCGCATTTCACATCCAAGACTCTTCTCTAAAAACCCAGTCTGAAATGGTAATGTGTGTTAGTCGTATTAAAAGAAGCTCTGAAGAAGGCTCGGCACCATTTAGTGAATACGGAACCATGCTTGAGATCAAGTACAACGAGACGTTTGTGGATGGTCGATCGATGGTGGAAGCAGTCGGGTCTTTCCGTTTCCGTATCCGGAACTATTGTATCATCGATGGCTGCCATGCCGGACAATTTGAGCTAATAAATGATGTTGACCCTGAAACTGAGCGAGTGCTTGAATACCAGCAAATAGAAGCTGCAAGAACAAAACGAGCCAGTATGCACACAAGAAATACCCCCAGGCGACCTCGATCGGTTATATTTGGACATTCCTCATTGGTAGACTCGGTGGCCATGGCACCAGAACTTTCATCATCATCATCTTCTTCTTCGTCGTCGTCTTCTTCGTCTTCTTCGTCTTCTTCGTCTTGTTCTTCTGCTTCTGCTTCTGCTTCTGCTTCTGCTTCTGCTTCTGCTTCTACTTCCTCGTCAACATTCTCATCGCTACCTTTGTCATCATCCTCTTCTATAATATCCCCAACGACATCTTCATTTCCAACCATTTCCTTAACAACACCTTATAGCACCTACGGTACGAGTGTTCACCGACGATCATGGGCAGTCCAAGGAGTAGTACAAGAACACCCTAGCCGATCTCCCTGGTTCAAAATTTATCAAATCAGACAATTAAGTCACACACAGAGTGAGATATCAAATCTAGACCGACAGTGTCTTTCTACTGAGGCTCTGTTGGATTATCTAGACGACTTTGTTTGTGCTTTAAAAGGAGGACAAGAACGATGTCCCACCGATCCATTCTCCCGATGGCTGAAATCAATTGGTGAGCCACCCGTGTCACGTGGCCGGGATCGGGATGGAGTAGCTTTTAGTTGGTGGGTGGCTAACATGATGCCCCTTGTTGAAGAAGAAAAGGTTGAGCTGTTATCGATGCAAACTCTACGAGAGCGCGTTCTTAGGATAGTAAGCTGGATTGACCGTTTCCAAGATCAGTGGGCTTTTTGGCTCCATGCCACTTCAAACTTAAAACCTTCTTTTTTATGATTTAAAATTTAATTAATCTTTATTGCCATTGTTTCCATTATTGAATTGTCCTATGTCCCTATATCCCTTTCTACTAAACACCACTTTAACACAACTAATTCACAACATCTTCTCTCTTTCCCTCCTTCCTCTTCCTCTTTCTTTTCCTCTTTATATTTTAAACTGTACCTAAATCTATGTAATCCTATACTTATGTTATTCTTATTATGTAATTAATAATAATAAAAAAAATAATAAAAAAAGACCTTATCGACCCTCTTCTTTAATAAGTGAGTACACTTTTATATGTATTTGTGAGAAATTAGGTGTGTCAATGAATATATTTGTGAAAATAGATTTGAGAAAAGAATGTTACATAATAGATTGATAGAAGGAAAGATATACTGCACACACACACACATACAATAGCTCATATAATTCTATTTATCGCTTATTTTCCTTTACGAGAAAATAATCATACTAATCATGCCAAATATCAGCCACCAGGTTATCGCGACTTGACCCGTGCCTTCTCCCTGTTGAGTCTGTTGCTGGTTCGCATTTTTGGTCGAGTTGTTCTGAGGTGTCGTAGTAACCACTTTCTTGGGTCCATTATAAGAAGGAGTATCAGACGAGCTATCCGTCTGCAAATAACTAGGCGGAGCATTTGGAGAATCGCATGTATAATAATCATTGCACAATACAGCACAGTTGGGGTTTCCTGTCTGGTGCTGTTGTTGCTCGTTACATTCTCGCTGACAAGCCTGAGATCTTCCTGAACATTCGGCTTGTACAATTGGCCATAGATAGGGAGAAAAATCAGGTACTTTTTTCTGTTATCAAGGAGTCAGTACATAAAGACACATACACACATACATATTCCATCTTACCGAACAACCACAGTTCCATGCCATGGAAGTTACATTGCAAAAACTGTTGTTAGAATAGTAATTATGAATACAAAAAACATGAGAATAATAATCAGGGCTAATTTCTTTTTCTTTCTTTTTTTTTTTACTTTTTCGGTGCTTCGGTTGGCCCGCCACAATTATTCTAAATAGTGTGTGAGCATTTTTTGAAGGAGAAAGAGTAGAAGGAAAAGATAAAAATGAATATCAACTAGCATACTTACCGCACAATAAGCCGTCTGTCTTTGGCACAGATTTTCTCGAGTGGCCGGATCCATTTGTAGAATATCCCAATTAATAGCCGGGAGGCCTTCTATTGATAAATTAAGTTTTTAGTTTATGTTTTAAATTTACTATAGCAATTTTTTTTATTTACCTGGCATTGGTTTTGGCTGAGAGACATTGAATTGGCCAGCTACACTCACAGAGTATACACTGAGCATATACATTAGATAGATACGCGGCTTTGAAGGCATGGCTAAGATAAAACTGATAAAAAGTATAAAGGGAGAAAAGTTGATTCTGTTATTTGGAGGATTTTTATAGAAAACCAAGGATCCATGTTATGTGTAGTTGATATCCTGTATTTTATAGGGAAGAAAGATGCGTGGTTTACTTCCACCTATCATGCCTTCTAATACACAGTTTATCATGCGTGTATTCTATCATTTGGTCCTATTTTGTTTTCTTGATCTCCTTAAAAAAAGAACAAATAAAGGATTGCATTCTATTTAAAGGGACTATGGCCTAAATTATGACAGAAGAGTCGAGTGTAAATGCTGTGGATATTTATTGACTGGAATACCAACACTGACTATGTTTGCTATCATTAAAAATAGCGTATCATGCATATATACATACACATACAAGCCTTTATTTCATTTCACGTATTAAAGTACACAAGGTTGCCTGGTACTTTTGGAATATTAACGAAGCAGATTACCTTTTAGAATTATTCTTTTGGCTAGGTGTCTAAAGCTATTTATTTAAAGAAGTGTTTGTTTTATTAAATTATTTTGAAGCAAATAGGAAATCTTCCACATTTTTTGGTCTTCTTGATCTTCGTACTCCCCCTTTATTTATTCATTACTACATATTATCCCTATTATCATTTTTAATTTATTTACAATAAACGTCTTTATTGACTTTGTCCATTAACTAAACATTGAAAAGGAATATTCTTTTGATAAAGGGCTATGTTGGGAATCTATTTATATTTGTAAGCTTGTTTCTCGAGAGACATATACACTAATGAGCATAAAGTGGTCAATCTTTGTCTTTTTGTATATACAAAACTAAATATAATGTATTCATGTATTGAATAAAAGCTCAGAACGAGAATATACTCTGAAAAACCATTGTGAATTAGCCGTTTACTTATTCAGAAAACATTTACTTAACCCAACTGAATAGAGCACAATATATCCTTCTTTATGCTGTTTAAATAATGATTATAATAACAAAAAGGCCTTTCTCTTTTTTTTTAAAAAAAAAATCTCAATTTCTGTTTATCTATAATATGCTCTATAAGCTGGTATTATTCTATTAGCTTCTAACGTTTTTTTTTGTAGCCTTTGTGAGCAAATGATTATAAGCCCAAGAATATATATATGTATATATACTGTCTACTATAAGAAAGCTACACATTGTACCTGGAATATAAACACAGTTGACAGTGCTGCAAAAAAGAAAGTGATACGAGTCAGCCACCCTATTCCACAGACCTAAAAACGGTTTGTTGTAGGACAGATAAAAATAAATATCAAAATTGGTTATTTTTTTTCGGACAATTTTTTAGGGATTTACAGACTTGGCTGAAAAATAATATTTTGTAAATAAAACAAGGATGTACCCTATAGCATTGTTCTGTGCACACAATTAAGGGCTAGAGTCTTAGACTATGTAAAAATAAAAACATGAAAACAATTTGAACAGAAAGATAATAGCAGTTTTCTCGAGGGGTTAAAGGAAGCCTCCAAGGATTTATCGATCCCAAAGCATATTATGCACAAATATCCAATAAAATGCAGTTTATCCAGAGTTTCTAGAGAAGTGATTGGTGGAAACTTGATTTAACCGAATAGATACTTTTTATTGATAAGGAAAAAAAACAATGAGGCAAAGATGGTGAAATCAAACGCAATGGATGTCTTGTATTACTGTCCCATAAGTAATGGTGCTAATTATTGCTTTCAATTGGATAGTTTTGTTTAATCCCCATAACCAGAAAAAAAAAAGAAAGGAAATATGGGGTTCTCTTATATAGACAATAAGCCAAATATGGGCTATTAATCCTTTAATTTGTTATCACATTTCAATGGCGAACACCTTTAAAAATCTGACGTCATGTATCCAAAATATATTACACCGAAATTGCTTTGTCCTGTACTCGTGAGATTTTTAAATCCAATGTAATATATGTCTTTGTAAAATTACGCCATACTCACCTGGTTGTAGGCCTTACTGTATATCTTCTCAGAAAAATATAAGTATATAAAGCCTAGCTTTTTTTTTTATAAAAAAAACAATCATACTTTATTATTCTTATTGATAAATAAATTCTATAATGACCAACGCAACCCTTCAGCATGTAGCCGATGAGCACCTCGACTTGCAAAAGCTTGCTCGTCAGAAAGAATCTTACTTGGTGTATCCCGATACTACTGTAAATAATTGAATATACTTATCAATAACCAAGCTAACTATCTATCTTAATAGTATCCTGAGCTCGAGCCATTTGACCATGCTGATCCTGGCCGTCTTGGTGATCCCAAAAAGGCTTCTCTTTATGACAATGCTACAAAGATCTTTGATCTTACTCCTGGAATTGGTACTGAGATCCACGGCCTTCAGTTATCTAAATTGACTGATGAGCAAAAGAATGATCTTGGCTTGTTGGTTGCCGAACGAGGTGTCGTTTTTTTCAGAGATCAAGACCTTACTCCTCATCAAGGTCGTAAGCTTGGTGAATACTTTGGTAAGTTTATAAAGGAAAATAGTACACATTATGTTCATGTAGCCCACAACTTGTTTATTAGGTCCACTGTGAGTATAATTGGAATCAAGCATACTTAATATCACCAATTACTTAATAGCATCCTTTTATTAGACTTATCCACAGTGTTCTCGGTCATCCTCCTGGATACCCAGAGATTCTCACTCTCCTTAGTGGCGCAGAGTAAGTAACGCTAAGCAAATATAAAAGACATTTACTAATAACTATTTTTTAGGGAAGACAAGATTATCAAAAACCTCTCAAACTTTGGTAGAACATCGGATGGTAAGCTACTTAGAAGAGTTTATTTTATATAGTATATACTCACAATCATTAATATTTAGCTTGGCACAGTGATGTCACTTATGAATTTCAGCCTCCTGGATTTACCTTTTTGAAGATCGATACTTTGCCCAAGGTTGGTGGTGATACCTTATGGGCATCTGGCTATTCTGCCTACGACAAGTTGTCCCCAGCACTTCAGACTTTCCTTGAGGGACTTGAGGCTGTTCACTCTGGTGCACAACAAATCAACGCTGCCAAAATTGCCGGAGCAACTGTTCGCCGCCATGATGCAGAGCACATCCATCCAGTTGTGCGCACACATCCAGTCACTGGTTTCAAGTCAATCTACGTTAATCCAGTCTTTACTCGCCGCATTGTTGGCCTGAGCAAGCGTGAATCTGATACACTCCTCGACTTCCTTTACGAGCATGTCTCTGGAGGACATGACTTCCAGGTGCGCTTCAGATGGGAAGAGAACTCAATCGCTATCTGGGATAACCGTGTGACATTCCATTGCCCTATTCCTGACTATATTGGTGGTGGAAAGCGTCATGGATGGAGAATTACCGCACAGGCCGAGAGACCTGTATTTGATCCTAATAGCAAGTCCAGAAATGAAGAGTTTAGAAAGCGTGCCGCAGAGAAGAATGGTAGTGCATAATATTAAAAGCAAAAGTATCAAACAAACATATAAATAAATAAATGAAAATATACTGCAGATATCACTGTCAGATTATTCAGCTTCTAATTGAAAAACTAATAATAAAAAAGGTCAACATGTAAAACCACCATGGGCCTGAATTACAGCTTTTTATCAGATACATTTTATACAAGATTATGATTTTTTTTTTAGATAATTTTATTTTCGCTCTTGAAAGATACATGCCTTGATGTCTTGAGGATTGTTTGAAACCCCATTTTTTCCCCTTTATATTTAGATTTTGTTGTATGCCAAATGTATTTAATCGTGCTCATATTAGAATTTTACGATCTAAAGTCTTAGGGGACAGTGTGCTCCATAATGGTTGTAGGGGTAGCTCGGTAGCTACTCATACTATGTAGCGATATAAAGCAACCAAATATAACTACATATCTAGAAGAGTTATGCATTAGTATCTGACCCAACTTATATTATATAGCTTTATATCAAAACATAAATAGCATGATACAAAAGTATGGTTAAGTAAACACAGCCACTTGTTTATAGCTTAAAGTGATGGCGCTAGTTGTATGGTCCTGTCTTTCAAGAAAAGTCTGAGATAAAAAAGACTGATAAGTTAGGAACATATCAACTAAAGCTTATAATTGATGCTAGCTGATTAAAAACACTGTTTTTATATATATATATATGGTACTTTTTACTGAACTACTTGTGTAAGAGTTATAAGTACTAATATCTAAAGCTCAAAGTCTATTGGATACTGAACTAAAGTGATAGACTTGCTTATAGTAATGTATGCCACATGTTTAAGCAGTGAGACTTGAAAATAGAGCCTATTTTTTTTTTTACAGTAACTCACATAGATCTTCCCGCGAAGCTCTAACATATCAATGTACTAAAGAAAATAATAATACTAGAAGAAACAAAAAACATGCACTATCTTAGTCTTTTTAAATCAAATTCCTTTATTCTTCTTCTACATTGGTGCAACACATCGTTACCAATGAGTTTTCATTAAGTCCATTAACTTTATGACGTATTATTCGCGGAGGCTCAATGGAATTTCCTTTCTCTAACAGCGTGTCCAATTCTCCTTTATTCTTTTGATTTATGTTTTAACCATATTATGGCTTCCAATCATCCAGTACATTCGGTTTTGTTTGACAATTCAGCTGCAGCAAATGCAGGAGGCTATTACGGCGCTCCTCCGGCGCCACAGAACCCGAATGGTGATAATCTCCAATTCTACAGCTCATCTTATGATGACCAGTACAGCTCATCTTACTATAACGATGGCAGCGCTCCACCTCCTGCTGGTGATATACGATCCTCAAACTATGATTACGCAAGTGGCGGCTCGTCTATCTGGAGCGCTTTGGGAACGGGCGGTTTTGCAGATGAGCCTCCTCTTTTGGAAGAACTCGGGATCAATTTTGGACACATCAAGACAAAGGTGAGGAAATGGTCCTTTATTATTATTATTAATTTGGGTGTACTACAAGTATACAATCTGTGTGTGTATTTTTTCTGATTGATTTATACCTATAGAGCTTGACGGTTTTAAATCCTTTCCGTAGGGTACCCGACACTATTATGGATGATGCCGATCTGGCGGGACCACTCTTATTCTTGTTGTTGTTTGGAATGTGCTTATTGCTCTCAGGCAAGGTTCACTTTGGCTATATCTATGGTGTTGGTGTCCTTGGTGTTGTGTCGATATACTTGATCTTGAACCTAATGAGCGAGAGTGGCGTGGACTGGACAAGAACGGCAAGTGTATTGGGCTATTGTTTGCTCCCAATGGTGATGTTGAGTGGCTTCAGTGTGGTGCTGAAATTAGGAAGTGCCGTAGGTGTTGTATTGTCTGTCTTGAGCATCCTGTGGTGCACTTATTCTAGCTCAGGAATGTTCACAAGCGTGTTACATATGAGTGAACAGCGATACTTGGTTGCATACCCTGTTGGTCTATTCTATGCTTCTTTTGCACTGATGACTGTCTTCTAAAAAAAGAATCATCGAGTCTCTTTGGATAGAAACTGTACATATCATATATTTCCTCCACAGTAAAGGATTCTTTTTTATTACTTTTATTATTACTATTAAAGAAAAAAAAACCCGCAAAATAAGGTTGAAGAAGAGATTGATTAATATTCTTTTTGAAATACGAAAGAAAGTATTTAGCAACTTTTATGCTTAGACAGTGTGTATGCTTTAACATTCAGGCAATAACATTTTATCATAAGTGATATTGCAAGTGCTTTAATAGAGGTTTGAATATTTTGTTATTCGAGTGGATTCTCGGCAAACGAATCCGAGTAATCAATTCCCGGATTTCATTTAACTGAATGCTACATCCATTTTGGTATTTCTTCGTCTACGTCACGTGTGACTTGTTGGTGCTATATTAGAGAAGAACATCCTGTCGTACGCGCTGTGTTTCGCTTGATAGATTTACAATGCAACAACCACCTCAACCAGGATTTCAGCATCCAGGCATGGTCCAGCCTGGAATGATTCCTCAGCCTGGAATTCCTGCTGGAAATGTCCAGTTCAGAAAACGTCCTAGTGAAACCGACTCATTGGCAAAACATATAAAGTGAGTCTGGTTTTCTTTCATCACCAAACAAGGCATTGACTGATGCCTGCACGTTATAGAAAGAAGAGACCAACAGATCGCAATATGCCTCCAAAGGTACCCAAAACACACATGCATGAATACCCACACACGCACACGCACAGACGCACATAAATATATATACACATTGCACTGCCACTGATAATAAGCATATATAAATTTGGATTAGATTGAAGCATTTGTACCCGAATCTAAGCTTTATACCGAATTAAGTGAATTTGAAAAAACATTGGATGCTACCATTATGCGAAAACGTCTTGATGTTCAAGAGGCTTTAGGAAAGCCCACCAAAGTATGGATCCATTTGTTTGTACTAAAATGATCTCATCGATTGCCTATTGTCGACAGGTCCGACGCACATTACGCATCTTTTTATCAAATACATCTGCAGATCAAGTATCATCACATCAGAACACAGACGATGAACACGCATTCGATTTGAATAGTGGAAATGCACCCTCTTGGACGTTGAAGGTCGAGGGCCGTCTTTTGGATGTAATGATGATGCTATACAAATTGTGTCTATAGACTACCATATCTAACATTCCTTTATATTAGCCTCCTGTTCCTACAAAAAAGGCACAACCAATTCAAAAATTCACTTCTTTCTTCCGCTCAATCACTGTAGATCTAATTAGAGATCCTAATCTTTACCCTGAAGGAAACATGATTGTTGTAAGTGCATTTTGGGGCCAATCTATTGTACTTTTGGTTTTCATAAAAAAATCACATCATTTTTTTAGTGGGAGAAACAGCCAAATGCGGCAGACTTTGACGGCATAGAGATGAAAAGAAAAGGAGACACCAATGTTCAAGTTAGAATTGTTCTTGATCCTGAATACAACCCCCAAAAGTTCAAGTTGAGTCCTGCGCTTAGCGATATGCTGGACATGAAGCTCGAGACAAAGCCACAGATTGTGATGGGATTATGGAACTACGTAAAGGTAATATATAATCTAATTGGGTTTATAAGATATTTACTGTGTATATTTGTATTCTTAGCATCACAAACTCCAAGATGCTGAAGACAAGCGAATTATTCATTGTGACCCAAAGATGGCCCAAGTAATAATATATTCAGTATTATGTGTTTGAATATTTTAGACTGATTAGTTATTGTACGATACAAATAGCTTTTTGGTGCACCTCAAATATTCTTTTCTCAACTCCCAGAGCTCATTAATCATCATATGACCCGTCCTGATCCAATTGTCCTTAACTATACTATCCGGTAATAACAAGTATACAAGATTATGGATAACTTTCTCGATTGTAACATTGTGTATAGTGTCGATAAAGAGTTCCATCAGTCACCCAAAGCATACGATGTTGATGTCGAGTTAGACAGTGTAGTTCGCCAAAAGATGTTGAATATCGTTTCATCTACTCAAGCTCAAAAGGAAATTATGGGTTTGGATGACAAGATCGTGCAATGTGTTCAAAGTATCAACAACTCCAAAATCAAACGAGACTTTCTTATGCAATTTGCTCAGCATCCTGTTGAATTTATTAACAAGTGGATTGCAAGTCAAGCAAGAGATCTCGAGGTAAATTTTCAAGTAACCACAGTCTTTTCTTTCTCTGTTGTATTTAAACTATCGTGTGTAGGTTATTCTGGGTGAGACCAAGGTCAACTTGGAAGAAATGAGACAAACCGATTTTTACAAGCAACCTTGGGTTAAGGAAGCAGTATTCCATTATCTTACTGCAAAGGTAAACCCCGCATCTCCCAAATGAATCCCTAAAATATAAGCTGACAAGTAGTTTTTTTTAGACCCAACAACGTATGCAGGAGCTTATGAACGCTCAGCGTGGACAGTAGGCTATGTGTATTTTGCAGATTCTCAAATATATATATATATGTTGAAAGTGTCTTGAATTGAATAAAATATATTAGCGTTATAATTAGGGTCTAAATTGAATACAGGTAGGGTCAGGATGTTCAATAGTTTGAATTGGCTTCAAGTGACCGTGCTCAATGTCAATCTTAAATACCACAATGTTGTGTGAATCCTTTAAAAAAGTATTTACCCATTAGTGGATCAAATCACTTTTTCTTTGTTTCTTGTACTGTATTGTATTTACCTTATTTCCCACCAGCAGAAATTTTCCTGTGGGATCAATAACAAAATGGCGAGGGTGCTTTCCACCTGTAGATTGATGCTCCACCAAACACAGTTTTCCAGACAATTCATCAATCAGGTAAATGGCCAGTATATCACAACCCCGTGTAGAGGCATATAGGAACTTTCCATTTGGTGTGATATCAATCTCTGCGCCGATACTCTCGCCTTTGAAATCTTCTGGTAATATTGGGATTCTTTGAACCTCATAGAATTTTCCTTCGTGTATATTAAACTCAAGCATGTAAATCATGTTCGACAGCTCGCCAACAACATAACACAGACCATCGTTGTTTGGTGCAAATTTTATGTGACGCGGTCCAGTGCCATCTTCAAACTTAAAAGTACTGTGAGGCTCCAAAAGACCAGTTTGTTTGTTAAACCGATAGACAATTGCCAAATCGCATCCCAGATCCATCGAGAAAGCCCAGGTTTGGGTTGCTGGGTCGAGATCAATTGAGTGTGCGTGTGGCTTCTCTTGACGACTGGGGTTAGAATGAGTTGCTTTGTAACCAAGTGCACAGTGCTCCTTGATAGACACGGCTGAGCCTAGTTCGGCAAAGCAAGAATCGGTTGAGATAATCGGAAAGCTAGCAATACTACCACCTGTATAGTTGGCCACCAACAGATGTTTTGAAGACGCGTCGAGGACAGCGTGACAAGGATGTCCGCCGCATGAAGGTTGTTCATTTACCAGGTTCAAAGAGCCATCTTCTTTATTGCATGCATAAGCAGAGATGTAACCAGATGGGATTCCATTGTAGTCCCCAACTTCGTTTGTTGTGTAGATGTACTGGCCACTGGGATGCATAACTATATAAGAAGGGTCCCTGGACTCTGCAACAAGGCTTTTTGCCGTCAGTTGACCGGTGTTGGTATCGAAATCATATAGGTAGATTCCTTTTCCTTCTCCTGAGGTGTAGCCAGAAACGTATACTGATACTGAAGAGGTCATTGGGTATTGAGGAATGAATAAAAAGTGACGAATAAGTAAGCTGGAATCCTCGGGAAGTCATAGCCAATATACGTCATTGAAGGCGGGAACTAGATAGCAGGTTCCAAAATAGGCCTAAGAACACACATAGAATTTATCAAATTCGTTTACTTGCTCTTAACAATTATTAATGAGATCATTAATAAAATGAATTTACAAGGAAAATGTTTTTAATTATTAAAATACAAAATTGTTACAAAAACAAATACAACTCACTAATTATACATCTTTATTAATTAAAGGAAAAAAAGTATAAAGCAAATATTTGACCTTTCAATTAAAAAATAAATAAGAAAGATTGTTGATTATGTACAAATGCATTAGCATTTTTGGTTTTATTTTCTAAAAAAAAAACAGAGACTTAGGCGTTGCCATCAACCTTTGCGACGTGAAGAAGCAAATCGATAACACGGTTGGAGTAGCCAACCTCGTTATCGTACCAAGATACCAACTAATTGTTTGGCGAGTATTAATATGTATACATATCTATAATGCGTATCGTCTTTTTTTCACTATAAAAGCCTTACCTTGACAAAGTTTGAGCTGAGAGAAATACCAGCCTTGGCATCAAAAATGGACGAACGCTTATCACCCAAGAAATCGGTAGAAACGACGGCATCCTCAGTGTAACCAAGAATACCCTTGAGTTCACCTTCCGAAGCATCCTTGATAGCCTTCTTGATCTCATCATAAGAGGCAGCCTTCTCGAGGCGGACTGTCAAATCAACGACAGAAACATCAGGAGTTGGTACACGGAAGGCCATACCAGTAAGCTTTCCGTTCAAGGCAGGAATGACCTTTCCGACAGCCTTGGCAGCACCAGTTGAAGCGGGAATAATGTTGGCACCAGCACCACGACCTGCACGCCAATCCTTGTGGGATGGACCGTCAACTGTCTTCTGGGTTGCTGTGGTGGCGTGAACGGTAGTCATCAAACCCTCGACGATACCAAACTTGTCATTGATTACCTTGGCAAGAGGAGCCAAGCAGTTAGTGGTGCAAGAGGCGTTGGAAATAATCTTGTATTCCGACTTGTAAGCGTCTAGGTTAACACCGCATACAAACATGGGAGCATCAGGAGAAGGAGCAGTGATGATAACCTTCTTGGCCCCACCGGCTAAATGAGCATTGGCCTTCTCTGTCTTTGTAAATACACCAGTGGATTCGATGACATAGTCAGCACCGTTCTTTCCCCAAGGAATCTTTGTGGGGTCCATCTCAGTGTGGACACTGATCTTATGGCCATTGACTACAAGGTGTCCATCCTTGGCCTCGACAGTTCCATTGAAGATACCGTGAGTAGAATCGTACTTGAACATATACACCATGTACTCTAAATCGATAAATGGGTCATTTACAGAAACGACCTGAACACCCTCCTTCTCGATACTAGCACGAAGCACAAGTCGGCCAATACGACCAAATCTATATTATACTATGTAAGTATGGTTGATTTGATTTGTAATATATTTGTTGAAATTAATTACCCGTTAATTCCAACTTTAACAGTCATAGTAAATTCAATAAATGCTTCTTGAGAATAAAAAGTAAAGTAAAGTAAAGGAAACAGCAAGTGTATAGACAAGGAAGTAAACCGATAACCATTTAAATAAGAAATAGCATAACTGAATGTTGAGCTAATTAAACAATATACGTAAAGTGCTGCTTCCGCCAGTAATACACCGCTTAAAGCTATTATTGATCCATTGGCATGTTTCACTTATTTGAACGAGTAAAATTTTCCCAAGTTGGTTACTATAAGCACAAAAAATATTTCTCCAGTAGAGAATGCTAACTGAAAGGAACAATTAAGCTCGCGAACCCATATATGCATCATATATTTTGCTCTCTAATGATAAAGTCGTTTAATGACCCCAACAATCAAACATATTTTGTACTCCTTTACTAGAACAATTACAATCGGGAATTATATAAATTTATACTCTTTCATAAGAATTTGTCACCATTTTACCAAAGCTATAAATATATAAGACTTTTTTTTTGTTTAATACATCAGTAGTAGCATGGCTTTTTTTTTATTGATAAAAAAAGCCCAATCATTAACCTCAGCCCAAATGCATGTCAAAATTATATTAATGTCTTTTGTTCAAGACAAATTAAAGACAAAAATATCTTAAACATTCATAAAAATAGTCAATTGAAGCAAATCAAGACAAAACCTCCCACCTTTTCTTTTTGATAATAATGTATTCTTTGGATAATCTTTAAAAGTCAACATATCTAACATTCCTTGTGATACCTTGCCCTATTCACTATAGTTTAGTAGAAGTTTATGTATGTATGTTTTTTTCTTAAAGATAAACACCTAGGGATATAACATTAAGTATATAGCCCTGAAAAGTGAGAACGGTATTATACCACATTATTAATATATATATGTACTTTTTTCTTTCTTTACTGCTATTATTTTTATTACATGCTAATATATTTCCCAAATATTTAGCCCAAGCATTTCCAAAAATTATAAGATGTAAAGATAATAAGGGAATAGTTTATCCAAGATAACCAATACCAAAAATGCTGTAAGTATGTTACTTTTGGGCTATTATAGATCACAAAGTAGGTAGAAAGAACCACAAGTAATAAACGTAATAAACTTATCCTAAAATACAAGGTATACGCCTTAACATATTCAAGAGCTGGGAGGCATCACAGTTACAAGGTGATCTACCGTCCCTAAGATACATATTCCTATTTTTTTTTAAAAAAAAAATGGATAATGCTGGTTAAATCAGCTGGATAGTTAGTACTATTACTGTAAAGAATTATATAATAGCTAGTGGCAAAAATAAGTTATACTCTATGTATATAATAAAATGATCTATTAAATAGTAAGCAATCATATTTGGATAGAATCTAACAGCTCTTTAAATATATATCCCTGTTGGATAGATATTTTGATTTCATAGTAACATATTTTTCTTCTGCATAAAATGATTTTTTTTACACAGAAAAGAAACTCGAATTATAGAAGTCACAATTCTATTACTATGCTTGTGTTGGATTCTTCTTAAGCGTAAGCATTTCGTTACTAGTAAGAACATGGTCAGCTAACAGGATACATAGCCTATGAATAATAACTACCTAATATACATATGCTAAGCTAAAGTGATTACAAGTATAGCTGTTTAATTTATTAATAAATTTTGAATCATTCTATTTGAAAACCTCGTATAGTGTAAATAATTGTTGATAGAGTCATGTAGTAAAACAATACCAAAGCCGTATAAAAATAATTAAGTAGTAATGTATTATTATATAAGTAGATCAAGTATTAAAGAATACTGTTGATCCTCTTGTATCTGCGTTTTTTTTATTATTATTATGTCTTACTGTTTCTTCCCAGCCCTTGTTCGTACCCTTTAAAAGTGACTGCTCGCTACCTTTTTTCTTTCTTTCTTACCTGTCAAGAACTTGAAGCACGACCAAAAGGGAAGAAAAGGGGAAGCAATGTCAGGTTACATGGCATTCACCAGTCGTACCATTGTACGCCAAAATTCATTCACTCGGGCATCTCGCCCATGGGCACTTCTTCGTAACCATGCTCATTCCGATCGTACCCTGCCAGTCAAGTCTCTCCCGAAACCTCAGAAACCTTTTTTAGATGCTTATGACGCAAAAATAGTCGAGAAAGACTGGTATGAATGGTGGGAGAGCCAGGGGTTTTTTACAGCAAGTAGTGCAGACTATTATCCACCTTCTGGCAAGGAAAACCCGTTCACAATGATTACTCCCCCACCAAATGTTACTGGGTCGTTGCATATTGGACATGCCTTGACAGTTAGTGTTGAGGACGCTGTTGCACGTTGGCGCCGTATGTCTGGATATGATGTTCGCTGGATACCAGGCACAGATCATGCTGGCATTGGTACTCAGTCAGTGGTCGAGAAAATGCTGATGCGTGACCGTGGCTTGAGTCGCCATGATCTAGGACGCAAGGAATTTGTGGACGAAGTATGGGCATGGCGACAAAAATATGGTGACAGAATCTTACATCAGATGCGTCGAATGGGCGCTTCGGTCGATTGGGACAACCTTTTTTTTACTATGGATAAACCTCGCTATGAGGCAGTGGAGAATGCGTTTATACGGCTCTACAAAGACGGGATGATATATCGTGACACACGCCTAGTAAACTGGTGTTGTGAATTAGAAACTGTAATCTCTGACATTGAGGCAAGTTTAATAATTGTAATCGATGGGATTTAGTCTTATAAATAACATGGTCATATTAGGTCGATTACAAGGACATTGATGGTAGAACACTCCTTCAACTTCCTGGAAGAACAAAGGGGTAATATGGGCTGTCAGTGGCTATAAACAAAATGTAGACTCAAACAGTATGTTTGTATCTGTGATAGAGTTGAATTTGGTGTCTTACACCATTTTTCTTACCCTATTCACAACCCCGATCCAAATGGTATCAAAGAAATTACCGTCGCTACCACTCGTATCGAGACTATGCTAGGGGACTGTGCAGTGGCTATTCACCCAAACGATACACGCTACACGGTAAACTATCTGCTACTTAAATGATTATATAATAACGATAAATTTCTTTCTATGCTTTTAGAGTCTTCATGGCAAGCAAATATACCACCCAATTCTCAAGAAAACACTGCCTATTGTATGTGATGAGAGTCTTGTAGAAATGGAGTTTGGTACAGGTGTTGTAAAGGTAAATCATAAATCAGATAAAGGGATAATCGTATTCATACTTTTATTCAATAGGTGACACCTGCGCACGATCCAAATGATTATGCTTGTGCAAAGCGCCATGGATTACCTATCACAAGTATGTTTGACAAACTTGGAAAACTCAATCCTAGCTGCGGCATTCCATCTTTGGTGGTAAGTACGAATATGTAAAATAGGATATTTTCATCATGGGTTAAAAGAGTTCTCGATATTATTAGGGAAATGACCGATTTGAGGCACGTGATATTGTGGTGGATATGCTGAAAGCCTCAGGGCACTATAAGGGACGAGATGACAAACATGTGATGCGTGTCGCTATCTGTTCGCGCTCTGGGGATGTTATCGAACCTTTATTACAGCCTCAATGGTAGGATGGTACATTTAAAACAAAGACAAAGACTAATGTTTTGTTGGGGTAGGTATATACGCTGTAAGGAGATGGCCGATATGGCCAGAAAGCAGGTTGAGAGTGGAGAAATGAACATTATGCCTAAACATCATGTTCAAGAGTGGTACCGGTGGTTAGGTATTTTCTTATATTTTGGAATAGTAAATATGTTCTGGATTAATGTTGGGAAGAAACCTTAGATTCGATTCAAGACTGGTGTATATCTCGTCAACTATGGTGGGGACATGAAATCCCTGCCTACAAAATCAGATTGAACACAATCGATAAGAAAGGCAAGACACGTAAATCTTTGTGGCATGTTCGACAGAGCGCTAAAATGTAGATTTTACAGAATTTTGGGTGGTAGGATCGACTGAAACAGAGGCACGGCAAGAGGCAATTGCTTTATTAGCAAAAGAAGGACTTGAAACAGAGAATTTTGATCTTGTTAAGGATGACGACGTTTTGGACACTTGGTTCTCATCTGGTCTCTTACCTTTGTCTGCTCTTGGGTGGAAGGGAAGGATTGGTGAACCAATTCCGGTTAGTAGCTGGATTTCATTAATACTTCGGCCGCCGAGAATCCTTCAAAACTTATTCGACGAAAAATAACAATCTATATATTGTCCTATAGGCACGCTATCCGCTCCAACTAATGGAGACAGGTTACGATATTCTATTTTTTTGGGTTGCACGAATGGCCATGCTAGCCAGTCATTTTACCAAGAAGCCTGCGTTTGAGGATATCTATCTTCATGCCATGGTAAATATTCTCAAATAATAGATGTGTATTAATTCTCATAATAGGTTAGAGATGGCCAAGGAAGAAAGATGTCAAAATCACTTGGAAATGTTATAGATCCACTCCATGTAATTGAAGGTGTAGACTTGGAAACTATGAAGAATAACTTGCTTGTGAGCAACCTGGCGCCTAAGGAGATAACCACGTATGTTGAAGCAGTGGCGATCAGTTTATCTTGGCTAACCTACGAACCCTCAGGAGCTCACTTAATTTAGAGAAGGAATATCCAACTGGAATTCCTGCATGTGGAACAGATTCGCTTCGATTTGCATTGGTAGCTTACACACAACAGGTAATTAACTATAGGAGGATAATGAATTTGCAAAAAATTTACTGTGTCACCTAGACCCGACAAATCAACCTAGAGATGTCCAACGTGATCCAAACAGCGCATTTCTGCAATAAGCTTTGGAATCTATTCAAGTTTGGATTGGGTAGATTAGGTCCAGCGGACGGAAGACCTATGAGTCAACTAAGCCCGGCTGGACTTTCACTCGTAAATCGCTACATTCTATCTCGTATGGCCGAAACCGTTCGCCAATGTCAAACTGGATTCGAATCATACCGTCTTTTCGATGCCACAGATGCCCTTCGCCGATTTATAGTGGAAGACGTTTGTGATGTTTATGTTGAATTTTCAAAAGCAGCACTCAACCGACCTAAGCATGGGGAAGATCAGGTAGAGACGGTGAAACTTTATTATGGGTCGGATCACAAAATCTAATTCAAGAAATCCTATAGTTGGATACACGCACGATCTTGCATGCCTGTATGGATGTATCTTTACGCTTAGCTCACCCCTTTATGCCATTTGTGACAGAGGTAGATACGGGCATATCAATAGATCCGCCGACTCTAACAAACTATCTATATACAGGAGCTATGGCAACACTTGAAGCATAATATCCCACCGAAAGAGCAAGCACTACAGTCCCCTACATTAATGTTGGAACAATACCCTACCCCTAACCAGTTTGAGTGCTTTTATGACAGTGAAGTTGAAAACCATTTCAAAGTAGTGCTTTCTATAATTCACGCTTCCAGATCATTACGCCAGGGCCATCAGATAAGCGTAGCAAAGGAATTACCATTCACTATTTTGTGCGATAATCCAGACTTAATGGATCCCAAAGGACCTCTTTATCAGTATTTGGATGAGATTAAGGGGTTCATCAAGGCGTCTGAGCTCAATTTGGTTTCAAGCGATGTATGTGAGCGTGAAATTTGATTTGAATAAGGTTGGCTAAAAAGAAATCGCTGCAGGTGGTAGGAGCAGATGCGCCGGAAGGCTGGACATCAAAACCAGTTACCGCCACTCTCAAGATTCTTGTGCCGACAGCAGCAGTTATACGAGCCCAAGTTGAGAGGGCAATAGCTCATGGAGAGATATTGTCAGACGTGATCGGGGGGAAGAAGGGCCGACTAAATAAGAAACTTGACAAAGTGAGACAAGATATAGAGAAAATGAATGTTAGAATGACCAAGAGTGGGTACCCAGAGGGTGTGCCAATTCAAGTTCAACAAAAGAACAGGTAAAACAAATTAAATCTTAATGAAGCATGCCTTATATTGAACCTATTCTATGCAGGCTTCGTCTAGATACTCTGCAATCTGAACAGAAAACAATTGAGCAGGATATGAAATTACTTGATATTATTTTAAGCCATAAGGAATAAATTAATACACTAGCTAAATCAATCACTCTGCAGACAGCATCAAGAGTGCGTGTAATGTTATAGACTTGATGATATTTGTGAGTAATCAAAAGCCACGTTCTACTACAAAGGTCAAGATCAAGGCTAAGGCTAAGGCCAATTCCAATGCTAAGATCAATATACCTACTCAACCATTTAAAAGCCTTTTCATTTATTTTTTTAACAAAACTATCACTAAATCGTTGCGCGCCTTTGCGAGAAAACAAGACCGAAATCTGATTTGTAGAGCTATTGTCCAGTAGCCAGTATGCGCTCTTTCATTGGTGGAAATCTTTTCGGGCCGTTCGGCCAAAGATAGATTACCATCAGCCATGTTATAAGTATAAATACAAGGCTTCATTGAGTTCGACGATCCATATCACCCACTCTTTTCCTCTTATTTTCACTTTCTTTATTTTCTTATTCTCTTCTTCTTTAATCGAAGGAAAAGAAGTCCATTCTTTTTGTCGTTCTGTATATTGTTTGATTAATTCAACATGACAGTATCCGATATTTCTAGACGGTCCTCGTCGACCAGTCAAACCACAAAGGGGGAGTCCGTAAACCATATTACATCCGCCAGACTTGATGATAAACATTCACTTGAAGAAATTGTACCGGTAATTTCTGTCGAAGAAGAAACCGATGAAAAAAAGAAGAAAGAAAAGAAGAAGAAGGAGCCATCAGTATCTATTTTCTCTCTCTTCCGTTTCGCTACGCCCGTCGACAAACTCTTGATTATTACTGCCATTGTCTGTTCCGCTGGTATTGGTGCTATCCAGCCTATATCCGTCATCATCTTTGGTAGCTTTGTTAGCGAGCTTCAGGATGCCATCTTCCACCCTGAAACCCTCATGGACAAAACCCACGGACTTATTATGGCTTTCGTTTATATGGGAACTGGTGTTCTTGTCGCTGCTTATGCCGCCAATACTAGTTGGGTTCTGACAGGTGAAAATCAGACTCGCAGAATTCGTCAGGCCTATGTACATTCTATTCTTCGTCAAGACATGGGTTGGTTCGATAAGGCCGGCGATGGTTCTCTCAATACTCGTTTGGCAACCGACACTCAATTGATTCAAGACGGTATCTCTGAAAAATTCGGTCTGTTTGTCATGGCTATTTCACAGTTTGTTACCGGTTTCGTCGTCGCTTTCGTCAAAGGCTGGAACTTGGCCGTTGTTATGCTTGCCACTATGCCTTTGATGGCTGGTGTAGGTGGTGCCATGGGATACCTTATTACATTGTACACACTCAAGACCCAGAACTCTTACGCCGAGGCTGGATCAGTTGCAGAACAGGTCTTCTCTGGCATTCGCACAGTATACTCATTTTCTCTCCAGGCTCGATTCACTGACTTGTACAACATCAAACTTGAGAAAGCCATGGAAACTGGTGTCAAACGCGGTATTATTCTTGGTCTCGGTTTTGGAAGCTTCATGTTCATTCTCTTTGGTACCTACGGTCTTTCCTTCTGGTACGGTGCCCAGCTTGTCATCAAAGGTACCTTTGATGGCCCCACCGTTCTTATTGTCTTCTTTGCTATGATTATGGGCGCCATGGCCCTTCTGCAATTGCCTCCCAACTTGTCTGCTGTGTCTAGTGCATGTGGTGCTGCCTACAAGATTTACTCAACCATTGACCGTATTCCCGATATCGACCCTGATTCAATTGAAGGTCTCAATCCTTCTCAAGTCGTTGGCGATATCGAGTTCAGACATGTCAAATTCACTTACCCCACACGCCCCGACGTTCCCATTCTCAAGAATCTTCATCTCAAAATTCGTGCTGGTCAAACCGTTGCTTTTGTTGGTCCTTCCGGCTCTGGAAAATCTACCAGTGTTCAGCTTCTCCAACGTTTCTATGATCCCATTGATGGCCAGGTTATTCTTGACGGCCAAGATCTCAAGTCTTACAATGTTGCATGGTTGCGTACACAGATCGGTGTCGTCAGTCAAGAGCCTGTTTTATTCAATATGACTATTCGCCAGAACTTGCTTATGGGTACAACTAATGACGTCTCCAAGGAAGAGATGATTGAAGCCTGCCAAAAAGCCAATTGCCACTCTTTTATCTCTGAATTACCCCAAGGCTACAACACACTTGTTGGTGAGCATGGTGGTATGTTGTCTGGTGGACAGAAGCAGCGTATTGCTATTGCCCGTGCTATCCTCAAGAATCCTTCTATCCTGCTGCTAGATGAAGTAAGTAATACATAAATAGATATAATATTTATATTCATTGTTGTATTTATGTAAATTCTGTTTTTAGGCCACTTCCGCACTCGATACCCAATCCGAACGTCTGGTCCAGAAGGCTTTGGACGCCGCGGCTGCTGATCGTACTACAATTGTCATTGCACATCGTCTCTCTACAATTCGTAACGCTGATTTGATTGTCGTCATGCAACAAGGTGATCTCATCGAACAAGGCACTCACAATGAACTTCTTGCGCTTGGTGGTGTTTACTCTGAACTCGTTGCCAAGCAGCAGATTGCTACCACTCAAGTCGGGCACATTGAAGAAGATATTGATGAAGAAGACCTTTTGAAGCAAGAAACTTTGGAACTCAAGCGCGAGCAAGAGGCTCAACGAGCCAACGCTGAATTCCGCGTTGTTTCTGAGAAGGCCGACAACCTTGAGCTTACCAGGACCAATACAAACGTTTCTATCGACGCCTTCCAAATCAAGCTCAACAAGGAAAAAGAACTCAAGAAGGCTGCCAAGAAGCAGAGTGCTCCCATCAAAAAGGTTCTCCAGATGATGCGTCCCGAATGGCCTCTTTTAGCTATGGGTGTTTTTGGTGCTGCTATTGCTGGTGCTGTCTTCCCTTGCTTTGCTCTCATTTTTGCCGAAGTCATTACTATAATCTCATTTGGTACCAACATTGCTCCTGGTCCTTTTAAAGGCGCCAACTTGTACGCCTTCTTGTTTGTTGTCATTGGTATTGCTGCCTTCTTTGCATTTGCTGCTCAGGTCATCTGTTTCGAGGTTGCTGGCGAACGTTTCACCAAGAGACTCCGAGGTGATGTTTTCCGTGCTTTCATGCGCCAAGAGATTGGATACTTTGATGAACCCGAACACAATCTTGGTGCATTGACTTCCAAGCTGGCCATTGACTCCAAGAACGTGAACGAATTGGTCACAAAAACATGGGGTGATATTACCCAGATCATCGTTACCGGCATTACTGGTAAGTTTACTTTAACTACACAATATTTATTTATTTCAAAAAAAAAATAACAATACTAATACTTTACTTATTTATAGGTCTTTCCATTGCGTTCTCCAAGAGTTGGCTTCTAACCTTGATTGTTCTCCTTATGACTCCTTTCATTATGGGTGCCACAGCCTACGAATCTAAGATTCACCGTGGATTTGAAGACAAGACCAAGAAAGCTAACGAGCAAAGTGGTGAAGTTGCTGGTGAAGCCATCAAAGAAATCCGAACAGTTGCCGCCCTTAACAAGCAAATCTACTTTGAAGACAAGTACTATAAAGCTACCGACTATCCTCATCAACTCGCCCAGCGCAAGGCTCTGACTTCCTCCGTTGGATACGCCCTCCAGCAGGGTATTTCTCTCTACACCAGTGCTGTAACCTTCTACGCCGGTATGCGCCTGATGACCGATGGTCGAATTGATTTTGGCCAGATGTTCACTACAATGATGGCTATTATGATTACTGCTCAAAGTATTGGTCGTGGTAGTGTCTTTGCTTCCACTTTTGCCAAGGCCAAGTACTCTGCTATTGCTGCCTTTGCTGTTCTCGAGCGCATTCCCTCTATTGATCCCGAACTTGAAGGCATTGAGCCCACATCCTCTCAGATTGCTGGTGACATCAAGTTTGAAGACATCACTTTCCGTTACCCTGCTCGCCCTGATATTTCTATTTTCAACGGTGAATTTAATCTTACCGGAAAGGCCGGTCAGACTATTGCTCTTGTTGGTCCTTCTGGTTGTGGCAAATCGACTACCATTGGTATGCTCCAGCGTTGGTATGATCCTATCTCTGGTGCTGTCCGTCTCGATGAAAGCAATGTCAAGAACTACTCGCTTGGTAATCTTCGCAGCCACATGGCTTTGGTCGGGCAGGAACCTGTCTTGTTTGATATGACTATTGGCGAAAATATTCGTTTCGGTGTCGATGATTCCAAGACCATTACTCAGGAAATGGTTGAAGATGCTTGCCGCGCTGCCAATATCCACAAGTTTATTACCGGTCTTCCTCTTGGTTACGATACTCGCGTCGGTGACAAGGGCTCCCAGCTGTCTGGTGGCCAGAAGCAACGTATTGCTATTGCTCGTGCATTGATCCGTAAGCCTCGCGTGCTGCTTCTAGATGAGGCAACGTCTGCTTTAGATTCAGAGTCAGAAAAGCTTGTACAGGCTGCTATTGATAATATCTTGGAAGAGGGTGGCCGTACTACCATCACTATTGCCCATCGTCTATCAACCATTCAAGGGGCTGATCTGATCTGTGTCGTCAAAGATGGTCGTATTGCTGAACAAGGCACACATTGGGAGTTACTCAAGTTGAATGGTGCCTACAGTGCTCTTGTTCACCAGCAGTCTCTCAACGCCAACTAAACCATTATCATTATCATTATTTTAAAACAAAAAACAAGTACTTATACCACCACCATCACAACTTAGAAGACTTATTTGTTAGGTTCTCCATCAATTCTATATTCTTATTCTTTATAATTACTCCATTTGTACAATAGTTTGCTTGCAAAAAAAAACATTGCAACTGTAATAAAATATATTTTTCTGAATTACTCCACTCCGATTTTTTTCAAAATTGCGAACTTTAAGCTTTGCACGACGTTTTATGTATAAAGAAAAAATCCTATAAAAAACACCATCTAGGTTTAGAAAAAGGTCTATATAAAGAAAAGCGCTCTATATTCTGAACTAGCTGGCTTTATTTTTGTATGACTTACATATAAAAGCATATTTACATAAAATTGAAACATAAGAACAAGAGGAGTAATATTGGAATATTAGGTATTTTCTTCACAATACCTATACTTTGTCTAATTTCCAATCCTATTGTGATTTGAAGATTAGCATTTTCTGCAACAATTTAACATATATGTCTATATTCATACTACAAAGTATATAAAATATACAAGCCCTCCGGTCTAACGTCATTCCCACATCATTACCAACCTTCCATATTATTGAAATTCTAGCCAGAGATAGTTAAGGTTGTATATCTCGTCTTCACATGAATGTATTTTCACATTTACTCTACAAATTATAGGCTGGTATTGATTACTTTATGTCCCCGTCTTTTATTATTCTCACTTATTTTTTTTTCTTCTTTGTGTCAAATTTATCTGTGCTAACAAAATATTTTAACTTCAAAATATATTTAAATAGGCCTTTTTTTTAGTGAACCATCTTAGAGTATCTGTAATGATTCTATCAAATGAAACCGTTACAGACAATCTTTCTGAGAAAAAAAATTGGGCGTCTACATTAAAATTGATGTACAACAGAATATAAATCTAACTGCTGAATACACTCTTATCCGTCGAGTAATATTGATACATATTGCATTTATTACCCCCTAGAAATCAATCACAATAAGCAATCCACATTAGTTGAAAATCGTACAAAAATATTTAATTCAGTAGTAAATAAAGCTACAAATATGACTGAGAAATGAATGTATCCGTTTCTTACTGGAGCATTTTGATAATTGGCATCTCTTCAAGTCCGAATAATTGATACATTTAGGTGTCAATGCTCCAACTTCAAGGTTACCAAGTGCGGCAATAGGACAGTAATAGAAGAAGACGTTTTATTTGACACCAAGCCACTCACAAGTATCCAAAACACTTTACACTGGATATGTTATCAAATACCAACTTTGTTAATTTTTGTTATAACACTCAATTCGAGAAAGATAAATCCAATGTGTCTATGTAAAGATGAACCAGTTAAGGAGGATGTTTGTATTACTATATATAATATTTAGTCACCACTATATGTGCTTAAGTGTAACAGCCAATGAAATAAATAAATAAATAAATAAATACCGTTTAACAATTTTGTACGCATACGATGGTAATGAACCAGTTCCCGAGTATCCTAATAAGTAGGCTATTTATATAGCCATTATTCTCAACATTCGATTTAAACTTTATGGAATATATTACTTGAGATAGGATTGTTATGAAGATGGGCTTAGGCTTGGACAAGATTGTAATCAAAGTGGAGATTGCATACAGAGAATTCGAGTGTGCTACTGTGTGAAATTTCGGTAGAGAAAAGGAATTTTGGTCAATAAAAGAGCCCAGTCCAACACTTTCAATCAGAACGGAAAGTAAGCTATTAATGGAAGCAGTACATAGTTTCTTTGATTTCATATAAATACATATCTGGGTAAATATCAACTTCTTGAAAAGATCCGCTCCAATAGAGTTTAATTTAGCTAAAATATACTAGATAGTGGTATTGATTGATTAGCTTTGAAAATATATGCTTAATTGATTACAAGAGTTTTGCTTGTATACCGCAAAGGTATAAAATATATGAGACTCTTAAAATTGTTATAATAGATAGTCACGTTAAAAGTCTCAAGATTTCTCAAATTTCTAAACGTTTATAAAGCTTCTACATTTGGTAACTTAAGAAAGGCACTGGTAAAAAAAAAGGTAATATTAAATTGTTGTGTGAAGTGACCTTTTTTTTTGTAACCAAAGTGGTAGTGCTTGGTCTTAGGGCATCCACAGCGGTTTGTCTAACTAAATATTTTAGCTAAAAAAATGTTCGATAATATTTAACGGATTCCTAAATCTAACATTTCACTAAAATATTTATGTAGTGAAAAGATGTGACTTTAGGCTTAGAAAAACTGCTGTGGGTGGTCTAAATTATCTCATTTAAATTCGGTTTTTTGTTTTGTTTTACTTGGATATTTTAGTTACGTATACCACTGTGAATGCTCTAACAACACACAACAAAGTAGGTAAAAACATCAACGAAGAACACCCCGTGTCAGATAATTCAAAGAACTTAAGGGTAGAATTGAAGAGAGTGATATATTATGAGTCTTAGATATAGGCGCAGAGCTAATAAAGAGACTGAATATTTTGCGTCAATACAAGAGTTACTGAGCTTACAAAAATAGTCCTAATTTGCTCTTTGCTGGCTGCACATGTACAATACGGATGGTGTAGGTGAAAGCTAGACTATAAAATAGATATCTATAGCGGTTTGTGATTATATCTAAGGTGGTAAATTCGATCACTCTTTTCTTTAGATCTTCCAGTTTCTCTAACTCTGGAATTAACCTATCAATGCAAATTGCTTCCTTGTCTTTCTCAAGAGCCTTAATGGTATCCTGCTGTTGCACTTAAACCCTACACTATATGATCTCATGTTTAACATCAAGATGATCACATACAAATCTTGTATATTGTTTTCTGTAAAATCATATCCCTATTTATACATTTTTATAGAGAGAGAGGCAGATAGGTTTTTGTACACTTTCTTATTTGTTTTATAGCTGGGATTAAACATATAAAATACATAGCAGTTTTTGCATAGTTTGCTAAAAAGGTACTCCTTTAACTTTTATTATTATTATTGGAAGTATTAGCAATTGTAATCAAGATACATACATACATGCATACATATATTGAACAGAGTGTCATTAAAGGTTATATCTTCTAAAGAGTACATGTACATGTATGGAAAATTAGAAATAATTGAATATCTCATTAAGCATACAGCACACAATTTTATAAGAGGCACTTTTTAAATGTCAAAATCATGTTCATGACTTATTTCTATTTAATATATATAATATGGCATTTCTTGTAATGTTTATAAGTAGACAATACTTTATGTATTTGAAGCATAATATAATATAATATTTTTTATGCTTGGTAATCTTCACAGGATTATATTATACTATATTACATTAATACCCTTATTTATTTATTTCTGGTTGAACTTTCAGGAATGATATTAATGTACTTCCGTTCAAGTAGCCAACCTGATATTTTTTACATTACACTATTTGACCTTTAAATGTGCTCTTCCTGCTCTGGAATAACTTCCACATATTAGAAAGTGCGGTGAAAATACATGCTGACCTTATGATATAAAGTTTAGGGCATACAAAGCAGCTGACAGGCATGTAGTACATGTGCCCATGTATCCTAAGTAAAGACTCTTTATTATTTTTATGACTTTTTTTTTACCAGTACTTCTTGAATTGTTTATATTACTAAAGAGCTCACTATATTAACTTTATTTATTTATTTTAAAAAAGAATCCAAAAACAAAAGCTTATTTGGGCATAAATGACATGTTCTTTTATTTATCTCTTTTTCTAGCAAATGTATGATAAAGATATATATATATATATATATTTTCTTCTATTTGAATAGAGATGCACTGTAGAGTTTCTGTTATTACAAGAGTACTTATGTATTACCATCATAGTCATGTTATGATTGGTGTGATGAGTATAGGCGTATGGTTTCATGTACTCTGAGAAATATATTTATCGATACCAGAATAACCAGCATTCCTAAAGTTTCTGGCGACAGACAGGCACCAATCATAGCGTCTTAGCTGTTGGTTCACTGTTCGGCGGTGTCAATAACTCTAAGAATATTTTCCGGTATATCTGATAGGATAAAAATGTACTTTCTTATGTAAACAAAAAGAAAGAACAAACTTGACACATAATGCCGTATTTTTCAAAAATGATCATACTAAGCACATATTGAAATGGTACAAAATTTGGCAGGATTAGTGAAACAAAGACAAGATTATGAAGCCATGTAGGCTTTTAGGGCCGTAACCTTATTTCCGGTATGGTGTATGAACATACAATATGCAGTTTTAACTGTATGTAATTTTCTTATTGACACACACACATATATATATATCTTTTTAGTACAAGTATTTAAGTAACAAAGCAACAATAAAGTGTCCCGATAGTCATAGTCAATACACGTATATGTTTTTTTTTAAAAAAAAAAGGAAAACACAGACGTTTTTGAAATAAGTTTCAGCTTTGTTTCTTTCTTTTTTTTTGTATTGTTTAAAGAAGTAGGGTAAGTTTATTAATCACTTCTCCTGTTCTCGTTTCACTAATATTTCTTATTTCGGTCGCCGTATTTGTGAGAGGCGATTGATATTTTTATTATTTTTATTTTAGTGAACACAAAATTTTATTCGTGGATACACTATATAAATGTATTTCATTAGGAGTTTTTTTAAGTGCATTATGGCATGATTCTTGTCAATTATAATGTCGAAGGGCTGACAGGAAGAAAATAAGGGAGACCAAGGGGGGAGTTTTGACCATTTTTATTGATCTTATTTCTTTTAAAATAATAATATAATAATATGTACTACTTTAGACTACATAGACAAATAACACATATTATTGCCCAGTCTTGCAATGGCCGTCATGTAGCCAAATCAGATCAATAATCCAATCTTATTTTAATATCCATATTCATACTCATATATAATGCTATATGTAAGTGTATACAAATCCTACTTTGAGAACTCAAAGGGGCAATATAATATTCAGGTGATGTGTTTCATCTGGCAGAGATAGCATGTTGAATGAATGTTTGTGATCAGAATACACAAGGTCTGGTTTAAACACAAGCAATAAAATGATTCTTTTGTCAAGGCTAAATACAATACCCACTTATTCTACAGTGTTTCTTTTTTCTTTTCACTTTTATATATGATATATCACTGTAGGAAATGTCAGTATTTAAAACACCGAAATAGCAACAATCGTCAATATGTTGCTAGCCTGGCAACATTTTCATAAACAAATATACTTTCAATATTTAGCTTTTAGTGCTACCTTCTTAAGCAAATAATAAACGTAAATTTTTATGGTTTAAACTTTATTTTAATTAATAAAATTGGAGAATAATCTTTTAGTGTTAAAATTGGTGTGGACAGACCAAAAAGCTCGAAAAAAAGTTCAAAATTAGCTCAAATGTATACTGTTTGCTGACGATAGGTCTCTTGACTCACGGGTAGATAAGGTGGTAGACAGCGACATAAGTGATTACTATCGACTTGACATGTATTGGTACTTGAATGTTATTAACAAAGACGTATTTTCCTCCAGATAATCGATAGTTCGTTTTCTTTTCGCTAGTATCGTAGATATCATCTTCAAGAATGTCTATGGCCTTGGGATATCGCGGTTCTGCATACTCAACAACACGTAAAAGATAACTTTCCATTAATTTCTTTGCCATAATCTGATTTTAAAAAATGTCCTTTGCTCTGTAGTATAAATGTTGAATGATAGGAGCATGATGGTGAGAAATATGAGCCAAGGATTGCTACTGCTTGGTGAAAATCGAGAAAAGATCGATAATCTGATTTAAGGTATTTTCTCCATATGCGAAAAAATAAATCCTTTGCTCAGGACAAAACACTGGTTCGCTCATGGATAACACGTAAACTTGTAAAAAGAAGGTTTTGACTTGTTCTTGATTTCTTTATTCATGATACAGGATTTCCACTCCAAAAGTTATATATTTTGCAAAATCAAAACTTTCATTTTGTGCTCCGACTATATATGAAAAAAATAAATTAATTAATGCGGATAGAAAGAAAGTTAAAGCAAATTAATAAAGAGCATGAAGAATGCTAATATGTGCGATAAAGTATTTGAAGAATGTCTACACTGTTTATTAAAAACAATATAAGAAAACATGCAATGTCAATATACTGTTATAAGAAAAGTATATAATGCTAAGTTTGTAATATGGTTTTGAGAACTGTCTTTATCTATTATCTTTTTCTATACTCAAATCCTCCAACATGAACCCCAATCAAATCGCTATCGTTAAGAGAAGAAAGAGAAATGGACCACAAAAGGTTCTTCCGATCCACATCAAGAACATGATTGTGGAGAAATGTTATATAGAAGAGTCCATGACCCGAGCCGAAGCAGCCAGGGCATTTGGTGTCTCATAGGTGTCGATTAACAACATCATTACCAAGTTCGAGAGGGATGCTACTGTAGAGCCCAAGAAGCGAGGCGGCTCGCGCGCGGAAAGTCTTAAGATAACCGATGAGCATTCGAAGTTCATTCAAGACTTCTTGGACGAATGCTGCACCTTGACTCTTGGTCAAATGAGAGAGGAACTGTTTAGAAAATTTCCAGAGCTTCAAGAGCAGAACTTGAGCATCAGTGGCTTACATAAGCACATTATCAACAACATTGGGTTCACATTGAAGAGAACCAAGCCGGTCGAGGAAAAAAGAAACGACCCGAAGACTATTGAGCTGAGAAAAGTATACGTAGACAGTATGCACACGAATGGTTTATCGTATAAAACCAATTGCATTTTTGTGGACGAAGCAGGCTTTAATGCAAACCTGATCAGAGGACAAGGGTGGTCCAAGAAAGGCGAAACCAGCATTGTGAAGACGAAGTCGAAAAGGGGACTAAACATCTCAATTCTTGCCGGTATTTCTTACCAAGATGTTGAGAGTGTGCAGGCGAAGTTGACCCCTGGTGGCACGACAGGACCAATTTTCGTTGAATTTGTAAAGACGATTATGGATTCGCTCGACCACAGTAATGCTGCCCCTCACAACTTCATTAAGGATAATGCCTCGATCCATAGATCCCACCTTGTCACTGAATTGTTTGCTAATTCACGACACCACCTACACTTTCTCCCCCCATACTCTCCTTTCCTAAACCCGATTGAAGAGTGCTTCTCCAAACTCAAAACACTGGTCAAGAGAAAGCCCGGGTTGGTATGTGGTCAATTCTTGGAGTATATTGCTGAGTGCTCCCGCCATATCGCTATGGAAAACTGCCAAGGCTGGGTTGATCATAGCATTAGCTTCTTCCCCCAATGTACAAATAGCCAAGAAATAAATTGATTTTTTTTTATATATAGTCGGAGCACAAAATGAAAGTTTTGATTTTGCAAAATATATAGTTTGAAAAAAAATATATAACTTTTGGAGTGGAAATCCTGTATTGACATTGCATGTTTTCTTATATTGTTTTTAATAAACAGTGTAGACATTCTTTAAATACTTTATCGCACATATTAGCATTCTTCACGCTCTTTATTAATTTGCTTTAACTTTCTTTCTATCCGCATTAATTAATTTATTTTTTTCATATATAGTCGGAGCACAAAATGAAAGTTTTGATTTTGCAAAATATATAGTTTGAAAAAAAAAATATAACTTTTGGAGTGGAAATCCTGTATCAAAGTGTAAATATCTTCACGTCACAGCTACTATGTGACGCCACTGAGTTCCCATCACGTGCCGCTCCAGCCAATCCTGGGCGAAGCGCTGTTTTTTCTGTCTTGTGAGACGAAGCTCACTTGTAGCAGCGACGCGAAGAGACGAAGTAAAAAGAAAGAAAAGAAATAAACTCGTCTACTCAATAAAAAAAAGTACAAAACAAAACAAAAAACCAAGTAAAAGTTATGGCAACCACCAAAGAGGAACAGGTTTCCAACCTCTACAGCGAACTTAAAAAGACAACCGACGAATATGAGGATGAACGTAGTCTTTCAATTTGCGACAGTATAATCCAGTTGGACCCAGATGATCAAGTTGCACTTCATTGCAAGGTTGTCACGTTTATTCGTCTCGACAAGTACACCGAAGCACTCTCGCTTATCACACGCAAATTCAAAAAATCCGACATTGATCTCAATTTCGAAAAGTTATATTGTTACTATCGCACGAACCAGCTCCAGCCTGCCCTGGAGTTATTGAATGAACTAAAAAAAACCAAGAAAGATGATGTTGGTCTCCAATACATGGAAGCTCAATTGGTAAGTTATAAAATAAATAGATAGATCCCTTTTAAAATTCATTTCTGCTGCCATTATCATTGGTGATTTATATGTTGGGGTGAGATATTTCAAGACTCTGTGTTAATTTGGAAACAATTTATGTATACCATTTTTGTTTCTTCCTCTATCTCTCTTTCTCTTTTTTTTCTCATTTATTTATGTATCTATAAGCTTTATGCCCAAGATAATTACGAAGCATCCATAAAGGTGTATGAGAAACTTCTCAAGAGCACCAACAAAAATGACAGATTGTACGAAGAAATCCAGGTGAATTTGTTGGCTGCAAAGGCAGGTCTTTTATTTGCCAATCCAAAGGCCAAAGATGATGTCAAGGAACCTTTGTACGATGTCTCGGCTCCTGGTGCATATGAGGTAGCCTACAATGCTGCATCTGTTCACCTTGCTCGCTCAGAGTTGGATCTTGCTCGTGAACAGCTTGAGTCTGCAAGAAGTAAGTGTGTGTGTGTATTTTATAAAATACATAAATATATATGCATATATAAAGATAGAGAGAGAGAGACATGTGGATTTAGTGGTATTTATAGCATCTAATTGACGGTGGATTGATTTTTTTCTTTTTAAAAAAAGAACAGTGCAATGAGAGAATGACCGAGGCAGGCTTGAGTCATGAGGAGATAGATGAGGAGTTGGCTGTAATTGCAGCTCAACTGGCTTACACATATCAGGTACAAGGACGTACTGAGGAAGCCAAGGAATTGTATGAGTCTGTACTGAACTCAAAGTAAGTTTCAAAAAACTAATAGAAATGATAGAGAAGGAGAAAGAGAGATGCTTATTAAGTGTGTTGGTATTATCATTTTGCAGAGCAAGTGATGCTGGTGTTACTGCTATTGTGTCAAACAACATTGTTGCCATGCAAGAAACAAAGGATTTATTTGATGCTGCGAAGAAACTCAAGGTTGCAACAGGCAAGGAGGCCGAGAACAAGTTGAAGAGATATCAGAAACGAGTCATTGCAATGAACGAATCTCTGCTTCAGCTGTACATGAACAAGGTAAATATTATATATATGTGTGCTTTGTGTGTGTTCTATATCTCTAAATACGTGTTCTATATATTTATATAGCATGCTGCTTGTAGAGACTCTGCCCAGCGCTTGATTGCTAAATACCCTGATAGTGATACTCTGTATCTTATCCTTGCTGCTGCTACTTATCACCAATCCAAGGGTGAAAAAGCGGTAGAAGAATTAAAAAAATACGCAGAAAAGAAACCAGAGTCCCTAGCTATTCGATTTGCGACCATCCAACTCCAATTGCTGCAGTCACAACCAGCCGAGGCATTAAGCACTCTTGAGTCTTATCTTAAGGTGATTGATGAAAAGAACAAAAAGGGTTTCTACCACCAGCAGCCTGCTGTGGTCGCACTTCTTGTGTGGCTGTATGAGCAGACAAACCAGTCTGAAAAGGCTATGGAAACCCTCGACAAGGCATCTACATTGTGGAAGTCCGATAGCTCGTTCCTGAAGAGTGCACCTGCTTCAATTATTAAGCAAACTGCTGCCTTTAAACTTAAAGCCGGACGGTACAGTGAAGCTGCTGCTGATTACGAGCAGCTTGTCAAAGCAGACCCAACAGATTCTCAGACCATTGCCGGCCTTATCTCAGCCTATGCCGAGATAGATCCTGCAAAGGCCGAGCAGTATGGTGATGCACTGCCTGCTATTGCCATGCATCACATTGATGTTGATACCCTTGAGCGTGTTGTACCTGGTGTAAAGCGTGGCTATGTCAAGAAAGATCCCAAGGGGTGAGTGAGGTTGAGATAATGTGTATATATAAATGTATATTATTTTTCAGTTACAAAAAGGGGAAAAAAGGATTTGTCATCTCACACAAAAAACTATTATATCTTTATATTTTTTCTCTATTGTTTGTTATCTCTTATTAGCACACACGTGAAGAAAGTCAAGACAAAGAAGAAGAGACAGCCCTTGTTACCCAAGAACTGCGATCCTAGCCGGACACCTGATCCTGAACGCTGGTTGCCCAAACGAGAGCGTTCTACTTATCGTGCCAAGGGAAAGAATAAGAAGGCGGCTCTTCGGGGACCACAAGGATCTGCTGTAGAAGGGGGTGGAATTGGTGGAACAGGCAGTGCTAATATTGGAGGTCGTGGTGCACCTGTGGTTGTAGAAAAGGAGGTTTCAGAACCAAAGCCACAAGCATCTACACCTAGTAGTACTGCTGCACCTTCCAAGGCAGCGGCTAATAAGAAAAAGAACAAGAAGAAGGGTGGAAAATCAAAGTGGTAGATTCACTTGTGAATATTTAATGATTTTTTGATTTTTGATTTTTGATTCTATTAAAGCTATTATAAAAGATAATTAAAATAAAACATAAATGCATTTTATTATTTTTCTCTCATTTTTCTACCTATCTATATATATATTACGTGTATTTATGAACCTATTATGGTGGGTAAGGATAATCTCATCCCCCTCCCCAAGCTACTGTTTCTTTGCAGGGTCGCAGTAAAATAAGGTGGATTTGTAAGCACGTGGGACTTGAAGATTGCTTGGCTGCGGCTGGCTTTGGAGACTTTTCTTTTTTTCTTAAAAAAAAAAACACATTATAGAACATAACAATAAATAGACTTTTATTTATATACAAAAACTATAAATTTTTAATTTTAATAATTTTGAAATCTTTTGGTTATTTCAATATGTTTATAGTTATAATCCTTATTATATCTCTACTATTTATAAAAGAATTCAATGGTGTTATATTTATATGCTTGGGATATCAACGCCTCTTGAAGCCGTTCTAATTAAAGAGGTATTTCTTTATTAAAGCCAGTAATGAGATATAATGCTGTATATTGTCTATAGAATTAATTAACAGGCAATGTTTCTTAAATTATCATGTCAAACATATGGTCATTTTTTTTAAAGAAAGGTAGCAACCGTGTAACAAAGAAAATAGTAAATCTAACCATTCTGAGAATGCCTTTTTTTTTCTCTTAATAAAATAAGCTTTTTTGTGTGTAGAATAAAAATACTAATAAAACTACTGATAAAGTTACAGTGAATCTTGCTCTTTTTTTTTAAAAAAAAAAGAAAAAAGAAAAGAAAGAACCAACTACTGGTCTTCATTAATTCTTATTGCGATTAAACACGGCCATTAAGAAATATGAAACAAATGAGAATTCTTGTTTCTCTTATTTTATAATCCGAAGAATATTTTATTTTTATTTATTTTTATTTTTGTCTACTTCTTATTCGTGCAAAGGAGAAGAAGTCCCTCAAACAAAGTAAATAGGAAGATAAAAAAAATTGAAGCAAAAATAAAAAAATTGATACTGCGCGCCACACCAGTCAGGACGGTTTCGGGGCGTCTGAGTAGCCTCCACGTTGTGGCAAATTGACTCAGCTAAAAAGAGTTTAGAGAGAGAGAGGAGAAGAGGAGAAGAGGAAGAGAGAAAGAGAGAAAGAGAGAAAGTCAAGATTTGCTCCCTTACACCAGAGTTTAGTTTGTACTCAATATTAAAGATCCCCCAATTAGACCTGTTTGTATCTATTTAGCCTTTATTATTATTATTATTTTGGATATGATCTGGTTAATAGCAATTAAGCCGAAATCAGTAAATAGCTGTTTGTTAAATGCTAATAATGCTAGAGAAAGAAAGATAAAGTCTAAACGCAGTCACAAAGAGAACTGAGAAGAGTAGGAAGAAATGGAGGAAGAGGAAGAGAAAGATGATGTTCGTAATATGAGTTGTACAATAAAAAGACCGTAGTAAGACGGTTGCTTAGCAACACAATCCGAAAGTGGATGCTGAGTCATGGGCATACGTCCCAAGATTCCTTTTTCTGTTCTTTCTGTCTCTTTTTCTCCTTGTGTCTCTTTGGTGTATGAATATGAATATAAATATAAATATGAGTATGAGTATGAGTATGAGTATGAGTTTGTGTTTGTGTTTGTGTAAAAGCGAAGAGTCATGCAAGTCATCCGCCGTGTGCCCTCTTCAAGACAAGACACTTGCACAACATATGTATCTATAAATTTTATCGTCTAGACCGCTTGAAGACCCTTTTAAGCATAAGGTGGGGCAAAGACTAGCTTGGCAATGCATTTGAATGCCAAGCTAATAGAAATGAAAATAAAAACTCTAAAAATAAAGGGACACAAGAAAGTAAAGTGCTTAATTTGGACAACGGGTAAAGTCGTCTGAACGTTTAAATTTTTCCATCGGATCCATTATACAATTTCAATATGAGTAAAAAAAAATTATTATTATTATCATTTATTCAGCCGCAGCAACACAACAGATTTGAGAAAACTTGTATGTAGTATACCCATCAATTGGCCGTGTAACAATAACGGGTATTTCAGATTTGGCATTGTCGTGTCACTTATTAATGAAAAAACTAAAAATTGTCTATATAAACCCCCATTTTCATTTCAACCTCTTTTCTTGTCCATTATTCTCTCAACAGAAACCACAAACACCACCAAAATACCTCAAATCAACTCACTTAGCTTTTATTCTACAAGAAACACAATGAAGCCAACCACAAAGATCACCTCCACATCTGCAATCAGCACTCAGACCACCCAGTCATCAACACCCCTTAGCTTCGAGCTCTATTACAGCTTCTGTCCAAAGTGCGGAGTAGATGTCTCCCAGTTCTCACATGAAGACTTTTGCCCATGTATTCGTCAGGGCAACAACAAGAGCTAAAAGAAATATATCTATTCATTCTTTGATCTCCCAGTCTCTGTCTCTGTCCCTGTCTCTGTCTATCTCTGATCCCAATTGGTCCAATTAGTCCATCACGCACACGCACACACACATATACACAGAAACACGCATACACGCATACACACATACACGCATGCATACATACATACATACATACATACATACATACATACAACAAACAGCAATCAAACAACAATCAAACAACACATTTATGTATACCCCTCTTACACAAACACAAACGCACATTCAGTTCAATTCCATTCCATTCCATTCAATTTTTCTCTTGTATTGTAAATAAGCATCTTCATTCATTTATCCTTCTATAAACATAATATATACTGTAAATTAATAGCAATAATAATAATAGCCCTACCCCTCTCCTACATGTGTACAACCCTATTTAACTTTATATGAATCGTCGTATTTTTGTATTCTTATTCTTATTTATTTTAAAATATAATATTATATATATATATATATATACACCTTGTTAATAAAACCTACACAACAACAAAAACAACAAAAAATACAAATACAAATAGATTATTATAAATCTATATATGTCTGTTTTTTTATATTAAGCAATAAATGCTCATTGGTTTACCAATTGTATTATACATCAAATGTCCATATAAAGGGAACCGGCTTTTATTCTCTAAAATAGAAACCATAGAAACCATAGAAATAAATTTCGCTTTTATGATTTGATTTTGGGCATTTTTTTTTCTATTGTACCTTTTTGTAGTTGTTGCTATAATTGCCTAATTAAATCTTTCAAGCGAATAAATACACACATACAAAAATAAATAAAAGAGGTACATGAAGAGGAAAATTTGTATCAAACTTCCCACAGTATTTAATTATCGCTTAATATCAATTACTCAATCAGCTTAAGAAAGCTTTATAATCGTATCATTACTATCATTGCTTAAAGAGGATCAAATTCAAAGCCTCTGCGTGGCTTTATCTTTCTACCCTATTAAATATATTTCTCTTTCTTTTCTTTTTTTTTTATATTAAAGAAAGAAAGCAATCAAGTTTTGCAAAATTCCCCTTTTCCTTACCCTAATTTCTCTCTATATGTCAGTGATAGAAGCTAATTTCGTGGAACCCACATATATATATATATATTATTTTCTTTTATTTGATTGCTGCGCAAAATATACATCATTCATTAGAGAAACCCTCTAAAAATACCTATAGTTTGATACATTAATATTACTAATGCTAGATTCCTATGTAACTAAAGGAAAAGGCTATAAAGGCACGTCAAGTGAAATAATAAATCATAAAGTTCAATGTTTAATGTTATCCCTAATTGATATTCATATTGATATCATTGTCATTGCATTTGGCTTTACCTTCTTTTATATATTTATATATATTGATAAAGAATAAAATAAACAATTTCTTGATTTATTGAAACGCACTCACATACATACGCGCACACACACACACACTCTCTCTCTCTTTCCTTTTTCTTTCTTTCTTTCTTTCTTTCTCATATTTACGCTTCAATATTTTAGTTTGTACTGTTATCGCTAGTATTTTCAAACTTTCAAAGTCAAACACGAACACGAACACAAAGCACCAAGCACCAACAGCAATAGTAACAACAATACGCTTAGCCCAGCACAGCCTTAATCGTTCAACATGTCTACTTCATGGCCTACTTCCCTAAGCTCTCATCCCATCTTCAGAAAATCTGACAAGAGCCTCCTGTATACTGCAAATATTCTAGCAACTGATGTTCCAAAACAATCGCTCATTGCAGTGATCTTCGATATATACTTGCTAGTAGCCGTGTCAAATGAGATTAGAATCTTGAATCTCTACAAATTTAACAAACAACAAGAAACAGCCGAAGAACCTATTAAATACAATGTACGTAAGCCAGAATATATGTGTACTTTATTTTGTTTTTGAAAACAGAAAAAAATTACTATTATTAACGATTTCTATCAATAACACATATACCCACATTTGTATATATATATAATTATCTATTAGGTGGTGTCTTTGCCTTTAATTGATTTTGAGATTGTTCAAATTCTTCCTTGTTCAGAAACAGGTGTTCTGGTTGTAGCAGGAGAGTACAAACTAGCCGCTGTTCAACTGCAGAAGGCTATTCTCGACCAAGATAAAGACCATACAGATCCATTCACCTGCTTTATTGGACAGCCCACTTACTACACTGGCTTCAATAATGTGCGCATCATCAAAATGGAGTGGCATCCCTTGAGTACTACATCTTTACATCTCATGATTCTTGACAATCAAAATATATTGAGGTAACTAAAATACACACATGAATATATAAATACAAATGTATCTCTATATATTATATATCAATCAAACCAACTTGAAATAACCATTATATTATCTAACTCATATATTTCTTTTCTTAAAAAAATGTAGAATGTTTGACATTGGCACAAATCTCAATGAACCAGAACAAACGTTTGATCTCTCTCCTCCAAATACTTCCAGCAAAAGTCTTGTCTCGGATTTCAAAAAAAATATGCGGGTTACTTCATTCACAACCGGAGGTGAAAGTAGTGCTAGTAAACAGTGGGAGCCTCTTACTGTTTTCTACACTCTAGACAATGGGCACATATATGCCTTATGTCCAGTCTTACCAAACCATAGGTAACAATAAGAATAAATAGAACATGTAATTATCTTCAATTGATCAATATACGTATATCATACTTTTTCTTCTTCTAGTAAAATAAAGGCTAGAAACTGGCTGCGTATCTTGGATCTCACAGAAACAAAGCTAATGAACAATAAAAAAGAAGCTTTTCTGCTTACAGAATCTTTCTACATAAAAGAAAATCTTATTAGACTCCAATTAGAATGGTTGCAGCGTTATACCTTGCCTTGTTCCTTGTATGATTTGGAAGACAACGACATATACATAATCTATGATGCAGCAGCCGTGAAACATGAATTCAAACTACAAAAGCAAGGTCCTTTTGTTATAACAGGAGCTACACGAGCTGCCTCACCTACAACTGATATATTATTTACCCACAAACCTGCTATCAATGTACTTGCGATTGCCTATGCTCATGGTGCTGTGGGGGTTCACTTCCTATCGAAAGATATAGATGCTCAATGGAATTTTTCTGCAGAAAATATTAACACATGCTCGCCATATAAAGTCCAGGTAAACAAGAATAGTATATATCAAATATATCAAATATAGGAATTAATCTTCTTTTCTTTTTTTTTATGCTTATCATTCATTAGTCTAGACCCGATCTATTCTTTGCAAAAAATCTACCAACAGCAACCCTTTATGAAACCATTCATTTTGAGCCTACTTTTACTTCAAACGTCAAGCTTTCTGTACGACTTATCAAAGATCCCTTGTCTGTTTATAAAATATATTGTCAGCACAGTGGAGGCATACATGCACTCTCGTTCAAGCCATGGATGCACAAAATACAGGAACTTGATGATCAGTACGAAGCGAATGTTCTTAGAGATGAAATCATGTCTTTGGTCGAATCTTGGCCTGTAGAAGAGTACCCGACTATAGTCAGCCGCCTCATTTACAGTGGAGATTCCAAAAGGTAACTTTCATATATTAATTTACTTTAGGTAAGTGGTGTGTACATGTGGCCCACCTTTTCATTTTGTGAAACTTAGACGTGTTCCTATGCTTGGAGCTGTCATCACGACAAAAGCAATCGGGTATTCTTTGATCGGGTATTTCTGGGACAGCCGTTCCGCAGTTCTCCCCCTTACCGCAGCAACTGTACCTTCTACTGGCTTTGAAACCACAGATGAAGACGAAAATGAAGATGAAAGCAATCTTACCTATGTCGCAGCATTGACAAGTCATCTCGAAAATATTAAGCTTTTCAATAACCAAAACGAACTCAATGAGAACTGCAGACTAGCCTTTCCGCTGTTCAGGATTTCCGACGACTTGGCCGATTGTCTTGCATCTAACATCCTGCCAATATATGTTTTACCAAAAGACATTGGTACAAGCAAACCCGAATGTTATCTTGACAAGTTAACCGCCAATGCAGCCAAAACCTTGAGTGTTATTCAAAAACTGGACAACACTGCAACAGAAATCGAGAAAAGGTATATATAGATATGATAGGCTGATAGTATTATTATTATTATTATTATTATTATTATTTCTTGAACATCATTCATTTATAACAACACCAACAATATATATATTATGATTTTGGTTTGTGTACATAGAGTTGCAGCTCAAAAACTCGTCTACGAAAATCAAACAAATACTTTGGAGAAACTATCTTCAAAATTAGACAATATTTTGTCTGTTGAAACCGTAAAAGTATATAGAGAAAAGCTTGAAAACGCAGTGAAAAATTATAGTCACCTGGTAGAGCGAGTAAAGACTTTGTCAAGATCGATGGCAGATATTCACAGCCCAGATGTTACGGTTGAAGAGCTAGAGTTATTTAAGCAAATCTCAATTTTGGAATATGAAATTGATAAACGGCAAAATGATAAAGACGAATTCAAAAAGGTAAATATGTCTATATATATATATATAATATATATTATATTGCACTGTTCTTGCTATTATTTTTATTATTTTGAATGACAATATTGTTTTGCTCTCTCTCTCTTTATTTATGAAAGGCGATCGCTAAACTCCACTGGATTTACTCTGTCGAGTCGAAAAAGGCGTCAAAGTCAAAGGAAAGTCGTAATTTATGGTTTTCCTCAAAAAATTGAATTGATGAGGTTATTTTTTTTTTCTTTCAAGCCTTTGGATTATTAATTTGACTCTATAAAACACAACAAAAGAACAAAAAAAGCCTAAAATACCTGTTTTTACGATTTCATTTATCTTTTACCCTTTATACTATATTCTATTTTCTTATATAAAATAAATATTAAGCCAAAATTATTATATAAGCAAGGCTAAATGTTCACCGAGCTGTGTCGATCGTTCCGATATTTTTCTTTGTTTGTTTGTTTGTTGACTCAAAAGAGTAATTGCGCTTTTTTTTAGTATTTGAAATAATGCAGATTGTTTTTTTTTTACAGAATTGTATAAATAAATATTCGTTTTTGATCAAAGGGGTCATCATTTGTGAATGACATGATTGGATAATAATAACTTCACCTTCAAAAATGACGATGAACTTTTTCAAAGAGGTGAAAATCGAAAAATACAAAAATATGCTGCTATAAGCAGCTAGTTCATTTTTTTTTATGTAAAAAGGACATCATTCGAAAATGAATCTTATTGACTGAAATAACCCTTCACCTCTTTCTTCATTACCGATAATTATTCACGAATGATGATCCCTATTGTGTAGATAATGTATTTGTAATCTTTGGAGAAATACAGTACAGAAAAAAAAGTAGACGCCGAATTTGACCGTTCTTCAGTAAATGCCTTTTCTTCCGGTTTCATTATTCTACCGTATTTATCTCTGTATTTTTTTAGGGTTCCAAGAAAGCCCTTCTCACCTGTTCATAGTGACCAAAAAGAAAAAGAAAAAGAAGACCAAGGGATTCTATAAACATAATGTGTACCTTTTACACAACATGGGCTCTCCGATGGATTTTCCGAAATATTCTACATTTTCTGTTCTCGATTCTTTTTGTCGGGTAATTTGCACCCGTATGAAAAATGTAACATTTAACATTGAACAAAAGTAACTCAAAAATAATTATACTGTGTATGCTTTGATACAATAAAGAAGAACAAAAGGAAAAAAATCATATTTTTAGAGGGCTCTTTATGAAAACACCCTCTTTTACATTGCTCTTTCTTTCTTTCTATAAAGTAAATACTTAAATATCCTATACCCTTAATTTACACAAGAACCAATCGCAGTATCACATCAATATTTGTGTGCCTTTCTTGAGCTTGAAACTTAAAGTCTCTTCAAACCCATATTTGTGTATGCGTCTGTTTTTCTGTCTGATTTCTTGAAATCAAATAAAAGCACACTGGTATAATTTGATATTTAATCTAATGATCACCCTATAAAGTAGACATGATTACTACAAAGCCCGGAAAATGTCGTTCAAGAAAAACCCCAATCTCTCTGTGTTTCTTCTTAGTATATAACCTGCTTTTGTTTTTCTTTTTCTCAAGCGTTAAATCAAACGACTTGCAGCACAATATTTAAAGTAATTGAAATAATACAATAAAGAAAATAAAAATAAAAGCGCGGTCTAGTTCGCAGCACACCTTTATAATATTTGAATATCTATTGTACGTGCTATTCAAAAAGCGTTGTAAATATTACGCTACAAATACAGCTGTTGCTTGAAATGAAGCCATGTGGTACCTAGGTGGCTCAATCAAATTCTCTATTTTCGGAAAGACATATTATCAAATACCCGAATAATTACAATTATATGGGGTATCAAAAGTGATGTGTGAGAATTTATAACCTGTATTAGTCAATTTATAATTTCTAATGTACCAAAGGAGCTATATTGATAGTATATGATATCGACAAGCTGAAAAAAGAAAAGCAAAAAAAAAAAGAAAAACTCTGGAGAACGATTTCTCTCTAAATATTCAAGGAAATTGAAAGGCTGAAAGAGGAGGAGGAGGGGTGGTCATTTTTGTTATAATCTAGGGATTCAGTTCTGATCTAGAACAAAGGGCTGAACTAATTGCTATATGTGATACAAGTATTTAACCTAAAGGTGTGCGGAAATGTATGTAAATGTTCTTCTGAATAAAAGAAAAAACTCGCACCATTCTATCAAAGTATCCCAGTAATTCGATACAGCAACTACTTTGACTTTAACTATATAATGACACTCTAAAAAAAAGCAGAACTCCCAAGACACTACGAAGTAGAGAGATTGTACCATTGTTTCCAAATAACCATTTGTTACTATCCTAATTTACGATAATATGATATTGTCGTTTTTGTATTTCGTGATCATGTATAGTCAAGAACGCATGAACCTATCAACTTTGGAAATACCAATTACTCTTCATAAACTGACCAAATCATTAAAAGGTAGCTGATTTCCGTGAGAAATACTTGTCCAAAAATATACAATATTTGGCTTAATTTAATACGAGCAAATGTGGATGGATTCCTTATTAAGCTCCATCCCTATTTGTTGTTTTGTTTTTGTTTTTGCCTTTTCTTTAACTGATTATTGTGTGTATCTATTACGTATATAATCTTTAAATAAGTTTATACTTCTTTGCAAAATGGATAAAGCATAGTTTGGATTCATTTCGATTTGTTTATTTCTATAAAGCATATGCCCATCCAGACACTGTAGTAATTTTTATTACCAAAATTAAACATGAAAGAGAAAGAGATACCCCACATCATTATTGGTTACAGATTACAGATGATTTCTCTTCAGAATTTACAATAGCGTCTATTTCATAAGCCATTACAGTTTGGTCGATATATATTAAAATTTTACAAGCCAAATCGTCAGAGTTTAAAGACGTTCATAATCCTTGACATTGCAAATATCCCCTTACTTACAATGTGAATCATATTTATCCCTTTTTTTCAAATATATTCTACATCAATATACATAGTGGGTAAAAAAAAAGATCGAGTTAACCCAACCATCCTGCTATTTTATTATTTCTGCTGTTATTGCGCTGTTGTTTTTATTATTGTTTTTGAATTGCGGGTTGTATCGATTAGGGCGAATCAATCGAATTAAAATAGAATCAAATAAAAAATTAAGCTGCCATTAGGTTTGGTTTGCTTGATCTACCTGCAGCATTCTAATTGTTTTTTTTATAAAAGCAAAATATAGAAAGCTCGAAGATTTCTCGTTGAAAGAGATTGTTTTAGGGTGTAATGTTTGTCGATTATTCTTATTCTCAATTGTGTTCCATCATAGTCTTCCTCAATTGTGTTTTCCTTTTTTTTGTTATCGATGATAAGACTGTATAAGTGTATCATTATGTGTGTTCGTGCGTATTTTATTTAACTAAATTTTTCATTTTAAGATTTAACTTTTAAAAACAACATTAAGCGAAAAAGGTATCTACACAATCATATAAGATTATCATAGGGATGTACATTGTTAAGCTTATTGATGAGGAAAAAGATATAGTAATGATATTGAGTAAAAATAAAAGTAAAAAAAAAGAGCTTATAATTTGGTTCATCGTATGATATTGGAGAAATGTGTGAAAGAACTAAAACTCAATTAAGGTCATCTCTATGTGTAAACGTCTACCGATGTGTGTGTGTGTATGTATGTATGAGATTTTTACTTGCTACATTTGGCTCCAAAAAAAAAACTCTCATGCGAGCAAGGATGTGACTGTTGGCCTGAAAGGGCGCAAACACGAATTTTGTATAAAGGTTGCTCAATGCTGCATTAGATGCCAAAGCCACTGTTAACAAAATTTGACCTTGTGCAAAAAGACTCCTTTTTCTTATGGCGACAAGGTATATATATATATATAAACACATTTATGTATACATACATATTTATATACACTTGAACACTATTGAATAATATTATATATATATATAATACCTTTTAATATCTCGATGCTCAACTACTCTTTTTCAGACTCGACCGTCTAGTGCTCTTGTTAGACACTGGGTCGACTGCAGCCGTCAGACGCACTGCAGCCCAACAACTGGGCGAAATTCAAAAACAGCATCCAGGAGAACTATATAATCTATTGTCTAGGGTAATATATATATATATATATAAGCATATATATATATGAGAAGAAAGACAAAAATACAACCATCAAACACATCCTCAACGACTATAATTCTAGGTTGTGGTTCATCTCCGGAGTAAAGCATGGGATACTCGATGGGCAGCAGGTCTGGCTTTAGAAGCAATTGCTGCTAATGTCCCTGTCTGGGACCCCAAGGAATCCGCCGAAGGATGCGACGAAACACTGGAAGACACTCACAAACTAAGCTTTCATCAATTCGATCTTGCATCAGTCCTCACCCATGGAAAATTACTCTTGGGCTCGGCTGGAAAAGAATACGACATTGACTTTTCAGACATGACACCACAAGAACGACTAGAATTACAACGACGCAATCTTAGAGAACGTTTGGGTTTAGGCAGTCAATTTATGGATGGTAAAGCTGATGGAATTACCAAGATGAGGGGAGAGAGAGAAAAAAAAGAAGAAGAAAAAAAAAGATGAATTCTAATGAATGAAGTATAGTTGATCTGGTTGACGATTGCGACCTTGAGACGCGCATAAAACCAAAGGTCACCCAGAAAAAACCAACCGGAAGCCCAACTCCTTCTCCTTCTTCGTCTTCGTCTTCACTTTCTTCGGCACCAATCACTCCTGCGGCAGCCGAAGTTAATATGGCTGGGCTTTCAGCACGCGAACGTAATATGCTTAAGCGCAAAATGAAACAAGATGCAAAACTTAATAAGAGCAAAGACAAGTAAGAAGATCAGATACAATTCCATCGACCCTTAATATTCTTGTGAATGGATCTGCATTAGATCACGATGATGTATGGTAGTAATTAATCGTTGCGCTTTAGAGTACGCGTCTTGGATCTTAAAGGCAAATCAGAGTTTGCTGTCCCAAAACCAGTCAAAGTAGAAGAGAAAGAAGGTAATTATAATAAATCGTTACACCTCCTTCTTCTTTCTTCACATTTGGTTGCTGTTCCTGTTGTTGAATATAATCTCACTTAATTTTCTCTGTGTATCTCCAGGCTTTGAACTGACAGCACAGCCAAAGTCTAATAAATTTGTTGTGGAAACAAAGAAGCCAGCACACTCGCATGAAACATTGGCAGAAAGACCTTCATCAGAATGGCCTTTTAAGATGGTTTGTGAACATTTGTGCATGGATCTTTTTGATCCCGCATGGGAGATCCGTCACGGTGCAGGTATCGGTATCAGAAGTATTGTAAAGGCCCATGGAGGAGGCGCTGGAAAAATAGGTAAGCTTCTTTTAATATATATATATATATATATATATATATATATGTTGTAAAGCCCACAAGTAAAACGACCAAAGGCTAATGTGATTTTTTATCCAAATTCTTATGGATTGTTGTTATTATATATATATTAAAAAGAGGGATTCTCTGTCCAGAAGAACGAAGAATTACACAATGCATGGCTTGAGGATGTGGCCATCAGACTTTTGTGTGTATTTGCTCTGGATCGATTTGCCGATTTTGTTTCCGATCAAGTCGTCTGTCCCGTACGAGAAACATGCTCTCAGACCCTTGGTGTTGTTCTTCAATCAATGCGACCAGAATCAGTTGCAAAAGTACACGCGACACTCTTACAACTCATTACGCAAGACGGCCCGGCATTTCACGAAAGATCTATCTGGGAAGTCCGCCACGCTGGTTTGTTGGGTCTCAAATATGCTGTTGCTGTACGAAAAGATCTGGTAGAGATGTTGGTAGAAGGTACAACAGGAGCGGTCATTCTTGGTCTTCGGGATCACGACGATGACGTTCGCGCCGTAAGTGCAGCTACGCTACTGCCAATCACTGCCGAATTTGTACGCATGAGTACAGAAGATAGAGTTAGCAATGTGATCACAACATTGTGGGATTGTCTGATAGACCTCAAAGACGATTTGACAGCCTCCACTGGCGCGGTAATGGATTTGATTGCCAAGATGTTTGAACAACCCGGCGTCATGGAGATCGTCCGTAGAAAATGTTCATTGGGCGATCTTGTCCCACGCTTACATCCTTTTTTTCGACACACCATCACAGGCGTACGGCTTGCGGTATTAAATACTCTATTGACGTTCTTAGAATGCGGTACATCATCAGAGTGGGTTGATGAGCGGGTGTATCGCCTTGTTTTCCAGAACTTGGTAGTAGAAGAGAAACCAGAAGTATTGAAGAAAACTCTTGACGTCTGGAGAGGATTGACAATTGGTGGTCACGTAGAACAACAATTGGTTCTCCAAGGCACAGGTAACTGGCTCGGAAGCTGGTTTGAGATCGCAATGACGCCCGTCGGGCAGCCTTTGGATGTCGCCACCCACTTTTACAAGCCTCCAGGAGCATTTGGATTAGGTGGTTTGTCCAAGGCAGACAAATCTAAGAAGACAAATGTAACGTCTAAAAAAGGAATCAAGACCAGTGATACAGGACCCAATATGTTGCTAGGTGGAGATGATGATGATTCTGGCCACAATTTAGATGCAGGCATGATTTCTCAGGATCTCTCGCTTATCACAACAGAACAAGTGATGCGATGTCGAATTGCCTGCACGACAGCACTTGGTATGGCCATGAGTACCTGGCCAGACGAGTCAATGGAACTGTCTTACCAAGAGGTACTATTGACTCTTCTCACATCCCAGTGGGCATTGAAACGTCAATTGGGTGCTATGGCTATTGAAGAATGGGCCAAGGCTGTACTCAAAACACGCTACCAGGCTGACTGCATCAGTCACGCACCACCAGACGCAATCTTGGCCGCTACACATAACTTTCCCAAAGTTCTCTCTCAAGCTATGATCAACAACATTCAAAACGCGGCTTCACACACAACAGGATTCTATTTCGAGCTCGTTCACCAGCTCAAACGTATTCGCAGCGAATGTCAATCACTTTTGAACACGTTTGTAGAAGCTCAATTACCGGCCAAAATTATCCCCATTTTGCCAACCTATGTGTTGGGTGAAGCTTCGCCAGAACATGAAACCTTGTTTGGCATCGAGACAGCAAGCTGGGTAGCCGGCGAAGCATTCAATGTTCTTCTTGAGCGCCTCCCAAAGAACAAAAACAGATCAGCCACAGTAACATCTTTACAAGAACGGCAGAGACGCGTTGTAGCAGCCTTGGGCTACTATGAAGAGCTGAAACAGAAAGTAGAGATTAATGTTTATGCAAGTACAGCAGGTGCAATTGTTGAGTTAGGTGTTCTGCCTTCTACTTTGAGCTCACTAGTCCGCAGTGTAATGAACAGTATCAAGGCAAGTGCTTTTTGCTATACAGTGAACCACGTTTTTTTAGATCCCAAAGGTACACATATAATAATATTCTAAGTGTATTTATTATTATTATCGTCATTATTATCATTTTTAGTTTGAGGAAAATGCCGAGCTACAGCAAAGATCTGCTGCAACTTTGGCAGATCTTGTTGCTCTGTGTGCTCGTACTGTAGGACGATCAAATCCTAATGAAAAGGTGGTTAAGAATCTCTGTGCATTCTTGTGCTCTGATACAACCAAGACGCCTGTTCTAGAAGACAACCAGACAACATTGGGTATTCTTTCAATCCACAAAGAGGAAGTAACAAAGCCTCTTGCAAATGCAAAGGAAATCACACTGACTCCAGAACAAAAGGAGGCTCAGCTCATGAAACGTGGCGCAGAAACAGCATTGAAGGAATTGTGTGATCAGTTTGGTCGGCATGTATTTGAGATAGTTCCCAAATTATGGGAGTGCATGTCACTCAAATTGAAAGAAGTATTCCAAGGGAGATCAGGAGTTTCAGAAGCAGATGCTCTCATCGCACGCGATCTTCAGCTAGGACAAGAGGTGATTGATGCTCTCACCATTGTCAATACTGTTGTTCCTTGTCTTTCTCAAGACTTACGCGATCAGGTAATTACATATTGTAAAATTTAGTTTTGTAAACCAAGAAAAAAATCTTTGTTCATGCTCTTATTATTGTGTACATGCGTATATATATATATATATTTAAAATTTATAGATGGTCAGCATTGTCCCTGATATTTGTACGGCATTGATGTCACGATATGCAGTAATTCGTCAAGTCAGTGCACGATGCTTAGCAACAGTTGCTGATGTTTTGACAACGGAAACAATGCAAATTATTATCGAGCGCGTTTTACCAGAGCTTGGTAATCAAATGCATGTACACCATCGACAAGGTGCATCTGAACTTGTTTATCATTTGGTCCAAATGCTTGATACAAAGATTCTGCCTTACACTATATTCTTAATTGTTCCTATCCTTGGCTGCATGAGTGACGCAGATGACTCTGTGCGTTTGATATGCACAAATTGTTTTGCTTTGCTGATTAAGCTTGTGCCTTTGGAAGCTGGTATCCCTGATCCACCAGGAATGTCTGCCGAACTACTCTCCCATCGTGATGAAGAACGTCGGTTCTTGGCTCAGCTTCTTGACAGCTCTAAAGTTGAGAACTTTGAGATTCCTGTTAAAATTAAAGCCGAGCTTCGAAAGTACCAACAAGAGGGTGTTAACTGGCTTGCATTTCTCAACAAGTTTCATCTTCATGGAATTTTGTGTGACGGTAAGTGCATTTTATATATATATTTCTTTATTAAAAGTAATAAAAATAACCATATTGATTTATTACTAACATATGTTTGTATTTGTTTGTTTTTTATACGTGTAGATATGGGTTTGGGTAAAACATTACAGTCGATTTGTATTCTTTCAAGTGATCACTACTTACGAGCAAAGCGCTATGCCGCTACAAAGGCACCTGATTCTATTGTCTGTCCTTCGCTTGTAATTTGTCCGCCCACACTGACTGGGCACTGGTATCATGAAGTGCTTAATTACACAGATCATTTAAAACCACTTTTGTACACTGGTGGTCCTGCTGAACGCAAACGGTTAGTGTTACTGAATATAGAGGTATATCAGTTATTCAGTGTTCAGTGTTCTCATAAATGTGTATTCAGGTTACGCTCGACTCTCCATAATTACGATGTTATTATCATGTCGTACGATATTATTCGTAACGATATCGATGATCTATCCAACGTACAATGGAATTACTGTATTCTTGATGAAGGTCATATCATTAAGAACGGAAAGACAAAGATCACAAGAGCAATCAAGACAATTAAGTCAAATCATCGTCTTATCTTGTCCGGTACACCTATTCAGGTAGAGGAAGTTGGTCGAATAATCAAGTGCAAATAAGCTAAACGCTTTCTATCTTTTTTTAGAACAATGTTTTGGAATTGTGGTCCTTATTCGATTTCCTTATGCCCGGTTTTTTGGGGACCGAAAAGATATTTAATGAAAGGTTTGGAAAGCCTATATTGGCAAGTCGAGACAGCAAGAGTTCGTCTAAAGACCAGGAAGCAGGTAATAAAGAATAATAATAATTAGTTAATTCTCATATCTACATATGAAACATATTAATATATTAATATATTGTTTAATTTGTGTGACTCAGGTGCGCTGGCGCTTGAAGCTTTGCATAAACAGGTCTTGCCGTTCCTTTTGCGTCGTCTTAAGGAAGACGTTCTGCATGATCTTCCACCAAAGATTATTCAAGATTATTACTGCGAACTAAGTGATCTTCAGGTAATATATATATTAAACACATTCTAGAATCAATCTTTATTAATATTTTGGTTACAGAAAAATTTGTACGAAGAGTTTGCAAAATCACAGACAAAGAATGAAGTTGAACAGGACTTAGAGTCAGATGGCACAAAGTCAAATAGCGAAGGAAAGACAGCTACTCATATCTTCCAAGCCCTTCAATACTTGAGAAAGCTATGCAATCATCCACTTCTGGTGGTAAATGACAAGCATCCAAGCTATGATCGGGTTCAGAAACAGTTGACGCGAACAAATACCTCATTACATGATATTCAAAACGCACCAAAACTACTTGCATTAAGGTACGATTTTCTAGGCAACTAAAATTTAAATGGACATAAACTAAATAAACTTTTCTGTATATAATGTTTATTTATTAGGCAATTGTTGGGAGAGTGCGGTATTGGCGCAACTACAACAGAATCCGAGTCGGATCCTGCGGCTATGGCAATTGGTGCTGTTAGTCAGCATCGTGCATTAATTTTCTGCCAGCTCAAAACGATGTTGGATATTATTGAAAATGACTTGTTCAGAAGATTAATGCCTACAGTGAGTTACCTCCGTTTGGATGGTTCTGTGGATGCCAGCAAACGCCATGAACTTGTACAAAAATTCAATGCCGATCCTTCTATTGATGTCTTATTACTCACCACTCATGTTGGTGGCTTGGGACTGAACTTGACCGGAGCAGATACTGTAATATTTGTGGAGCATGACTGGAATCCTATGAAAGATCTTCAAGCAATGGACAGAGCACATCGTATCGGACAGAAAAAGGTTGTGAATGTGTATCGCTTGATTACACGCGGCACACTTGAGGAAAAGATCATGGGCCTGCAGAAGTTCAAGCTTAATATTGCCAACTCTGTAGTGAATCAGCAGAATTCTGGACTTCAGAGTATGGACACAGATCAAATCCTTGATCTCTTCAGCGTCAGTACAGAGGCTGCTGAATCGAGGAAAAAGAAGAAGAAGGCGGATGAGGCTGCGGCGGCGGGTGTAGATGGTATGGGCAAGGCCAAGGCTGTACTTGAGAACCTGGAGAACCTTTGGGATGACAAGGACTATGAAGAAGAGTACAACATTGATAGTTTCATAAGTGGTTTAAATTGATAAGACCAAAAAGCTAATAGCGAAATCAAGTGATTTGTAAATAATTATAAAAAAAAAGAATATGAAATGTTAGTATGTCAAGGTTTAGAGCTTCTTGACAATTTTAGAATGAATTTGATGGGGACTGTTGTTACTGTTATTATTGTTACTGTTATTATTACTACTGCTACTGCTACTGCTACTGCTACTACTGCTACTACTAACTATTAAATTACTATTAAATTACTATTATTACTATTATTATTAAAGGAATTGGAAACACGTGAAATGAGTTTTCATGTGAAGCGTGTAATGTTCAAGTTTAACGTTGGCACAACACTTTGTACAATGAAACAATTATGGAAAAATGGCTATTTAAGCGTTAGATATGTTTTATTTAACCAAATTTGGTAGAGCAGGTGAAAATCGATGAACATACAATATACATATTTAAGTATAATATCCTGATTGTGCAAGTACAATAGGCACATAACAATGATAATTAGATAAAGAAAGAAGGTGGGCGAGTGATAGAGAGAGGTTGGTATTAACGTATTATAGGGTGATGAGTGTAAATGAGATATTAAATGGGAATAATAGTCGATGTTTGAGAGGTGAATTTTTATACCAAGCCCATGTCTCTTATGCTTGTTTGCATGACAATATCATTTACTGCTGTCATGACAAATCGAATTTGATTGGTATCTGTTGCACATGTGAAATGAGTATAAACTTGTTTATCGGCAGATGCAGGGTTGAGGGATAGAAAACGCCATTTGAAGAATTCACAAGCTGCATTGTAATCATCTCCACCTAATAATAATAATATGTGTCAATTTATATGATTGTTGCTATTTCTCACTCAAAATACCGCCATACCTGTGTAATCTGAAAAGTATCTTTGGATTGGACTCTGAGGAAGTTTGGCTTTTAGAATGTCGATTTTGTTCAAGAACAATATGATCGATGTTCTATCAAACCATCGTGACTTCCATATAGAGTCAAATAGAACCAATGCTTCTTGCATGCGATTTACAGATTCGTCTTCAATGAGAACCTGGTCGTATTCACTAACAGCTACTAGAAATATGATTGCTGTAACATTTTCGAAGCAGTGTATCCATTTCTTGCGCTCTGATCGTTGTCCTCCTACGTCAAACATTCGATATTTCAGACCATTCCAGACGAATTTTGTTTCTGTAATTCCAGTTGTCTTTATGCGTGATTGCAAGAGGTCTTGATCTGTTGGTACATAATTAGGATCGCCAATGAGTTCGATTGTATTGAAGTAACTATTTTGCCAAAAAAGAAAAGCTTTAGTATTCATAAATTTGTGTCCCAAAAATTTGGATTCTTACTAGGATGCTGAGTCGATTAGTTGATATTCGTTGTTTCGATGATAAGCTGTCTGGACTCCTTGATCTTCCCACAATGCTTGTATAGCTCTAGCCACATCTGGTGACATTACTGATAGTTGATCGGCATGTCCTGGGATGTGTTTTACAGTGTCAGCATACATCTGGTTCTCAGGATCTGCAACCTTGATATCCATTGTGTCCATAGCTTCCAGGATAGCCTGCATTGATTGAATTGTGTTGCTGATAATAATTTCGCGGTAAGCTAGACGTTCGCTCATTGAAAATCCGCCTTCGTGAATAAGTTTCATTTGTTTGAGGACGGTGGATTTTCCAGACTCGCCAGTACCTGATTAAATTTAATATATATATATATATTATTTGCTAGCCCTTGTGAATTTATTTATGTATTTAATACATGTATTTATTTATCTATATTCATTCCCATATATATATACATGCATATACATGTGTATGTATATGTGCATGTGTATGTGTATGTGTATGTGTATATACAGTGTAAATTTTATCGTAGTTCCTATTTACCAAGTAAAAGCAACTTGACTTCGTTTTGAATATTTTGCCTCTCTGATCGTAACTGTTTTTCGATTTCGTCGTTTCGTAATCTGCTTCCATTGTCGTTGGATTCAACAGATGCACAGCAACCCATGGTGAGTATAGTATTCTGTAGAAAACAAAAATAGACCAAGCCACTTGTAAATAACTAGTCTTGTATAACGTGTTTCTATATTATTAGTGTTATTATTATTATTGTTACTATTATTTTAAAGTTAAGTAAGATGGACAAAGGCAATAGACTTGTTGACCAAGCCTTGGCTCGAAAGAAAAGACACAGCGAGAAGTGTAGAGTAAATATTTTTTATTTCTATTTTCTTGGGTGCATATATTTCTCGAAAATAAAAAGTAAGACAAAAATACATACAGTCTTAATGAGTTTGGAGCGATGAGTAACGGAAAGAGAAAAGAAGAGCTGTATTGCCAAGCAGCGAGGAGTTCAAAAGCATAAATACAATATCGGGTAGTTTTGGTTGATAGAGATTTCTCACAATGAACGACCACAAAAGGTTACCAAAACTTGATTGGTTAGAACCAGTAAATTGGACAATGAACGATGGATCAATTGGATACCGGAAACACAAAAGTGAGAAAGCCACGAGCATAAAGTTGATCTACCTTGACTGACAAGGCTGTAATTCTTGCTCCTATCACTAGAAATGTCCGTCAGACTAAAGAAAAAGCTTGCTAATATACATATGCTTTTAAACTCTGCCCCAATTCACACAAATAACATATATACATACATGAACATTTACCAAAACAAAACAAAACAAGAAAAGAACTCTAGGGGCTGATGTAGCAAACCTCTATAACAGGCGTTGAACAGTACCTACATTTCTTATACTAATTGCCGAGATTCTGTGTCTAAAAAGTTTACTTGCAATTGCCGCATGTAGTGTAACTCATGCTTGTTTAACCTTGAAACCACAGCCGTTCCTTCCTTTTTTTCTATTTCTACTTTATCGCGCAACCCCCGATTTGGGGTGAATATACATTTTTATAGCCTACATAATTAACCGACACGCGCACCCACAAGCAGTAAAAATCACACACTGAAATATATTGCTAGAATTATTTTAGAAACATATTAATTCTTTCTTTTTCTGATATATTTATTTATTTATTTAATAACTATAATTAAAAACAAACGGACAAAATATTATTATTATTAATAATTAAGTGATATAGAATCTCATGAATACTCGTTCTAATTTTTAACAAGGAAAGCCCTGATTTGATATTAAATGTTTAATTTCATAGACATTCATTCAAAGATATAAGACATGGCCAGGAAGAGATTTCATTTAAACTATTTTCAGAAATTAAAAATCGTACCTGGTTGAAGGACATGAACCTACCCGAAAGTGAATATCGCCACACTTAACAAATCAGATGACATGGTTGCAGGATAATTTGTCGTAGATCTCTTGTCATTTTTTTTAGGAATACAAAAAGTATTAATATGTGTGAGTTCTGCCTTTATTTTTACAGCTAAACCGAAATCAATTCATGTTACGCATCCACTTTTTATATTAGCATGAAAAAGGCATGGCTTTTGATGAGCTCAATAACAAAAAGAATACTTCATACTGTTAATGAAGGGTAGCAAAATATAGAAGCCTATAAGCTCTTATACAGATTACCTATTTACCTTGAATTATCAACAAAATCAACAAATCAATAATTAAGACCGAGGTAACGGATATAAGAGACAAACTAAAAATATTTCTCGGACTTGGAGTGAAAGAAGCGTCCATAAAGCTCACTTGATTATTGCATAACGATCAGGGCTAAAGTAGGTTACTAGCATTATATCTTTAAAAAAAATCTCAGGGTATTTTCATGACTATAACTAAGTTGCTAATTCATTTCGATACGGTATAAATTCTGGTTTAGCAATAAGCAATAATAATATGTAATTTTTTTTTAAAAAAAAAGGAAACCCAGATCACCCACATCTAAATGAGGAGCATGAAAATAATATCTAATGTAAAAAAGCTTCTATTTTTTTTAACTGTTGAAATGAAAGCAACTCCCATACACAGAGAATAACCGATTTTCTTTGGGTGGTTGATTATAGTAAGGAATGTAAGATAACATATCCTGAAAACACACCATCTAGTTTTTTAGTGTGTTCAGTTCAATTTTAAGAAGCAGTGTACATATGCGATCTTATTAGTTTATGAATAATTTTGCATCTTACAAAGAATTTCACTGTATACTCCTAAAAATGGAAGATTCTTTTGCTATCGATAACGATTTTTCACTACTTATCCCTATTCCACGAACACTTTTTTTGTAGGGAGCAATTAGAGCTCAGGTTTTTATTGTGAGGATCACTAGCTAAAAAAAAGGACGTACGTCACAAAATTTGTTTTTGGGTTTTTGATTTTTTTTGAGGTGTATATGTAAGAAGGAAAACTAAAGGTAGAGCTAAGTAGCAATAGAACAGGCAAGGTCATCAAGAGATTTTTCAGCCTTAAATATGGCAACCAAGCGGGAAGCGGCAGATAGGACGGTGGAAGATACAAAAGGTGTATTGTCGAACACCGTGGACCAATGATGTCGCCAGATCGCCAGAAGGGCTCAGCTAAAGAGAGAGGCGGCGTGAATATCAGAGGGGCGGGTATAGGGGAAAGACAGGTTGTAAAATGCATCATGGAGTATAGGAAGAGTAGGATGAGATCCAAAGACATCTTGCCAGAATGTAGACCAAACGTCAATTTTGAGGGGGCAGGAGAAGAGGAAATGGTCGGGTGTGTCTGTAGAGGCTTCACAAATGGGGCAAGAGTCGGTGGGGAAGGGGCCAGGAAGTATGCGATGCAACAGGGAGCGGGATGACAATTTGTGGTGCAGACCTCGGTACCAGATGTTGCGGACATGGTGGTGTATAGGAAGGTTCCAAAAGATTCGCCATTGTGAGCTGGACAGTGTAGACGACAGGGGAGGAGAAACAGAAGAGGAACAAAGAGAACGATACATACGAGGTTTCAGCTTGGACCACGGTATTCCAGGTAAAAGGCCGCAAACAAAAGGGCTAGCATTGATTGATGAACCTGAACGGGAAGGAATGGAAGGGTCATTGAGCTGAAGGATATGAGAAGGGAGGAAAGCGCGAACAAGGAAAGGTTGTAGCAAGATGTCGCGAGAGTCAACTCTCTTGAAAAACTTGCGCAATATGAGCGGGTTGCGTGGGAAATCAGCCGGCGCTCGACGGCAGAGAACGTTGAAAGAAGGGCCAACAAGAAAGGCATCTTCAACGCGGAGGTGTTGCCAGGAGGGAGGGAAGGAGGTAGTGCTTGTGGCTGGTAGGCATACTGAGCGGAGGGGAAGTGCTAAACACGTAGCAATGTTGGGGGCAAGGGAGAAGTCGTGCGGGAGCCTATCAATAGCAGAGAATATGTTGCGGAAGCAACCTGCAAGGCCAGTCAGATCGGGGGGGGGGGGGGGGGGGGGGGGGGCCAAAAATCGGG